CTCCAGTTACAGGGCAGCCTGGCAGGGCACGCAGGGCACACGCAGGGCACACAGAAGCATCACACATTTTCCAGTCGAGCCTGCCCGCCCGTGCTTCGTTTTCGGCAGATCGGCGCAGAACCAGGAGAGAAAAACCTGCCAAGCCTTGGGTGGTTACCATCCCGCCTGCCCGTTGCCAGCACCGGTGTAACCTTTTGTCCTGTTGCGTGCACAATATTCAGAGCAAGGCCAGTGTTTTCCGCCGTGTCACCATCGCCAACCAACGGCAAGTTCTTAGTCAAGCAAACTCTCTTCAAAAAGTGTTGAACTGCCCGCGCGATCGTCGTCCAGTGCTGAATGGCCAGCCAGGCGCGGACAAGAAGAAGATCAAGCCACAGTGGGCTGAGCAGAAACTGATCTTGCGATGCTCGTCACTATCCCTGCCCCTATGCGGTCTATGCGCGCCCGGTCTTCTTCTTCTTCTTCTCCTTTGTCACTGGCTGTCTTTCGCTTGCTTGCTGCGCTCTTGCCCCCACCAGGCTAGGCTGCATGCCATTGCAAGTCTCCTGCAGGCGCCTCTCCCCTCGACGACTTGCAGCGCGCTAGGGCGACGAGGAGAACCCCTGACCCCTGTTGTTCCGCTAGCCGTGCCCATGTACATGCATATCTGATCCTGGGACTTGCATGCCTCTCGCGCTCGAGAAGATGAGCCAATCCCGTCGGCATGTCGCGCCACTGGGCAAAAGACAGAGTTCCCCAGTCTCAGCCAACTGGGCCTTCCGTTGTAAGGTCAAGTCGTACGAAAGTCTTTCTAGCTCTGAGCTTGAAGTTTGAAGGTAAACCTCAAAGGAGACCCTCACGTTGGCGCCTCCTCAAGACCAACTTCACCACTTGGCGTGTTGCCTTAGCCTCGACCCCTGGGCGCCGCATTCTTTGAGGCCTTCCCGTCATAGCCCCGGCGGTCGCCTAAGAAGCAAGCGTATCCTATTCCTGCGCCGTAGACAACCCTCCCCCCTGTGGCGAAGGCGGCGGTCGCCGCCGCCGCCGCCATCGCCAAGTTACCACACCGCGGGTTGACAAGAGCCACTCACACTACCCACACACACTGAGGTGCACTCATACACACACCGAGAGGCCAGCGGTAACAGTTCCCTGCGACCACAACCACACAGTGCCCCTGTCTATCCATACGCTGATTTCAAAGACAGCTCGGGTCCAAAGCTAAACGCCAGCCGTTGACGCCAGCGTTGCCCCTCCCCACCACCACCTCTCACCTTTCTGCCAGGGAGCTACCTTGAGCTAAGCCAGATGCCGTAACATAACACTCTCGAGGGGCACACACACACATCTTGCGTTGTAGGCTACCATGCCAAACCAGCCCGCCACCACCACCACCATGCGAAAGACAAGATCCCCTTCCCTTTTCCGCATGCAACCCTCCTTCTCGTTCGACAGGTCCCCTTTTTCGCCCCCCCCTCCCTGGCGGCGAGATACATGCTCGGCGCAACGGATTCTTCCACAGAGGGGTCCTTTTTTCGTCGTTCGACAGAGGAGGAGGAGGAGGAGGGGTGAAGAGGGGGGGGACCCTGATTTGCAAAGACCCTTTTCTCTCTCCCTCCCCGTCAGACACATGTCGGAAAAACTAAGACTAATTATGTCCTGTCAAAGAAAATCAGGATGACAAATACAACAACAACAAAAAACCTCTGCAGTGACTCAAAACCTTATCGTCACGATGGGCGCAATTTATACTGCATACTCTGTCATATACCTGGGGGCAGGTTGGCGTGATATATTGCTGGCAGGCGGGCGTGCGGGCGGAAGACTCTGTTTTGACTCATTAATGATGAGACGATGACCGGCCGGGGCGGCTGCCCTTTCGCTGCTGCTGCTGCTGTCATACTACCACAGTGGAAGTGGGCATCACGGTCAAGGAGAGAGAGTCCCACACCGTGCTCTCTCTCTTCTGTCAAGAGTAGTACCATAGTAGATGCGTTGATACAGCGTCTAACTAGGGACAAAGGGGGGGTAGATCCACCCTGCAAGCCCTTCTTTCCCACCCAAGCAAAGCGCCCGCATGTCATAAACTCCCGAACGAGGCAAAAAACGTCGTATGTGTGTGCGTGTATATGCGCGCGCTCGCGCTCGCGCCTGAGAGACTGCAGCAGCAGCAGCAGCAGGGGGCCGGCCCACTCCACTGTGACTTTTCGGCTACAGGAACCAGGGGGGAGGATACAGCGAGAGTGACGCCGTGGGGCGGAGCTGGCTTTTTTACGTACAAAATGGTGGTCGTGAGGGTATCATGAACATGACGGATGAGAGAAGGAGGATGGCGATGGTGATGATAGTGATGGTGATCACATAGTTTCTTACGAGTGTCGTGTGTGGTTCGGTAGAACGTACGAGACCCCCCCCCGGCCCCCTGGGGAACTTTTCCACTCGAACGGGTGTTAGTGGGCTGGGGCTCCCCCCGTGGGATCCGTGGTGGTCGCGAGTGGGATAACAGTGTTTTAGGGAGCTTTGCAGAGAGGGACGTGCGCGCTAATGCCAGATGCTCAAGCACGTCCCATGGGAAGGGAGGCTGCCCCGTGCAGCTCTGATAAGACGAGATTGCTCCACTTTCGATGTTGAGATGAGAAGGTGTTTTAGTATGACTACCTGGAATGCGATACGAGATAAGAGATACAGATAGTTTGCAGCTCCGGTGCTTGTGCATCGTGAAAAGATGGGCGTTGCTGGCAGAGCCTCTTTGCAACAGAGTCATTGCGGGTTAACCCAAACAACCAACCTCACATATTTAGCATTTGAAAGCAGTCTCCAGTAACTGTGCCAAAAGCTTCACCACTTCGACGGTCCCGCAAGTGGATGACAAGGAACAAGGTGCATGGCTGAGTGGGCTTGGCCTGATTCTGATACACGACGCCCTCGTTGGATTGTTACACCCACTGTCTGTGTTGTCCAACATTGCACGACAACAACAACAACAACAACCGCCCAGGCTGCACAAGCGCGAGAGTGGCAAGCGATTTCTGCCGAGCCTTGAAAATGCAACTCGTGACCCTTATCCCCTTGATGGTGGCAGTCATGATATGCACAAACTCGAGCGCTTGCATGACGTTGCTGCACGACGACGATACCATGAAGTCACAGTTGCCTCAGTGGCTCAATCTAAAGTGTGGAGGAGGGACGGCGCCTGCATTGAGGCATTGTTGGAAATACAGTACGCTGCCGACACGATTGTCACTGTCTCACCTTCAGCCTGCCTACCGTGCAGCGCACATACTCGCACACTGTCCCTATGCTCCCGGGCGGCGATAACGACAACGAGTCCCCCTAGCTGTAAATAACTTGCCAATCAAAGAACATGGCTGACAAGGATGTCTGGACAGGGGTGAGCCCTTGGCTGATCGGCAGTCTCGGCTCCTGTGGACTTTCGCAGGCTGCAGCAGCCCTGCCTGGGTCTTGCAACCAAGACTTTACTGCCCCGGTCAGGTGATCCACTTGCGAGGTAACTTGTGTATGGATACACCACCTCCTTCGGACGTGCAGTGAAAGCCTGGAGAACTTTGCTGGGTGGTGTACATACTTCTTATCAACACAGCTCGATTACCTGAAGCGCAATGGGATACCGCAGTCCCGTGTGGCAGGTGTCATTGTGGCCCCGCGGCAGCAGCTTTTGACTGCGAGAAAGAAGAGGAGCCTCTCTGTCTCCTCATAAAGGAGCTGAATCATGTTTGCAGACCAGCACCCCGGGTAGGCTCGTTTTGCGAAATTGCCAGACCATGATATGGCGTTTTGATTTTGCCAGTCACTCATTCTCGTTTTGCTGTGGCTGACGCCCTCGGAAACCACCACGTGGCTTGTAATGACAGCGACGCGGTCGGAAAGACACATGTCTGAGCTGAGCTCCGATCGAACCGTCATCACCGTCATGATTCACATTCCAGAATCTCCGGGTTCGCGTTTCTCGTGGTTCGAGAGAAAAAAAAAAAAAGTCTCAAGATTATTCACCGCCTTGCATCATTGACTCACGACAGCCTCGATGATGACAACCGGAAACAACGGGGGCGGGGAGGGAGGAGGTTGCACAGACTTTCGGCGTCCTTGTCTCACAGCTGTTTCTCGCCAACTTCTCGCTTCCAAGATTTTGGGAAATCTTCCGCTCTCACCGCGTTTTCGTTGTCGATCAGGCCAATCTAAAGCAAACAAGGGGGAGGCATGGCAAGTGAAAGAGAAAAAGCAGACCATTCTAATCATGGACCGCGTCTCTGAGCGATCTGCTTAGCAACCCCGTACCGCCTGCGTCTTGTGTGAAACAAGGCCACGCCCGCTCGTCGCGTCTCCAAGTGGCATGCCCTCCCCGCCAGTGCCACCTCAGCCACACTACACTACCTTGGGGTCGAAAAAGGTGCTTCACGACGGACGATTTCCTCCTCACTTCCCCGCACTCCGCCCACTCGGCCGCCCCCCCAGACAAGACCTCTATTCCCCATCACGAACCATTATAGTGCTCCCATGGCCAAACTTAGAGCACAGACTTAACTAGTGCAACCTCAAACAAGACAAAGGCATTTTTTCGGGACGAGTCTAGCATGCTGCTCACGATGCGCTCGTTACCACTCTACGGCCTCTAGACCCAGATCTGACTTGAGGCAACCAGTGGCGAGAGAGGCGATGGTGGCGCGGAGCTTCCCGTGGCTAGTTTGTCCTCCCTAGAGACCAAGACCAATCTAATGGGAAAGCTCCGAGGAAAAAGACCAAAGCCTGGTCCTGCCTCGCCTGAAACTGGGTGCCCGAAGTAATTATCTGCCAAGGGGTGATTCGGTCCATCCTCCTGCTACGCCGCTTGCCGGGCTAGAGAGATAGCCGTGATCATCCCAAGATACGGCGGCCCGGAGCGTCTCGCCCAGATTAGCGAGGCAAGACATGGCAAAGTTTCTTGATTGCCATCCATGCCATTATGCTGCTCTTGACTACCCCGCCCCCCTCCTCGCCCCCACATACGCGTCGTCGTCCTCCTCCGTAGAAGCTGCGACCGCACGAGATGCTCACCTTCCCAGCTAAGCCCAGCGGCTATTACTATCAAGGCCCTGCAGCAAAAGGATAGTGCCATCTCCGCACTCCAAAAAGCCATTCTGTATCCGAGGCATCATCTCTCTCCTCATGTGATCTCTATCGCAAACTTGACAGAAACAAGAAAGTAAAAGGCGCGATTCATTAGAACGCCTGCCTCAAACATCCTTGCCCGCCCAGATCTCAAAGCCCACTCACACACGTTTTCTCTTCTGCATCTCCCCCTCCCTGATTGCGTGGTCATTTGCTCATGTGATGTGTGTGAAAATGAGCCCGCCTGCGGTAGCAAAGGCCAGATGGGGAGATGTCTCTCTCTCTCTCTCTTGCGATACGCAGATAGGGTACTTGCTACGTATCTGCGGATATCCTGGCCCGGGGGGATCGTGTGTACCTGGACGGACGTGGAGAGGGAGGGGGAGGTCCTTTCCCCCCTCTCTCTGTGTTCCTCAATGCCACCTTGCCTTGCATGCATGCAAAGTGCAAACGCATGGATCGAGTTTTGCCGCTTTGCCATGCTCAAATGCCCATGAGTCCGAGTCATGATCCTTTTTTTCTCCTCGTTTTGGCAACGCAGGGGCAGTCTAGGTAAGGTACGAACCACACTTTGATCTTTGACTTTCTGTGCTGCGGTTGACGTGGCCTGGCCTAGCCTGGCCTGGCGTGAGTGAGTGGTTGTTTTACTCCTCTTTTTCTTGGAGACGGGCACTTCCCCCGCTCTTTCGCTGGCATTATCCGTCCATGGGAACGCGGACGCGCCGCCCGCGCTTGGGGTATCGTAGATGGAATCACTGTTGTTGTTGTTGTTGTTGTTGTTGTTGTTGTTTGGAACCCCCTCTTCTTGCGCTTGCTTGCTTGCTTTGCTTGCTCCTCATCGACACCTTGTATTGCCTCGCTGTCCGGGTCGCTGCCGCGCCGAGCCCTCGGCGTTGCACACACAAGGCTGTGTGTGCGTGCAACTCGACTTTTCTGCCTCCTTGGGCTCAGCTCCCCTGCTCTCTCTCTACAACCCCCGGCTGGATGAGCGAGCAAGCTTCCCCTTCTGGAGATGGCATTGGATCTCCCAAGAATTTTGACAAGGCACACACAGACACACACAGCCTTGGGGGTGTTTGGGTGGACGCCGCGCTGGTCTTCCGTGCCTTGTACTATGCAAAACCACATGATTTAATACACCAACCATTTCCTGAGGCAGTCCACGTGTCACACACACACACACAACCACAAGTCATCCTCAAACTTCATTGGGGAATCCGGGGTAAGCCGTGTCATGTGGCCCGTGATTACCTGGACCGATGACGAGAGAGGCGTTTTCGGGGTAGGGCCGTGCACACCGGACCGCCGGTCTTCCCATCGCGTAACCCAGGTGCCCGGGTAGGCCAGGCTCGTCGAGATAGTTTCACCTTTCTGCTATTACTTTGGACATGGGCAAGGGCCTCAAGAGAAACTACCATTTCAGCCCGGGAAGCCTTGACAGGCACTGTGCTAATGTTCTAGTCAGAGGGGGTGCGAAAAGCCGAAACGCGCGACAGGCGGGCACGGTCGAATCAGGGAACCCCAGTGCAGGAGCTAGCGAGTAATAAGCAAAAGCAATCACTCATGATGCCTTTTTCGACAAGGACGGGCAAGACGCCATTTTTCCGTCGTGTCATGATATGTGTTGGTTTTTGTGCCAGCAACTCTGGCCGAACGCCCCGTGGGTACTGCGTCCTTGTGCTTTAATTAGTTGGTAGTCACAAAACAGCCAAGCAGGGAAAGCAAACCTAGTCAAATCAGCCCGTCTTCCATTCCTGGTAGGCCGGCCTGGTCGAAAAAGTTCCCGTTGGTGGATCCCAAACCTTTCAAAACCGACCCCCACAGCCATGATAGTCCCAATCAGGCGGGATGGGGGCAATAGCTTGTCCACGATAGCTCCGTCTCCATACAGCTGGGAAGTGGATACTCGCTGCTTGACGGGCGGGTTCCTAGCTGCAAGGGGCGGCGCCCAATCACGATGTCGAGACGACAAGCTTGACGATGCCCATGTCCTGTCGCGGCCTTGAAATGCGGGCCATGCTCCCCGCGTTGGAGATCGGACGTTTGGTGGACGATCGTGGTTTCCACCGGCGGAGCCAAGCCTCAACGGTACGGCCCTGTACCGGGACCAGCGTGCACGGCACGGCACCCAGGAAGCCCAGGGGTAAGACGGCACCACTCTTTCTTGTCCCCAGCCAGAGCGCAACGATTCTTGCGCTCGGCTCTCAGATGCGGTCGAAATGCTCCGTGGGAATGGGTTCCTCTCCAGTCTCGAGACATGGTATTCGTGCCCCCTCGCACCTTGTCCCCTGCACGGAATCCCGTGCGGGCCTGACAAGGGCATGGGCCCACGGCGAGGCACCATGACTTGCAATTTTGTGATGTGAGACGGGACACGAGGGAGATGATGCTGCAATTTGTGCGACGTATCAGAAAGCGGCCTAGCGGCTCATGTACGTCGGTCTTCGGGGAAGGGTGAGCGGCGCTTGGGCAATCGGCGAGAGCCAACACGGCACGAGCGTGGAGTCATTTACGGTTCAAGCATGGGGAAGAAAGAACGCCTCGACGACTCAGCTGTTGATATGTCGGGCCGTGGCGTCGGCGGCCGGTCGCTGTGGTTTACTAATAAGAGCCCGAGCCGGCAGGGCACTGCCGACGATGGAATGGACAGGTACTTTCCGACAAGCCACAGCGCCAGGCCGGACGGAGCAGGCGAGGCGGGCTGGCCGGCGAATGCTGCTAGAAGCCAAGGCCCACCATTAGCGCAGCCCCGATCGAGATCTTGTCTCGACATGTTGCTGCACCAGCCACGAGGCCGAAACAGAGGCCAGCCGTCTGTTGAGCAGGCTGCCTTGGAAGCAACCATGTCGCGCAGCCTGCGCAGGGCCCGTGAGCACATCTGAAAGCACGGGCTGTCGTCATTGGCCACACGCGGTGAAGCTGCTGCTGGGCGAGGGATCATGACCTGGGCCGGGCTATCCGTTGGAGGGCAGCAGTCGGAAGGCGAACCGGGCGATGCCCTCAGCCTTGCTGGCTTGGCTGCCGTGCTGTTGCAAGATCGATGATGGTGGGAGCGCCACGACTTGTCGCCGACCATGATTGATAGGCCGGTGTGGGCAGCAGGGAGCCCTCGAGGGCTTACGTTGCCTGGAATCATGGATGAGACTGTAGGAGGGAAAGGGCCCGGGAGGGTGGCACCTTCCAGCCACAGCCGACCGACCCCCACGCCCGCCAGCTCCATGTGCAGGTCGTGATGGGAGCCTGCTGAACGGAAGAGAGCATCGTGACTGATAACATGATGATGCAGTGGTAATTATCGCCTACGCCATGGTTCAACTGGCAGACAAGCTCAAGCGCCAGAGAATGCAGGCTCTTCCGAACGAGCACACTGTCCGCCAGCTTCTCAGCCACCCTTTGCCATGATCGTGATGCCAGTCGTCACAGCTCAAACAGCGGTGAATGTCCACAGGTAAGGTATTCAAGCAATCAGCAATGGCCGCCCCGACTAACTCTCTGAGTCCCTCAACAGTGCTTGCACTCCCGCTCGTATCCTTGCAGTGGCACACACACCATGAACGTTGCGCCCTGCTGGTTGGCTATCGCGTCTGGAGGGGTCCTCGCCGCATCTCCCGTACGCTGACACATTGTTGCATTTATTGCACATAGTCTTGAGATGTCTTGGACGTGATGGCTCAAGCATTCGTGCGGTCGAGCCCACGCCATCTCACCGGCGACTGCTTCTGCCGTCCTGGCCGTTATTGTGTCTGAACCACTATTCTCGCGATCCTTCATAAAAACAGACAGCGGCATGGCCCCCAAGCTCTGCCCACGATGCCTGTGCATGCGCGCGCGCCAGCACGTGGGCAGCTTGCGGACACTTGTCACTCACGTTTGTGGCGCAAGCCTCCAACTTAAACCAATACGCATTCTTGCACGAGAAGAAAGCCCAGAGAAGTCCCCAGCGAGCGCACCTGTTTCGATCTTGCTGCAAAATGATATTGATGCTCTATTAGACCACAAATCCGGTGACAATGCTCTCTGTGCTGACAACGCCTGTCACGCCCTCACGCCATGTCGGAGTCGACCTCTGCTCATGCAGACATGGATATATCTCCAAGTGCAGCATACGCAGTCTGTCCCTGCCGCCTCGACCGGTCCCGACTTAGAGCATAACATGCTAGGCTCTGGTCATGGATCACCTTGCGTATCCAGCAACCTCGCTGCGTCACTGTGCTAGTCCGACGCCGTGCAGAAAGTCGCACTAACCTGTGCGCCCCCGTTAAATGGGCCGATATCCATCGGAGAACTTGCCGTCAATCATCACGCGACTGGTGATCTTGGGCCGACCGTTTCTCAGTCGCACAAAGGCCATCTTCCGAGCCGGTCAGATATGTCGTGTCACTCAACACCAGCATCGCATCAGCTGCCTTGCCCAGTGCGGCAATCCGGTCTCTGGGCATCGTCGGCAAGACAGGACCTTATTTTTTGATTACCGAGGATTTGCTATGGTGATGTGCCATTTGGTGGCTACGCTGTGCGAGAGCAAGTTCGTAGCATGGTGTGTGACCCTGGATTCTTCCCCGGACGATCTCGACATGCACAGCTGGGGAAGCATTTGCCTAGACTAGCGGCGAAAAGCACGCCGACCGCCGCTCTTGCGACGACCATGGCCGTCTGATTCCGCCGGCGTGGCCTCGTGCGTACTTGCCATTCGGCATGAGCTTCAAGAAGACCATATCGACTCCGGAATCGAGCTCGTGCGACTCCATGTATGCCAGACCACGAGGTTTAGTTCTTCACCGTGATGGTTCCAGGTTTGCACTCTTTCGACACACGACTCGAATGGCGCAAGGTGTACGACGTGGTACAACGTTCCAAAGGGCTCATCTGCCCTCGTGCTCGCTGGTAGTCCGGTTTCTCCACGATGCAAGTCATGGGCTGATCGAACCCTCCAAGCAAGCCAGAATAACGCGAACTTCATTGTCTTGTCTGTAGCCGCGACGTGCAGAAAGCCTAGCGCAAACATTCTGCTTCGGCCCCAGGAAGGATGGAAGAACTCGGCTGCCAATGCCCGATATGGCACGTTGCATTAGGTCTGCAACGGCCTGGGGGAGGCTGTCGCGCATAACAATGATAACAATGGACGATGCCAACACGCCCATCTGTGCAGCCCGCCTACACCGCAAGCACATTCTGCACTGTACCCATATCAAGGGAAGTTGGCGAGACTCGGAAGCTAGCATTCACAATGCCCGTCAGACACGCAGACAGACAAGCCGCGCGCCGCTCGCGGGTGGTGGGGAACACTGGTCAATACCCAAAGATGGATATCCGGAGGCACGCCACCAGCGTGGGCAGCATTCTGATACTGTCCCGCCACCACCATATCCATGCCCGCTGGAGCCGGCTCGCAGTCAATTTGGCTGACCCGAATTTCCCGGTGTGCGACAACGTTGCTGCTGCCCCTGAAGGTGGTGGTGGTGGTGGTGGTGCTGCTGCTGCTGATGCACTCCTACGACTTACTTTTCCTTAGACCCTATGCACTCTCTGACTGGGGTTTTCACACAGAGGCGCCCGTTCCATGCGGGCGCACTCCTCTCTCTGTCCGTGTCTGCAAGCTGCAGGCGCCTGCAGGCCCAGGCGCATGGATCGTTGCAGGGCCGCCACCACCGAGAGCTGCAGGCAGGCAAAAGAAGGGAAGGGGTGCAGCAGCAGCAGCGGCGGCGCGCCAGTTGCTGCAATGTGGGTTGCAAAGTTCATGCAGCTTCAGCAGCATCCGGCTGCATTTTTTCAAGGAGGAGGAGGAGGAGGAGGATGAAGGGCGATAAAAAGCCCGCCGGGCTATTGTGCGGCCTTGATTCATCCCGCCCATGTTGACCCTGCAAAAGACGTTGTGTGCGTGCGTGTGCGTGTGTGTGTGTTTGTGTGTGTCTGTCTGGAAGCCCGATGTTCCTGCCCCCAAGCCGGCCAGCCAGCCGCAGAAAAGTTGATCCTATCTGCAGTACATGATGGGGATGCCAAGAAGAGAAAGGCGAAATGGCGCGAGAGGCGTTCTTGCTTTGAATGGCATGGTTGGATGTGCTCGTCGTTGCCTTGATTGATCTTACGTGACATGCTTGGAAGGGGGGCAAACAGCCTACAGGCATTGCGGCGAGGATTGCTCAGCCAGCCCACACACAGAGCCAACGGTTTACGGCGACAACGCCATCGGCACACACACACATACCCAGCTGCCAAGCGTGTGCCCAGGGCCGGTGGCGACAGACAGTGGAATGCCGTCGGTTCCGTTGCGTTAAGTTGGTTTGTCTTTGGCTGTCATTGTGCTTGGAAGACCCTGGCAGAGGAGAGTGAGGAAGGACAGGGCAATAAAAACAAAGACCCTGATGATGCATTTTCTCCAGCATGCAAAAGCTGCGCCTTCCACGTACCGTCGTCGTCGTCTCGCCTGGGGATATGCATGTGATGAGATGAGAGGCTCTTTGCCCGCTCACTAGTGACAAGGAATCAACACCATCCACACCCCGCGCCGTGTCAAATTGTGAGGCTTGAGGGAGAAAGCAAATAAAATGAAGCGGGCTGAATCCGACGGAGCTCTCGCCAAAAGCACTAACCCCTCCCCACACCCGAGACTGAGCTTAAGCTGGCTGGGTCTGGTGGTGGGAGCTTGGGGTCTTTTTGGGAATCTGCACTTGCCCACACTTTTTGCAAGTGGCTTTCTCTCCCCCCGCCCGCCCGCTCGGCGCCCCAACAATAAACGCCAACCAACCAACAACAATGCACTAAAACAGCAATATGTGCCCATAATAATATCCTCCACCCCCAACCCCCAGCGGAATCCACAGTGACCCGGCGCTCGCTCGCTGTGCCCCACATTCCGCCCGTCCCCTGCCGCCCGCCGTCGCTGCCGCCGCCGCCGCCGTGCCTGTGGATCGCCATTCCTTTTCATTCATGGGCAGGCATGCCACTTTCGTCGTCGCTCCACCACCACCAGATCAAACGTACGATGGGATCGGGGGGAAATGGGAGGGGAGCCTTCGACAACGACGCGGTCCCCAGTTTGACACGCCGCAGACAGGGTTTTCTTCTTCTTCTTGCTTAGTTTCGGGGTACGCAATTTGGGACCCCGGTTGCTCGCTTGGATAATGCCGGAGATCGTGTGCGGAGTCCCTTTTCCCACCCCCGGCGAACGTCACCGGCCGCCCCAGGCGGATATGCTATCAGGATTCGTTAGTGCCGCCGCCGCCGCCGCCGATGCCGGTGCTCCCTCCCCCGACCGTGGGTCTGCTTGTCTGTGGCTGTGGTTGTGGATATGTGTGTATGTGTGTGTGCCCAAACGAGGGGGAAAAAAAAACGGTTTCGTGGGCGGAGCCGCGCTGAGGAGAAAAGCTGAGCAGCTGCAACTACATCACGCTTGAGTAATTATCCCCTTGGGTGGGCTGTGGGCTCCCGTGTGCTCGGTAGATGGAATAGCGCCGAGGTACCCGGGGCCGTTGATGTGGAGCCGATATCGATGGTTCGGTTCGTGACTTCGAGTGCTTGCGTGCTGCTGTTTCGAGGACTTGAATGGCTTCAGAATTTCTGAAGGGATTCACGGAGCTTTGTTTGTCGTCGTGAGGTGAGATGAGGTTAAGGGGTCGTAGTTAGAGATGTGATGTTCGGACTATGGCTGCTGGTCCTGGTCTGGTGTATCAAACTCATCCTATGATTCAGCATATCCGGAGTTGCAGCAGGAGAGATGACTTCTGGAAGCCCTGGTATACTGGCATACTGGGGATGCTGTGCTTATTATATCCAGATGTAGCTCTGATCCTGGGTCTGTTATCGTGAGTTAGTATAGTATATGGAGACATTTCCCACGACTAAGGGACATGACATGCTATGCTGAGGCGATAAAGAGTTCTTTGAACAGGGCTATAAGCGGCCTCAGTCAAGCTCTCGCCTATGGCCCAAGAGTTGGACCACCAGAGGACCGACTATAAGCACCATCTGAACGATGGACATGATTCTATTCTACATATGCGTCTTTCCACCACGTTTACCTCATATATCTAAAACTTCTGCGCAAAGAATGATGGCTATTGTGTGTTTACTTGTCAAGTTCATACTTGTTCAACGAATGCATACCTCAACCATTCAAAATATATACTAGATACAATAATATTCTCGTATACCTCGTCTGAGCTAATTACTTCAACGTATGGCACATAAAGTCATTGAATAGCCAGAAATATCGCACAATCATGGGATTCGTGGTTGACAAACTGCCCATTGAGACCAGTAGAGATTCTCCAGGCAATATCTAAAAGACATGTCTATACTCTATCGTGTATGGTAACTTCGGCACATTCTACAGACTGGAATATTCAGGACTGCTTGGATTACCATACCTACTCTGAGACAAAGCGATATTTCCTCCTGCTTAGGCTAGTTTCGAGGAAGTTAGGAGGAAGTTATAATAATATTAGTACTCCGACAATGACGATATAGAGACAAGGAACATAACGGCGCTCAAATCTGCGATTCTTGCCACTTGACAATCATCAGACTCCTGATTATTCTTTGCTCATTTGCGGCTGGCTCGAGCGCATCACGTTCAAAGCTTCTGCTTCGTATACTCAACCTCCCACTTCAGCCTTCGGAGATAGTTCCAGCCGATCAACTAGAAAGGAGGGGAAGACGCCAACCCCCATAACCTCATATCACACATATTCTCCACCTGGCGCACATATCACCATCAACTACCAGCTTGCAAGTTCCAAGCACGCAGGCGCCATCACCCAACCGTTACTGGGATCACATGACAGCCAGCACCCCGGTGGCCCGGGCACAGCCGGAGTGGCGTTTTCGACGGCCTGGTCTTTGGGGTTATATATGCAGGGCACCCATCCCAGACGCTGCGAGTGTAAGTGTGTGTGTGTGTGTATGTACGTGTGTGCATATGCGTGTGGCTATTGTTCGTGGCTTACTGCAACCCTCCTTGCCTTGCCTGGCATACTTTACGGGGTGGCTTGGGGTACTTTCCGTTTTCTGTCTGTCGTGCATGGAGATCATGTCTGATATGCATAAAAGAGGCGTCCGAACAACACACATACGCACACCGTAGACAGACCGACGTCTCTCTCTCTCACACTTTCGGCCCTCCATAACCCGTCAAGTACACTAAGGTATGTATGCAACCCATCTTCGGGAACACGCGCGCAGGCGCCACACACACACACACACACACACAAGCTCTCTCTCTCTCTCACTCTCACTCTCGGCCGGGAGCAACCGACACCCTCTGCTTTCTCTCGCAGTCACCACCACCACCACCAGCAGGCATCTCTCAAACACCAACAGAAGAAGAAGAAGGAACAAGGTCGTATCCGATGATGCTGGCCTGCATGCGGCTGCGCGATCGGGGGGGGGGGGGGTCGGGGGGGGGGGCGCAAGCCGCGATCGTCGGTTGGTTGTTCAAAAGTCCATGCACAGATCAGCCCGTGAGCTGAAGGACACATCACGACGAATCATTTTACTTGTAATCAGCAGCTACTATTATGACGGCAGACTGTCGAAATCCGCAGGGGTTTGCGCGCACTCGGGATAATGTTTCCTCGGCAGTATGCAAATGAACGGGGTCGAGAATCCCGGAGGTGCGCTATATGTCCGAGATGTGTGTGTGTGTCGTGTGCCGGAATATAGAGATGCCGATCTCACAGCGGTCACTAGTGGCTGTTTGCTGCGTAAGCACCCTTGCTGATTTCTTTTGATGTTCAAAACGAGTGTGTTTTTGAAAAAGTTCTTGACAGCTTGGCAGTCGGACAGATGCCGAAGGAAAAATGCAAAGCAAAACCTTCGTGGGGTGAGCATGTCTTAATGATTGCGCCATCGCTTATGACGATCGCGGCTCGGCACCGGTTATTCAAGGAGTACCATAAGGAGGACGTAACTGCTTGTGGTCGAAGATAAACCGCGGTGGTCCGATAGTGCAATATGTGTGTGTCAGTGAGCATGGCAGTACGACTATGTTTCGCCACCACGGCATGAGTGAGGCTCGATGGGCCTTCCATCTATATAGTGGGACATTACGATCCATCAATGTGACGTACGGAGGAAGCTTAACAGACGTCTCACGATACTCGCTGTTTCACAGAGTCCCAGAATAGTATACCCGCGATCGGTGCTCTGGACTTTGGTCATATCAAAGTGTTGTGGCAGCCTGCAGCCACCTAGTGTCCGAGTTCACCTCGCTTGGCCGTACATCGGAGACAGACACTACTAGTCGCAAAACAAGGTTGCGGGAACTAATCTTTTACGGAGAGAGCCGGGCAAACTAAAAGAAACACACACAATAGGGAGTGTAGTATTCTGATAACGTCAATAGCTTGACTAAGAGCCCTCGGAGATGGGCGAGCTCGGCCGCCCCCGGCAAGTAAGTCTATTGCAACCCTCTTTGACTTCAGGCATCAAACAAGTCATCTACCTGGGTGTGGGTGGGCCTACATACGAATGGAGACAAAAAAAAAAACCCAACACACCGAGCAAGCAAGAGTGCCATCGTCCGTAAGATAGTCAGAAAATGCAAAAGTCTCTGCTCCGCCATGGTGGCGTGGCGAACATTGCCCGCCTATGTCGGCCCATTGGGTGGCAGGCAATAGTGTGAGGGTTTGTCTGTCTTTGTTGCTGTGCCATGTTGTTGCGCTGGGGGTGGAGACGGTCTGCGGAACCCCCTTTGCGGCTGAGAATGCAGATGCCCTATGGCCGCTTGGCGCAGTGGCAGTTCGCCAACCCACCCCAGCTCAAGCGCCGCTGTGGGCCGCCTGTGCCCGCGGCTGGGAGGATCCGCTTGTGGTAGGTCGATGGGGCCTGTCGAGGTTGAGCCAGGCCCAGGGCAAGGTCGGGGGTTTAGGGATCAAGGTTGTGATGGTGGAGGAGCCGAGACGATGGCGGCAGAGTTGTGGACACGGAGGAGGGTAGGGGATGACGATGCGGGCGGGAGTTTCGACGACAGCGTCGCATTCTGATAGATGAATATTGTTGATTGGCCGAGGGGGCCATTGTCTTGGGTGAGTGAGCGGACCAAGTGTTGTTATCAGACCGTCTAAGCTACGACCAGACAGAAAGTGGTGTGAAGAACCCGGTCCTGGAGGGGACCGGTCAGTGATGCACGTCAAGGGTTGTCCCCTCCTCCCCCAAGGCCTGGCTGGTGCTGTGTGTCAGTGAGCCACCACCCAGACCGCCCAGAGAGCGATCAGTGGTTGTCCACTCAAAGACCCTGCATGCCCGGGCGGAGAGCCGGCAATGGAGCAAGCAAGGCAACTGAATTGACTTTGACGCCGAAAGAGGGGGAAAGAGTTTGGAGATGACCAGACAAGCTCTTGGCCAGTGGTTGGCAAGTGGCTGGCAGCCTCCCAGGCCGCGACAACCAGACGACGCTGCAACCGTGCCACTCTCATGCCACCATCACGAGAGGCAAACGCAACCTTGCGGGTGACGCTGGGCGGGTGGGAAACAGTGCCCGCGTCCAACAGCTTGAGCTCCCCGCCAGACTCCAGACTTCTAACCGTTGATCCCGTGTCTAGTAGCAGGCACTGTATACAGGAGCCGTGGCTCGGTGCACTTATCTCAGGTCCCTAGCTGCACACGCCCCCTCCGCTCAAGTGCAGATGGTTTGATGACAATCCGGAGACCATGCATGTTTACGTGCAGACCATCGCCGCTGCGCTGTCTTGCGGGGTACAGCAGTTCGTGCGACATAGTACACGGCGCCTTGACTCGCCTCCGCGTCGTCATCCCTCTCGTTGCCCCTCCCCAATCTGTTTACTGTGTCACCACTGTATCGCCTCGGCCGTTGTCAGAGGCACAAACTACTGTCGTGTTGTGGAGGTTACAGCAGGCAAGGGAGCGGAGCTGGCCAAAACCGCCAGCGCTAATTAGCTGCTAACTATATTGCCCTACCACCACCACTAGCATGCTGCCTGCCTGCCTGCATGCCACTGCTACACCGCCGTTGTCTCACCACCATCTGTGTGGCGGACGTTGTCTCCGATTGCCTGCGTTGGGCGGGATGCTCCACGCCAGAAGGACCTCCCTTCCCCCCAAGATTGGCGGCTTACCATCCGCAGGCAAGTTCCAGACCGTCGTAAACTCTATCACGACCGGTGTCGCCCGCCTCGGCCGCCAACCCTAGCAAAAAGGGGGCTCCCGGGCGAGCCGGGGCCCCGGCATTCGTTGGGTCGCGGATCGCCGCTCTCGGCTACCCTGTCCGGTCTTGCTTAAAAAGCTGGGGATGATTGACAAGGGGTCCAAGGCTTTTTAGCAGCGAGATAATCACCGAACCAGAGGGTTTCGGTCCCACTATGCTATGCAATCGACTCGAAGCAGGAATTCCGGACCTCCCAGAGGCCGGCAGCATCGCGCCATTGACCAGCCTCAGGGAACGCGGTGGCACTCTTCATCGGGCTTTGGATCCCGCCCGTGGCATTAGCGCGTCGTGATTGTCATGGTCGCGGGGTGGCAGCACTAAGGGCGTGTCAAACCCTGGAAAATCGAAACTCTGAAAAGGGTCCCTCGTCATGCACTGTGACGACGATCCGATAAGGGGGAGAGAGATTCTCATCTCGTATCTGCTGGTGTTTGTCATTGTCAGTGCGGGGAGGCGAGATGCCGTATGCCGGGCGGCCGTGGCGTCAGAAGTCTCGCCCTTCGTATCTGACTGCGTGCATCAGCCCCTCTTTCTCTTGGTGTTTTGGCAGGAAGCTAAAAGCGGTTCCCCATGCCGCACCGTCACCAAGGCCAAGAGACGGCCCATGCGACGAAACCCCGTGGAGAAGACGCACGTTTGCCCTCTCGTTATCAGAGGAAACCATGCAGGTGATTCGTCATGCCCATCTCGGACACAAACTGCGAGAGAACTGTACAGAACCCCCCCCCCCCCCCCCCAATGCGGGGGAGGCGGCGGCGCATTATCTCCGGGATAGGCAGCGAGGCCCGACCCATTTGTGACGACCTTTGTGACAACGCATGAGGCTTGGGAGGCAGCGAATCCGGCGGCGTGCAGATCTACTCTCCTTGATTCATGCAGGGTCTGACCCTCAGGGTAGCAATGAGGCAAGCCACGCAACCGAGTTCCCCAGGTAGAGACGAAGTGGCTTCGTGCATGTGACCAATTTGGGGTCTCTGCGGTTCGGTTTCTTCCCTTGCCGCAGAAGGACGATCACATGATATTGGTGGCCGTGTCATCCTCGGTTTTTTGGGGTTATGTGATTATGTGTTCCAGACCAGATAGCGGTGTGGGTGATTAGAGACGCGGGATGTGTCTCATGTGCAGCATCACGTGAGGCGTTGCTCTTGTGGCGTGACTACGCACTATTGACGGGGCTGCTTACGCGCAGGCTGCTTTGCCGTGCTTGAGGTGTAATCACTCTGGGGAGACCTTGCCTCGTAATTACGAGCCGTTCTGCGACGCTTCAATAGCTACGGATCGATCGGCAAAGGACTGCTTTCTCATTGAGAACCTTCACAATGTGCCACGAGAAGTTTCATGGCGGTGTTGGTAATGAAGAAGCTTTGAAGAGCGGCCAACATGAATCTCTTGCTCGTGATTCTTTACGTCATCCAGTTAGAAATTGCAGGGCCGGACCTGGCGTTGTGCAAGATGTATGGATGTTTTATATCATCGAAAGTGAGTTTGCAGTTGTGGACAAAGACGAACAAATTACTCAGTTGGAAACTGGAGCGGGAACTCCCAACCAGGGCCCTTTAACCAGGGGGTATACGGCGATCACAATATGACTGCCGAAAGGGACATGAAGAGTATTCGCAGTCGTTGTGAGTTAGCCTAGTTCTATCTTTGCAGAGCCTCAGGTCATCGTCTGTTGCGCAGGAGAACCCAGCGGCTATCTTGCCATCCATCAACACAAGAACTACGAGTAAAATGAGGAAGCAAAGGAATATTGGTTCATCCATCCACCACCCGACTAATAGTCTCTATCGCTTCCTTCTTCACGTTCTGATCGAAGCAGGCGCCGCAAAATCGTGCGTTCCTCCCGATAATAAGTACATTTCCTGGCGAGAAAGTAGCTGGCAAGAAGCAGATTAGATTTCTCGCAGAGTTGTTGCGGTTAACCTCAATGAGCTAAATCATGGCCGTCGACATATATTCCCCGAGAGAAGTAGAGGTCCCGAATATTGATGATCAATGCGAGCTATTATAATGAGATATTCGCTTCGGTCAAAATAGACTGGTTGGAAGACTTGCTCGACACTAGAGGTCTGACTATAGTCGAATTTCTCGCCCTATTTGCTCACTTCTCTACGCACTGATCTAGCTAGACGTGCAGGCGACATATTCTCTGATCATCAGGTATCCTTGAACAGCTTAGTTGAGCTTCGAACCTGCCTGTTCTCAGTGTGTCGGCCTTACTCATTATGCAGAGCTGACGGTCCAAATTACCATCGTATGCTACTCAGTTCGTGGATGCGCTATTGTTCAACCCTCTGAATACCAGACACGCAGCAACTGATCAATTTCGATGTAATATAAAACCGGCTCAGATATATCGGAGCCAGATTACTCCGAAGACCAGCCAGCGATCACTGGGTTTGGCGAACTCGGAACCAAAGACTCACTCACTCCCAGCTCATGAGTCTTCGGCCATATGCGGCAACGCAGAGTCGAGGCTTGAACGACGATTGCGGCACGGAAGGATGCATAGTGGCAGATTGTCGGTTCAGTACTCGTATGCCCACCCGCGGCAACTTTGCGTCTTCGCCTGATCTAGGCAGGAATGTGCACAAGCTATCTAGTCTTCACACTGTTCCATACGGTCTCTATGCTGGGCAAAGGCAGCCAGGACATCCTCTTGATGGGGCAGAGTTGTTGCCAAACATGGAGAAGACATATATTTACATATAGAATGGGCCAAAAGAGAACAAGTTCATTCCCCAAATACAACCACTCACGTATCAATCACCATTCTCAATGAAAACAGGCTGTTTCCCCATTGGTTCGCCCGAGGTTGCTGTAATTGGCGGCTAGGCACTCCACTAAAAGTTGACGGCGTCCCCACCCACTGTCGGCCAGCCCAGGGACAGGGCGAGCCCCCCAAAGGCCGGCCGATCCACTCACTACCACAACCACGGCCACAATTTTGCAGAAAAAAACCCCAGCAAAAAAAAAGGAGAACTGGAGGAGGACTGTGAAGAAATCCTCGACCTTGATGAGAAGAGTGGGACTCGAACCCACGCGGATTGCTCCACTGCGAATTATTACAATTGGACAGGTTTGATCAAACTCGATCGTAGCCCAAGCGGGTGAAAATCAAGCTTCCTGAACGCAGCGCCATAACCACTCGGCCATCTTCCCTGGTTGTTGGAGTCTGGGTTTCTTAGGACGGGTTGTGTCAACTGCGAGTGCTGGACAGCCATGGGCGCAACTGTGCTGGCTATTCTTGCTCGACAGTGGTCGCCCGTGATGTTGGGTTTTGGACATCACCAAAGTAGAGAGGATGTGCAGGACAACAAAGAGAACGCGGACGGTTTAATCATTCATCAGTTGCCAAAGATGTGCATCTCCTGTCAGAAACCACGCAGTCGGCTGCTGCATTGCACCATGGCACCAATCCATCGTCCTCTCTCGTCCCCCACCTGCATCATCGTCGTCGACACCCAGGCGCGGCCATGTTCCTGGGGATAATTCCCCCAGCTTCGCTTGTGGATGCGACTTTCCCTTCTTCATGGGCCAGAAATCTTTCTACACATGACGCATATACGAGCAAGGTCCAAATTCAACCACCCGGTGGTGGACCACCACGACGGCCAAGGAACAATCCCGGCGGAGGCCCTCCCAGGGCGCTCGGCGTCAGAAAGCTTCCCTCGGCCGCGCTCATCGATGGCGGCCCGCCAGTTCTACCAAAAGCCTGCGGGACAGCTCCAAAACCACTTTTGTCAGCAGCTGCAGCAGCTGTATGTAGAAAATTCGGTATGTTTTGCGCCTCAGGTCTTGCAGGCCAGGCGCTGGGATCGAGGCCGTCTTCGCCGTTACCGCTGCTTCCTGAGGAGGAGCTTGCTGTGTCAGCGCCGCTATCGTTCCTCTTGGGCCTCGGACCGTGACCGCCTGTGTTGCTTGCTGTTAGTCATCGATCTGAGGTCGAGGTTCTGAGTCGGCCTCTTCGTGGTGTGCATACCAGGCTTGCGTCGCGGTCGCAGATGTCTCCGAGTTTTGTTCATGTTCCCACCACTGCCGCCACTACTGTTGCTGCTGCTGCGGCTACTGCTCCCAGAACTGTAGCGAGAGCCTGGGCTCGATCGGAATCTAAAGTCTTGAGAAGATAAATAAACGTGAGTCAGTCTCCGATACCCATGTCCTGCGAAGCTGAGCACAATGATGAACCTCACTTCTTCTACACAGATACCATACAGCTCCAGCCATAACCAGGACCACGACCACAACACTGAGCACCACGCCGACGACGTTGAAATTGGCAGATTCACTACCCTCATCGGCCGTGTTGTCGTGAGGCTCGATGCCAGTGTGTCCATCATTGCCCAGGGTCCACGTGGTTGTGCTTGTCGAGTCTGGCCGCGTCACTGTCTGCGTGCGGATGACTGTTGTGGTCAGGGCACTGTCCTGACGCTTGTCGATTGTCCGGTCTTTGTCTTCGTTGGTCGGAGACTGGTGGCTGATGAACATGGTCGGTGTCGTGGCCTCGGTTACATCGGAAATCTGGCTGCTTCCACAAATGATGCGTTCGTGCGGGTAATTTGTCTTCACCAGATTCAAAGAAGCGACAATGTAGCCTTCTGATGGAGCCGAGATGAGACGAAACCTTCATACCATGCCATGGGATGAGAAAGTAACCATCACGGGTCGTCGGTGTGAAACAAGGCCATACATCTGGTCACACACAAGTACGTACACAGATGTAGGCTCAGATGTCTTGCAGGGACGGATCACCTTTCCAAGCGACCACCACTAGTCATTGAGGCGCTTGATTTTGGGCCCGGCTTTGCGAGTTTGATGCAGACTTTAGACACAAGTGCCGAGAAGTCTTTGCGCGGCCGGAAGCTTCACGCTTACGTTGACCCGAGCACGCGAGCGCGCAGGAGCGGGACTTTCCTCATGACCACGATCAGCAACATCGACGAAGCTCCCCAAGAAACATGGCCTAACACGAAATCCCGCTCGCCAAAGGCTCATCCGAGTCATGGAAAACAGCCGAGCCACATCACGTCCCAGCCGCGGACCACACCTACACGCGCGCGCCGACTTTCACTTCAAGAAAACCCATACACACCTTGGCGCCCCCTCGTCGCCCTTGCACAACAACGACAACGAAAGGCGCATCCCCAAGCGGGCCCCTACATCTCTCAGACACACACACACACACACACACACACACACACACACACATATGCGCGCCGGGTTCCTTCATTCTGATGCTGTGTCACCATTCTTTGTTACCGTGAACACCAACAGACTTTTCAGAAAAAGACCGTCCCCCCTCCCTTTACCCATCCACGAACCCTCGGCGGCTTTAGGAGCTCTTACAGCCCGGAGCATACCAATCGCCACAAACAGCCCACGAGCTCACAGCACTGAATGGGTGGATGCACGGATGGATGGGTGGGTGGCTGCTTTCCGCCATTTCCTCTCCTTGCCCGTCTTCCAGACTCCACTAAGGGGTTGTTGTTATTGTCGTTGCTGTCTCGGAGGCTTAGAAGACAGACATGTATGTACCTTAGGGAGATACTGTATGTGTGCACCCAGGTTTAAGTAGGCAAAGTGCAGGGGATACGTCTGCCCTGACCTTTCCAAACCGCTTTTTGGACGAGTCACTCACTCATGCTGGACGTTTTCGTTGCCTCGCCCGCCGCCAGTGTGGGATAGAGCCACTGAGGAACCACTTTCCCCTGCTCTCTTGTGCTACACACACATATGTGACGTCCCGCTAGAACTTGTTATACACTCAGATGCCTCGTTGCGGCTCGGCCCTGGTCACGTCGTACAGTGATCCAGCACTTACCCGTCACACTTGGAGTCCTTTCTTCGCACGAGAGTCAGGGAGCGACGAGGCTCGAGCGTCTTAAGTAGCGGTCCTTCAGCGCACCAAGCAATGTTGACAATACAGTAAGTTCGTCCCGACAGGAGAAAAAAGTTATTGGGTATCCATTTACTGTGCGTCATCACCACACTACTAGCTAATTGAAAGCAACAGCCCTGCTCACTCCATGCAGATTGAACATGTCAACGTTACCCCCCAGATCCCTGGAAATGCCCGTCCCGCGAAAACTCCCAAATTGTGTCACCGAGCTCCCGTGCTGTGCAAATGCATCCTGTCAAGCTCAATACCAAGCGCGCCGACCGTGTCATTCCCACCGTAACCACCCTGCGCCAGCTCATGGTGGGTTGCGTCATCCTGCTCAAGCGGCAGTGTATCCTGTTGTGGCGGCAGCTGCTGGCCCGCAGTAGCCATTTTTGTGTAACGAAACTTGTCGTTGCCGTGACTGCCCAGCTCCTCTGTTCCCTCAAACTTCACCTCCTCACAGGGGTTGTGGCCCTCGAGCTGCATTGTAATTGGCAGCTCATCTTCCACGACATTGGACTCGAGCTCACCAGGACACGGCAATCGCACATCCCGCGCTTCGAGCGTGTCGGCAATGTCCTTGAGAAGAATATCCATGGGGCAAATATATGCAACCTGCTTGCGTTGGCTCCAGGCCAGTACATGGCCGCAGACACGACCGTCCGCCCGCTCGATGATCCAAGCACCCGAGTCTCCCGGAATACCGAGCGGAGGGTCACGATTTCGTGGTTGATTGAGGTTTACTGGTGAGCTCCCGCTGACCTGATAAGTCTGGCTGGCTGATTGCCGTCCGAATATCTTGACCGAGGTCAGGGCAGGCATGATGTGGCCTGTCTGAAGCCCACTCGTCCGGGCCATGCACTGGACCTCAAGACCGGGCAGCGACGAGAACGGCACGACTGTAGATGGATGCAACGATTCTTGGTCCGCCAAGGGCTTGCTGGTCTCTATACTCGCGCGTGGCACAAAGTTCTCCGCAGGCTGCCGATCGTCGTGGAACTCAAACAGGGCCCAGTCGATCTCGTGGACGAGGTAATTCTCGTCCCGGCGCCTGCGGATGCCCGAGGTGGCAAAGATCTCCCCGAGTCTACAGGTGGCAAGATGGTCCTAGCCCCAGTGTCAGATATACCACAAGACAGTGGGCAGGGACGGGTGACGAACAAAGTGTGCAACAATCAACAACTCAGGGCCGCCGGCTACGTACCTCGTCCATGGTCTCCTCTTCGGGATAGAAGTTCTCGTCCACATCGTCCAGAGCGGGCTGGGTCACGACATAGCCATCACCACAACCCGGCTCGACACCAGGGATGTCGCCAGGCTCATCAAACTGCTCAAACTCATCGTCGTCGTCCTCTTCCTCGTCGTCGCTCGTGAGGTCGGTGGCTGAATAGTTAGACTCGTCGTCCGAGAACTCGCACGAGTAATCGTCGCCACCACTATCTGTCGACCAGTCCTCATCATGGGAGTATGACGGCAAATCATGGGAGCCACTTCTGTGGGGAGGGGCCGATGCTCTGACACTGTCCGTGCCGGTCTCGGCAGAGTTGCTACTCAGATGTGCCGCATCAGGATCGTCGAGCATGTGATGGACCGTCATCCCAAATGGCCGGTCGTCTACCATGATCAGCCCTCCAAAGCTGACAGGCGGAAGGTGCTTATCTCCTATCCAAGCACCGATGCTCGCGCCGTTGTGTGGCCGCTTCTGATAGTCGGCATTGGCAGCAGACGCGCTGTGGTCCTGCTCCTTTTCTTCCGCGGCAAATCCAGACAGCTCGTTTCCCTGTCCACGAGCCATACTGCGCGTCGGGCCCTTTCTGGAGCGCAGCATTGATCCCCGGCACACCTTGAGGGAGAAACCTGTGCCGTCGAAGAACGGCTCAAGCTTTTTCGTGAGGATGGCGCGGACCTTGCCCACCGATGTGCAGACGACGAGGACGGTCGGCGTTGTCTTCTGTGGTGACTCGCCAATTGATTCAAGGGAGATCTCGACGGACTCTGGGTGTTTGCGGTAGAATGACTTGAGGGCCATGTTGATCTGAGGCATGATGACCGTATTCCATGTTTCGACTTTCTCGGTCGGCAAAGTAACTTGAGGGTATAATCGTAGCTTTGATGAGCGCTCCTTCTTGGCCTGTGGCTCTGTGCCCATTGTTGCCTCTGTAGCGGGGAATTCCGGCTTCAAGGGAACATTTGCTTCAGCCGCAGCTTCTTGCATTTTCTTGACCGCGGCAGATTCCGACGTTGGCGTGTTGGTAGACACCGGCGTCTTCAGATCATATCCCGAAGCCTCGGCAGGCTTTGATGAAGAAGCCGTAGGTGTACCCACAGGCACATCTGTCTGCAAGTTGAGTGTTGGTGACAGCCGAGCGGAATCGTCGCCAAACCGGTCATCAAGGCCGCTGACTCCATCCAAAATGCAGCAGGCCTCCAGATATCGAGACGTCCGGATCTGGACGTGGTCGAGAATGTCATCAGCCTTGCCGGGCCGCGCAAGCTCCTGCTCAACTGCGTTCCAGCACACCTTGGCGGCTTTCATGTAAGGAGTGCCGCATCTGATGGCAAGCTGTTTGAGTACAGATTCGGTGATGCCTTGCGAGTCACGACTGGGCGTGAGGTTCTCGAGTCTGGTCCAGAGACCTATCGAAACGAGGATCATGGCCAGGGAATATAGATCGAGGGTCTTGTTGTCCTCGTTCAAGGCCAGAGGTGACTGGGCTGTTACGCGCGGGTCCAACGGATGTCGGTAGAGAGATAGCGCCGGTGACTTTGGCCTCCGCGGCGATGACTCTGGGAACAAGTCGAACGACGTGATGAGCGGACGACGGATGTCGACCTCACCGTCGGAGATGCCGGGGTCTCTCCCTACATTACAGAATGAAATAGCAGTGGCTTGTAGGTTGCCGTGCACAATACCCCGTGCGTGCATGTCGAACACGGTGTTGGCAAGGTTGTGAGCAAGTTTGAACTTGGCCTCCAGCCTTGGCTCAAAGTCTGGCCTTTCGAGCAGTTCAGCAAGAGTGGTGGTGTTGCTAACCGGGCCCTGCGTGGCCTGGTCGAAAACGACTGGTTGAAAGGCCGAAGGGAATTGGTACACGAGGGCAAGACGCGAGTTCTCCATGTCCTCGTGGTATCCGAGTAGATGAGGCAACCCGATCCAGGCACCTGGTGCTCTTTGAGACTCGGATTGCAAGCCGGTGCTCAATTTCTCGAAGCGTGAGAGAGCCGGCATCACACCTGTCTGAGAGTAGACAGGGTCGAAGCGAGCATAGTCGATCAACAGTGGCAGCCATGGCTGGTTCACAGAGCGATTCGTGAGGTCAGAGTAAGCCTGCCTGCCCATGACGGCGATTTCTTGTGTCACGGGTCGCGACGCGGACCCTTTTGATGACGGCTGCTGCATGGGGGCTAGAGCGCGGAAGGTCTCTGGGCTGATGACCTTGGGCGCCCGTATCCGGGTCGATCCAAATCCTCTGAGGTCCTCAAGCGAGGAATCCGACTTCTTCAGACTTTTCGAAGACGCTGAGTCCAGGCCTCCGGCTGACCGGGTCCGTGACAAGTCGCAGAGTGTGTCGATGGATGCCGTGAGGTCGCGGATCAGGTCCTCGAACCTGCCCTTGTCCCAGACGACAAGGGCAGACTTGCGATCCGCAATGGACTTCTCCGAGGCGCGGCTGCTCGTGGCTGGCCTCTTGGAAGCGGCCCATAATGGCTCTGCCTCGGCCAGGATGTCCTTGATGGTGGCCATGATGCTGCCGACGAGGTCGCTGAGGCCGGCCTTGGAGAGGCTCTCATCGATCTCGGCGGCCTGGTTGGGATCTGACCACTCGAGGCCCCAGCTGACGAGGCGGTCCTTCTGGATGCGCAACTTGCGGTGGAGGGCCTTGATCTCGGGGTCATCCTCGACCTGAATGGGCTCCTTGACGACGAAGTCGGACGACTTCTTAGTGTCATTGTAGAGCCTGCTGAGGCGCCGCTGGAATGGCAGCTGGAAGCCGCCACTGGGGAGGTACCCCTCCATGGCGCAGGAGGTGCTCGGCGAGCCTGGCTATGATAAGGGCTTGCGCCTGCTGAAGTCCACGATGCTGGGAGTTGCGTGACGGTGCTGGGCTTGCGGGTTGCGGCTTTGGTGAGAAGCTGAAGCTGATGCTGATGCGATGCGGGGCAATTCCAGTGCCGCCTGCCGCGATGGTTCCAGATGTGCGCGTGTAGATAGAGTCACTGGTCGGAGGGTCGCAGTCTATGGCTGGTGTTGTTCATGGCAGTCAGTGGCAGAACAGAGAGGCTTACCCACCAGAGCCTTGCAGCGACGACGACGTTGATGAGGCTGGGCTGGGCTGGATGCTGCCTTGTCGCACTGGGAGCTGCTGGATCGACGGCCACGAAGTGCGGCGTCGTCTGCCTGTTGCTGGGGCCTTTGGGATTGCGTGCAGCAGCGGCGAGCAGCCAATCATGGCCGGGTCTGGGAATGCGGTTGCCTGTCCTCGTGTGCTAGCCTGGCCTGGCCTGGCCCCAGTTGTTGCTAATCTCGGTGCCTGCACAGGTGGGGTCCCAGGCAGGCGCCCGTCCAATCAGACCGCTGGACTCGCGTCCTCCCCAGATGAGTCAGCAGTTCCAGGGCGCGGCCTCTTCGGACTCCACGCCGTCGCATTTCCCAAAGTATTTCCCAAAGCAGCACTCTTGCTGGTCGGAAGTTTAAGCCTGTCCAGGGCAATTTCTGTTTCACTGTTTCTGCCTGCTGTTGAGGCAGGTGGCTGCCCGTGCTCTCAAGTATGACGTAAGTCCAGAGCCGATACCTGGGTCGTCCACAGGCAGAAGGATGGGCGAGTTGAGCCTTGCTCAGGAGGTCGGCCAATGTTTGGAAGGGACACTCAACAGCAAGACGTCGCAAATGATAAGCTATTGGCGGGCGGCTTCAGATTCCATCTGGTGTGGCTTTGGCCATCCTGCTGGGGAGGGAACTAGGCAGCGCAAAGGAAGGTTTGGCATTTCGAGCGAGCCCGTCCGGGTTCTCCGGCTCCGTACATTGTGCGTACATTGGCAGGGGAGATGAGTAATGTTGTCCGTGGTCTCGAAATTGACAAACACTGGCAGAGCCAAATGTGTCAGTAGCCTCGCCCAGGGGGGGAACACGCCTGGTCGAATGCAAGCAAACATCCATTCCCTCCAACATCGCGCCAAGAGCCGATGTCATGTCGATGACGGCGGTTTGCCAAACATTCCTCTGCCATGTCCCATACTCTGTGACATCCCCAGAAAGGGCTCGTGAACAGCACAAGCACAGAATATAAAGACATACCTAAGGACCTGTGAAACACAACGTGATTCAGCAAGCCAAGTCATTCATGTGGTTGTTGATGATGCCATTCCTTTGACACGACACTGGCTCATGCTCGTACCAGGACCCCATCCTGAGTTTATTGTACGTGCCTGAGCTGCAAGCACACATCTGACAAAGAAGCCATTGACATTTTACTCACGGCCTTGTTCTGGTGTCGATCGCCACCAACGCAACAATAATATTCCAGCGACGCGATTTAAACCGCCAGTCCAGGAGCAACGGTGGCTGACTGATTCCATTAACCCCACCTCCCCCCCCCCCCTCCTTCTGCACCTTCGAGGCCATCGTAGAAAATACTGAAGCGACACTATTTTCTGCTTGTAAAGATCGCATCACGACCTCGCCACCCCACGGCTCTCGCAACACCTTCGACTCTCCTGACTCGGATTCCGGAAAGAGTACTGTGACACGGAGAGGTCCGTAGCGCCAAGATAAGAAGAACACCGGAATACTGGGACGCATTCTCACCGACCACAAAAACATACTTTCAGAGCACTGAAAGCGCCGAAGCACGTTCAACTATCCACGGCCAGAATTCATCATCTGATAGCTTTTCCCCCCTCGCGAACCTTCAGTGCCCACATAGACGGCACCAAAAGGCAGAAGCGGCAGCATCACCATCCGCATCACCATCATCATCCACCTGGTCCCTTGGGAAAGCAACGCGCGGAAGGGGGGGCGAGAAGTATCAACAAAAAAAACAAAAAAGAATGCCGCTCCCAAGCCTCTTCACGCGCCACACGCGAGACCCAGAGCAAAAGCAGAAACAAGAAGAAAAGGAAAAGCCGTCCCTGATCCAATACGACTACCCCATCCAGGAGTTCCTCATCACCATCCCAGACTCGTCAAAGTGCTGGACGTTCCAGATCGCCCACGCGTGCGGCTGCCCGGCCCGGCACCGCAAGCCCATCCGCGTGAGGCGCGGGGGTGGCCACGCCGGGCCGTGCTCCTCGCTGCGCTGCGACAAGGCCTGGGCGGAGCTGAGGTTGCCTGAGCGGCCTCCTACTCCTGCTCCTCCTGCTCCTGGAGCTGCTGCATCTTCTTCTGCTACGGCGGGTGTGAGGATTCCCGTGACTGGTGTTATGGCTAGGTCTATAGCTGGCCCTCAAACTAGGCCGGGCATTAATAGAGGCGTCTCGTCCGAAACCGCGTCCAATGCGTTCGGCGAACAAGACGACGAACAAGACGAGGAGGAACAGGACGTTGACTGGAGCGGCACCTCCGCCCACACGAGAGCAGCAGCCCGGGACGGAGCGAAAGTTAAGAAAGGAGGCAAGAAAGGAGAACGCAAGCCGTGGAAGGCAGAGTGGGGCAAGTGTACGCGGTGCGAGATGCTTGATCTGGGCTGCTCGATCATCGCGCTGTGACGGATTTCGGGTTGGGTATTCGGCGGCCCCCGAAAGAATTTGAGCGGCTTATGGGTTTGGCTGCCATTGTCAGCAAAAGGACGATGGGTGAGAGCCAAAAAGGACCTTTGGATGGTGGCTTGGGATGCAAGGTCCTTCACAAGGCTGGTACACAGGCAACAGGCCGTGAGAAAACGTTAGTCCATAGTCTCAAGACGCGTCACGGATTGCGAGTCACCTGGTGGGAAAGGCGAGCTCAGTATGACAAAAGACCAGCTCATGTCAATATTAGTATCGAGACTATGTTATCTAGCGGATATAATTGCGGTGCTTGCTCCAAGCGTGCGTTCAGACAATAAAAACAAGCGCATCTCATTCATCAATATCATACCGTCCGCGAGGACTTTCATAGCAAAGGCTCTTCCTGATCATGCAATCGTGGACTGAAAGAAGAAGAAGCACGAATGGCTTCTACCACAGCGACCACTTCTTGATCCGCCTCGTTGCCCCAGACCCCAGGGTGCCTGTCTGGACGGGCCCAGGCGAGGCCGCCGTGTTGGGCCGCACGCTCTGTGGGTTGTGGAATAAATCGTTGGGATCCCACTTGGCCTTGATGCCACCAAGCCGCTGGAGATTGGAACCCCAGTATGAACTCTGGGGATCCTGGATGAGAGGATCGACGTAGCCCGGGTAAGTCATCAGTGTATCGGCGGTGGCGTTCTGGATGTGCGTCACGATGCCGCTGACAAAGTCCTTGGTGCTCTGCTGTAGGACCGGGATGCCGATGCCGTAACCCTGGCAGAACATGATCTTGTCGCGGTGCGCGTAGGCTGTCGCGTCGGTAGCCACATCTGAGATGGCACCGCCGGTGGAGTCGAAGATCAGGAACCAGATCAGCGTACCGCGGTCGGCACCGTCAATGTAGTTCATCAAGTTCGTGATGGTCTCCTCAGTGAGCATCTCGTCCTGCTTGAATGCGAGGCTTCGCGCGGTGAACGGCGTGCTAGCCTCGGAAAGCCACAGAGCGGCGTGCTCAGCGTCCTTGGCGAGAATGGCCATCCAGTCGTCGATCACAACAGAGACACTGCCGGCAGGGATCTTCTTGGGGATTCCCGTAGCGTCGTACTCCTCCTGCGTGCCGAAGAAGGTGGCCGAAATGAGCACTCCCAGCTCGTGCATGATGAATTCTGTGCTGAAGCGGCGGTCGAGGTTGGGGTCGGACACCAGGTCTTGCCATTGCTTGAAGACAGGAGCCAGGTCGCGGGCCTTGGAGAACGTGAGCGAATACGTATAAGAGACTACACTGCCGGGTTCGGGCTGTGTCCGCATGACAAACTCTGTGACGATGCCAAAGCTAGCACCAGCACCTTTGATGGCCTGCCCGTGGGTTAGCACTTCTCGACGTCGCGCCTGGAGACGAGGGTTTGCTCACAAAGAAAAGATCAGAGTTTTGGTCCTTGTTTGCACGCTGGATGGTGCCATCAGCAGTGACAACCTCAACCTCGAGGACGTGGTCGAGGCAAGAACCCCACATGCGGGATGAAGGTCCTAGGCCGCCCTGTTGTCTGTCAGTCACGAAGCTCTTGGACAGAATGATTTCTTGTGATATAACGTACAATAGTGGCATGCCCGCCAAGACCAACGCTGGGACACGTGCCGTGTGAGATGGCACGCTTGCCGTTGTCGTGCAGCTTGGTGTCGAGGTCGTCAAGCTTGTGGCCAGGCCCGATGGTGGCTTGCCAGGTGTTTGTGTCCATCTTGAAGTCCTGCATGTTGCGCAGGTCGATTGCCAGGGCGCCATTCTCGCCTCCGACACCTGTGTCACCCTGTCAGAACATCTCCATTTTTTTTTGTGTTGGTAGCTTTTCCTCCACGTCTGGTCCTCGCGCGAAAATCATGTGGTAACGTACCATAGTTCCTGGGGTGAATTGTCAGCGACGCTCTAGAACAGCACTGAGACACAGAAAGAACGGGTTGCCCAGCGTTGTGGGGCCGCGCCACAAGCAGGGCAGGTATGTTACTCACGCATAAGAGTGGCCCCCAGACTTTGCCTGCACCTTGACGTTGTTCTGGGCTGCGCACTTGACAAAACCCGACACGTCCTGCGCGTTCTGCGGTCGCGTGACGGCAATGGGCTCAACGGGGATGGCCAGGTTGTAGCGGTCGACCCAATTGACTTGGTAGAGGAACGTGTCCGGGTACGCAACGCAGTCGGCGCGGCCATTGCAGACAGCGTTGAGGCAGCTCTGCAAGCCGGACGGCTGGCTGGAACCCTGGCCCATGGCGAAGGCTCTGACGTAATGGCTCTGGATTCCGGGGTGGAAGTTGCAGTTCGCGTACGACGAGTGTCGAGAGCTATGGTTGTTGTTATTTTCGAGCTTGTGAAGGCGAGGATGTCACAGAAGCGAGAGGAGGCGTGCAGGTGCGACAGTAGAGAGTGGCAGTCGGCAAGAGCAGGCGGAGAGCAGCACCGAGAGGCCAAGAACACGATAGGTGGGAGCGGTATGTTTTTCTAGTTCTCCAGAGGCTGTCCATTCGTGCAGGGGACCGGGGATAGCGAGCAAGGAAGGGAAGGATGTTGGCAGGCGCCCAGGCACGCCCAAGGCACAGACAACACGCGGCCTATGGCCAGAGGATTCCGGGGTGTTGAGAGTCGAAGCGAAGCTGCCCGAGATTCCCTCATGTGGATTGACGGCATCGCAGGGTCTACCCTTGCCTTGTACCGGTGCTGGGTCCCGACGGGGGTTGACCCAGGTGGGTTGACTCGCTGTGAATCAACACGGGCAATGGCTGCATCGTATGTCTGTCACCTTACTCCAAACCAGAAAGCAACCACAGGCACGGACGGTGCACCTGGTGGTGCCCGAGCAGACAAGCTTCGTCATCGCAGGCTGTGGAAAAGTTGGGCCACCACGCTGCCGCTAGAGCTGCCACTTCATGCGGGCGCAGCTGCACCAGGCAGTATCCAGGCGGTGTTCAGGCAGCCTCGACGACGCCGTCGAGCTTGCTGGACCCGGTGGTATGGGACGGCTGAGGACGACGGCCGCGTCTGCGGAGCTCGAGACGCCGGCGCCAATGTCGTGGCGGGATGCAGATGGCAGAGGGGGCCGATGCGGCGTGTGGAGGAGCGCAGGGCTTGTATGATCGGGCCAGTCACAGGCGTACACGAGGCATGGCAGTGTCGTCAGCGCCACGGCTGGCCACGCATGAAATAGCATGCCGCCACCGGCCAGTGCTGGCACAGCTGGGGTGGAGCGGGCAGCGAGTGAATCAGAGCAGGGACAAGAGAGGCAACTTGTCACCAGCAGGCAGGGTCTCGTGGGAGATGTGTTCCTGGTTGTTTTTTCTCCCCTTCCCACTCTTCCAGGTGCACTCTTCGTCCCTGAAGACCCTATGACGCCACTGTCCACCGCACGGACAGGGCAAGGGGCCTCTCCCCAGTCTGCGCGTCGCGCACCTGCCTCCGCGCATCAACCGAGGCAGTCATGTCGCAAACCAGCGATTCTCCTTTGCGCCCGCGCGCGTCATTGTCCTATGACTGCGGATCTGGAGGCACTTGGACAACAGCCTCTTCTTTGCCCGGAACAAATGTCGAAATGGTCGTTCCCTGGAAAATCGCCAGCCTGGGTCCCACCCACCTCGTGCTAGCCAATGGCCAGGGGGAAAGCCGTTGAGTCTGTTCCAGCCACTCAGGGCTCCAGAGCCCCTGGCGGCCCAATTGGGTTTCTCTGGGGAATCCATTCTGGCACTGTGATTCGCCGGAGCGCTTCGGTTCCAGGTTCGTAAGAGGCAACCATCTTGGATCTGTGGCATCGGGCCCATTCACAGGCAGCGCCTCGTTAGCCGCCGCCTCCTCTTTTCTTCCGGCTGGAGCGAATATAGTCCAGTCGGTTCGCTTCCCACTCATGTCGCAGTCACACCGTCAAACGGTTGCGGGTCTTCAATGGGACAAGAGAAGACTGATTTGCACCATCATCGTGCCATCGCAGCGCTGGAGCCGCCCACACTACAGCTACACTCCAGGTCCCGGCCCTGCCCGTGCTCCTTTGCAATCCTCTAAGCAGGGGGGTACCCACTCCGGACGCTGCTCCTGGAGACTATGTCAAGGCCAGAACCTTGCAACCGCGGGTCAATTATTTGTCTCCTGTGCCGATCGACATTTCCCCAATTTAGCGGCGCAAGCCGAAATGAGCAATGGACTTCTGACAGAAGGATCAAAGATCTTAGCATTTTCATTCGCTTTCTCTGGCAGGTACGCATGCGGCGAGAAACATCTTCAGCCTTTTCTCAAGCTCTGATTACGAAGTCGACCATACCCGTGATGATTTTGCCAGCGCTTGCAAGGCCATGACGCACTCCATGCTCGCTCTCATTTGCCACGGCAGCCACGAGCACATTGAAGCGGAAATCAGAAGCTTTCATACCGAAAGCAAGTGTTCCGTGGTTACTTTATGTAGGTCAATCATGCTCTGAAGGCCTTCATAAGCGACCCCCGCATTATCCCACCATATTGTGATTTGCAAGGCGAGGCCCTTTCCCGCACCCCACCTTGATGCTGGCGACGGGTATATCGATTTAAGCTCAGCTCTAGTGCTTACGGTCTCGGATCTCTGCGGGATGCCACAGCCCTATGCTTGGGCATACTCGAACCAACATGTCGCTTGGCGTATTCGTGTACACAACGACTGCGATCCCGCCCAAGTATGATGTGCGACAAGACTGGGAGAGGCCTGTCTCAAATGGCCACATGCGTGCGTACCGGGCGGGCAGCCGCAGGCCGCGGGACGCATGAGCTGCGGTGGTTCGCTCCTCCGAGCGGTGTGGACGCCACACCCGAAGTGCCACGTGCTGGTGCCGGTGCCGGTGCTCGCCTCCGACAGCGTTTTCGCGCAGGAGAGGGTTACGCAGCATTCTGACGATGGACTCACCTGCCAATGCATCGCGCTCTCTGTCGAGCGCGAGGCCGACGGGGTATAGCCGAGCACTACCTGTCATTGACGGGAAGCACCGGTGGTGGATTGACGGCCGGCCCATTTTCTGGGGCCGAAGTCGGCAAGTGGCACCTGCCCTGCGTCTGGTCTGCATCCCCAATGCATTCCCCGCGGGGAGGGGGTCTTCCCCTCGCCAACGCGAACCGGTCGTCACGGCGGATGCACTGGGGCCAAGAACTCTGTGCGAAGCGTGTCGCGGAGACGATCGGCCGTTTGCCGGTGCCGGGCGACATCGGCAAACACGCGAGGTATCGATGCCGTTCCGTGCACTCCGGTCCACCCCTCACACTACTGCTTCCAAGGTTCGCTCCTGCTTCACGCTCACCCGATCACGACATGACATCGTGTACGGCCACCGCTGCACTTCGCCTCAGATTCACATCGAGAGCACTGCTCGGGGCCCCCGCCGCCAATCTGCCCGGCCCTTCCTCGAGACCGTATTCAACCCCTTCTCGTGCCTCAACATCACCGCAATCCCACCTTCGGATCAACGCCCGCCTACAAAGTAGAAAGCTCGCAACGGACGCAGAAAGAGACAGCAAGCTCTACATCCCCAGCTTGCCTGCCACAACCACCGCCATGGCCTCTGCAAGGACACCCCCCAAGAGCCTGTACACGGCCTCCTTTGCCTTCTTCGATGCGATGTGGGATGCTGGCATCACCCACTGCTTCGTCAACCTCGGCTCCGACCACCCGTCCATCATGGAGGCCATGGTCAAGGGCGCCCGCGAGAGGAAAGGGAGATTCCCTCGCATCATCACATGTCCAAACGAGGTGATTATCAGCCACTGGAAGCCCATATGCCGGACAGGCAAGAGAAACTGACATGCCATGCCGTCCAGATGGTCGCCATGTCCATGGCCGACGGCTATGCCCGCCTCACCAACAAGCCCCAGTGCGTCCTCATCCACGTCGATGTCGGCACCCAGGGCCTCGGTGCTGCCGTCCACAATGCCAGCTGCGGCCGCGCGCCGGTCCTCGTCTTTGCTGGCCTCAGCCCTTTCACTCTTGAGGGAGAGATGCGCGGGTCCCGCACAGAATACATCCACTGGATCCAGGACGTCCCCGACCAGAAGCAGATCATTGCGCAGTACTGCCGTTACTCGGCAGAGATCAAGACGGGCAAGAACATCAAGCAGATGGTCAACCGGGCGTTGCAGTTTGCCATGAGCGAGCCTCGAGGTCCCGTCCAGCTCGTCGGAGCCAGAGAAGTCATGGAGGAGGAAATCGTGCCGTATGAGCTGGACCAGAGCGAGTGGCAGCCTGTCGAGCTGGGAGGCTTACCCCGGTCGGCAGCCACCAAGATCGCGGAAGCACTTGTCGGCGCAACCAAGCCCCTAATCATCACGGGCTACAGCGGCCGCAACCACGCCGTACCAGGCGCTCTCGTCAAACTTGCAGACACCGTCAAAGGCCTGCGAGTTCTCGACACGGGCGGTAGCGACATGTGTTTCCCAGCGTCGCACCCGGGCTGGCTGGGCCTCCGCTTCGGCAACGACCCGGCGATCGAGGAGGCCGACGTCATTGTCATCATCGACTGCGACGTGCCGTGGATCCCAACAGTCTGCAGACCCAAGAAAGAGACCTTAATCTTCCACATCGACGTCGACCCGTTGAAGCAGCAGATGCCTCTCTTCTACGTGCCTGCTAAGCACCGGTACCGCGCCGACAGCCTGACCTCGATTGAGCAGATCACCACTGCAGCGGCGGCGGTGGCGGCGGCGGCCTCCCAGAGGTCTTCTGATGCCGCCAACGAGCGCTGGGAGGCCCTAAAGACAGCTCACGCCGAGCGCCTGCGTACCATCGAAGCCAAAGCCGCGCCCGCACAGGACGGGTCATTCAGCACGGAACATCTCTGCAAGACGCTGCGCACAATTTGTCCCGAGGACACCATCTGGGCCGTCGAGGCCGTTACCAACACCTTCGCTGTGCACGACAACATCCGGCCCGAGACGCCCGGGTCGTGGATCAACTGCGGCGGCGGCGGTCTGGGTTGGTCCGGCGGTGGTGCGATGGGCATCAAGCTCGCCGCGGACGCGGAAGCGGGTGTTGGCACTGACGGAGGCAGGAAACCCCGGCTCGTGGTGCAGATTGTGGGCGACGGCACATTTTTGTTCTCCGTCCCGGGCAGCGTCTACTGGATCGCCAAGAGATATGGTATCCCGGTGTTGACAATCGTGCTGAACAACAAAGGTCAGTCACTTTTCTTCCATTTTGGTCCCCCTTTGTATCTCTACATCCGCCAGAACCAAAGCCAGTCCTGTCATTCCACAGCTAACCAACTTTCCAGGCTGGAACGCTCCCCGCCGCTCCCTCCTCCTCGTCCACCCAGACGGCGAAGGCTCCAGGGTCTCCAACGAGGAGCTCAACATCTCCTTCGACCCTTCGCCCGACTACTCGGGCATCGCCAAGGCCGCGGCGGGCGGGGACCTGTACGCCGCGCGCACGGACACGGCCGGGCCGGAGAACCTGGAGCGCGTGATCCGCGAGGCTATCGATTCGGTGCTGGTGAAAGGGCAGAGCGCCGTGCTGGACTGCAAGGTGTCTGTGCCATAGATAATCTGTTGTACGGTAGTTGAAAGGAGAAATTTCGACTCATGGGGCTTGCCTGAGTTGTGCGAAGTTTCTATGTGGAGTACGTGAAGACGAGACTGAACTCTTTTCTTCGGTGGTTTGTTTCTTTCTCCCTGGCTGGTGGTTAAGGGGGACTTGGCGTATCAGAGAGCGGCAACCTTTCGAGAATGTGTTCTCATGCTCGAGCGTGTCAGGTCGTTTTTCATGCATTCCGGGCCCGGATCTCGTTTGAGGACTCTCGGGACGGATCTTTGGAAAAGCAGAAGAATATACTGAAGAAAAGAAACACTGGGCAAGGTGTCAAATGTAATTCTTCCCTTGTCTGTGTTATTTATTTCGTGAGGGCAATTCCGGATCGTCCTCACCGTTTTGGCTTACTGCATGTGTGTCTATGCGTACCCTACGACATTGTATCGTTCCTACGCAAGCTCTCCCGTCTATCCAAATAGTTTAAGCATCGCGGATCTGGAGCCACCAAAAGGATAAAAAACGAAGAAAAGAAAAAGGAAAAAAAGCAAGAAGACAAGAAACGCTCTGTAGAAATTTGACAGGCGATAATCTGACAGGGAAAAAAACTTGACATCACAAATCCGGATGTGTTGAATTATAAAAAGGCAATCCGCGCGAAAATATTATCCGGAAGAGCGGCATAACTGCATCCGTCGAGGGCATACTACATGTCCAAACACTCACAGTACATCAGAGCTACAAGTTGTTTTATGTACATTCCACTATCTCCTCAAAACGACAAAGGATGGCTGTCGCCGCCCTGCAAGTCCTTGGAGATGTAGCCTGCTTTTGAGTCTTCGCGCATTCAAAGCCGCTCTTCTCGTCTGTCAAAATTCCATCTTTTGGGATCGGGAAATGACGGAGCCTTGGATCGCCATGCTCCATTAAGAGTTTTTTTTTTCCAATCGGGTCTATGGCCAATATATGTTCAAGAACCCGGACGGTCCCGCCCATCAAGTGGCGCATATCAAGTGCGTCTGTAGAAGAGCCTTGGGGGGCCGTTGGCATCGGGTCATTCATGTACCAGCGTCACTCCAGAACACACCCTTCAGCTTCTCAGTCCGACATGACTTATTTCTTACTAACAGCAGCAGCAGCAGCAGCAGCAGCAGCAACAACAACAGCAGCAGCAGCGACACGGACTTCTGCGGCTCTCCCATTTTGCCTGAATACGCCACGCTGCACGGCGTTGGACCGTCTATGCATGCATGCACCTTTTCAACCAAGGGAGCCAAGCGAAGGTACTGGCTCTCCGAGGAGGGGGAACGTAGCGCAAACTTGCCACCAAGGCGCGCGTCGGATCAGGGTAGGAGACGGAGAAAGGCGGCCGAAATAAAAAACTAGGATCAAGGCATCGCCAACCGGTGAGGCACGGCGACTGTGCTTTGTGGAAAAGCCGACCTGCCTTGGGCGCGGATATATTCGTCCATGGTGGCATAACTGCATGAGCGATTGTCCCGGGACACCTTCCGCCGCCGCCGCCGCCGCCCATGGGTCTGGATGGTGGCGAAGAGAACGAGCGTTGTTCACACCCAAAGAGTTGTGTTCTTGGTCTGCGACGAAGAGCCCCAGCGGGCAAAGACTCTCTACACATGCCACCATCATCGGGCGTGTTCGAGTCGGTGGCACCACTCATGCCACGTTGTGCGCTGTGCTTACCCGGATTCGTGGTTGGACAGACATAGACTTGAAGGTCGTACTCATCCACGCGGCGCCCGGAAGGTTATTCCCCATGGGCGCCAAGAGGCGGAGGCGATGTTCTGTAGAGCGAAGGGGGGGGGGGGGGAACAAGTCAGAGGATGGATGTGGTCAACCCGATGAATGGTGTGTGTGTGTGTGTAAGTGCTCAAGTTTGTGTAGCGGGCATCAAACACGCCAAAGCCGGCGGGGCAATGATGTCTTGACTTGAGGCTCTGTGCGACCATCCCCGATTCTCGCACCTGCCGGCTTGAGCGTAGTTGGTCTTGGAAGAGAAGACAAGAAGGGTTGCATTGCGCGGTTGACCCGATCTGTCGGCATGGATCAGGGAACATCACAGCGAGATGCGGAGAAGGAGTAAAACGAACGTATTCAGTGGCAAGTGGCCAAGATCGTCAAGCTCCTGGGGCGGGCCAGGACGAGACCAGTCCGTGGGGTGACAGTGCATGTCCGCCCAGCCAGGCAAAGAGGTCAAGACTCTGCGGTGGGTGAGCTTGTCGGGTCGTCCTAACGATCTGCTCCACTACGCTTGCCGATCTTGTGCCAGGTTGTCCTGATATGTTGAAGGCTTGCCGGCTCCCTGTGCCGTCCCGTCCGTCCATACGTGGCGACAAGACCAGCGAACAAAGGGCAGGTAGCCGCGCCGCGATGCTAGATAATCTTCCTGAGCTTGATGGTTCACGAATCAGACGGGCCCCCATCTTGGCAGAGTGCACATCTTGCCACCGCAGGCGCTTGGTGGGCGAGATGCTGTCGAGGCTGTCTGCATGTTGATCCAAGAACAAACTTTTGCGTCTTCATTTGCAGGCACAACACAACCTTGAGGGCCATAATTAATCTCCATGACCAGAGCAACATCAACCTGGATGCATCTATCTTGCTCTTTCTGACAAGGATATGGGTTGGACCAGGGCTCTGAGTGGTCGGAACCGCTCAGAGTGCATCGAGTTGACAGCGGGCCCAGGGGGGCCAGCACGGAAGGACTTGAGCCGGCCGATATACTCCGTCTACAAGGCAGATAAGCCCCTCGAGGACTTTGTGACATAAGAGGACATCTTGATTACACTTGTGACGATGACCAACAGAGGCCGGGCCAACTGAGGCTCGTCCCACCATGGCGTGCTTTGGCGAGATGATGGCCTGCGGGCGTTGTGGGCACGAGCAGAACAGACCTGCCCTGTTGTTGCAAGTGACGGCGCCGGAGACGAGCGCAGCAGATGAGGGCCGGAAGCAGCGCAAATATTCTAGGCTCAAAAGAGGCTCTGGGGAGGATGCGGGGAGGAGTCCGAGGCTGGCTGGCTGGCAGGGGACGGAGAGCACGGCACGGCGGTGGTATCTTGTTGGTGCGAGCATGGGATGTGGTACATATTAAAGTGCGTGATCTATTGTACTTTTTGGCCCAACTCTGTTCTGTGTCATGATGCTGGGACTGCACATACGCAGTACAGTAGAGGGCGTTTTTTTAAAATTATCGCGCGCAATACACCCTCTTAAGCTTATCAGTGGCCGTAGCTAATAGGGGGCCTCCAGGGCCCCGCCCTTGCCCAACAAGGCAGGCACGCGCTGCAGGGCGCGCCTTCCTGCATCAACCTCATTTCCCACGTGCAGGCCACGGCCGCCTCGACCCCCCAAGCTTTCCCACGCGCGGCCTCCACCGCACGCAGAATATCCTCGCGAAGCTCACGCCTGCCCGTTCGGCTCCTCAGCGCCGGCCGCCACCAGATCCGTCCATCTGCGCCCATCTTCCGCCAAACGCCTCGCCCGCCCTCAAGCAACGGCCACCAACGCCGCCCTGGACCCCACAGCCTGCCTGTCAGTCGTGCATCGCCGGACCGGCCTAGCCCTCTTGTCAACCATCTGTCTGGCTGGCTGTCTTGAGAGACCGATCCCACGGTGGGTTGCAGCGGATCGACAATCTCGCCCTCCCTCCCGAGTTTGTCATGAATCACCACCGTTCCCCGTGGTTTCTGTGACAAGACCGCCACTGCAGCAGCAGCAAGCTCGAACCCTGTCGACACAATGTTGGTAGATGTTGTTGGCCGTATCTCGTCTCAGCTGGCCGGCCAGCTAGCTCCTGGCTGGCTTCTCCACCCATGATCGCGTGCTCAAAATGCAGGAGCTGACACGGGCAATCAGAGAGGAAGCAGCAACGCGACACAGCCACCTCTGAGTGGCACCAGGCCGGGAGCTGTTGCTTCGTCTGATGCCTCAAGAGCAGGATCCAGCTCTAGCCTGAGTCGTCCGACCTTCCAGTCCGAGACAAGCGGCCCTGGCACGACTGTTGCGCAGGCTTATGCGACACTGCGAACTGACGACATGGGCATGCCAGCCACGGCCCACTCGTTCCCGGCACGCAGCCCATTTCCAGATATGGGCCCCCAATCGCAGAGGTGCTGGCCCCCCAATATGCACATGCTGCAACCTTGGCCCCTGCCAAGCCTTATTCTAATTCGGCCTTTGACTTTACAATGGAGCACTCTAGCAGGCCAGGCCTACGGACAATGGGGAAGACCCCTGCCCACTGGCCCTGGCTGCCACAGCACGCAAAACCCACTGATGATGATCGGCTGTGGTACATGTCGTCCGCCGGCCGTGGAGCATGGGCCCGCCTCTGGACGACTGCACCTGCCTCGACGTCCAACTTGCAAGGCCCTGCCGAAGATCCCGGGGCACGACGTTGCTTTGGGCCTGGGGCACCACGGAATGTATATATCATGGTCCTCCCGCCGCCCGTTGTCCTGGCTTCTTGGCCCTTTTTCTTCTTCACCGCGGTTAATTCTTCGCGCGTTCCAGTCCCTCCTTCACCGGCCTCGCCGTTTAATACCATATTGCCCAGCATTCTAGTCACTCTTTATCACAACATCTTACCAACCGCTGCTCAACATGGTTCGCTCCAGCGCTGTCGTGTCGCTTCTCGCGACCGCGGCCGGCCTGCTCACCCAGGTCGAGGCCAAGAAGACCCCTCAGCAGGATGAGAATATTGTCGCTGGCTCCTACATTGTCGAGTTCGAGGATGCCGCCGACAACTCCGAGTTCTACAGCACCATCCAGGACGTGGCCAACACCGACATGCAGTTTGACTCCCAGCTCTTCAAGGGTGCTTCCTTCACCTTCAACGATGCCAGCACCGCAGAGGAGCAGGCAGCCCAGCTCGCCAGCCTCGGCAGCGTCAAGCAGCTCTGGCACAAGCGCCTCTACCGCCTGCCGAGGAACGAGGTCGTCTGGACGGACGGCGCCTCCACCGAGTCCCAGGCCCAGAATGTCCGGAGACAGACTGAGAACAACGCCACCTTTGCTCCCCACGTCATGACCCAGGTCGACAAGCTGCACGAGCAGAAGATCTTCGGCACGGGCATCAAGATTGGTGTCATTGACTCGGGTATCGACTACACCCACCCGGCTCTCGGTGGTGCGTTCGGCCCCGGCAACCTCGTCTCCTACGGATACGATCTCGTCGGTGACGACTACGATGGCAGCAACACCCCCGTCGAGGATGCTGATCCTTATGACGGCTGTGGTGGCCACGGCACCCACGTTGCCGGTATCATTGCTGCTCAGGCTGGCAACAAGTACGGCATCCTCGGTGGCGCCCCCGGCGTCACTCTTGGTGCCTACAGAGTCTTTGGCTGCGATGGCAGCGCTGCCAACGATGTCCTCATCAAGGCCTACCTGATGGCATACGAGGCCGGCTCGCAGATCATCACTGCCTCTATCGGTGGCTCCTCTGGCTGGAGCGAGGAGCCCTGGGCTGTGGTCGTCTCCAGAATCGTCGAGGCTGGCGTGCCCTGCACTGTCTCCACCGGCAACGATGGCGCCAAAGGTCTCTTCTACGCCAGCACGGCGTCCGATGGCACTCGTGTCACTTCCATTGCCTCTTTCGACAACGAGTACACACCCACCCTCTCCATCGAGTCGACCTTCACCATCGACAGTGGTGAGGAGACTCCTTTCGGCTGGACCCCAGGTGAGCCTTCGGAGTGGGCTGGTGTTGACCTTCCTCTGTGGGCTACCAGCTTCGATACTGCCGACCCTGCTGGCGGCTGCACTCCTTATCCCGATGACACCCCTGACCTCTCCGGCTTCATCGTCCTGGTCCGCCGCGGCTCCTGCACCTTTGTGCAGAAGGCTCAGAACGCCCTTGCCAAGGGCGCCAAGTACATCATCTTCTACAACAACAGCCCCGTCGGTGCCGTCGGCCCCTCTGTCACTGCTGTCGACGGCATCCTCGGCTCCGCTGGTGTCTCAGCTACTCAGGGCGCCGCCTGGGTCCAGGCTCTTGCTGCTGGCTCCACCGTCACTCTTCAGATGACCGACCCCGAGACCAGCGAGAAGATCCTGACCTACCCCCGCAACGAGCTCACCGGCGGCTTCGCCAGCAGCTACACTACCTGGAACCCTACCTTTGAGCTCGAGGTCAAGCCCCAGATTGCTGCTCCCGGTGGTAACATTCTGTCTACCTACCCTGTCACTCTTGGCAGCTACGCTGTGCTCTCGGGTACATCCATGTCCTGCCCTCTGGCCGCCGCCGTCTTTGCTCTTCTCGCCGAGGTTCGTGGCACTTTTGATCCTGCCACGCTCGAGCACCTCCTCGCTGCCACCTCGAACCCTCAGATGTACAACGATCTCACGGCCACTAGATACGGCGTGCTCGCCCCTGTCGTTCAGCAGGGTGCCGGACTCATCCAGGCCTACGATGCGGCTTTCGCCACCACCATCCTCAGCCGCTCCAGCATTGCCTTCAACGACACCGACTATCTCGAGCCTACTGCCAACTTCACCATCAAGAACTTTGGCACCGAGGCGGTTAGCTTTGATCTTGGTCACGTCGGCGCCGTCACTGCGTACACCTTCTCGGATTCCATCCGTGTCGACCCCTACCCCGGCATGGAGATCACTGACGAGTTCGCCACCCTCGAGATCAGCGAGACCAAGGTTACCGTCCCTGCTGGTGGTGAGGCCGTCGTCTCCGTGACCGTCACCCCTCCTGCTATCGACGGCAAGCGTCTACCTGTCTACTCTGGCTACATCACCCTGAACGGCACCAACGGCGAGAGCCTCTCTCTGCCATACAACGGCGTCGTCGGCAGCATGAACTCTGTCCGCATCCTCGACGATGCCTGGCTGTCCCTGTCCTCTGACCCCCAACACACCCCTATCACCGGCACCGGCTCGTCCTTCGTCCTGCCCCGTGACCCAGCCACCGGCGGTGCCAACGTCACCTACCCGGTTGCCTCTGCCGACTTGGTCTTCGGCACCCGCAGCCTCGACATCCAGCTCGTCAAGCTGCCTTGCAACGGCACGGCCACCACGGGCGGCAAGAAGCTCGGCTCCATCGAGGGCGCGCCTTTCCCTTACCTGCCCCGCGACCCCATCAACGTGCCCTTTGACGGCACAATGGCTGACGGCAAAGTCGCTCCCCCGGGCAACTACGTCTTCGAGTTCTCGGCCCTGCACATCTTTGGCGACATTGAGGACCCGACCGAGTACGAGGTCCGCCGCAGCGCGCCCTTCACCATCCGCTACAACTAAGCGAGCAAGACAAGAGAGACGTTCCGGTCTCTTTTCTGTTTCTCCTTTTATAATGTAATCATGTATATGTAATGGCCAAGGACACACGAAAAGAAAAAACGGGTTCATGGAAGAAAGAAGAGCAAGAGAAGCATCGTAGTACATTCTAGGATAACAATGCCAAACTATGCACACATCGCATCCGTAATCTTTTTTCGTGTTTAATTGCCTTCCAGTGAACGGGGGGCGTGCTTGCATGACACTCGACAGACTGTGTGGCAAAGTTTCTTTTCCCTTGCTGGCATTGTGAAAACATGACTCGTCGGTACATCGACATGGGGAAGAAGCTCGTGTTTATTGTTCCTGTCCCTATAATACAAAACCTTCTGATGACGAGCAACGACACACTACAGAGGTTTTTGATGATCATGTTGACTAATGGTCAGTTCGAACACGTGCAAATGATACAGACAACCTATTGCTACTTGTTGGCTCATGTGTGTGCCAGTACTGTTTTCCCGGATCCCTTACTCTCTTTCACACATCGTAAGTTTTGGAGTAGACCCGTAACAACGGGACACATTCAGTACAGATGGATTCTGGAGCACACACCATCACGAACAAGGCCTAGCGGCTTCACACTCAAGAAACAGGCCTGAATCAAGTCAAGTCGAATCGTTTTGATTTCGGGGTGGGTATTATCTAAAACTAAAAGGGGGGGGACAAATGGAAAACGCCGTATGGCATGCTAATTTTTCTCCTCGCGTTTCGTGGCGGGAGAGGCGTCGCTTTGAAGGCTGCTTGCGTGTGTGCTGTGGCCGTGGTTTGGCCATGTGTGTGTGTGGTATGTTCACTTGCGAAATATGGGGGATGGCGCAAATATTGCTGCAGTATCCTTTTGATAATGCGCATTGATGCCACGCCCAAATTTCAAGCACATCCTTTTCTTGTCATGGCAGACCATGAAAGAAAGGGCTGACCCATTCCCAAGAGCCAGGCTAAGAATGTGCGTATAAAGCAGACTTGACAATCCATCACTGTGTGGTGTCAAGTCGCCAGCCCACCACATCGGTGGTTTTGTACCGCCGTGTAAGTTGAGCCGAGAGAAATTGTTGATCTAGGGTACAAGACCCAGGACTCAGATGATGCAATCTTTGAAAGCAGAAACCTCGTAACGCCAGGTGTCCGCTTTCTATGATTACAAAAAAATCCGCTGAAGTAGGCAAAAGACTGCCGATGCGAAAAAGCAACTCAAAACCAGGATGCTGTTTAAAATCCCCGTCAACGCGCGTGATCTCGTAAAACGCCCTTTCGTCCGTTAACGCCGAATGCTTTGCGAATGCTCTGGAAATGCCGAGGGACACTATCCTAGTATGTCTCCCCTAAATCACTGAGCTTGCGAGGCCGCGTGAGGCCTTCGCGAGTCGTGCCGCCGCTTATCCTCCGGCCGGAAACAGAGACACCGCCAGCGCCACCGCTTTGGCGCCGCGGCATCGGGATCGCACTAGGGCCCGGAATGCCGCTGGCACCGCCGTCCGCATCGAACTTGCTGTAGGTGCCCCTGCGGCTTGGTGTCCGTTCCTCAAGCAAGCTATCTTCACCAATGTCGGAGTAGCTGCTGACACTCTGGGAGTGGCTGTGCAGGCTTCCGCTAAGGGAGCTCCTCGGCCGGATGCCCATAGGCGTCCGCGCACCCGATAGGCTTGTCCGAGACATTGGGCGGGCAATCTCGCTGCGGCTAGCAGGACGCTCGGGCCTGACGAAGCCACCGGAGGTACTGGCTCGGCTGCTGGGTCGTGAGCTGTCAGGGTCGTAGTTGCTGGTCCGGTTGGGAAGAGGGCCGAATGAGAGGCGAGACACACCCGACGTGCTAAGACGAGTTCGGTGCTGGCCGGTTGATTGCGTGGGCGTCTCGTCAGTAACCGAGGAAGTCGAGGATCCGAAAGTCCGCTTCCGCGACCGCATAGTAACGGTTGAGGGCACCTGGACGTCGCCAGCCGCGGAGCGGGGCGAGGCCTTTGGAGGAGTAAAGGTCGGCGCAGGAAGCTTGGATCGGGCGTTGTGGACGCGGGCCTCGAGCCGCTGCATCTGTGCCGTAAGAGAACGAATGTGGTTGAGCGAGGTCGACGAGGGGAGCTTGTGAGAGGCCGCGCGTGTTCCGGTAGTGCGAGAGGGAGCTGGCGTGCGCAACGTGCCAGTAACAGAGCGCTGCGCAGTTTGCCGCATGCCTGTGCCAGAGATGGACGCCATGGGCTTGGGCGTGATGCTGTGATCGGCAGAAGGCAGCCGAGACTTCTTCGAGGCTGAAGGCGCTGGAGTCTTGAGCTTCGAGGGACCAGACCTGGCCACCGTTGCAGAGGCGTCGGACATAGGCGGAGAAGGTGGCACATCAGCACCGGACGCAACGCTTGCATGCCCGTTGTCCTTGGTGATGGCTGGCAGAGCCATCTCGTCTGGAGGTGTGGTGATGAGTGGAGAGCTGGCTCCGGAGCGGGGCGAGTGGTCGAAGGTGGGAGATCCGGGCCCGGAGAGATCCGTCTCGAGGGACGCAAGGTGACGGTCTTCGGCCTTCTTGATCTTGTCCTGCATGATTTCGGCCTCGACGCGCAGGTCCGAAAGTTCTTCGCGGAGGCGCTGGGCGTCGATGCGCAGAGTCTCACGTTCTTGCTCTCCAATCTTGATCTCCTCCTCCATCATGACAGATCGCTCAATGGCCACATTGTACTTGGACTCCATGTCCTCGAGCGAGGACGTCGTGTTGCGAGCCTGGCGCTCAAAATCATCGTTGGCAACCTCAATATCGCGTAGCCTCAGCGTCAGAGTACGGTTGGTGTCGCGCAGAGTGGTGATTTCCTTCTCGAGAGCATTCTGAGCAGCATTCGCCTCGGCCTTGGCGTGCTTGTATTTCTCCTATATCGGTAGTTAGTATGCTGTCCTCCCTAGTCCTCGATGTTTTGAGGGCCAGCCACATACCTTCCACTCATCTGCTTCGAACTGAATGGTCTCCGCTCGCTGCTCCAACTCGCGCTGCCGCTTGTCGGCAGCGTCCAGATCCTTCTCCAACTCAGCCTCAAGCTCGTGACTGGACTCCCGGAACTCGGCAAGTTCGTCCGCGAGCTGCTCATACTGTCTCTTGTACCAAGCAAGCGACTCCTCGGGGGTCGCAGCCTGGCTCGGGGGCGGGGACGACGGAGGCTCCGCCATGGTGGATGTTTCTCCTTTTGCGGTCGGCTCCAGTAGTGCTCAGGAAAATACCCTGATCAGATTGGGATCCGTCTCGCGCACTTCGAATTGCTGCGTGAGACGATGCTTTCTTGCCAGGACTCGAGTCCAGAACTAGAAGAAGGACATTGGCAATGCGTACAGCTGATCTCGTGTGTGCAAAAGTTGTTGTTCAGAGAGCTGGACAGATATTCGCCGGCGTGAAAGGTCTGGGCCGGTCGCCGACCTGAAAATGGATGCGAAATACAAATGAGAAGGTACGTCAAGTTGGAAGTAGCTGGTATCGGCTTGCAAGAGTAGTGATGAAGAAAGGCGAGACAGAAGTGAAACTGCGAATTAGTGAAAGTGTTAGCCGCACGGCAAGAAAGAGGACTCTGGAAGCAACAGATTTGGGCGGGTGGATCGAAAGGAAGGCAGCCAGGATGGATTTGGGCCATGCTGCTCCTGGCTGTGGGTGTTGTCCCGCCGGCGAGGGTGCCGGCGATGTGGTGCTCGGCCGTGAAAAAGCCAGGGGCTCAATGTGACTCGAGCGCAAGGACGGACATGATGCCAACAAGCTGGGAGAAAGCTATGGGCGCTTACTGGAGGCAGAGAGAATGTGCGCTTTGGCTGCAAGGAGAATGCGCGGGAGTCCAAGGCGGGTACAGAGCTCGAATGGGTTGCTGGTGCCGGATGTTGTTGTCGATGTCGCACGAGCCGTGGGTTGGGTGGTGCTGTGTTGTTGATTGCTGTTGTGGTCGTGGCTGTCGTGAAAAGGTTAGCAAGGCAGACTGGCCGAGTCGAGTCGCCTGGTGTGTCGTCGCGGGGTGTCGTCGTCGTCGCTGCCGTCGTCGCTGTCGTTGAGCGATGTCGAGGTGGCGGGCGGGATGGTTGGCGGAGGAGGGAGTTGTTGATGTTGTCGCCGAGGATTGGACGGGCGGCAGTTGAAGGGGGGTGCCTCTCGGCCAGCAGCAGCGCTGTCTCGCCCTGCGGGTGGGCAGCGAGCCCCCGACGCATGCAGGCGGCGCTGGGGGAGGCTGGCTGGGTGCAGGTACCCCGGCTGTCGCAGAAAATGTGGTGGCGGGGCATGTACTCCTCGTGCATCTGGTCTGCCTTTGTTGATTGTTGATTGATTGAGTGCCTCACTCCGCCTGCAGCCCAACTCGGCAGGCTCCACTGCCGTCACCTGCTCCTTCCTGGTGACATGACATCCATGGATGACAGCAAACTGTCACTCATGGTCCCGCCCGTCTGCTCCTCTTCCCTTTCGATTCTCCAGAAGCTATCCATTCGCCAGCCTCAATTCCCAATTTTCACAGGGAACGCTTCCAGATCCGAACCGCTACTTAGCACGCATCACTAATACACTGCACATCAAACTTGCACGCATGAAATGTCTCGGAGACGCCCAACCGGCCCCGGTCAACCGTTCATGCTGCGCTAGTCCCGTTCCGAAAACGCTCGGCTACCTGGGCAACCCACACCGTCTCATGCTTTCGCTTGCATGCGACAGGAGGATGCTCCAACAAACACGCCTTACATAAGCCACAATGCAACCCTTTCGTCAAGTTGTGGACAGCCATTAGCTATGACGTTGTTCGGCAACAAGCACGACCTGCACATCACCGTGCATGACAAAATAATGCTGGCAGAAGGGAGCACTTACACTCCAGAATAGAGTCATTCGATAATCATACGCACATTCCGCCTGAAACGATTGTTCTTGTCTCGTCAACTACCTAGTGTACCCATCCTCCATTGGATATGTGGACGAACGTGGGCCCCAGGCCAGTTCTCTCGAGACGAAAATGCTGCTGCCAGCCAAGCAATACCCACATGCCTAATGTAAATGCCTGAGATTGGTCGGATGCATTTTGTGCAGCGGCTCGTCGCTGCCAAAATATAGAGGCAAGACAGTCAATCAATGAGCACCTAAGGCATTTTGCATCGCTGCAGGCGGAGATTCATCGTGTTCAATGTGGCATGTTATGAATTTGTACATAAGCACATGGCTATCTCACCAGGGCTCTATATAGGAAGAAGAAGAAGAAGCTTCCCGCCGTCCAGGCGAGGAACAGGAGAAAGAAGGGTAAATGTCATCAATATACAGTGCCGACACATTTATAGAACTGGGGGACAAAAGGGGAGGAGGAGAAGAAGAAGGGGCGAGATCGCAGCCAAAGTGACGAGATCTACTACTATGGACAGTCGGTGTGAAGCCACAAGTATCGCAGCATCTCAGCCGGATGTTGGAGCATACACCCTCTTAGAGCTTCATCTCGCGAGGGTGACTGCGGTGGCTGTTGGTCTTCTTGCCGGCCACATTCTGCAGCCACGAGATGAACGTCTCGAGAGTGAAAGTCTCGGGCAGCTCGGTGCCAGGGTTTGAGGGTTTGGGCACGGAAGTGCAAGTCGGCGTGGCAGATGGGGCGGAAGGAGCGGTGGTCGACGAAGCTGCCGGGGGAGCAACAGGAGTCGTGGTCGGGCTCGGGCTGGGAGCCGGGCTAGTACCGCTACCACCCTTGGCAAAGACAGCGGGCATCGCCGGGCCGGGAATCTGGTACGACGAGATCTGAGTGTAGGGGTTGAACTTGATGCCCGGGTGGTTGGCGGTGTACAGGGCAGTGCCCGCGACGCCCTGGGGCAGCTCGGTGCCGGACCCGGTGACCTTGACGTTGACGCACTGCGGGTAGTTCTGGGCGCCGTTGTCCTGCTGCGCGGCGTGCATGGCAATGATCTCGTGGCGGAATACGTAGTCGCCGGCCTTGAGGGCCGAGGGGACCGTCGTCACCCACGTGTTGTTGTTGGCAATCATGTCGTCGACCTTCCACTTCTGCGTGGCAACGTCGAAGCCGACCTCGTCGATCTTGAACCACTTGAGCGTCGTCTTGTCGACCTTGGTGCAGTCGCCGCCGCAAGAGGCGGCATAGGTGAAGATGGGGCCGAAGTGCGACGCCGGCCACGCGGTCCACTGGAACTCGATCTTGCCGCCCGCCGCGACGGTGGCGACGGCCTGTCCAGGAGCCGCGTTCTTGTGGCAGATGATGTCGGGGCTGGTGTAGCCCGTGCCGTCGACGAAGCCGTTGTCAAGGTTCTCGGCGTACCAACCCGACACCTTTGGGAAGCTGCCCGTGCTCTGCTTCTGGTAGAAGTAGTTGAGAATATAGCCCTGGTTGTAGGTGCCGTCGGTCACGGTTCCACTGACGAGGCCGTGGCCGAGGACGGCGTTGGCGCTGAAGGCGGCCGCAAGGGCAATGGCGGACTTGATGGACATCTTTGGAAAGAAGGATGCGATGGTTGGAAGACTAGTGAGTGATTGGCTGAATGTGAAGTCACTGGGACTGAATCTGTCGAGAATGTGGAAGAAGCTGGTTCCTCGTGGGTGGTGGAAAAGAATGTTGGTAGTTCACGCAGTGAAGGATGAAAGAAAGTGAGTGGTGAAAAGAGAGAGTGATGCCCTGCTTGGCGATTGAAGCGTGCTGGAACAGTCAAAAGTGAGAAGCCATCGTGGGCGAGTGTCGTTGGCTTTATATCAGAACCATTGCACAGGACCATTGCATAGGGTCCCCTCTGTTCATCCATGGCCAGCCCGGGAACTGCCATCGCTGGCGGCACCCTGGCGGCCAAGCTGATCTCCCTCTGAGCAGGGAAGCCCGGGGTGCGCATCGCGCTAGAAACGGCGGCGACGGCGCCAGTCGTCTGCTCATGGCCAGTCGGGCTGCAGGCAGCGGGGCAGGCCAGGGCCCTCCTGGCTCTGCTGTTTCTTCTAGATGACAGCTGCCCCGCCATCCTCCCCCTGCCCCAGAATCTCCGCCTGTCGCATCCGTCGACATCGCGCTCTTCGTGTGGTGTTTCCACCATTCTAGCCCCCTTGCTAACTCTTGGCCGCGGCCCAGCAGCTCGAGATAGTCCATCGTCTCACTCACAGTCCGGAGCCATGGCAAACCCCCCTGCTCCCATTTATTTAGGTTCATCCCATTGCCTACGTTCACCTGAAACAATTTACCTAAGATTTCTCACCTGAGTAAACACTAGAAGGAAGCATCCACAGGATGAACTACGCTCGACGTCCGGCGGATTCTGTATGCAACAGTCACGAATCTTATCTTTCAGCCGAGTGAGGTGGTCTTAGGCCTGACTCGTCCATGACAGGGTCGACCGCATCCATGCACGGAATGACAGCAATATCAGCACGTCTTAAGCATGTCACTTGGTCCAAGTCAACCGAGCACCCCTGGACATATGCAGGTCCAGTTTGTCAAACTGAGAGCCTCTGGCAGTCCACGCTGTTGTGCCACATGTTTCATCGGATTGCCTAAGCTCGTGCTTACTCGCTGCCAGCACCACCAAGCACGATTTAATTTGGAAATATGTGCAGAGAAGTGACTGTACGTCTCAGGCAAGGATTAAAGCTCATTCAGTCTGTCCAGTCCCTACGCAATTTTACAACTACAGGGCCAAGATGGAGCTTTGTAGATGGCGCTGCGCTCGCTGGAATCCATGAGTATCTGCAGCACGTGGTGCTCATATGACTGCAAGCCTATCCAAAGCGTTCACCTTCAGCTCCAGAGGAGGCAGTCCCACGCATCCTCAGTCAAGTCATGATCAAATAGTAGTAGCTGTTCCAGACAGTATTGGCTATCTTCACTTCAGTAAAAATGGGGGTTTCGTTTATGCCGATGGGCTCAACGGATGTGGCAGGTGATGTCCTGCATAAGTCCCCCGGCCTACTTCTACCATCAACTACCAGCAGCCCACCACAGCACAATCGCAAGTACCGTGTACGTACCCAGCCAGTCATACCATCTGGCACAACTTGGGGAGAACGACTGACGTTCTTCGGTGTCTACAACCCAGCTCGCGATCTTGGTTATCAGGCCGGAGGTCTTTTCCAGGAGCCTATCGGCGCTCATGGCGCTTTTGCACCATTTGCTGGATGCCGAGGGGGTGAAAAGACCCCCTGGCCCGAAGGACCGGATCCTCTTGGGACGCCTCATCATGTCAAGGTCGCCGCCAAGTGCTCAAATATTTGATTGGAAGGAAGTAGAAAACGGCTTACGCGCCGGCTGTCTCTGTGCAGAAATGAGACGAAGATTCTCGAATTCGGAAAATGGCCAGATAGCTTTTCTGTAATCCCACCACTCGTCATTTCTCGTCACCCCGAGAAGGCGTAAGGGCGCACCTTCGTCTGGCAAGTGCGAAGTTCATGGGGGATCAGGTTGAAATTTCCCGCCTGGCTTCATTCATTCGGACATCTCTGCATTTTATATCGAGTCCATCTGATAATTCAAGGCTCTGCACTAATCCGTGAGAGGCCAGAGATATCAACCACGCACAGGAAGAAGATTGTATTACAAACAAGATGAACTTCGCAGTGAACGAGCTTGTTTCCTTCCCTGCCGACCAAAAGAATATTCCTAGAACAATTCAAGCCGCAATTTAGATACACAAATGCTGGAGACGAACGTGCACGCGCAGGTTCCAGTAGCGGACGGAACCCTACAAGCGCCTTGCTACATGGTGCTCGACCATTATTGGGGAGGAGGACAAAAGGACAAGGCGAAGAGAGAAAAAAAAGCACGTGCACCACCACGATCCCGCGTCGTTTTTGTATGTTTTTTCTCCGGAGCAGCGTGGGCATTCTGCGAAATGTGTACACATTTTGTTCTTTCCTGCGCGCAGCGAGGAGGTCGAGTAAGAACCCAGCCGTGCTACATAAAAAACAATTCCCGCTCCGGCGGGCACCTTCACAACGACGAAATTCATGTCTGGTCTGCGCCAGATCTGATCTTCAGTCTCCTCCCGGGGGAACAAACATGCAACCGAGGAAGCCAGTCTCTCAGGTTTCACCGCTGGCCAGGCCATGAATGAAGCCTGACGCACACTACATGCATCTCAACTCCCTTCCCACTTACCTGCCGGCCTATCTGCCCGCCTGCCCACGTTATCACCATCTGCCACCAATAAGGGGCGTCCACTATCTCGGGTAAAAATCAGGAATAAGCCAACAGCCACAAAGATCTTCAACGCCTCGAGCATGTGGAAAAGCTACAGCCTTTACCTCTGGCTCAAAAGTGTTGACACGGATTGCCGCAGGGCCCGCAAGGGATTGTAGGAGCCAGTGAGTACATGCATGCATATCTTCACTGTCCTGCCAACACACACACACACACACACACACACACCTCTCTACACTTCTTCTATGCATGCAGGCACACGCATACGCGCATGATTACTATACATCGGCAAACGAGCCCTCCCCCGTCCTCCACCAACTCAGCCCGGCGCTCTTGGTCCGTGTCGGGTAGGGAACCCGGACCAAGCTCAACTCAGCTATGCTAAAGCTCAGCTCCAGCACCATCTCAAGGAGGAGGGGGGGGGGTCTTGCTTCCACTCAACCACGCATCGTCACCACCGTGTGTCATGCCCGCACCGCCTGGCAAGCAAGCAATCAGATCCGTTCAGGCAGAACCATGGTGAGTGGTCGTATACCAAGCTCAATCTGTACTTTGTGTCCTCGCCACAGAGAATCGGTTAGATCGGAACTTTTACTACAGGTTGTGGGAACATGAGCAGGGCAGGGCAGGGTAATCGTGACTGCCTCGGTCGCTCGCTTGCTTTCTCCTGTTCCTTTTCCCCAAGACCCTGCATGCCGGAATCTCGTATTACCGATGGGAGCAAAGACGGGAATCGAGAAATATTGATACCGGGAAGAATAGATTCACTTCGTAAGGTCGCACGTTTCAGCCACTGTCCGTGCCGAGTCCCGCAGAGTTGATGCCATTCATCATTCAGCCACAGTGCTCGACCCCCCAGCATATACGTAATCTGATTTCCCAGGAAAGTTCCTACCTTTGAAACATTTGCTTTTTTTTCTTTTCTCCCCGTCCTTTTTCTTTTCCCCCTCTCACCAAAAACTCCCGCTCCCCCTCTCCAGGCCAAGGTTATGCAACCCCCCTTGCCAGTTGTCTTGATGGTGGTGGTGGTGAACCGGGACCTGTTTGTTTCTTTTCTTTTTCACTCCCCAGCAACAAGCACGATCTCAGACAGGGGGTTCGATCTAACCCGCACCTGCATGGAACAGATGAAGCACTGCCATGCCCTTGCCGTGTTGACCTGGGACACACCCACACCCACGCGGCGTGCGTCCCCCTGTCGGACCCGACGGCGATCTTGTAGTGTCTCTCGTGGCATTTCGTGCCAGAATTAGAAAGATAGGAGACTGCATTTGGAGGACGGGGGGGGGGGTCCGCCGCGACAACGAGGGCTGATAATGATGCGCATGCGCATGCGCGCCCCCCCCTGCCCGAGCCCTGTGGCGCCGGTCAAACCCGCACCCGCACCCCATCACCTCTGGTGGCCTCTACGTAGTTGTTACTGCCCAGTCTTTGCTCTGGCAGGCAGATACGCTAAGGGCCGGTAAAGAGGCTGAAGGTCGTCGTGGCTTGAGACATGCGGCCATCATCCAGGGGACTGGAGTTCATGTGGCTTGACATGGTGCATGCCACTGATTTGGAATCATCATTGCCTTGTGTCGGCTGCTGTAAGAACTGCGCTCATGCTATACGAACGGCGGCCAGTCCCTGGCGGGATGCTTTCCGGATGCTGCATGTTGTCCCAGCCGCCGAGCCAGGCGGAGGCATCTTCAGCCGAGGGCTTTGGTGCCTCTCTCCAAGCTGGGGTACCCTTGGGTCTCACTAACCGTGCTAGTGCAGATCATGACCTGCTTTGATCCTCACGCCGTACCCAAGGAGGACGACGTTGATGCCCAAAGGGGTTGCCAGCACATTCATACAATCGCGACTTTGCTTCAGATTCAGCTGAGCACCATACTGGCGAACAAATTTGTGGACGGGGCACGATGGATGAGTTCTCAGTATATTGGAGGCTGGAGCTTAGACATTTAAAGAAAAATGGGTATCGTGTTGTGTTGCACGAATGGCATTGCTCAGTTGATCCGTCCCTCGAGAAGGCTTGATACTGCTGTGACTCGTTCATCTTCAACCAATATCGGACACCTTGCTTGTCCTTTTCACTATTCGCCCGATTAACCTGAACCTCGCTCCGCCCGTGGAATCATAGTCCAAAGTTGCCGCTGGCCTTCAGTTCTTCAAGTAACCTCTGTTCTGTTTCATCTGTGATTGATTAGTCAACATGCACGGTAGAGCTATCATGGACACTTTATATCTTGTGATCAAGTGCAAAGGTCTGTATTGTCTGTATTATGTAGATGAGTCTTGGGAAGAGAACTTACTGGGCTTGTTTTCTAAGACCGCACAGTCTGCGACCGTGAAAGATTTTGTGTGAACTGCACCGAGGATCGTCCAAGACTGCAAACCGTTCGTTGTGTCATAACATCGTACCGTGAAAGTATATGTCCCCGGAGCATCGACAATAATGTTTGGGAAGACGACATATTGAGAGTCTGCGCCTCCGATCACAGATGTCCTCGATGTGGAGGTGTTGACTGGCTGCGGTGATGCGATGTATGGACCACATTCCTCTACGACATTACCGCTGTCGTCCTGTAGATAGCCCTGGAAAATCTCTGGCATAGAAGAGTCGTTCTGAATGGGGGGTCTTGGAGGAATACGGATGACTACCGGTGGATACATTGTCGATCCTGCTTGAACCTCGGCTGGCGGTTGGATCGCGATGTCCATGTCAATCTCTTGCTTGAACATGTGTGCGTTGAGGCTTGACGCCTTGGCATGAGAGGTCAAGGGGCAGTAGGATGGATTTGGTGCCGTGAGAATCAAACAATTCTGCGAAAGAGAAATCGCTGTCAAGAATGTCGTCGCCCAAGTCAACTCGAGCCGCGCGCCCAAGTTTATATGATTTGGCGGAATCAATGGTTACCTTGTCATTGATGTGCTCGTGCTTCTGACTAGGGTGGATCGAAGGGGGAGGCAATAGTCTTGCAGAGACAGAGGGAGAACCGGAACGACTGCCCAGGTGATGTCAACAGCTCCGTCACGGGTTGGTGGAACATGAGGACCGCCTTGGTATGGGAGCAGCTCCAGCAGCCAACCCTTGATGGAATTTGATGGTGACGTCTCAAAAACTAACCCATATTTGCTTCTTGCATGGCCCTGTCCGGGGCATTTCCAGTACCTGGTGGGCCTGAGGCGAGCTTCCCAAGTTATCGGAACAAGACATGTCAACCCGCGATCGGACTCCGTGAGAGATGTTTGAGATGGACCCTGGGGCAGCATGGATCGTCTAACACCCGATAGAATCAGATCGCAGCGTGCCACAGCCTCATGCAGCTCCTTTTGGGCAGATCTCATCGCCAAAGTTCCAAGTCTCTGGGACCAATGGCGCTCTCCTCTGAGGTAACCGGAGCCAGGGCCCCCCAGCCGGACCCCTGGAAGCCTTGATGAGCGGCAGGGATAAGCATTCTTAGACCGGGACTGACTACCCTGTGTTCGCATGGGCCGATTTCGTCCGAGCAGGAGCTGAACGGAGTGATCATATTCGGTCGCGAGTCTGCACGATCACGAGCTTTCTTTTTTCATTTCCTTGCTCTTGGCAGTGTCAGAGCTACGTGTGGAATCTGCATTAATCCGTTCGGAGTATTGCAGCTTCGTTGTCGTTGCACATGCATGGCTGTGCGCGCAATCCTTGCTGGCGTCATGATGCAGTTGCAGTGATTGGACAAGTGGCTCCCGTCCCGTGTTCTTCAGCCTGCCAGTGTCCCAGCCGATTGGGTACATATTAGTGCATGTCAAGCGTGTCGATGGTCGACGCTGATGGGCTGTCCCGCTCTGGGGCGGTAGAATGAGCCACAACACGCACCATTGACAGCGGGACGTGCTCCCCGGCTACTCAGGAACTACTACGGCCTGTCGGAATCCCCGTCACGCTGCTCCGGGTGGCTGAACCTCCGGGTGACTGAACTTCGCGGAAAACGGATCCCTGAATCGAGGTGCCAGCAGGGCGAACTGGCTGCTCCCGCAGCTGAGATGTCGCCATCTGCGGTGCCTGCCGCACGGGTCAGACACGCCGTCGGGCTGGCAGGCTATTGGCGACGCCACCCGTCCGAAGCGTGCGTCGACTCCGCATGCCAACTGGGAACGAGAGACTATTGGACGCTCCTCCAAGGGAAGCTGAGGCGGGCCGAGCGAGGATCATGCCGGCTTCTTGGTTTCACGATGAGGTGCGTCCTGCAACAGCATGCTATCCCACTGGTGGCCGGAGCATGCTGATGGTCTTTTGCCATATCATCGACAAGTTGACAAACACTGACTGAGGGTGTCTAGTACATGGGCGGCCGTTGGGTTTTGGAGGCGAAGGAGCATCGGAGAATTTGGCCCCGTTTAAAGCGTGTGTGTGGCGTGGGGTGATGCTGCTGGAGGTGCATGTGAGATCAGAATTAACCGTTGAATGGCGGCCTGCGAGGTCGAAAAGGTGAGACTTGACGTTGACGGCACCGGATGTGTGGCTCTTGCCGCTCCAGACAAGAAGCGCTTGAGAGGCTCAGCCGAGCCCGATGCTTTGCACCATCCGCGGATCCCCTTGCCCAGACGCTGAAGTGGGTGGTTCACAGTCCCAGCCTCGTACTTGACCATCTCCACGACCAGTTTCAGCCGCCCGCCATTCGGCTGGCGGATCTTACGCACATACTGACAGCCACGCCGAGAGCCATGCTGAAGAAACACTCTGCGCATGGCTTTGCTGTCGTCGTTCATGCTTACATTCACCAGCTATAGCCAAGGCGGGAACAAGCCTCTAGCTAATGCCCTGCTCCTTCTTGGCCTCTTTAGTTGTTGCCAAAGCTCTAAGATCCGGCCTGCCTCTTTGGCTCCCTGGCGACACTCTCCATCCACCATGATATTGTACATCATTCCTCTAGTAATACACGACTCTCAAAGGTCCCTGATCAGCCAAGATGACTCGTCGTCAAACCAAGCATTGCTGTACTCCTCCAGGAGTTCGTCCGACTGGATCCCTCACGCCTGAGGCACCTTGGTCCGCAGCTGCACCCCATGCCACTCCTTCATCTGCTCGCCGAGCACGGCGTTGACCATGCGCTGCTGTTTGAGCATGTTGGTGCCGCGGAACTTTTCCGACGCAATCTCGATACCGTACATGGACCCGCAGCCGCCCGAGATGTCCTTGACCGAGAGCTCCGTCGGGGCGAACTCGGCCGCGAGCTTGTCCCAAATCTGTGACTCGTTCTCGTCGAGGTAGTCGGGCTTGGCTGGCGGTGGTGTTGTTATTGTTGAGGAGTAGGGCCGTAGGGAGGAAACGCCATTTCTGAAACCGGCTGCCCGCGAAAGTTGTGGAATAGGCTGATGTGTTGAGGTCGTGTACCGCACTCGGGCTGACGCTGAGGATGAGTTTGAGAAAGCCGAGGCTGAAGGCGCGGCGAGCTGGCGCAGGGTAGAGCCACTGCGCGAAGCTGCTCTAGCGGTGATGCGCTGGCATTGTGAGCACAGCATGATGTCAAGTTGGGTTTGCAGACGTATCGCTAGGTGGATTGGCGCAGTTGTAAAGACGCGAGCTCGCTGAAGGTGTCAGAGAGGCCAAGAGGTTGACGATGTCAAAAGATCCACCGCCAAAGGTGGGAGACGCATTAGCAATCAACGTGAAGGCATGGTCACCAAAAATGCCCCGAGCTCTATCGATAAGGCTCAACACTGGGGCGGCTGGGGTGAGCGGCGGGGCTGCCGGGGCCGGTGGATTCACTGTCGGCCGCAGTCCTAGTGGTTGTACCATTGGCCTCTTTGGCTATTAGGTGCGCATTCTCTCATATTGTCTCCTCAATATTCTCATCGATAGTACAACTGCTGCTGAACGGCATCAACCAATACAGAATGCCATATTAGCCGCACGATCGCCTCTTTGCCCTTGCGCCGGACATCCTCATCCCGCCGTCCACAGATTCGCAATGCCCAGCCCGGCCACAATGTGGATGTAGCTCCAATGGTCGCCGCCCCCTTCGCCAGCCGCACGGTTTGTCGCGACCCCGTCGACAAACGCAATCACCGCAAAGGACAAGTAGAGAACGCCCAGCGTCCTCTTCTCCCGCATCAGGGCAGCCGCGACCATCGAGGTGCCGAGCGCGAAGTTGCGCACTCCAATGACCGATGCCATACAGTCAACCGTGGGGCGATGCTCGGAACCCACCGCTGGGGGGTCGAGGTGGAAGAAGGACAGGCCCGAGGCCGTGCTGTAGTACCAGTTCACCTCGAAGCCAATGGGCACGATGCCAAAGGCGATGCTTGCGGCCTGGAGGAGTTTGGAGAAGGTTGAAGCAGACAGCATGATGACGGCGGTGGGTCCAGGATCCGAAGATGAAGAATCAGTGATAACCGACCCTGACTTGTGATCTATCGACTCAAGCTGGGTGCTTGCAAGTTGTATATCCGTGGCCTCACTTCTCAGGTGCTGTCTCAAGTTTTGAGGTGTACAGTTGATGGCTCTACCATCTCGTGCCTTGGGGCCCGCGGGTGCTACTTATACAACACGGGGTTTGGCTTCACTCGGGGTTCAACGCAGATCGGCGTATATCGTGAAAGCTAAATCTGAGTTCGCGTACTAGCGTCGGGGACCTGGATGCAGCAAGCACTGGAGGAGTTAGGCCTAGCGCTTCTGGTTTCTCCCCATAAGTGTCCGCCCATCTCCATCGCGTTTTGTCTGCCCAATGGTCGTGCTCGCAGCGATTTCCTTGTCGGGCAACACTCCAGGACCCTTGCGGGGTAGCCTTTTTGAGTCTTGACGGTCCAGCCGTCCATCCTAGTTTGTTCACGTCTTGACCTCAGAAACCCGCCAGCTTTCTTGTGCATTGCAATGCCGCTTGTTCGTGTGCATATCATGCTGGGCGCCCTTGACGAGCAATGCCAGATATGACGTGGGTCGGACTTCAGGCCCACACCTGGCAAGTGCCCTCCATCCAATGAGTCACCTTGTTCACCTTACATGGATGCTCATCTGCATGTTATCACGCCTTCCCATCGACAAGCTGCTCTTGGCCCTTCTCTAGCTCCACCGCCGTAAGGCAATGGCCCATCATGTAATCCTGCATCCAGCGGTCCATGGGTTGCATCTTGGGATTAGGCAACACTGCGTTCTATAAAGCCTCAGCCATCAGAATGGCTTCCACTGCGACCACCACACTACCAAGTCGCTGATCGCGCTACCTCATTCTACCGGAGCCACACCATTCTCCAGGCCGCCATGATTTCAACGACGATCCTTTCGCCTACAGGCGCTGCAGAGGAGCACGAGCTCTCGCATTTCGCCAAGCAGGGCGCTGTCACATCCCCTCAGGCTGGAGCCCATGGTGCGGTCGACTCGCCTCTAGCTCTGCCAGACCAGCCTGCCGACGACGATGTCACCGCACTTCCTCGGCGAAGCAAGCTGCAGTCGGTGTCTCTGATAGCGACGCTGGCCTGCATCGCCTTCCTCAACACCTTCAACTCGGGCACGCTGACCGTGGCCCTGCCCGCTATCGCTGCCGACCTCGAAATCCCCCCCAGCCTGCTCCTGTGGCCGGCCTCGGTCTACGCGCTCGCCCTGTCCTGCACGCTGCTGCTCCTCGGCGCCATCGCTGATGTGGTTGGCAACCGGCCCGTCTTCCTCATCGGCTGTGTTCTGAACTGCGGCTGGACGCTCGCAGTCGCGCTGGCCCAGACGAGCAACCAACTCATCGTCTTCCGCACGCTGCAGGGCGTCTCCATGGCCTTCTGCATGCCTACCGCCGTCAGCACCATCACGAACACGTTCCCCAGCGGCAAGCCTCGCAATTTCGCCTTTGCCTCCTTCGGCGCCGGCAGCCCCATCGGCTTCGCATCGGGGCTCGTCCTGGGCGGGCTCCTCGCGCAGGCCGCCGGTTGGCGGACGGCATATTACCTCGCCGCTGGTGCCAACGCCGTCGCCTTTGTCCTCGCATACTTTACCTTGCCGCGCATCGCACCGCCTGTCTCCAACATCCGCCACGCCCTAGTCCACGAGTTTGACTGGGTCGGCGTCGCTTCCGCAAGCAGCAGCCTGGCCTTGCTATCATACATCTTTGCCCAGATCAGCTTCTCGGGCAGCACGATGCGCGCTCCGCACAATATTGCCCTTGTTGTCATTGGCGGGCTCTTGCTGCCCTTCTTCGTATTCTGGGAGGGGCGCCAGGAGCGCCTCGGCCGCCCAGCGATCCTACCCAACAGCATCTGGCGCCAGCGCGAGTTCACGGCTGTTTGTGTGACCGTGTTTCTGGTTTGGGCCTGGTTCAATGCCTTTGGCTACTGGGCCACCCTCTTCTTCCAGGACACGCAGGGGCTTGACTCTCTCAATGCGGCGCTGCGCTTCCTGCCCATGGTCATTGTCGGGCTGCTGACCAACATTGTTGCCGGCGTGGTGGTCGACAAGATCCCCGCGGGCATACTGGTCCTCGTGTCGGGCCTCATCAGCGCATCTGGACCTCTTCTGTACGCCCTCCAGGAACCTGGCTGGACGTACTGGGCGGCTGGGTTCCCGGGAATGTGTTTGGGGGTAATCAGCACGGACTTGCTCTTCAACATTGCCAACCTTGTCATCACGACGCAGTTCCCCAGCCGTCGGCAGGCCCTAGCTGGCGGTGTCTTCAACACTGTCACACAGCTTGGCAACAGCATCGGCACAGCTGTCACGGCCATGATCGCGGCGAGCGTGACAGAGGCCGAGATGCACGGCGGAAATGGCGTCGAGGCGGCAAGCGCTACCCTCAAGGGGTACCGCAGCGCATTCTGGGCGTGCTTCGCTGCTGCAGTGATCAGCATCGTGACAAGCAGTGTTGGTCTGAGGAAGGCTGGCAAGGTTGGCGCGAAGAAGGATGTCTAGACTTTGCTCGTGATGATGCATCAGATCTGCCTGTGGTCATCCCCGGGAAACGAGAAGGGAGAAAATAACGAGACAATAGGGACAAAAGCCCTGGTCGACTTTCAACTTCAAAGAGACACTATGTAAATGAGAGAAACTCCAACAATGCCGCAAATGCAATGCCGACACGTCCAGATACCGGACCTGGTTTGTCTCATGCTCAGTTGAAGCGACATCCAGACGCCTAGCAATAGACCAAAGAAAGGCCCCCAAGCCGCGAGCCAGCCGCCGCCAATAAACAGACCATGCTCCCAACGCAATGATGTTCAAAGCAAATGCGAAAGACCAAAACTCACAACGCTTGAAAACAGAAACTGATGAAAATGCCCCTGGCGATCAACACCGGGACGTCGCAGATGCACAGCCCAGCCCACGCTCACCTCCCAATCCAGTATCCCAGCATTCCATTCTGCTGCATCACCACCTCGGCGATCTCCGCATCCGTCATGGTCTCCTGCTCGTGCACTGCGAACCACGCGCTCCCAGGGACAAGCCAGTACATCTGGCCCCTGGCCAGCATGCTCGCGCCAGCAAGCTCATCCAGACCACTCTCACCACCACCACCTCCGACAGACCCCAGCCCCAAGCCCAGGGACGAGGCCGACGAGGGCAGGAAAGTCGACCCCCACATGCTCGTCATCTCGAACCACAGGCCCGCGCGGCTCTCGGCGTCGAGCGACCGCGCGAGGTAGAAGATGGGCGTGTACGACCGGTCCGACCTCGGGGTGAAGCGAGCGCGGAAACTACTCCCTGCGCCATCACGCCCACCACCACTGCCACCGCCACTTCTGCTGCTACCGCTACCGCCACGGCTACTCCCGCTCCGACTGCTGCTGCTGCTAGCCCCCGAGGACCCGACGCTGCTGCTGCTGCTGGGATCCCGCAGCGTCTTGCCCGCCTGCGAGAAGTAGCCCAGGCACGAGGAGCAGGGCTTGTGGCTCATCAGCAGGGCGTCGACGATCGGGTACGCGCCGGGCAGGTCGAACGAGTGGAAGTAGCCCGCCAGCAGCGCCTCCTCGGCGTGCAGGCCCGGCGCGGGGCACGACGTCCACGTGTCCGGCTCCCCGCCGGCGAAGAGCAGAGACGCCGACAGCTCCGGGTTCGTCGTCGTCGGAGACGAAGATGAGGAAATCCCGGCGGGGGTCCCGCTGACCAGGCCGGCCCGGACGTACTGGTACAGCGCGCTGAAGAGGCCAATGTGCTTGGCGGCCAGGGCGATGGGCTGACCCGACATGGTCTTGAGCCGGAACGAGGGCAGCTCGACGAGGATGAACTGCGGCATGGTGGAAGGGTGGGTGCCGGGGGCCGGGAAGTAGAAGTTGTCCAGTTTGGCGGGTTTTTTTGTCGTCTTTCCGGAGACAAAGGGGATGGGGCAAATGCAGAAGAAGAGTTGCTGGGCTAGATAAGGATATTGGTGATTCTGGGTCGGGCTTCGAGAGGGCGTGTTCTGAGCTTCGGCGTCTTGCTGTGTATCGTACCCTTTGCTTGGAAGTGGCTATCTGTAACTCAACGTCTGCTCATTCCGGTTCCGTGTATGCTAGTGATGCCGAGTCGCGTCGAACTTGTCGTGGTCCAGCCAGGCTGATTATATGCTCTTGAGACTGACTCAATCATCCAGCAGGTCGTCGCCGTCGTCTGTTGATCTCGAAGTTGCCGTCCAGTATCGGTCCGTGTAGGGAAATCGATGCGATGATTCGCGAGCGACCACGTGAATCGCAGGAGGCGAGAAAAGACAAAGGCTGGGTTGCGAAAAGAACAAGTGCTCTCTGATTGTGTACGAGTGGATGCTCTCGGTCAACGATGATGGTCCGGTTTGAACATTTTCTTTTCGATGCGATGGCGAACACGCCGCCTTGTTATTATATCACGGTTTCGAATAATCCAGCATCGCCAGATCGAGCCGAGGATTTGTCCTTGAATGCCATCGTGATGCTAAATTTGGACCGTGTCTCTCTTTCTTGCCCTGGGCAACATGTGAGACGGCGGGGGGGAGACATAGCCATGCGCCGCCGCGCGCGCAAGAGTGTCCTGCGTGATGAGCTAATACCCTCCGCCGCGGCAACCACCCACACCACACACATACATACGCCGCAACACTGAAATCCATAAGGCTATGTAGGGCTGGCGGGCTGTGGGGGCACGCGGGTATGCACTCGCGTATGGACCCTCGGGGGTCCCGCATGCATATGGGCATGCCGCGGGTCGGCACAAGCCCGACAGACTGGTTTATCCTGTCAGGAACGACGAGTGAGCGAGCGGTGGTTGCAAGGAGGCTCCATCTGGACCCCCCCTGCGCAGCTCAATTGTGGGACTCCCTCGTTCAAGGCTGAAAGGGGTAAGCACTTGCACCAGCATGACAGGCAGTCTGCCTTGCATGGCCCTCGTGTTCTTCATCGAAGGGTGGGTGGAAGCTTGCTGCATGGCAGGGGCAGCAGCCGAGGTCCAGAAACTGGAGAAGAAGCTGTCAACAAGCCCCTGCCGTCATGGTTGGGCACAGTCACTGCAAAAAAAATCATTCAAGCTGGCCGGAAGTGCCTCGTCAGTGACGAGAATCCAGCTGACACGGCAGTAAGAATCTCCCTAGGTAGGGTCGAGGTGTGCAAACATGGCCTGGTTCCAAAAGTCCGCCTGGACACCAAGCTCCGTCTCCGGTGCATCTAGAATGCTCTGTCTCGGCAACTGGTGATAACAAATGTTTGACTAATATTCCAAGCTCCGGTGCCCTGGGCCAAAACATGACGGCATAGGGAGGCCTCGCTCCGACTTGACAGAGTGCACTCGATCACATACGCCAGCCGCCTGGGGAAGCGTCAGTAAGATACCCGGTGAGATAGCCGGAACTAGCAAGGGTTGTCGGGTTGCATGGCGACCTTTGCGAGCATCTACAACATCTGGTTGGCTCGAGTTGTGAGATAAAGTGGGACTTGGAGCCAGCCAGGAGACGCCGCCAACGGCCAGCTCAAAGCAGAAAGGGATAACCCGCAGGTCCCCGGTGGCCTGGCTCTGACTGATGTGGGCGCTGGCACCTCCGTATCAAATCTAGCTTACACGCTGTCGTCATGCAGCCCGCTGAGGGAAGAAGCTGGCCACGAGGGAGTGTCCTCAGCCCTACGGCGGACATGGGTGCTGCATGCGAGACTGCCTGAGGCTGCGGGCTCTCACCTATCAGGGTGGGGCATAAACGGAGGACTGTACAGCCAGACAAGACCTTGGAGGAGCATGTCCTCCTGGCTTTTCTGAGTCATCCTCGTCGAGCTCCCCCCACGACCAGGGCAAGGCACATCAACCTCCAGAACACGCCAGCAACGGCTCACGATTACCCCTGCCCTGCAATCGGTGGTCCGGAGCTAAGGGACTACCGTTTGCAAGACCTCAAAACACATCTGCTGGGTTTGGTGCGCCGTCGTCAGCCACATGCCACAGCCACCACCACCACCACCACCTGCGCGAAACTTCCGCGCGCAGTGGCCGCGGGGACGCCAACCTGCAGATGCCCCTGTTCCTGCGAGTGGATGTCTTCGAGAATGTGTCCACGGCCAAGCATGGCCCTCCTGCACAATCAATTGCCGGGAGGGCGCCGGGCGGGTATCTCCAGTATCTAGCCGCGGCAACTAGGCCATAGCCTCGGACTCACCTCGCTGAAGGATGTCAACCCGAGCTCACATAATCCCTTTCACCTGAGGCAGGAAGCGGAAACGTCATTACGATGCAAAGAATATGTAGGTAGGTGACAATTCAGGCATTGAGGGCGCCTGCACCTGACTAGTGTTTGCGAAGCACGCAGGATGAATTCGAGGGTTACTGGCATATCTCATCTGGGGGCCTGAATGGAGCAGTAAAAATTTCGATACGTGTCTTTGACGTCAGTTGGAACTCGTCATGTAGAACCTTGGACTTCAACCAGGGATGAAGAATCTGCCCCTGCCACACCCCTGGTTGAGCAGGCCTCGTCCACGGTAAGAGTGAGAACACGCGCACGAACCCGTTGAGCAAGCCCCAACTTTCGCCTCCAAGGGTAATGCCGGGAAGAAGTCTACGAGCAACGGCTACAGGGAAAGTCCTTCAATAACTTCTTGCTCATGATCCTGGCGACTCGATTGGCGCGCATTACTGCGTGTCCACCATACTCGACAAGTGTCCCTTTGTAGGCACGCCTAACACCAATGGCCCTGTAATAAAAAAGCTGCGCCGTGTTTCGTTCGGAATTGACGCACGAAGGCCTCGCTCTACACGCAGTTCCTTCTGTGTTCAAAGAAGCGGTTCTATTCTGCGCTTGTTGGTGGCAAACACGAACCACTGGTAGCACACTCTAGCGAACATCGGTGTGATATGCATCTGCGCAGTTGACCACGGTCGGACAGGTCTCTTAGTGCCCCGGTCACATGCCAAGATGACATCATTTTCTTTGGAGTTTTGGCCGCGGAAGCATCCCGCACCTGCACACCATTGGGGAGAGAGCTTACGTCCGAATCGTGGGCTCAAGTCTGTACCGCGGCAACAGTCCGTTGTGCGACAAGGTGCAATGCATTACAGCTACTATTGGCACTAGACCTCCCAATATTTGTAGCATAGACCGTCTGTCACTTACACAGACAACATCGAAAGTCTCAGACTCGTGTGCCTCAATTCATTGAAAAATTGCGTCTACAGAGCCGAGGCAGCTGACTGTGTACATGATTGTTCTGCACAACTCACCATGGCCTCTCATCTTCCTGCGGAACACTTTTGACCTCTGCACTACCGCTGCTCCATCGCACCGACTGGGGGAATCCAAACACAAAGATACAAAACAAAAACAAAGGTCCAGGCCAAATCCGGCCTCCATAAACGCCATCGGACATTTTCCGCTGTTGGCCCAGGCCTACAAGAACATCGGCAAGGCCAAGGAACCCCAAACAAGATCCATGGTATCAAGAAATGCTCCGGAATTTCTCTAGACATCCTGCTTGCCATCTCCTGCGCTGCCGTTGCTGGACACCGCAACGAGATAACCGCCTCTGTCGAGCGCATTGTTCTGCTCAGCCGCGACCAAGATGTGAGTGGTCTTGTGGATGTCCCTGCTCTCCGGACTGGTGGCCACGAGCGTGACATCGTCTTTGGAACCATTGCTGCTGGTGCTGTTGCTGCTGGCGTGGCGACTAGTCGAGCCCTCGGCCTTTTCGCCAAGGCAGCCGTGAGTCGCAGAAGCATTGTTCCGATTCGCCATCTCTGGCGAGTTGAGCTGTCCGGGGTGACCCATGACACCACCACCACCACCACCACCAAGCCCGAGAAAGGACTTGCTCTCGCGCTCCCTGCTGGCAAAGTAGTACGACGGGACGAGCTTGGGGAACAGCTTGACCACAAGGGGCCGCAGCTGGGGCAGACACGAGCAGATGATGGCCACGTTCATCTCGATGACGGTCCACATGGTGGACGAGATGTCGTAGGTCTTGTCGTGGGTCTTTGCCTGGATGTCGATGGTCGTGATGCGCAGGCACGAGGTGATGACGACAAAGATGCCGAGGGTGAAGACGAACATGAGCGCCATCTTCTGCACGCGCGGGATCTCGAGCGTGGTCACGGGGAGCATGGGCAGGACGAGGATGATGAGGTCCGTCGTGATGCTGAACCCGGCGTTGGCGTACCAGAAGGTGAGGTTGTTGATGCAGTGGCCCGGCAGGGACGGGATGAAGGCCTTCTGGATCGGGGTGCACTGGAACAAGGTGCCGCCCGTCGAGGCGAGCCAGTAGCTGGCGATGCAGGTGAGCATGAAGGCGCAGGCGTACTTGAACCAGCGGATGGAGCCAAAGATGCGGAGGTAGAGCAGCAGGATCGACGCCTTGGTCAGGTTGATGCTTGTCTTGTAGGTGACCTGGCTGATGTAGAAGAGCTTCATGGCTTCGTGCTGGTCGTCGGTGGCAAGAGTCACCCAGTGCCGACCATAGCCGTGTGCACAGCAGTCGAGCAGCACGCCGCCAGTGGACAGGGCGAAGAAGAGTGCGAGGACGTTGGTCAGATCATCCCAGCCGAGGGTGCCTCCCTTGCGGGTGCGCGACCAAAGCTTGGTGCTCACGGCGACCGGGCAGAGCACAAAGAAGATGGCGATGGGCACATAGACGGTGTAGGCGACGTTGTCGTAGCGGTGGCTGTCGTCCATGGCCATGTTGTCGTAAAGTGATTGACTTGGCGCCATCGTGGGTTGACGGATTGTGTGACGGTGTGGCTGACGGAGTGGTTGTAGGTGGCCACTCTCAAGTTGGGGGTTGGAAAGCGAATAAGTCCCCAGGATATCGGCTGACTTTTGTGGAGGCTTCTCTGCTCAGGAGGTTGGACTCCTAATGAAAGAATGGGATCGAAGTGAGCAGCATCTGATTTTTATGAGAGACTGCTCTTGTCTACGACCGGTCATCCACGAAGAAGCGAAGCATCACCCGAGGGACATGGGGTTTGGGGATTTGAGTCGTTGTGAGGCAGTCGATGTGTCAAGGACAACCTCAGTTTCTTGGTAATTGATTTGACATTTCACAACCCATACAACAGAATTAGGCAGTCACAACTTTCCCAGTCACGGTTTATATATTGGGTGTGATCATCGGATAATCAACTGCGAACATAGACAGTCTCACGGCTTCAGACAAGAAGTCGAATGAGGAGACTGGGCATGGTTTGAGCAGCTTGTGAGATTATGCTGAGTGCTTCGTGATTGAGGCGTGAAAGATGGACGAGCACTTTGGTTCTCCAAGGACAACAGAGTGACCCAAACTAGCACCTCACTGGAACATCGCTAGTTACACAAGCCACTGGAGGCCAGCTGGCAGTCTACAGGAAACTCACAAGACCATCTTGTTTTGCATGCATACCACAAACATCGACTTCATCAGAGTTGTGCAGGCAGCCCCCCAAACCGGCAATTGTGGTCTCCGCCCTTTTGGCCCAAACCCGGAGACGGAAAGGGCCACAATACAAAGACAAGATCCGGAGGCTGAGCCGGGTAGAGGACCTGTTGTGCTTGCTGCTCTGCGTGCAGCCGTCTGCCCCGGAAGGACTTGAGATGAACGTTGTTGCTATGCCACGTCGCTTCTGTGGCTATGCCTGGCTCGCGACAATGTCCCACAAAGAGGCAAGCGGCCGAGGAGGCATCACAGCCTCGGGCGGTTGTTGGCAACGCCTGCATTATCAAGTATACATGCCGTTACACGAAACGGCGCAGTCCCCCGGAAGCTTCTAGAGTCCTCTACGCTCCAGGAAGCCTTTGACTACCTCGCTCTTCGGTCTTGTGGTCTTGTGTTCCGCCGCGGACACTGCCGTCGAGGACAGTGTCACCCGTTCTTTGTACAATGTGGACGCCTTTCCCGGATCCAAACTGCCGGCATCGCAGCTCCAAGATCTCTCACAGACCAAGCTCCCAGCGGAGGTAGCAAGATATTGAACAATCTGGCTAGGTTTAGGCTTGTGCATGAGATGATCTACTCGAATCCTTCTAAATGCTTTCCGAACGTCAAAGTCAGCCATCCCTGATGCTTACTCAGTGATCTCTAAGGTCTTGTGTCACCAGCCTCTGTGCCTGGAAGCTGCCCCGCGTACAAGACTGGGGACTCTTTTCGTGCCAGCTTCCATCACTCGAGTCAGCCAAAGAACGGCCGTTGCTCACAACCGGGGCTGTAGAGTGAGTCAAAGACGTGCAACCGAGACACCAACTTGTCTGGGCGATGCTGCCGGACACGCGTCCCCGAGCAAGTCGTGAGACTGCTGGGACGCTACTGTATGGGCCGCAGCTGAGTTGATGCAGACGACGTACACGGCATGTGGTTGCAGGTTTTTCTCACTGCAGTCGGGGCAAGGTGCTACTCGGCAGCCAGGCATCCGAGATGCCTGCATATGCTGCTATGTTCGGCCACTCAGACGATGGCGACGCCCCAGGAGCAACAAAGAGGCTCGTTGCAGGTGGCTTGCAGGTCCATAAAGGCCCTTGGCAGCCCAGAAACTGGACTGAAGACGAACAAAGCCCCGGCCGACACACTTGTCTGAGTACTTCTGACAAGGCCTGGCCGCAACCAAATCTTGGTGTGGTTCGTTGCCCCGTAAACCGGCGGCACTGCTTGCACCTCCCCTTTCTCTTACCACACCACTTGTGTTCTTCAAGACACTGCTTTGGCACATCGCTGTCTCACTTTGCAACTCAAGACCAACCATGGCTACCCTCCATCAACTAAGACCCGTCAGCCCTGGCGCCAGCTCCGGCAACGGCGACATCGAGAAGTCCTCGACCGTGCTTGAGAAGAGGGCGTCAGCCGACGGCAGCAGTCTCCCCGCTTCAGTACTTTCCTTTCGAGCACCTCTCGACACCGTTACTGAGCGCAACTTGCTTCGCAAGATTGACCTACATGTTTACCCGATCCTATTTGTCATCTACATGCTCTCTTTTCTCGATCGCATCAACATCAGCAATGCTCGGATCCAGGGGCTCACAGAGGATTTGGACATGCATGGCAATGACTTCAACATTGCCCTCTTCGTACGTCGCACTCTCTCGTCGACCTAATCCCAAGGAAGCAGATTGCTGACACTTCTCTCAAGGTCTATTTCATCCCGTACATCCTGCTGGAGATCCCCAGCAACATGATCATTCGCAAGTTCCGGCCATCGACATACATCTCCACCCTCATGATGAGCTGGGGCATCGTCAACATGTGCATGGGCTTTGTAAAGACATATGAGGCGCTTGTCGCTCTGCGGTTCCTTCTCGGCGTGTTTGAGGCCGGGCTCATGCCGGGAATCGTGTACCTGACGTCCATGTACTACAAGCGGCACGAGTTCCAGACGCGGATGAGCATCTTCTTCTGCTCGACACTTGTCGGCGGAGCGTTTGGTGGCGTGAGTGATGAATGCCATTTCCATTTCACAATATGCAACTTTGTTATCTATATCCCCCCTTTCATCTCGACTCTCTCAATAGTGTTTTCTTTACTAATAACTGACTCAACAGCTCCTTGCATACTCCATCTCCAAGCTAGGCGGCACAGCCGGCCTCGCCGCCTGGCAATGGATCTTCATCCTCGAGGGCCTCGCCACCGTTGTCGTCTCACTAGCCGCATACTTCCTCGTCGTCGACTGGCCAGAGGAATGCCGCTTCCTCACCCCGTACGAGCTCGCCCTCCTCAAACAGCGCCTCGAAGATGACAACCCCTCCTACTCCTGCTCTGCTACCACACAGACCTCAGCAGCAACGGCACCATCCTCGTCCACGCGGATGGACACGCTCAACCGCTTCACCGTGCGCCTGATCCTGCGCGACTGGAAGATCTGGCTCGCGAGCGTCGCGTACATGGGCATCGGCACGACCGGCTACGCCGTGACCTTCTTTATGCCCAGCATCCTGCTCGAGTTTGGCTGGGCCGCCGAGCTCGCGCAGCTCTACACGATCCCCGTGTACGCCGCGTCGGCCGCGTGCATGGTCGGCGCGGCCGTGATCTCGGACCGGCTGGGCCACCGGTACGGGTTCATCCTGGCGGGCGCCCTGGCGTCTACGGTCGGGTACGTCATCCTGCTTGCCCAGGACGGCGGCAGCAGCAGCAGCAGCAGCCACGCCGGCGACGCCGAAGGCACCGCCCTCCCGCGCGGAGTCAAGTACGCGGCCGTCTTCCTCGTCGCGGTCGGTGGGTACACGGGCACGCCCATGTGCCTGGCCTGGCTGTCTAACAACGTCTCTGGCCACTGGAAGCGCGCCTTCAGCTCGGGCATCCAGGTCACCGTCGGGAACCTCGCCGGGGTCATCGGCGCCAACATCTTCCTCGCCGCCGAGAGCCCCAGGTACCCCACGGGCTACGGCACCGCGCTGGGCATGACGTGGATCGGAGTCGCTGCCGCCTCGGCGCTGTTCTGCGGGCTGCTGGTCGAGAACAGGAAGCGGAGCCGGGGCAAGAGAGATCACCGCCTGGAGGGGCGCACCGAGGAGGAGCTGCAGAACATGGGGGATTGGCACCCCTTGTTCCGGTTCACGCTGTAGTCTATCCAGGTTGTGACGTGGTTGTCAAGGCGTGCTTCCCACTTACCTTATTGGGTCTTTTGTACTCGGAGTGTCTGGGAATGCCTGTTACTACGCATGATGGGCCATGGGAACAACCGGGAAGAACTGGACTGTTCACCTGGCTTTCCTAACAGATCCGCACTATTTTGCTTGGAGTTAGACTTCACCACAGACGAGATGGCGCCGCAACGGCTGACCTTATTGGAGCATGATGGGATGAGAGAGTCTGTGCTAATTCATAAACATTGTATGGAGCTCCGGGCAGAATCGTTGGGACGGACGCTGGCAAGCACTGGGCACCATCGCCTCTCAGGGTGGAGAAGATGGCACTTCTCTTTGGTCTCATGGTAGGTCTGCACATTGCAGAAATTCAACATCTCTCTTTCACAAGCTGCTGCCAACTTTGACACTATGGGTGCTTCAGCATGGACTAGTTGCGCAAAAGTCGTCACATCAAAATCGATTGCAGGGATGATGTTCTCGATTATGTTTATTGCCGTTCTGGCACGATGCCCTCTATAAATCGACTGCGCGATGAGGATCATTATCTCTTCACACCGCTGGTAGTAGCTGTGTGTGTGCGTGTGCGCTAATGATAAGCCATGTTTGCTGCTCGCCCGCGAATTCTGGCTGGAATGTAGATACATATTGGGTCTTCACCGATCGACTCGTCTCCCCCATCTCCCAGAACTCCGTCGTTGAAGTCGCTTGTAGTTCTCTTCCACCAAGCTTTGTGCTCAGCAGTACGCGATGTTGCAAGAGAAAGACTCTTTGGGGCGAGCCTCACAACTGCCGCTGACCCCGCCAGGTGGGCCCAGTCGCACGCACAGTTGTGCCGCCAAAGTTGTGCAGCCGTTCACCCATGAGGTAGGCCTCGTCGCGGATGCGCACCTGCCAGCCGGAGACGATGCGGAGGATACGGCGCGACACAAGGATTGCCAGCCAGAAGAGCGCAGTAATCGGGTACGCCATCCGGTACGCCATGACGCGCTGCTCACGCGTAATCGTGGTCAGGTGAGGGACCTCATCAGCACCGGCACTACCGTCCTGCTGAGAGAGGTTGCTGTTGCTTGTATCAATGAAAAGGCCGGACAACCAGAGCTTGGCGAAGATGGGGGGTCCAAAGATCAGGAGCGAGCCGACCGCCATGCCAGGTATGACGAAAGCACGTGTCAAGACACCGACATCCGGGTCAAGCCACCCGCGTCTCAGCACTGCCCGCACAGCATGGGCGGGTCGCCCGCCGTATACGGTCAAGGCCCGAGACCCCAGTTTGAGGTATAAGATGCCCAAGGTCCACGCCTGTATCACCCGAACCGTGTGACCTTGCTGCAGGCCGTCTAGGCGGGTCGAGTTGGACGATGAGATGTATGTGTGAAGTGGCATCATCACATAGAGCTCGACCACGACCGTGATGAGAAGTGGGAACACGACGAGGAGCATGGCGTATGCGTAGGCAAGACGCGCGGTTTGACGTAGAACACGCTGCCCGCGTTGAACGACATTCTGTGCAAGCATTGTCTGCAGCCTGACATGGAACCACTCGGAAACGTTGGCCCAGGTTGATTGAGCATGAAGCAGGAAGTATCCGAGAGAGCCAAGAATGTAGATGCCTATGCTAAAAGCATAAATGTCGTTGGTTCGGATATGCGAGGGGATCAGCGCCTTGAACATCTGACGGCCAAATACGAGCGGAATAATGGTGAACCCAACTCCCGTGACCGCTGCAAAGAGCCAGATGAAGAGGATGAATAGGAAGATGCGGAAGCGGAAGAACGGCGGGACATAGACAAGTTGGTAGTGGACGCCAGAGTATATGTCAGTTTCTGGGAGATCCGGCTTGTCGTCGATCCGGGCGTTGTGCTCCGACACCTCAAGGAATACAGGCTGGCCCTTAGTGATCTTAACCTGGTCAGAAGCTGGTGACCGTACGAAACGGCCATTGCCTACTAGCTGTCCGGACTCGACCAATGCCTTTTTCTGGTCGCTCAGATCCTCCAGCCATTGCTCCGACAGCATAGATGTCGGGGTGGAATGTCCACCCTCGAAGAAATTGGTCCAATTCTTGGGAGCAACTTGCCCCTCTGGTGTAACCTCAAGGAAAAGCCTGCGCCACCACGGCAGGTCTCGATCGATCTGCGCAGCAGAGGTAATTAGACTGCCCTCTTCGTCGATCTGGCGTTCGCCAAACAAGAACCAAGTCAGGCGGAGGCCGCGAGCGCAAGTCCGGAACCACCATGTGTACATGGAATGCAACCCGTCGCTTGGCTTGAAGAAGCGCACAGCCAGGGGCATGAGGAAGTTGTAGAAAAGGAGGTCTATCGGGAATTCCAGAACTGGTTCGTTTGAGGAGTAGTGGATAGGGAGCACATTCGGTAGTGCCATTGACAGACCCCAAACGACACCTCCAAGGCACACGATGACGAGTGCCCCATAGACAAATGCCGAGAACATGATCTTTCGGAGCTGAGTAGTCACATTGCGCTCAAGTACATCGCGGACGGGATGAAATTCCGGGTCATCGGGATCTCGGATGAAGTCTGCTGATCGTTAGCATTGAGGCAAAAGAAGAGTGAAGTCCAAAGGAGAACGACTTACAAAGCACGCCTTTCCGCATGATCTTGCGACACATGGCCACGAACAAGGCAAAATGAAACATGTAACCCGTTCCGACAAACCAGTGCACGAAGATTGACGTGAGTGGAAAGTTGTACGTGAACAGCATTCGAGACTTCAGTGTAGTGTCTTCAAAAAGCGGCAGCAGGGCAAAGTCGAGTAGCATGCCGCAGTAAAGGGGGAAGACGAGCATTTCAATGCTGATGATGAGAATCACCTTCATAACACCGCTAGCCTGGTTCAGCGCATCAATAATGGACGCTTCCCAGTCTTGTGTCGCCTCGGACGAAGAGAATGGTCGACCACGACCGAGGTAAAGTCCCGCAGCGAAGGACAAGGCAAGGTATCCGGCAAGCACAGCTAACGTACGATCACTCGCATCCCAAGAAGCCAGCCCGGGATTAACTGTCGAGGCTTTCTCGGTGATATTGAGACTGATTGTCCATGAGCTTGGCTCGGTCAGAATCGATGGCGATTTACGGAGCATGTCGATTGCCGCTGGCATATTGGTCATGACGACCTCGCGGACTGTGCCTAGCTTTGTAATGTAGTCGCCGCCGAAGAGATAATCCAGTGTAGCCACTACACAGTTGATGAGGTAGCGAATGTCGGCTTTGACAAAGTCAAGAGCTTCGTGGCTGATTGCCGAGAAATTCCTCATTTCGCTTGCTGTGATAAGATGAAACTCGGACAATAAACTGGTGGTGGTGCGATTGAAAGCTCCCATGGCAATGTTGATGGTTTGAGCGTTGGCGCGTTCCAGGACTTGGCCACCAACATCGACATGAAACGTGCGGCGCCAGAATTCTAACAGTTTGAAGAGAGGAGCCACAGAGAACCCTATGATCATGAGGGCGCAGTCCTGTACGAATTTGGAAAAGCTGAAGGCCATGCGGACCAGCCGTGTGGGATTGGCGATGACCCAGACAGCAACCCGACCAATATTGTAAGGCACGAAGATGCCTAGGAAGATGCTGATTGAGACAAGGAATGCGCAAAAGATGGCATTCTGGAACAAGCCAGCGAGCGGACCACGCATGCCGATGAGCTCCATGATGCCTTCGAAATCTTCCTGGTCCTCCAGAGCTTCAGGGTCAAGACCGGCTGCCACTGCAGCCTCCATAACATCTGGCGCCAGCTCGTCATCCAGATTGCCAGCGTCGTCCACTCCGAGCCCGTTGTCTATGAAGGGAGCAGCCTGATCGTCACCGAAGATGTCGACAGCATTCTCGCGGGCGAGGTCGTCTAACGCGTCCGCATCCACATCACCCCACATAAAGTCAGCCATGCGATGGACAAACCCGGCTGGCTCTTCGCGGCGGGCCATGTTTCCTGCTTCCGCTTCAGGACCTTGCATCGATTCCTCAATTGGAGGACCGGGGGCTTCGAAGCCATCATCAAGATCGGCCTGGTCTTCCCAGTTGTCTGGGATGAACGCATCATCTAACGCGCCTTCTGATGGCTCTCTATCGGAAAGCGCTGGTGCTTCGTCGTGCCTGGCCGCCTCGACTGTCCACGGGGCGTCGTCTGCGGATGGAAACGACGTATACCGGAGCTCGTCAAAGTCGGCAACGGGTGGCGTCGCACCCTCGGCATGGTTGAGTTGCGGGGTACGAGAAAACGACCAGTTGTTGTTGGCGAGCGGGTTGATCGTTTCATGCCTCTGGGGTCCATCTGAGATGGAGCGAGGCCGACCCGAAAATGTCGATGGCGACCGGAAAGGCGAAAGTCGTCCTTCATCATTGGTTTGCTGACCAATCGCTTCACCGGCCTGTCTGCCGAATGTGTGCCAAGGCAAGTTCGCTGGGGCTCGAGTGGCATCGAGCTCGTCCGAAGGTCTGGACTGCTCTTTTCCCTTGCCCTTTTCGGACGTATCAATATCCCCAGATTCTAGATTCGTCCAGTCCCATGTCGAGGACATAGTACTGAATTTGCCGTTGTCCTCTTGCTCAATAGCCTCTGGTGAAGGAGGGGCTGGCGGCAGGCCCTGCGATTGAGGTGGCATTGGTCTTAGTCCGTTGGGCTGGGTCGAGGGACTAGGCTGCTGTGGCATCGCCAAGGTTATTCCAACCCATTGCCGAAGGCGGTCTTCTAAGCCCTCTTCTCGAATTTTTCGCAGGATGCGATCTCGATCACCGCCCTCCTCACGATATATCCGCAAATACATGCTGACTGTACTCTGAGGAGCATTGTCTCGAAGTGCACCAGCAAGTACCGCTGTGTAGTCATCGCCCTGCTCAGCCGCTGCGCCATCTCTTGATTGCCTAGATTCGGCGAGAGGTTCATCTGCTACAGGGCCTTGAGAACTGTCTGTGTTCATACTGTCGGGCAAATCCAGTGTGTTTTGCATGTTTTGTCGTGCAGCACGGCGGCGTAGAACGGCGATGCGCCTGTTTTGTATATTTGCTGGTGGATCGTGAGGCTCAAGAGGTCGTCCATCCTGTTCGTCAAGGTGGAACATCTCAGGCTCGAAGTCGTTGCCGTCAGTGCTATCGTTGTCCTGTTCCGCCACCTCGTGTACCTCCACTTCTCCTGGGGGCACCGCACCAGCTGGTGCCACAGGCGGGTTGTCGTCTGCAGCCGCCAATGCGGCTCGCATATTCAGTTCCGGCTGCTGTTGTACAACATAATCTCTGACCAGAATGATCAGAATAAAACAGACGATGACGAGGATTGTGATGATTTGCCCTTCGAGAACTGTAATGATTGTCCGATTGATCGCCGGGTGCCGCGTCAGGTTTCGAAGCACGCTCACCTCACTGAGCAATGATGAGGGCCCGGATTCGACCGCACTAATGGTGACGTTGGTTGTGTCGATTGCATCAATGCCGTTTAGAGGAACGTCAGTGGTTCCGTCGGTCAAGGCAGCATTGCTGCCAAACAGTAGGCGCAACAGAGACATCCACCATGGCTGACCGGCCGCAACGTTGATCGGCTTGAACAGTGCTTTCAAGAGCCTATCGTTGAAGTCGCCCAGACTAGCCGCGGTTGTCGGGTGACCTTGATGCTCGAATAGTGGTGACGAAGGACATGTCGCGGAACCAGGACCTGATATAGAAAGCGAGTATCCTTGTCGACCAGAGAGATCGAATGTCGAGCCCGTAGCAGTTGGTCCTGGCCCGAATCCTTCGTCACTGATCCAGAACAAAAACGACCAAACTGAGCGCATCAGATATGGGAGCCAGCCAAGCCACACGCTCGCGACCAGTGTAGCACGTAGCCACACCAGAACATTGCGGAAGATATACTTCGCCATGTGTGTTACAAAGACGTGGAATGGCAGCCGTTTGGGCATGTCTGGGGAGTAGAGCTTTGTGAAGCGGAACGGTGTCTTGCACAGCTCACAATGTTTCTTCTGCGAATGGGACAGCCACTCCATCAGGCAGTCCTGGTGGACGTATTTTATACTCCCACTACATTTGCAAGGGTAGAAGAGTGGCTCGTCTGGGGTAGCCTCGCCTCGGCATATGCGACATGTGTCTGGATCAGCGGGGTTCATATCGTTGATCGGTCGTGATGTCGAACTCGCGTCAGCACCGTCTTGGAATGTCGTGCTCGGCAGTTCGTCGTCCATGGTAGGCATTGTGCCGCCGCGCGGTCTTTGTGGGTAGCTTCTGGCGGGTTTTGCGTGGTCGCCCCGAGGGGTTGAAGTCGAGTTGGTCTACACCATGTGAGGATCCGCCCACGGCGATTGAGATCCCTAGCGACTTCTGAGGAGTTTTGCCAGTAGAAGATGCCAGAGCGAGTGATGTCGTTTTATGAGGATACTTCGATTGCCCTCAAAGCTGTGGCATTCCTGCCTCGTGTTCTCTGGATGTCGGTGCCTGGCCGCTTGTCTCGCTTGATGGTCAGGCTCGGCCCGACCAAGGCGACAGGGTTGGCAGTTCGTTGCCAGAGGCTGTGGCTGTGAAGGTTGCGCTCGTCGCGGCTATTGGAAATCAGGCAGAGATATCAGAGTGCTTGTCTGTCGAATGCGGCCCGGGGACGCGAGCGTGAATAGGGGAGTCGTCGAAGATTTCCCCTCGATTCGATGGCGGGATCTCGAGATGCTGCGATGGGGGTACATTAGGTCATGGTCAGGGAAACAATAATCTGGACACGTGCGGAGAGCGAGGTCATACAGTGCTTCTCCCACGGAACGGAGACTGCTGAGTAATCGTGTGGAGCCGACCACCCTCGACTACTTGAAAGCCGGTCCTTGGACCACAAGATTGATGGTACACTGACCCCAAGTTTCCTAATCCATGGCTGCGTCCCCGACGACGAGATACTGGCATATTGAGACGTGGAATCGTGGCAGGCCTGCCAGTTTGACTACGTAAAGGTAGTATCAAGACTCCATATCCACAGCTGCCAATTCTGCAAGAGCTTCATGCCGAACCACGCCCAACACAAGTGGGTCGCCGGCATGAATGCCTTGCAAATGTCCGGGCGCGTTGTTCGATGCTCCGGAGTCCGTTCTGATGTGCACTTCGACCCTGTTTCATCCGAGTCTGCTAAACAAAGGCCTGCATAATGGCCGTAGGTACCTAGTTACTTAATGCGAATGTAGAACTTTGTTAGTGCCCGGCCTTTGATGCGTGAGAGCAAGGGCCCACTGCGGTGCTTAGCACGAGCCGAGAGTAAGCTTCGCTAGAAGAACTGAATGAAGAATGGACGACGGCGCAAACGGGCGCGAACTAGAAATCACCCTAGTATTCTCTCAATCATGCACAGCTTACCTCGACAATCTGAAATCTAGGGAACTCCAGCAATGGGTCAAAGGCCATATGTGCAGTTCTGGCGGGGAGGCTCTGCTCTGCAAGCCTAGGGACCCCAGACGCGACGATCCCGATGTGTTGCGTCATAAGTTGATGGAGGTTGAACGGCATAAGCTTGCTCTCGGCAGAGCGATAAGAACTCTGGCTTTGTCGAGTCTGGGCGATGCCTTCGGCGGACGTGCTTCTGGACTTCCGAGGATCTTTGTCAAGGTCTGAATGTGCTGCTCGACAGGTTCTCATGGCGGTCTCGACCGAATTCCGTACCATATGAAGGTTCTCCAACACATCTTTAGGACGTCATTATTAAAGATGCGACCTTGTATCGCGATCTGCCTGTTATCTGAAGTCGACATGTGGTCGATGTGGGTCTCATCAAGAACATCATCCCTGTCAGGCTGTCCAAAACAGGTCTTCAGCTCTCGGACAATGGAGATGGGTGCTCCCCCAAGTGGACAACAAGCCATGTTCGTTGGCGCTGTCTGGCTTTGAGTCGCCGTGCTACGACAACGCGGGATTATCGATACAAACCCAACCGTACATTGCCTGGAATATGAAGCAAGGCTATCCTCCATGGCCAGCCAGCCCGGCGAGCAGATGAATTATTGTCAGACCAGCTCATTCGACTACCAGCAGGAGTGCTGCAGATGCCATTCACTGATGGTTGCTGGCGCAAGATGACGTCGTTGCTGCCAAGTTGGCGCGAGCTTGTGCCCGTGGCTGCAGCGCAATGGTGTGTGCCGGCACCAAAGCTCATTGGCTGCAGGCAACCGAGTGGTGAAGGCTAGCAGGGCTGATCGACCCCCGAGATGCAGATTGACAGGCTCGCGCCGGATACAGAGAGCAAGCCACGAGAGACACGCGGGCGGGCACTGGCAGCCCAGGTGAGACCGGAGCAGGCCTGGCGCACGTCAAGCTCGCTCGCGGGGCCGATGATGTTTGCAGCAGAATGACGGCCGAGCTAGGGCTCGCGAGCAGACCAACCCAGACCAGAACAGACCCTGGTCTAGGGCCGTCCGTAGACTCAAGAAGCAGCAACGGGCACCCCCATCATCACCACGTCGCAACTTCTCCCAGGCCTGGGAGTTTTTGCTCTTTCATTGCTCACCATACTCTTGTGCTTCTCGGTACTGCGCGCGCCGACCAGACTGCCTGTCTCGCGCCCTCACTCTTGCTATCGCAGCATCACCAGGTAAGCACGTCCTTGATGCTCTCTTCTTTCCATCCGTCACATGTCGTGGCAAAGTCCTCTGTCCAGCTTGTCCGCGCGCTTCCACGAAGTTGGTATGGTCAGTGCAGCCAACCGAGGTTTGCAAGACCTGGGCTGACCTGGCTCGGGCTTTGCGTCTTGTCGATTTTATCCTCGTCGTCGACTTGTCAAGTTGCACGCCAGCTCGCAAAGCTCTGGCCCTCGTTGTCCCTCGGTGAGGTTCGCATGGCTCACACCCAAGCAACCGACATCTCTGGTCTGGGGTTTTCTGGCCTTGTGGGACTTGGGCCACCACAACGCTGGCGAGGCTAGGCTGGGATGAAACACGCCCGTGGCGGAATTACGAGCGACACCCTGAACTCCTGGCTTGCATCTCTGACGCTTCCCGGAGCTCCTTGGTTACATAAGCCACGGATGTCGTCCCATCTCTGTGGTCCGCGTCGTCATCACCTGCGCGTTATCTTTGTCTTTCCGCTTGAACCTCATTCTTCGTCGATCTGGCGCCCGGGGCATTCCACCGAAGTCTTCGAGATAGAGCAACGTAGCTGACCAGACCTACGCCTTCCCAGAACCCCGTTCGACCAAGCGACGTTTCCGGATACCTTGCCCCACCACCCGCCGCGTCTAACTCTCGCGACCTCGAGGGACGCCTGTGTGGCCTGGAGCTGCCAGCACCCACTCACTGCCTGGCCGACTAGCGCCGCGCCGTGCCCAGGAGCTCCCCGCCCAGATATCTTTCAGCGTGCTGAATTGACGGTGCTCTAGAGTGCGCCTGCGAGACGCGACCTCTGCCATTTCCCACGACCAGCAACATCGCCTCTGCCCCCGTACGATGGGTGCCGCAAAAACAAATGGCCTCAACGGCCACACAAACGGCTCCACAAAGAGCCCCAAGAGCAACGGCCATGCAGCGGGCCCGATCACAAAGCGATCTTCGAAAGTGCGCGCAGGCCCTGGCCTGTTCGCGCGGCTCTTCAGCATGGTTGCGAGGTCAGTCCACCACGTCTGATTATGGCATTGTGTCCGACAGCTTGCACGGAGCAGCTGGAAGCTGTGACTCGTTCGTTTTGCTGACTCGAGGATCCCAGACTCTTAACATGGTACTCCATCATCACTGTCCTCTTCCGCTGCCCGTCGACACTCGAGGAATGTAACGAGACGACGCCCCAAATCTGCAAGCCATACTTCCAAGCCAAACAGGTGATATCACCGCATCTAAGCCCCTACTACGATACCTACGCCGCCCCTTACGTCGACCTTGCCAAGCCCTACTACGAAACGGTTGACCGTGTCGTCATCACTCCTGGACGCAGTTACGCGGTCAAATATGCTGGCCCCCGCGTGTCCCAGGCCCAAGCCTACGGCAAGGCGCAGTGGGAGAAGAGCGTCCAGCCACAGATTGCCAAATACCAGGATCTGGCTAAGGGCCACTACGCCCAGACTCTTGCTCCTCATGTCGACTCTGCGTCCAAGGCCATCGCTCCGTATTATAGCATTGCAAAGACCAACGCGCTACAGACATACCACGAGATCATCTTCCCGGCCTACGTCGCGGTGGCACCCTATGGAATTCAGGGCTACAATGCCGCCCACGACTTCACGGTGAAGACGGCAATCCCGTCCGGTCTTTGGGCATGGAACATGACCAACAAGTTCCTCGACACCACTGTCTGGCCACATGTCCGTGACATGTACGCCGTCAAGGTTGAGCCGCAGCTGATCCGCATTGGCGAGCGTCTTGGCCGGTACAGTGAGAAGAAGGCGAAGCCCGCGTTTGCCACCGAAGAGGCTGTCGAGTCGTAAGTCTAGACATCTTAGCAACTTTTCACATGGGCATAATGGGCTGACCGTTTTCCCCCTTCCTTAGTTCAACCACTTCCAGCTTTGCCAGGCCGTCCGCATCAGTATCCAGCGCAGCTTCCGTCGTCTCCGAGAGTGTAGCATCCGTCGCCTCAAAGGTTGTGTCGGAGGTCAAGTCCTTGACAGCCACGGAAGAGCCCAAAGCGACCATCGCTGATGCATACGAATCCGCCGAGAGCGACATCATCCCAGAGAATGATGAGTCTCCTCGCGAGGCCGCCGCACGAATTGTGCAAGAGGATCTTGAGCTCTGGGAGGGCAAATTCAGCAAGGTTGCGGAAGAAGGCGCCTCCGAAATAGAGGATCGTATCGAAGAGGTTACAGCCAGAATGATCGAGGAGGACCTCTATCCCATTGGCCGGAACACCATCGTCAAGCTGTACAATGTCATCCTGGCGGAGATGGCGACGCTTCATAACGGGATCCGCGAGTCCCTGCAGGCCAATGTCGGCAACATGGAGCAGCTTGACGAGGATGTGCGCGGGTTACTGCGCAAGAGTGGGCTGCCAATTAAAAATGCTGCTCAAGAGTGCCGCGACTGGCGTCAGCAGTTTGATCAGAACCTAGAGAACGAGGTCACCGCGGTCGCCCAGGAGCACTTTGAGATCCTGGAGCAGACGCGCGATCTCGCGATCCAGAAGATTGGCATGAAATGGGCCTGGATGGATGGCATCACATACAAGGACTGGCAGAAGTACCACGAGCTCAAGGACAAGTTCCGTGAGTGGATCAACGACCTGAAGCGGCTCATTGTCACACATCCGGCTCTTGTCGATGCCCAGAAGCAGTCCGCCTCCATTGACGAGGAGGCCATGGGCATCGCGGAGCACGCCGTCAAGGAGCTCATGAAGCTCAAGGAGATTGCGCGGTACAAGGCGATCGCGGGCGACTTTTCGGATAACTTCGTCGAGGAGCAGATGAAGCTTGCGGCCCATGACGCAGAGAAGAGGCGCGCCGAGGAAGAGGAGGCTGCTAGAGTCAAGGCTGCCGAAGCTGAAGAGGCTGCTCTTGCCGAGGCTGCACGGGCTGCTCAAGGCGACTCGGAAGAGTCACAGTCTATCGCTGAGGATGTCATTGACACAGAAACTTCTGCGGTCCCACCGCTCGACAGCTTGACTGAGGAGCCCACCGAGAGCGCTACCGACCTTGCTTCCGATGCGACAAACGAAGCCGAGCCTTTTGAGACTCTGGCTGGTGAAGAACCCGTCCTTGCGGATGGGCCTGAGCAGATCGCTGAAGAGATCGTTGAGGAATCAGAGCAGCCCGTCCCACCTCCCGTTGCCACACCAGAGGTGAAGTCAGCATGGCTCGGTGCCGCAGCTCAAGCAGTTCCCTCCAGACAGCCCATCATCGACGAGGAATATCTCGAGTCCGCTGAGAGTATCGCATCAGTTGTCAAGTCTGACGTTCCTGCGAGCATCACCTCGGCTGCCCAGGCTGCCTACACTGCGGCCATTGCCCAGGCTGCCAATCAATACTCCAAGGCCATGTCTGTGGTGTCGGTCCAGATCTCGGGTGAGCCCAAACCGCTGCAGGAGCAAATGTACAGCTCTGTATCGGACGCCTACTTTGCGGCGCTGGCCTCGGCCAATGCTGGGCTCAACTCTGCCTTGACGGCCGCTTCTGAGGGTGTCTATGGCACGCCCACCACGCGCTGGATGCCCGCCATGCCCACGGTCCCCTCTGTTGACTGGGAACGTGTTCAGAGTATTGCGCAGCAGAATCTCGACGACTCCCTCGGCTGGGCTAATAAGCAGTACGAAGCCGCCAAGGCTGCCGCATCTGAGCAGGTTGAGGCCGCCAAGATTGCGGTAGGTGCCGCCGAGCCATCCCCCAGCACTTATCTTGAAGCTGCACAGAAGCGTGCCCAGAAGATTCAGGAACAGGCGCAACACAATTACTACGCCGGCCTCGGTGTCGCCTATGCGCGCTACTCTGAGTTCCTCTCTGCCGCCTCTACTGCCGTTAGCAGTCTGACCGCCACTCCCACCCCCACCAATGTTCAGGGTTCCGCCTCGTCCGTAGCTTCGGTTGCTAGTGCATCCGCAGCTTCCGCAGCCTCAGTCGCGAGCGCATCGGCTGCTTCCGCAGCTTCAGTTGCTAGCGGGGCAGCGGCCTCCGTGGCTTCGGACGCTGGCCAGATGGCCGCCCAGGCTGGCGAGACCGTCGGCGAGACCTGGGAATCGCTGGTCAGCGCAGTCAGCTCACAGATCTACGGCGCCCCTACTCCCACTCCCTGGTACGAGAACCTGTACGCCACTGCTGGTGACTACGCGGCTGCCGCTGGCGCCTATGCCGCTGCTGCGACGGACGCTGCTGGCCAACAGTACTCTCAGGTAGCCGAAGTCGTTGGTGACTACGCCTCTTCCGCTGGTGACTATGCCGCATCAGCCACCAGTGCCGCTGATTCTCAGTACTCTGCAGTCAGCTCGCTGGTATCTGAGCTGATTGTCGGCAAGGAGCCCACTTTCACAGAGTCAGTCTACTCCCGCCTGGCCGGCGCTTACGACTTTGGCATGGCCTCGGCGTCTAGCCTTGCCAGTGTGGCAGCTGAGACAATTGTGAACGCGGCGAGCGAGGTGACTGAAGGTGCCAGCTCGGTGATCAGCGTTGTCGAGGAGACCGTCGCATCCGCGACGGAGAAGGTGAAGGAGACGGTCGAGTCTATCAGGGATGAGCTATGAGTGGTTAGTAGGGAGGATCAGGGCTCAACCCTCGACGGGCGAGACTGTTCGGGTGCGGTACGGAAGCTGCTCTCACGAGTGAGCTTCTGCGGCCCAGTAAAATCACATATACCCCTCTCAATTTTGTGTTTTTCCCTTTTCGGCACGCGCAACAGTTTATGAAGGGCTGGCTGGAGTCCACATCGAAAGCACCCAGTCACCAACGAAGCACGAGAGAAGGCCCGGCACCACAATCAACGTCAACAACTGTGGGGGTCTGGAGATCCGCGGAGGAATAGATGGACCAGTTGGGGGCCCAAGAGAGGCGGGCGAAGTTTATATCTGAGAGGAAAAGAAATCGTCGAACGGTGGAAAGTGTAATTCTGATTTATCCTTGACTTTTTCGCGTTCTGCTAGTTTGCGTATACGGCGAGTTACTTGTACACTTTATTATCATGAGAGCTGAAGCGAGAGATAGCTAGTACCAGTGGCGGCGGTAACAGTAGCGAGGAGTGAGAGCAGATTAGCAACGAAATAATGAATCACTTACAACTTCACTCATACCAACTCGCTCTGTGTGATGGGAATGCTTGCAATTATGCCTGGCAAAACATTCGGGGCAAATGGTCTGGTCAGCGACAGCACGATTTAAACGTGGGAGGAAAGACAGATGGGCGGCCATGACCAAACTGCGCATTGTGTCCGACTCTCCTTCCAACAGAACCCCTTGGGGGCCAACACGAATGAGTCTACATCCCCGCTGCTAGAATTTCACATGCCGGACGCGGGGAGCCCGCCCCAGCCCAGGGGAAAGCGAAAAAGGACGCACGCGGCAGCCACCACGGCGACCAAGGGGGCGTGTATGTTTGCGTTCATTTGGCCGTGGATATCAACGACAGACAGAAACACGTGCGCCTCGTGCGTGTGTGTTTAATGTGGATCGGCTGGGAAGGCTAACCTTTCTGATGAGTGTCCTGGATCATTGAAATATTAACACATATGCTATTCTTGCTTCCGGGCGTGTTACTTTAGTTACTTTATGACTTTGAGGCGGCTCAGCTTACGTGAACCGGGTTCTTGTTTCTGTTATTGTCTCAGTCTGCGCATTCGGCCAAGAACTCGCGCCCGCTCTGTCTCCTGGTGCGTTGCCCGCTGGCTATTTTCCCCCCGGGGAAGTGGCGTTACTTCCGGCCCTCAACCTCAAACCACCAGCCCCTCCTCTCCCCCAAGCAGGCGGGCATGGGATAATCCCCAGCTCGGTCATTCATTCCAGTCGCACGTAATAGGGCCATCACGTTTTCTAGGGCGTCGTGCTTATTCGCCTACCAGCCCGGAGGGCTTTTCATTCTTTTTCTTCTCCTTTACGTAAAATGCCATGCTTATCCCAGGATAGTTCGCAGAAGGACTGCTGGTTGTATGATTCCGGGACAGCAGCGATAATGGCGGCCTTACCTGACGACTTAGCCAGGATGGTCAGAGAGCTTAGCTCGTCTGCTGCTGACTTTAGCTCGTGTGAGCTAAAGTCTAAGGCTAAATAGAGTAGCGCAAGCCCCCCCCCAGTGGGTAGGGCACAAAAAGGGTGGGAGGGCGAAGGTGGGCTCTACCGCGACTTTCTTGGACATTGCGATATTTTCGTCCAAGACGCCGACCTCGGCTTATGTCCACGCGAGCTGGGATCAGGGTTACCAGCACAAGCTGTGAGAAGGCGGGCCCAGGAGAGTTGGATTTGCTGGGGGGGTTTTCTCAAGCAGTTCGCCAAGGCTGTCAACCATCCATGAGCATGTCATCCTACACACGTGTGCCGGAGAAATGGCAAAGGCCGACAGACGTAGCCTTTGACAGGAGCTCCTGCCATAACGAGACTCGGGAGCGGCAAAGCGGTATACTCGGGAGTGATATTGGATGATATATCAATGCTCGGCTGAAAGGGTATGTGATAGTTAGTGTTGTGTGCACGCTGTGCTTGAAATAGCAGCGGCCTGGTTTTGCTCCGCGTGCAGTATGATGCCGCAACTGCCGGACTGGGCAGGTTGTGATTTCCTGGGCCTGACTGTCTCTGTGTGTCTTTGTGTTGAGACTGTGCCATGGCTGCTACTACTAAGCTGTGGCTTTGGTATTGGATTTCAGGTGTGTTATCGGAGACCGGGTGCCAGTGGCCGGCACTGCCCATCAGATTATGGTTTCCAAAGTCCCCGCCAGCGGAAGATCGGGCGGGGCGACCTGCCTGAAGGGGCAGGTCAACTGCTAGCCGAGCGGCCTAGCGCGGGGACCCTTTGGGAGCGAAGCCCAAGCGCTGGGGGCAGCAGCCTGTCAGCGTCGTGCAATGCGGCATGCGCTATCAGGGCCCGGCAGGGGTCGCTATCGCCAGCCTGGCGAGCCTGGCACCCACGTGCCCCCCTGACTTCCCCAGGGCCCAGCGGCATTGCCATGTCTGGGACAGCTTGTAATTAAGTGCCAAGGCCCCAGAGCGTGGGAGCAGGTGCCGTCTCTGCCGCTCATTTGCTGTGCCAGTCGAGATTGACTGTCGGTTGTCTGGATCCCCAGTGGCAGATCACTGTCTCGAATATACGTAGCCAGCGCTTCAGCGCCGTGATATGTTTCACGAGGTCCACGAATAGCAGCTGTGTGTCCGGCAGTCAGACTCAGACTCTCGGCCCAGGAGGGCAGGCGGCAGGCCAGCTTTGGATGGAGTATCTCTTGCCGTACCTGCATTGGCCAGAGTTGTATTGGAGGTCGAGCATGATGCCCGCCTCGCTTGGGCGGGGGTTTCAGTCATCAGGCCTCGCCAAGTATAGATCTACTGCCAGGGTTGCCAGCAGTTCTACATGCCCATGCACTCCGCCCCCCAATATCAATGGCAATTGCCGCTTCTCGTGAGGTCCGAGTCTGCTGTGTATGGTCTCTTGTTGCCGTCTGCTCCTCTCTACGCTTTGCTGCTACTTCCGCCTGTGTTGCCGTCCAAGCATAACCACCAAAGCTGAACGAGGCTACGAGCATTAGCTCGTTGATCGACAAGTGCCGTCTCACAGACTTACACCAACCGACCACAAGCCAAGCGACGCAGCCAAGTGCCGGGCCCGTCAGATCTTCGTGCAGCACCCGCCTGGCCTGCCACCCTCGTCGTCCTGCATGCCTGATATCCCCACAGCCGGCAGCGCGACATCTATGCAAGGATCTGTCCGCGTGTCCAGCCACAAAGCTGCTCAGCCCGGGGCAAAGACAAGATAGACCGTCACCCACGAGGCACATCCGCCTTTCCCAACGTGACATCAACCCAAACTAGCACACCCAGTCTCTGGTCAAGCAGCAGCAACGTGGACTAGTCTGGCTCGACCGCCACGGCTCCCCCGTCGGACTCCGGAACTGTCTCTCATCATCTCCTCTCCGAGATCTGTTCCGCAAGACACAGCTCCGCGATCAGCTGTCGAGGGCTTATTGTGAGTTTCGAGCATAAGAGGCACCGCTCGCCCTCCGCCACTGACTGTCACTCAGTAAAAGGTCAAGCTAGCAGTGCCGAGTTAACAATCACCTTAGCTCTCTCTCTCCTCACACCCGATATCCATCCATTATCTCGTGTTCCGGCAACACCCAAACCACCCCACACTTTCAACATGAAGACCTCTGCTCTTGTTGCTGCCCTTCTCTCGGCGTGCGCGACTGTGTCCGCCGCCCCTGTGCCGACTCCTGTAAGCTTCCGTACTTTCCCACAGGATGTGTGTCTTGGGCTGACAACCTATTAAAAGCCCGGCATCCCCTCTGGCTCAACTGCCAAGTCGCAGCTTGCTGCCTTGACCGTCAAGACTGCTGTCGACGACGGCACCTACGACCGTGACCTTTTCCCCCACTGGATCGAGCAGGGCAGCGGCTGCAACACGCGCGAGACCGTCCTCAAGCGTGACGGCACAAACGTTGTCGTCAACTCGAGCTGTGCTCCCACGTCCGGATCATGGAAGAGCCCATACGACGGCGCCACCTGGACCGCCGCTTCTGATATCGACATTGACCACATGGTGCCCCTGAAGAACGCCTGGATCGTAAGTTGTCTTCTCTCTGTTTTCCACAAATAACAATTCCAAGGCGTCGGCCGCTCACAAGATCATGTAGTCTGGTGCCAGTGCCTGGACCACTGCCAAGCGTCAGCAGTTCGCCAACGACCTGACCCGCCCCCAGCTCTGGGCCGTCACCGACAACGTCAACCAGGCCAAGAGCGACAAGAGCCCCGACGTGTGGAAGCCCTCGCTCACCAGCTTCCACTGCACCTACGCCAGCAGCTGGGTCGCCGTCAAGTCGTACTGGGCCCTGTCCATCACCAGCGCCGAGAAGTCTGCGCTCACCACCATGCTCAACACCTGCTAAGCAGTCTGGGGTTTGGAGAATTGTGGCTATGGCCTTATGTACTTCGCTTCTTGTCTCATACTTTGACCTTTGTTCTTTTCTTTGGCGGATATGATATGATTACCATTCTAGCGTTAGCCATGCGGGCAGCGGGGTGTGTTTGTGGTTGTGATCGAGGCGTGCGCTCTGGTCGCACCGATGTGGACTTGGAGGCAGATACTACACTCAATTGCACATATATGTGGTGTCTGAATCATTGCGCGGTCTTCTCTCGCATTCACCTCGTGACATTGTTACGAGCCGTCATTTTCTTGGTGACATTTTTGGAGAAAGTGAAGCTGGAATGAGGCCTCAAGCCGGGGAGCCACAATCGGCGCTGCCTTCCACGCTTGCTTCACGGCGTGGCGTGGCGTCCACCATTCTCAGGCGCGCACTGATGATCTCTTGACACATACGCCTGCACTTTGACAAGGCTAACATCCTTTCTTCGTCACTTGGTGCTTGGCCAACCACACAGCCCTCTTCACCAGTGGACAAGCACGCTTCAAGGCTGACTACACTTCAAAGACTGAATGACTACATACTCTTCGATGGCCCAGATAGGCAGTCCGGCAGTTCCATTCTCAGGGAGTTCGCATGCTGGTGACTCGGCTCAGATTGCAAGCGCCCTCTATTTGCCTCAGAATCACTCAACGATGCGACGACTTCCAATCACCCCAGGCACACCGCCAGAGCCCAAGAACTCCTCGCCCCATGGGAACAAATTTGCTCTTTCGCTTCAGGCCACAACACACTTTCATGACAATCACTCGCGCAGCACCTTCTTCGCAGCCCGCAGGCTGTCCCGCTCACGGCTGAGCACCTCACGGTGGCGACGCGACGCCGCGTCCTCACCCGCAATGAGGTCGAGCTGCTTGGCACTCAGGCTCATCACGAGGTCTGGTCCCAGGATCTTGAGCGGGCTGCCCTCACCGTCGAGCAGGTAGTGGTTGATGGCCTGCTGGCAGATTGTGTCGACGAAGCGCTTGCGGGCGACTTTGTAGTAGCTGGCCAGGGTGTCGACAATGTCCTCGCAGATCTGCTCAGTGTTGTCCTTGGCGACAAAGTGATTCTTGACGGAGTCGATTCTGTACCACAATGCTTCGGTTGGGTCCGAATTGGAAGCGACTGTCTGGATCTTGTCCAGTCCCTTAGCGAGACGGTCTGCCCGCTTCTTCTGAAGTGTCGAGTTGAAGTAATGGTTGAATGTTGTCGGGCGGCCACTACGCTCGACAGCAAGTAAGAATCGCGCATGATCCATGGCCCTCTGATATGCACTGCGGAGACGGTCGACAAGCAGCAGCTGCCACAACTGCTCCCACACCTGCTCGTCGGGACAGAGCTTGGCCAGCAACTGGGTTATGAAGTCATGGACGAGGACGACGGCCTTGCTGGTATGCGAGAGAACAAGCGCATCCCACTTCTCCGACTGCTCTTCAAACACCATACCAAGGATGGTGCCGCCAAACTAGTGCAATTGTTAGCACCCGTCGCCTCGCGACAGTCAAGCATCCACTTACAGTTCCGATCTCTGGTCCCCGGTTCATGGCGTAGACTTCCTTCACGTGTTCCATCAAAGGCCTATTGGATGGCTTCGAACAGACGTAATCCTCGGTTTCGATGATATTCTCGATCTCGATGTACTCTGTCAAGTCAACGTTGCCGTAAAGTTCGTTGGACGTTTTGGATACGTATATTTGCTCACTATCATCCTCTCCATTGAAGTCGATGGAGAATTTATGGCCTTGCTTCCAGAAGTCATTGGCAAAGTTCTCGTTGAGCTCCATCATCCGCGTGGCGAGCTTCAGTGACGGGAGTGTCTTGAACAAAGGGTCTCCAATGTACTGTCCACTCACGGCACTTTGAGCGATCATCTGGAATCTGGAAGCCACCTTGCCCAGAAAAAGTCTCTGTGAGCTTTCGTCAGCTCTCGAGAGACCCATCGCACTGAGGTCCGACTCGCACGCCTTGAGCTTCCGCTCAATCTCAGCCTTGACGTTAGGGAACTCCCGTTTCGATATTTGCATGAGCAACTCGCGTAGACGCTTCTGCAGAGAGGTGATGCCGCACCGATCCACAACAGAAGACCACTCTGGTGCTGAGAAGAATGCGACCTCTGACTGGAGACGTTGGGCCATGGTTGACTCGTTGTCGTCAGCACCACGGTTTTTGACGGCGCAATAGCCAAGGCTCAAGTTGCTTTGCTTTCCAAGAAGCAGATCCAAGACAGCACCCCGAGTCGCCTTCTCCGTAGCGAGATCAGGCTTGGTCAAGACGCCCATGGTACGAGTGCCTCCGGGATCGGCAGCCTCTGCGAGCTTGATGATCTCCTGAGTTGCGATGTCGACATTGCAGGGCATGACAGCAAGGATCCTGGACAGTGGTCAACATTGCCTACGTAGTGCCTAGACGAACCGACTTACACTGTTCTAGTGTTGGCCATGTACGACTTGACCATGTTGCGGACGAGCAGCACATCGTCATCTGTGGTCAAGCCTTTGGAGCACAGAAATGTTAGCAGTGCTTCTTTGCCTTGCTCTTGATAGTACTTGCCTGGGGTTGCATTGCGGAAAATTCCAGGTACGTCGATGACGGTCAGGTGAGATTGCTGTGAGGTTTTAAGGTTTTAATGGTCAGCATGTAATCACTGATGGCCAGAGGGGTTCACCCATTGCCAAACTCACGGAAGGTCCACAGATTTCAATCTTGAGGATGTCCTCGCTGAAGGCGCCTCCCGTGGCTGAGGTATCCGCCGTTCCCATGCGGATTCCCATTGCTTTGTTCGCATCCTCGAAGATCTTAGCCAGCGCCGCATTGTCGAGCTTGGTAGCAGCACGGTGGAAGCCACGCAGCTTCTTCTTCAAGGCCTCGTCGGCTTGAGGACGAGGAATGATGGTGACTGACACGCTCTCGTGGTCCTCACGGCGACAGGTAATCTGTGTGGCGTATCGTGTACAGAGACCAGCAGCGCGGGGGAAAGAGAAGCCTGTCAATCCTTCCAGCACGGAGCTCTTGCCAGAGGACTGGTCACCAACGACGATGAGCTGATCTGTGGTGTTAGTCCTAGCGTCCTTACAGGGTATTCTGAGAGACAGTCGACGGGGTTCTCACCTGTGGTAGAGGGATGATGGAGCCGACGTTAAGCTCTCTGAGCTTGTCGATTTTCGACAGGATAGCCTGGTTGCCCAAGCCATCAGCTGCCGGCGTCGTGGCATCAGAAGCCATGTCGCGATCGTTCCGTTTGGGTTTGCCCATGGTGTGAAATGAAGAGGAAGGAATCGCGTGTTCAATGATGCTGATGTGCGAGCTTAAGGCACTGATGTGTAGTTGAGGTGGGTGTTGTGGGAAGACCTCGTGGTGTTTGGGAGGTCATGGGCGAGCAACGTCAAACGGGGAGGGGCAAGCCGTGCAAGTCTTTGGTCAAGCGAACAATGACCACTCGCAGATCTCAGAAGCAGCAGTTATGGTGCGCAGTTAGTAAAGGTTCCGAGTGTTGCCGTAGTTACCATGACTGCCGTTTGGAAGAGCACCCGATGGGCACTTGAGCCGACGCAACAGGCCGCCACGGACGCAGCGATCCGTCTAGGTAGTCTCTCGCTAGTTCCAGCTGGCCCTGCGGTCATCTGCCCAAGACACTTCTCCGTCGTCCCGTCTGTGCCGTTTGCTCAACTGTAGATATCTCGAAAGGGCAGCGTTTGATGATGATACACGCCACTGAGACTGACGCGAGAACACACATGCAGTCGTCCTGCCGCGCTTTCGTCGGGATGTCCGTGACCCGGCACCGCGTCTTGACTGACTGCCTGCCTGGTGCTGAGAAAGTGTTTCATGCGCGGAATTTTCCGACCCGCCTCGTATTGAAGCCATCGTCATGAACCGCAAGTGATAATACTGTCAACAGGGTAAACAGGAGTGGAGAAGAAGAACGTAATATAAATACAGCTCCTGGGGAATCTCAACTTCTCAGATCACATGGATCGACTGCAGACCGCACGGAAATTCAGCGAGGAGCACAATGACATTGAGGCCAAGCATGTATTGTAGCAGTGCAGAATTCCGTGATGTATTGCAAACTCCAACATGCTACCTTGGCATTGAAGTTTTAAGTCCCAAGCATTCGTAGGCTCAAGGCACTCACAGGTAGATTACGGGCTGTGGCTGCCACCACATCTAGATGCCGTTTGGTCGTACCTTGTCAGTCAAGATGAGCGAGACCACACATGGAGGATGTCGGGAGAGCGGGTATAGTTACGTATCGAAGGGGCAGCAAAGTTGCAATATCATGTTGAGCTTTCACAGCATGATGTTGTGGGGCTCCCATTATTTATTTATTTTCCTTTTATTCTTGTTCCCCGCGAAACATAATTTCGTTGATGATGCGGGTCAACGTGGTAAAGAAGTATGGTATCGTGAACTTTTGATGTAAGAGGGTTTGACAAAGTTAGAGACAGGAAGGAGAGAAACACAGAACCGTGCTCCGAGCTGTGATCGATGCCGCCCAACGATGCTCACTTTCAAATTCGATCACCAGAGTCATTCTAGCTTGTCAGCATACGCACGGATGCTGCGACTACCTCTGGCAATATCTACCATATTTGATCACGTGAGAAGGAACTCGGGGCGCGAACCAGTTTGTTTGCGCTCGGAGAGAAGGGGCTCGAGTTATCTCCAGTCCGGCACATCATACTTTACCCCCCCCCCCCTCTCTTTCTTTTTCCCCCCCAGCGTGCCGCTCAAGAAGACTTATGATCTGTCATTATCTGGCAGATATTCACAAAAACTCAGGCTGTCGAGGTGCATAGGAATAATGATTTTTCATCGCTCGCGTCGCGTGTCAGCTCCACCCTCCCCCCTAACTGCGAGCAGTCTCCCTGCCCTGAAAGTCGCACAGCACCGCATCCCTGAGATGTAACAGTATTGGACACTCCCAAATTTCAAACTCATCAGCTTTGTATAAATCAGACAGCACGGTTGGGCTGAAGCAGCGGGCCATTGTGTCAGCAAGCTCTCTTCAAGCTCGCGCTCCGTCATTTGTGAGGTTTACGCCAGCATAATAATTCCTCCCTTGAATTCGACTCGAGCAATGAGTCGGCGAGCTTCAGGATGCCCCCTGAGGATTTGAGTCGGCCCAAAGAAGACATAGACCGCCTACTAGCCCGAGACAGACCGGGAACCTCAACAGCTGCAACAATTTCAACAACCGCAAGTGGTTCATATTCTAGACAGCCCCCGCCTCACGAGCAACCGAAGCGAGTCCCGGCTGCGCATCCCGCACACGGGAGATACTCACTACAAAAAGGGAAGAGGTCCACCAATTATCATGCTAGGAGAAGAACCACGACCCCCAACCTCAATACTGCTTTCCTTGATAACCTTCCCAAACAGGCAAAGCCAAGAACAAGTCGACCGGTCCGCTTCATGAACAGCTGGTGACTACAAAGTTCGATATTCAAGGCCCATGTAGAAGCTCTGAGAAAAGGAGGAATCGACGTCATAATCCCGCCTCCCAGAGCCGCCGCCCGTAACATGGTCATGATGGTCCAGGCTCGGCCTTGTGATTTGCGGCTCCTCGGCTGGTGGGCTGCTCAGATAGATTACCGGCGCTGAGCTGGCTGGTCCGAGTGGCATCGGCGTAAATAAGGGAGCTATTTCCTGTGGGGGGGGGGGGGGGGGGGACTGTTTGATGAACGCCTCGAGCAGATTGAGGAAGGACAGTATGACCAAGCTGGTTCTTATCCCCCGTTGTTTGGAAGGTGCATCTCTGAGACTGGTGGTTAAGTGGTTCTTCCTTCTTCGAGAAGGTGTTTGCAGTCTTACTGGCTCTTGAAACGACGCCAATTTCGAAGCAGGAGCATGGGCCGGCCTTGTCAAATGACCTTGGCCTCTTCCTGTCCAAGTCACAGTATTCTCCGAGAATCTTTCCGGCGTTGCCAAACCATTGTGGAATCCTGGTGTCATACTCTGTGATCATGGATATGACGTTGATAAATGTAGAGAGGTAGCTATCTGCCGCGGACACCATTCTCCGCGGGAACGTCCATCCATACGCGCAGGGTTGGCACTGACGCAGAGTGGGCACTGATCATGTGTTCGTGTCAAGACGGAGGTTTTGAGAATGGGAGGGAAAATCAAACCTACAGAGAAGGTCGACTTTTGGCTCGACGGTGCAACATGCGACCTCCTTCCTGTCCTGTTGTATGTCCCGTGGTGCAGGGGGTGCCTCGTGGGGCTCGGGTGTTCGGGATCCTCCGCACGCGGTGCAGAGGCCATATGGCGGACCAGGGGGGAACAAGAGGAGGACTGGTGGTCGGCACATGCGAGGATTGAGAATGGACTTGCGCAAAGGGGCACAATTGGTATCGCCGTCCCAACAAGAACGACAGACACTCTGGGGCAGAGAGGCGCGTCGTTGCGGTCACATACTGCGACTTTGGTATTATGCTGGTGTCAGCACACACACAGGGATGGCATCATCCAGCATTGCGGCTCCATGCATGCAGGAGGGTGACAGTGCAGTGCGTGGGTAGTGTGTGTGGTATGTGGTGTGTGGCCTGCATAGCACGCGTCAGCTTAGCACTCCGCAAATGGAACCCATCCCGGCACGGACGACGATCAACGGGCTGCGGGTTCAACGCCCGTTGCCGCTGCCCGACGTTACCTGCATTAGGTAGCTAGGCAGTCACCTTGAGCCTCTTCCATTGCGCCAGACTGTTCATATCTGCGGCCGTGCTGCAATTCGCTTGTTGCTCTGTTGCTCATCTGTCCGTATCCCGTCGTGTCTGGCATCACACGGCAGACCTGCGGCAGTACGGAATTGATCTCCCTGAAACCCACTGGCGATGCATCCTGCCGTTTTTGGGTCGACTGCCAAGTGAGCAGAGAAGCGCCCCTCCGTCTCTGAAAAAGCGCCAGCTGCCCTGCTGAGAGGCGGAGGAGTCACCGCCGCCCCCAAGAGTCATCGCTACGACAGCACTCCCAGGAGAGATTCACGGGGGCCACGGAGAAACGGCACACGACGGTGTCCTTCCGATGTGGAAGGTACGAATCGCGAGCAGCAGCGCCGCGCAAGAAAGAAAGAGAGGATACTGGACAGTCCCATATACGAAACGTAGTCGCCATGTCCACCGCTGCGAAAGCGGCGACCAGAGTGGACCGGGCAGGATGGGAGGATCCGACATTGCCATTGTTGAGGCTCTATTGCCCGAGTACGGCAAAGGTGCGGGCAGATCAGAACAGGCGAATGCGCTGGCCCTTGCTCTGTTAGGTGTGATGAGAAGGCGGCCAGGCCAGGGTCAAGGTGACGCCCGGGGCGGAGCCGGTGCTGTTGAACACGTGCGGCGGATCCGGGGAAAGCAGGCGACGAGATGCATGGTGAGACAGGCGAGACAGGCGGGACGGGCAAGACAGGCAGGCCCGTCCGTCCTGAACAAGGCAGGTGTCGGGCCAGAGCACTGGGAACCCACCACGCGATGGAGATGCCAGGTAAACTCAAAAGCTGCGAGCAGCGCCCAGCCCAGGGCCCGGCTCAGGGCGGATTCAGTCACACAGAGGGCGCATATCGAGCTGAAGTGTGCTCATCGCAAAGACGCGACGTCACGTCGGCGGGCGGAGGGCGGAGAAGGGCGCACTTATGTGCGCCGTCATATACCCCGAAAGAGGCAGCTGGGCGGAGGGCATAACCATGCACGTATCCTGCCAAGAGGCGCCGGCATTTGAGACCCCTGGACCTGGAGTATGGTGGGCGACTAGATGCAACGCTGGCAGGTCAACTCTGAGTAAGAACGTATTGTACCCTAGCGTTAAGCACAACCAAGACCCCTGCTGGCCGCCCAGGGACGAGGCCATGTTCGTGCCTGAGTCGGGGTGAGCTGACTAGCCTCATTTAGCCGATAAGCGAGGTACGGCAACTCAAAGACTAGCCTGGCTACTTCGACAACCTCGGACCTGGCAGGACCCCTGACCAGCACCCACTTTTGAGGAAAGCCGGCACTGAGAGAGGGCGTGTAGCAGGGATCAAACTTAAGATGACCCGTCATGCGATGCCTGCAAGTGCGGTTTCGGGCCCATTGTCAGCTGGGCAGCCCACCGCATGGCATTGTCGGCATCGTCGCCAGCAGTGGACACTGAGCCATCTTATCAGCCGGTCCGGCGAGGTTGGGTGGGGGATCCGGTGACGATCGTCATCCCGGCCGGACCATAAGGAGTATATAGGATCAGGACGTCCGCCCTCGACGACGATGATGTTTCCCAGCCTCAGCAGCAGCAGCAGCAGTTCGCAGCACGCATCTCTCCACGATCTTTACAGTCGGATACCCTTGCATCCAACCGTCCTTTCACACTCTTCGAGTCGTCCAAGGACCACTTACACTCTTTACTCACGATGCGTTCCGCCGCTCTCCTCAGCCTGCTCCCGCTGGCCCTCGCCGCCCCCGTCCAGGAGGCTGGCGCGCCGGTCCTGGTGCCCCGCGGCGCCACTGCCAACTCCAAGTACATTGTGCGCCTCAAGAAGCCCGCCGCCGACGGCTTCAGCATCCAGTCGACGGCCGGCCAGGTGACGTCGTGCATCAACAGCATCGTCGCCGACGCCGAGGAGCGCTACGACAACGTGGGCGCCTTCTCGGCCCACCTCGACGACGCCGACCTCGCCTCGCTGCGGGCCAACCCCAGCGTCGCCTACATTGAAAAGGACGCCACCATGAGCCTCCAGGTCACCCAGACTGGCGCCCCCTGGGGCCTCGCCCGCCTCTCCAACACGGCGCCCGGCTCGACCACGTACACCTACGACGCCACCGCCGGTGCGGGCGCCTGTGTCTACATCATCGACTCGGGTGTCGACGTGAGCCACCCCGAGTTTGAGGGCCGCGCCTCGCAGCCCAAGAACGCCGTCGACAGCGACGCCGCCGACCGCAACGGCCACGGCACCCACGTCGCCGGCACCATCGGCTCCAAAACGTACGGCGTCGCCAAGAAGACCAAGATCTTCTCGGTCAAGGTATTTGGCGCCTCGGGCCAGACCACAAACGCCATCGTCATGGCCGGCATGGACTGGGTCGTCGCCGACGCCCCCAAGCGCGCCGCAGAGTGCCCCCGCGGCATCGTTGTCAACATGTCCCTCGGCGGCGGCGCCTCCCAGGCCATCGACGACGCCGCTGCCGCCATGGTCAGCTCGGGTCTCGCCGTCATGGTCGCCGCGGGTAACGGCGACAGCCTGGGCCGCGCCGTCTCCGCCTCGACCTCGTCCCCGGCCCGCGCCCCTTCGGTCTGCACCATCGGCGCGACCGACCGCTCCGACAAGGTCGGCACCTTCTCCAACTACGGCCCCCTCGTCGACGTCCACGGCCCCGGCGTCTCCATCCTCAGCACCCTGCCCGACGGCCGCACCGGCACCCTGACCGGCACCTCCATGGCCACCCCGCACGTCGCCGGTCTCGCTGCCTACTTCCTCGGCACGGGCCAGACCACCGCCGCCAACGCCTGCAGCTTCATTGTCTCAAAGGCCCAGTCCGGAGTCATCTCGGGCCTGCGCTCCGATACCAAGAACCTCCTCATTCACAACTAAGCATTTTGACTTTTGTTGTTGGAGATCTTTTCTTTCTTTCTTCTGTTTAGCATGAGATAGGGCGTGGAGAAAGCTTTTCAGGCATTTGGTGCGTGGGCAAGGGTGTGTGTATATATAGCAGAAAGAAAACTTCTTGCCAACCCACCTTGTTGCTTTGGTATATATATATAATAGTATATATGAACACATGGCAATAAAAGAAAGTAAAATCTTGCTCCACCTTCACAATTTGGTTCTTCGCTTTCGGCTCAGGCAGTGAGTGTGGCCCAGGTCTGCTAGTTTGGAGCACTCACAGAGTGAGATTGAGAGCTCATCATCCTTCAGAAAATGCTGCGAATGTGTAAACTTTTGACGGAACGATGTCGATATGCAGGAATAGCCAGAAAGCGGGGATGTTGCAGAGACCCAAGAAGGCAGCTCATTACTTTTTGTCTTTCCAGAAAAGCAATGCAAGATGCTAGAGGGGAGACTGCCGGATGACCTGCATGACGTGGTTATGAGCAGAGGTCTCGCGCGTGCCACTCTTATATTGCGGTCTCTCGGTATGATTAATGCGACCAACTGACTGAGAAAATGGCTCGGGGTAGTCTTGGTATCACTATTAGTTTCTGCTTTGCTTGGTCCGAGTACAGAAACTCTTTTCTTTCGAAAGTATACACAAGGTGATGACCTCCCGCCTTTCCCCACATACACACACACTTCCACACGGCGTAGAGTTCCACCTCATGCCATCAAGAAGGTCAAGGCACCAGCAGCATACCCATCCAGCCCGGCCTTGAGCGTCGGGCTGATGACCGGCGCAAAGTAGGCCGAGTGGTTCCCGGGGATCGTCTCGTCGATCGTGCCCTCGGCCTCGGCCTTGTCCCACAGCTCCGGGTCCGTGGCGCCGTACATGAAGAAGCTGTACGGCCGGCCGACGGCCGAGGCGAGGATGCTAAAGTCCTCGCTGGCCGCGAAACGGGCCACGTCCCTGTCGTACTGGCCCTTGCCCTCGCCAAAGTGCCGCGCAAACGTCTCCTCCAGCTCGCCGGTGACGCCGGCGTCGTTGATGGTCAGCGGGAACGCCCGCGTGGTGAGCCACTCGGGCTCCCTGGTCGCCATGCTCGCCTCGCTCTCGGCCTTGACGATGGCTTTCACCCTCCCCAGCACGCGGTCCCGCGTCCGCTGGCTCGTGGCGCGCACGTCGATGGCCAGGTCCGCCCGGTCGGCAATGATGTTCTCGGCGTCTCCCGCGTGGACGCTGGCGACCGTCACCACGGTTCCCCCCTCGGCGCTGTCGACCTCGCGCGACACAATCGTCTGCAGGCGCATGATGGTGCTGGCCGCCATGACGACCGGGTCGACGCTGCGGTGCGGCATCGACGCGTGCGCCCCGCGCCCGTGCAGCGTGAGCCGCAGGCTGTCTGCCGACGTGGCGATCAGGCCCCGGCGGGTTCCCACGCTGCCCGCCCGGCGCGCCACCACGTGAGCCCCGAGCACCACGTCCGGGACGGGGACACCGTGTCTACCGGTGGGAGCGTACAGCCCGTCGTCGACCATGGCCTGGGCGCCCGTGCCGCGCTCCTCGGCGGGCTGGAACGCCAGCACCAACGTGGACCCCTTCCAGTGGTCCCGGCACGATACCAGCAGGGCCGCGGCGCCGAGGAGTGTGGTGATGTGCATGTCGTGCCCGCAGGCGTGCATCACGGGTTTCTCGTCGCCCGAGGGCTCCGCGCCGGGGTGCAGTGCGGCCTGCATGCGCTGGGTGCTCGCGTAGGCCAGGCCCGTCTTCTCGAGCACGGGTAAGGCGTCAATGTCAGCGCGGAGGAGCACCGTCTTGCCGGATCCTCCTCCTCCTCCCGCCGTCCCGCTGCTGGTGTTGTTGTTGTTGTTGTTGTCGAGGATGGCGGCGAGCCCGTGGCCGCCGATGCCCGTCTTGATGACAAAGTCGGGCGAGATGCGGCGCAGCTGGTCGGCAATGTGCGCCGCCGTGGCCTGCTCGCGGTTGCTGAGCTCCGGGTGGGCGTGGTAGTACCTGTAGAGCTCCTCGAGCGGGGCCAGGTCTGGCCGGTGCTCGTCGACCAGCGCCGAGATGGCGGCGGCCTTGGACGAGGCCATTGTGGTTGAGTTCTTGCTTGGGGGGTTATCTCTGTTTCGAAGTCGGACCAGTGACCACCAGTGGCATCCGAAGTCGATGAGGGGCAGGCGGGTGAGTGGGAGTGTCCAAGCACACCACCGGCGTGCTTTCTTCACGGGCGCGACAAAGGACTTTTATGGCCTCTATGCATGTCAGACTGAACGTTGAGTCACCGCCGAGGGAAACCGTCCGACCGACCATACGAGCGGGGGCCCTGTCAATGTCGTACTCGTTGGTGTTGAAGTCTGAGATGCCCGACCATCGGGGCCCCGCCGAAGCTCCGCATTTCGGAATCAGAGAGCCCCACCAACGCCCGTTTGGCTCCCCGTCCGCTCCGGCCCGGAGCGTTTTCTTGCCCCCGGCAACGGAGGGGCTTGACATCACGTAATTTTCTTCGAGACAAGGCTTTGCCCGGAACATTCTCCGGTCAGTTGCATCCCTCACAGCCTCAACGCTTATATTGAGCAGTATCAGCTGCTAGATTGCGCCCCTGCTGGTTCATCAATATTACCACTGATCACTTCGCTGATAGCCATTCGTGGACCGGCTAACCAATTGGGCAACGATTCGAGCCTGGCCTTCTCGCCTATCTACTCTGGGATTCTGCAGACGGATTTTACGCGGATCAGAATTCGATACAGTGGTGTGCTCCCTGCATGTGTTCTTAGCCGCCATGTAGCCGTCAGGGAGAAAACCAATGGATTTATAAGGCTCCAAGAATCGACTTCATCTTCGGTCTTCGTTAGTTCTGTGGCATGACAAGTATAGTCATTCTGCCTCGACACCCAGTCGTGACGGGGAACGCAAGGATACGTAGACAGTGCAAACCCCACAAAGAGCAAAGAAAAAAACACCAAGGAACGCCTGCTCTCAACACACGCTCTCCCTCCATTTAAAGGCCCCCCACCATCTTCACAGCTTACAGCTTGGCCTCGCCCTTGCGCATACTGCCGACCTTGTCCAGCACCTCCTCGGCGTCCCGGATCATCGTGACAGCCAGGTCCTTGCACGAGGGCACATCGTGAATCAGGCCGGCACACATGCCCAGCGACCAGACCCCGGCGTCGACGTCGCCGTCCTCGTACACGGCCCTGCCGCGCTGCCCGCTCACCAGGTGCGCGACGTCGCCAAACTGCACGCCCGCCCTGTCAGAGTTCTCGATCCGGTGCGCCTCGACGGCGACCTTGTTCCGGTGCAGGCGCGACGTGTTGCGGAACCTGCGCAGCACCAGGACCGTGTCGTGCTCCGAGGCCTTGACAATCTCCTTCTTGATGTTCTCGTGGATCGGGCTCTCCGCGGTACACATCCAGCGGGTGCCCATGTTGACCCCCGCGGCGCCCAGGCTCAGCGCGGCGGCGACCTGCCTGCCATTGGCGAACCCTCCCGACGCGAGGTAAGGGATGGACAGCTGCTCCGCGCACAGGCTGAGGAGCATGAGCGAGGTGGTGTCGTACTCGCCCCCGTGGCCCGCGCACTCGATGCCGTCGATCGAGATGGCGTCCACGCCGAGCCTCTGCGCCCGCAGCGCGTGCTTGAGCGCCACGCACTTGTGGATCACCGTGACCCCCGCGTCCTTGACCATCCCCAGGATAGGCGTCGGGTCCCCCGCCGTCTCGACCACCTTGATCCCTTCGTCGATGCAAACCTGCGCGTAGGCCTTGTAGTCCGGGGGAACCATGGCGGGCAGGAGCGTGATGTTGACCCCGAACTGGGAGGCCCCCGGCTCGAGCATGCCGCGCGTGCGCCGGATCTCGTCCCGCAGGGCCTCGGGCGTGGGCTGGGTCAGGGCCGTGAGGAAGCCCAGGCATCCCGCGTTGGCGACCGCCGACGTCATCTCGGCCCGGCCGACCCACATCATGCCGCCCTGCACCAGCGGGTAGCGGACGCCGAGGTGGCGCGTGAGCCAGGTCTCGAAGGGCATCGCGGCAGCAGCGGTGGTGGTGGTTGTGGTGGTGGTCTGGGTGACGATGGTTGTCGTCCAGGGACGAGGGGGAGGGAAGGGGAGGTTTTAAGTCCCAGGCAGTAGCAATGCTTCAACGAGGTAGAGTACAGTTCAAGATACCGAGGGTCGAAGAATATAGAGACAGAAGAAAACAACAATACACAGGAGCAGCGTTCCAACAACCAGATATCCAGCCTCGCCGTCGGGGGGGGGGGGGGCGCAGGGGTCAAAGGCGAGGAGCCTCTCTTCCAAGTCTGGGGTAGCAAGGGGGCCGCCGTCAAGAAGGGAAAGAGCCGAGCTTGGTCCAGGGCCCCGCGCGGGCGCAATGACAGGCCCCACTCTGGCGGCCTAGGTACCATGGGCCGAGGTTTGTTTCCCCATCCTGCCTTGGCCGTTGCTGGGAGTTGTCCAATGCTGGCCGCCTGTCGATTTGAGTTGGTGTGCAGATCGAGTCGTCAGGTAGAGTGTGGCTGCGTCTCATCTTTGAGCTTAACTGCGAGATTGCACTTGAGCTTAAACCAGGCTCATCTCAGATCTCAAACGTTCAGTTTGAGCAAGTCATCAATTAATCTGTCCGCCTCGTGTAGATCGAATGCCAGTCGCCCCTCTGACCTGACACGTTCGTGCTGATACAACGAGACTGGCCACGCGTGTGTGTGCTGCAGCATGCTAAGTAGACCCAACGGAAAATGAAAGGTCCTCTATGAGTTCCATAGAGTATTTGCACCTTTTCACATATAATGCAAATGACAACCATGAGGAATGCCGCACACGACGAGGCAGATGATGGTCGACTCACCATTCTGGCACAGACATAGTTGATGTTGCATGATCATGTATGTATTCAAGATGTCTATGTGGCAAATCATTACCCCATTCCCTCGATGCATCGTCTCGCTCTCTCCAATCCAAGACCGTATCCCAGACCGTCCGCGCTAAAGCCTAAGCAGTCGATGCAATCCACGGCGTGTCATCGCTAACAGAACGTGGGTTCCAACCGAGCCTTACCACTTCACAGACTCTGCAGCAGAGCAGAGAACTTGGGGAAGATAGGAGATCTGTTCATGCTCGCACAGCTACTTGTCAGCCATCATAGTCCCGCATCAACGAAAAGCAAAGGTTAATGAGGAGGAAGCAACTCACCCCCAGCCACTGACTGGATCCCAGCCCTGCCCGGCGGGGAAACCCGTCGTGTTGCAGCCCGCGGCGCTGCCAACGGTGATGTCGTGCAGGACGCTCGGGTTGGCATACTAATTTTCGAGAAGCACCAAATGTCAGCAAACGTGATTTCCAATAAACCAGAGTGGCCATCGAATGGCCGAGTAAGAGGTGGAGAGATGATGGGGAAATAGGAGACGAAAGACGAGAGAAAGAAAAAAGAAAAGGAAACTCACCAAAGCCGGCGTGAAGAACCCAACAGGCCCCTTGCCCTTCTTCAGCCTCTCCTCGTTGACCAGCGTCACCATGCTCGCGACCACGGGCGCGCTGAGCGACGTGCCGCCAATGTGGTACCACAGCCCACCAAAATAGACGACCTGGCGGTCACCGATGGCCGCAATGTCCGGGTATCCCCTGCCGTGCTTGTAGTACCGCGCGTTACCCTTGACCTTGGAGAAATCGCTGTCCTTGACGGGCTGGTCGTAGCCCGTGAAGCCGAGCTTCTGGGGCGTGTTGGCCGAGAAGTACTTGGCCACGGCGGCCTTCTGCCACTCGGGCGCGTCAAAGGCGTTGGAGAAGCCGCCGCCAGAGAAGAAACGGCGGGTCGCAATCTCATCGAGCTTCTCGAAGCCCGTGGGCGGCGCGGTCGGGTAGCCGTTGGTGTTGTTGAAGCGGTTCAGCTCCGTGGAGCCGACGCTCAGCGCGTAGGGGCACTCGGCAAGCATGTTTGTGTAGAAGACGGGCTGCCCAGCGGCGCCGAGCGGGCAGGTGCCTGGGCGGCCGACTCCATCGTCGCCGGACGAGGCGATGACGGTGGTGCCCTGCAGGCCGAGCTTCATGAGCTCGTGGCACTGCCGGCGGATGTAGTTGTCCGGCAGGCCCGAGGCGCCGTACGAGACGGAGATGACGTTGGTCGGCTTGTAGACGCCACACTGCAGGTTGCCCTTGTAGCCGCCTGGGTTGGGGTCCGGGTACGTGGGGTCGAGGCAGTCGGCGGTGTTGCAGTTGCCGCCCTGGTAGGAGCAGTAGCTACCGTCGATGGCGTCGAGGAAGGTGTTGTAGAAGCCAAAGAACTTGGTCGTGTTCTTCACCTGATCCTGCTCGTACCACTCATCGTCGGTCTGGAAGAGTACCGTCTTCTGCGGGTAGATGAGGGGAATGGCCGAATCGAAGTCGAGCGACGACTCGCCGCCCGGACCGGCATCAATGGGGATCGTGGTGGCCTCCTCGACCGCACCGACGGCGCCGTCGATGCCCTTCTCGATCGGGTACGTCCCGTTGGGGATGTGCGGGTAGAGAGTGCTAAAGAAGACATCGAGGTCGTGCTTGCTGTAGTGATCGTCGAGACTCTCAAAGATGCCCAGCTCGTTGCCCGGCTGGGCCTTGCCCTGGAGCTGGGTGATGCCATACTGCTGGCGCAGGCAGTCGGCGACAATGTTGACGTCGCACGACGTGGCGTTGATGACAAAGGGGTCTGGCTGGCCCTTGAAGCTGGTGCGGTAGAGGGGCTCGGGCCGGATGTTGAGGTCGCCGGAGCGTCTCTGCTTCTTCTGCTGCCCCTTGGCCTCGGCGGTGCGCTTGATGGCGCGCAGGCGGGTGCCAGGGGTGATGTAGTCGATGTGCTCCTTGATGTGGCTGGGCACGTGGTAGGCGTCGGTCGAGATGTCCTCGAAGCCGTCCTTGTGTTGCCAGACGTGAAACTCGGCGTAGAGCAGCTCCTCGACCTCCTTGGCCGTGGCGTCGAACTGCAGCCACTGCTTGTTGGCCGAGTGGCCGATGCGCTCCCGGCTGATGCCGGCGCTGCTGACCCAGTCGGCGACGGCGTCGACGAGGGACTGGGGCGGCGCGAAGAAGTCGATGACCTCCTCGGCCGTCATGTGCTTGCCGTAGTGCTCGGACGTCTTGTCCGAGATGGCCAGGAGGCGCTCGTGGCCGGCCTGGAGGTTGCCCTGGGCCAGGCCGATGCGGACGGGCAGCAGGGCCGACGAGGGCACCTTGGACCGCCGGGACCAGTGAGCCGCCTGCTGGGGCTCGTGGCGCTCGTGGAGCGAGTGGGTGGCCGGGACATAACGCTTCGAGGCGAGGACGGGGCTGGCTCCGGCGCCGTGGATGGCGAGCCCGGAGGCGACGGCGGCGGCGAGCTGGATGAGCAGCATGATAGGCAGCAAGGAGTGACTGATGGCAGCGGGCCTGGAGAGCTCGAGAACCAGGTCGGTAAGCCCATCATGATCGTCGTCCGCTCTTATAGTCGGCGGGCGGCCGGATATCTGCTCGTCGCCCACATCTCAGCGGCAATGCTGGGCCGAGGTGGCAGCAGGGGCAGGCCATATGGCGAGTGGTGGCCTAACATGAAAGGGGAAGGCCGTAGAGTCGCGCACCAGCAGCGCAAAATATGGTGATTTGCTCGAGGGCGAGGGCCCACGAGGAACGCGTCACCTGCTGGAGGGGAGGGCAGGCAGTTGCGGGCGAGCAGGGTAGCACTCCTGCCACATCGGGCCACGCGCCCCAGAGGCAGCGGGCGCGGAGGTGGCCAGGGTCTTTTTGTCTTTTGTCCGCTGGCCCAACGGCAGCCGCGTTGTCACCTTGGCAAGAAAGCTTGTCCCGACTAAGCAACAGGCTACCCCTGACTGCCGTCCTAGCCCCCCAGCAGCGTTGCGAGCCGCCCAATCATCGCCCCAAAGCAGCTTGGTCCTGGGGGCAATCTCTCGAGGCTAGCAAGCAGTCCAATTGTCCGCATAGTTCGATAAAAGGGTTGGCCACTGTTTATGCAGGCTGTGCGGTGCCTCGCAAGCACGCAGGCCTTGAGATAACGATCACCCACTTGAGTACGCGGTCTCGGACGGCAGCCAGGATGCGGCATGCTTCAAGGACGACTCGTCTGTGTCCCGCGCCATCCGGGGCAGTTCTCGCAATGACGAACCTTGACCGGCCGCAGGGATGCCACCCCTTGATATGCGAAGGTGCGCTCGAGAAGCTTTCGTCGCAAGTTGCAGCTTACGTCAAGGTGAGAAAACTCTAGCAAATTGCTCGTCTCAGAATTACGACCTACAACATAACCCGCAGTCAAATGCGGCACAGTGCTGGCCATGCTAAGGCTGCTAGTCCCGCCCATCCCATGAATCACCACAACCCCAGTAATCACGCTTACCTTGCACCCACAGCCCTCTTCTCGTCACTCTACATAATGACTAGCACCACGCCATCCGTCTGGCCAACTTATGCAGATCCCTTCTTCCAAGCTCCTCATCTTGGAACAGCGGAGCAAGATTCCGCAGTGTCTTGAACGGGGGCGGGTGGCGCGCGCAAAATCATCCCGTAGCTCCTCGGCACACAGTAGACTTCCTGCGGTGGGCGCGCAAGCAGACATCGCCTCCCCCGTCGAGCACTCTCCACCACACCACCACTTAATCCACGTTTTCCCAGCGTTTGAACTAAATATCCGTTCGCCGGTTGCAGTATTATGCAGCGGAGTCATCACCAAACCCGGCTGACACCTGCCTTACCCGCGATCAACCATGCATGTCCGTACAGCACACAAGTTATCCACAGTCTACAATTGTCGTTTGATGGAAAACCTCCTATTTGCTTGCGCAAACGTGTAAATATATTTGTATAAGGAGTGGCTCATCCATCAAAGAATCACATCCGAATTGGTGTAGTGGCTAACATTTGACGCTCTCACTTTCTCTCCTTCATTCATTGTTGGAGACGAACCTGGTCCGTCAAGCCCGGGGTTCGATTCCCCGATTCGGAGTTTACTTTTGCACCATTTCTCGTTCTTTTTTTGCTTTTCTTTGGACCCTTTTTTAATTGACACACCAATTGCCCTTTTCCCTTCTCTTCCTTCTTTTTTTTTTTTTTGTTATTATAGGGGAATGGAATTTTAGGGGAGTAGAGAAGAGAGAAACATTAGGAAAAGAGAATGCTATGCCAGGAATAATTGACCTGCCTTATGTGAATGAGTTTCGCTCAATTTCTCGAGCTACAATTCAACTTCAAGTTCACTCAATGTAAACAAATGCCAGACTTGGTTATCGGATCGTGTTTCGACACAGACGTGCCAATCAGGTGAGTTCGTTCAATGCGAGTTTGTTTGATCCAAAGGCTGGACACAGTCGACCACCAGCGTAGCACCAAGAGAAGTTTGCACATGTGTGGACTTCAGGCTGCCTGTGCTTGGTAAATCCTTGTTTGATTTTTTTTCTAGTTCAAGGACAAATGAAATGCAAATGCAGACGCCATGACGCCGATGCCTCACTGCGAGGAGCTTCCAGAGCCTGCGCGGTGACGGGAGTTTTCTCCTCCCACCGCTCTTGGCGCGGGCATATATATATATGTACAAATGGAGATAATATTATACCATCAGAGATTATTCGCCCCAATCAAGCCTCCGTAGAGTCCTCCCGAAATCCACCCATCCACAATGGCCTCCCTTCTCAATCGTCCCATTCCTCGTCGTACTGGTCAATCAGGCGGTTCTCGGCCTCGCGATCCCGCCCCATGCCACCCCGCGTGGGCGACCCAGACAGGTGATGGTAGCCGCGCCGATTCGGCAGGAGACGGGCGCATGACGATGTGGCAATGATGAAGAAATCCTACAAATCCCCCAAGAAGGAAAGACCCCAGAAAAACAATGTTAGCGCGGAGAGTCACCACTACTTAATTTGGAGTACGAGATGCTGGACGGATAACGCGAGGGCAGAGCCCCGCGACCAGCAGCAGCTGCGCCCCCGGACGAGGAATCCAGGGAGCAGTAGCGAACGAGGAGAAGAACAAGGGGACGAGGGAGACGTGCGCTCAGAAAGCTCCAGAGACCAGCCCAGAGCGAGTAGTTGGGCAGCTGTTTCCAGCCGCGGGAGTGGTTGATGGTGCGGTTGTAGAATATGCCGCCGAGCAGGTAGACGAGGACGGCAATGGCAAAGATGATGGCAAAGACGGAACCAGGGCCGACGCTGCCCGGCTTGTGCGGCTCGGCGCCCGCACAGGCGTGCTGCGACCGGACCTTGAAGACGTAGTTGCACTCCTCGGGATCGGCGGCGATGAAGGACACCACGGCAGTGCCCGCGGTCGGGTCCTTGTCGCACGTGAACATGATGGTTGCTGATTTGCGCCTGCGGTCCTTATTAGACTTGTCGAGGGTGTGGTAGGACTTATCCTTGTCTGAGCTCTCGTCCTCATGGCTCTTGAAGTTGGCGCCATCGTGGACCACGCCCCGTGCGCTCAGCCCGGTCCTATCGCCGCGCCTGCTCGAGGAACTCTTCTTCTCGCAGTAGGAGCCGCCACTGTATTGCAGAACGAGCTCCTTGCCGCGCGGCACCAGCTCCGTCGAGGCAAAGCCGAGACTGTAGACCTCGCCCTTGAGCTGATAGTAGGCGCTGATGTTCTGCCAGTGGCCCTCCTCGATATCTTTGACGTTGTCAAAGGGCTCGACGACGGGGGCGCAGATGTTGAGGGTGAAGTTTGCGCCATAGTCCCAGCCCCGGGGGTGGTAGTCGGCCGTGGGACCACCAAGGCTGGCCTTTGGCTTGGTGCCATCCTCCTTGGGGTGGACGGCGATGTCTGCGCGGAGATCGTAGAAGGCGCCGGAGGTCGAGGTGGCAGTACAGGGGAGCGTTGTCGTCGTCTTGTCGGCGTCGGGGCGGCGCGCGAGTGCGGAAGGGGTGGCGAGGGCGACCAGCGCGAGAAGAGCCGTGGAGGAGCCCGAAGGCCCTTTCCGGGAGGAGATGCGCATGGCGGGCGGTTGGCGTGTTCGTCGTCGTCGGCGTCGGCGCTGGGTCGTGGCACCAAAGAGCGCTGGACAGATCGCGTAGTCGAGAGAGACGAGGAGAAGGCGGAGGAGGAGGTTGATTGATGGTGACGCCACTGCCGTCGTCGGATCGCCTGAGGTGCAAGTGTTGGTCGCAAGTGGGCCAGCCAAGCAGGCGCGGCTTCTTGTTACGTGGTGAGATGGACTGGAGCGGCAGAGGCAGCAGGCTACGCTAGTGTAGACCGGGGTGCAGATGATGCTCGGCAGGTGCGCCAAAGTGGCGCTGCGCTGGCTAGGGCAGCTGCACAAGCGGCAGCCCGGGAGCGCTGGTGCGACAGACTGCCAGGTCCGCCTGTCACATACAGGTATGCTCAGCCACAGAACTGACGTCTCTGCAGCTTGTTGTTGCCGAGTACACTTTAGGCAGTCAGGGACAGAAGAAGCGGCCAGACGGGAGCAGTCAGATCTGCCACGAGAAGGTGGTAGAGACCGTAGAGCGGTAGACAGTCTAGAAGGGGAAAAAGAAATAGGCTGGACTGTCCAGTTGGGGCCCTATTTACATTTATGCTCTCTTGCCTTGGGGCAGCCCCTCGTCTAGTCGTTTCTTGTCGGTTGTGCTGTGAGTAGCACTTTGGAGGAACGCAGAGAGTTCAGCTTTGAAGCTTTAGTCATTGTCTCCGCCTGTGTGTATTGCTCCTTTGCATTTGGCATCGCGATGCTCCACACAATAAACTCGTTGATGCGGTCCAGCCCGAGTCACTGACGTGTCACCATGCCTGCATCCGGCCGCCTGGGGAACTGGATATTTCCCTAATGGCAACAGATGAGGCCGACTTTGTCCGCCTAAGGACCCTCCCGGGCCATGACGGATGGTGTTCCTCCGTCAGGTCAACATATGCGTGCAGAGCACAGGCAACCATGACCACACGCGGCAGTGCTCGCAGCTGGACACCACACTCACATGAGCGCAAGATGGCCGCGGTTGGGCAATGAGATGCGTGTAGGAAGAATTACAAAAAAGGGCAGAAGGATCTGCCGTGTTGGACGGCAGTGCAGAATGGTGCGAGCCGGAAGCGCAGAGGGCCGGCGCTGACGAGTGGGCCGTCCAGAGATTGGCGGAGGCCGAGCATGCCGACAAGCGACAAAGCGTGCTCCAAAGCGTGCTCGTTTGGGTGTGTTTGGGTGTGCCTGGCGGGATTACCTAAGCCGCATATGCCGGGCCCCAGGGCATGCCCCTGACCCAAAGTGGATAATGACCTTGTTCCGATTTGTTTCTTCAGGGGATCATAGATCTGGGTGCCACCATCGTGAGAGTACTCCATAGCCCGCTGGCAGATCCAGTCTCGTCCGACCTCAGCCCATCCGGCACGCCGCACTCCCGTTGCTGCTGCTGCTGCCAACACACTCTTTGGCGTCCGTCCACCCCGCCCACTTACAACGGCTCCCACCTGGGCACTGCTGCGCCTGCACGTCACGACGCGGCCTGGGCTCCAGTATAAACCATTCCAGCCGCCCGGCCCCTTCCAAACGCACCACCACCACCACCACCAAAATCAAACAACCACGCAACATCTCCATTCCCCCCAGCCGCAGCAACGCTCTCAGCACATCCGCAATGGCGCCCAGCACGGCCAAGCCGGCCAGCCACTTTGCCCACGGCTACGAGTTTGGCGGCCCGTAGGTTTACCCTTGCCCCCTATTCTGCTGGGCACAACACGCGCTGGACCACACCTGCGGTCCATTGAGACATCTCCAGCATCACCCACCACTCAAGAAGCTCTGCTAACTGGGCCTTGCCCTCGTGCAACAGCATCGGCACCTCGCTCATCACCTTCGGACTCCCCATTCTCTGCTACGTCTTCGCCTTTGGCTGCAACGACGTCACCGGCTGCCCCGCCCCGTCCCTTCTCAACTTCCCCAACATCGACCTCGAACAACTCAAGGCAGAGGTTGGCTGGCCTGAGAACGGCTTCTGGGGTCTCGCCAGCTGGGAGGCTACCGCCTGGACTCTCGCCTACTACCTCTTCAGTGGTCTGCTCTACCGCTTCCTGCCCGCGACCGAGACACAAGGCATCGCCCTCTCGTCTGGCGGCAAGCTCAACTACAGGTTCAATGGTATGCTGAATGTTCATTCTCGAACCCATTGCCATCCTCGCTGACGCACACACTCTACAGCATTCTCCTCTGCCGTCTTCACCCTGGTGCTGTGCGCCGCCGGCACCATTGCCCAGGGCGCCGAGTTCCCCGTCTGGACCTTTATTGCCGACAATTTCGTCCAGATTCTCACTGCCAACATCATGATCGCGTACGCCCTCGCCACCTTTGTCTATGTCCGCAGCTTTTCCGTCAAGCCCGGCAACAAGGAGCTGCGTGAGCTCGCTCCTGGCGGCACCTCTGGCAACCTCATCTATGACTTCTACATGGGTCGCGAGCTCAACCCGCGCGTCACCCTCCCCGTGATTGGCGAGGTTGATATCAAGGAGTGGATGGAGCTGCGCCCGGGCATGCTCGGCTACGTCTTGCTGGACTGCGCCTTCATCGCCAAGCAGTACCGTACATTTGGGTACGTCACCGACAGCATTGTCCTCATCACCATCATGCAGACCCTCTACGTGCTCGATGGCATCTACATGGAGCCTGCGATCCTCACCACCATCGACATCATCAACGACGGCTTCGGCTTCATGCTGTCGTTTGGCGACCTCGTCTGGGTGCCCTTCATCTACTCAACCCAGACGCGCTACTTGTCGACGTACCCCTTGTCTCTCGGCTGGCTCGGCGTCGCGGGCATCAGCACCCTCCTCCTCATTGGCTTCGCCATCTTCCGCCTCGCCAACCTGCAGAAGAACATCTTCCGCAACGACCCGTCCGACCCCCGCGTCGCGCACATCAGCTACATCCAGACCAAGACCGGCTCGCGCCTCATGACCTCGGGCTGGTGGGGCGTCGCCCGCCACATCAACTACCTGGGCGACTGGATCCAGGCGTGGCCGTACTCCCTGCCCACGGGCTTCGCGGGATACACCATCCTCGCCGCCGGCACAATCGTCACCTCGTCCCCGACCGACCAGGTCTACACCATGGCCGACGGGCGCATCGTCGTCCAAGGGCCGGCCAAGTACTGGGGCATGCTCTTCACCTACTTCTACGTCTTGTACTTTGCCGTGCTGCTGGTCCACCGCGACGGCCGCGACGACGAAAAGTGCAGCCGCAAGTATGGCGAGGACTGGGAAAAGTACAAGAGCATCGTGCGCTGGCGGATCATCCCGGGTATCTACTAAGGTGTGGGTGGATATTGCGGCATGGTGTCAGTAATTGATCTGTATTTCTCGTCACGACATTTTGGGGAGACGTTCCGTTTCAAGATTTGAGGGGGAGGGGGGAGGAGCGGAAGATGGTAGGATGGAGGCTGCCCAAAACATCACCACGGTAGCGGGACCCCATCTTTTTGCATCCGCAGAAGCAGAAGATATGAGATGAGGTGATAGGTGAGCAGGTCTTGTGCCGAGATCGGGGGAATAGGCAAAATAATAATAATCAGGACCTGCGCTAGAAGACAAAAGGAGATTATTTGTATATATAAAGCTACGACAGCGGGAGAAAAAAAACCAAAGATATAATGTATAATCATCACGCGCAACGCAGACATCTGTCTGATGAGGTAGACCCAGCATCTGAAAAAATCCCCTGTACGGGTCCCCCGGTTTCTTTTTACCGTTTTTGTCTCAGTCGTCATGGTGATGAGTTCTGCGCAGCCATGGGTACTTAGGTCTGAAAATCTGTGGTCATGGTCATGCGGTCATCGTGAAATTTGTTTTGTTTGGCTTTCAATCATCATCGTCATAAGAGCTTCTTACTTCACCATGGTATTTACAAGGCGCTGCTGCACTCCCAGGCAGACGACTTCCCTTCCCTCGCTCGCTCGCTCGCTTACGTAGACTACGGCGACACCGAAAAAGAGAGGGTGCCAGACTTGACGCTAGCTGGGCGGGTGGCATTTTTGTCCATATTGCTTGCAGGCAACCCCACGTTTTCTGGTGTTTAATCAGCGCCTCGTCAAGCTCTGTAGCCGGTCGACCAGTATGCTCAGCTCCATCTCCTCCTCTCCGCCGAGGCCAAACTTGGCCGCGCTCTGCTGGAGCTTCTGCGCCGCCCCGATCAGCGGCTCCGCGAAGCGTTGCTCCACGGCTGCCGCCATCCCATCTGGGACGACTCGTGCTTGTGGAGGAGCACCAGCTGCAGGCGTCTTACTTGACGTTGTCGATGTGTCGGACCCCGCGGCGAGCAGGAAGTATGCAAAATTGGCGGCCTGCAGGATGAACGGGCGGTTTTGCACCCAGTAGTCCATGATCACGGCCAATGTGAGGTCATCGTCGTCGTTGCCACCCGCCGTTATCTCTAGTGTCCTGTCTACCACGCTCGTGGCAGCGCCGTCCGTGTCCAATCCTGTGAGCCCACCCTCTGCGGTGAGGTTGCCGCCGCCGGGGACCAGTGCGGAGATCATGTCCGGGAAGATGGCGTACTGGAGGCGGTCAATCACTTCTGGTGACGCGAAGAGCGAGGACGAAGACGGAGGAGATGTCGTCGATTCGGTGTTGCCGCTCGGCCCCTCCTTGGTCGCTGCGATGATTTCCTCCTTCAGCCACGTCAGCGCGCATGCCTTGAGTGATGCAAACATGCAGTTCTCAAGCAGGTCTTCGAGGATCTCGAGGCGGTTCTGCTGGTCTGGGTCAGAGTGCAGGATCACACCGGCAAAGTTGGTTGCCGCGCTGCGGATCGCAATGTCTGGGTGGAAGACGGAAATAAGCGTCAGGTGGTGGTGATACGCCATTATGGACGGCTCCTCCTGCTCCGTTATCCGGTCCTTCTGCTCCAGCGCGACACCGATGGCCAGAAGCGCATCCGCTGTGCCTGGCGCGCTGGTGATTTCCGCCTCGGCGTCCTGGCCGAGGAACCGCTCTAGCAGTGCGAGGTGTTCGGGGAATATGTACAACTCGCACTCGGGTTGGTGGGCCTGGAAGACCGCCGAGGCGAACAACCAGTATGCGATCAGGCAGACCACGCCTCCAGGCGACAGCTGGATGTCTTCGGGTGAGCTGAAGTCGTCGAAGGCGGCAAGGGGGTCCACAGCGGTGGAATGTTGATATATGCTTCTGACAAAATCGTTTGGGCATTTGTTGAGGCCCAAATCACTGAGCAGAGCCTGTCATCGACAAAGAAGTTAGCTTTCAACCCGCCGTGCCTAGCTATGAACAGTACCAGAATACGCACCACGAGCTGTCCGACGACACCGTCCCTCTTCTGCAACGTCTCATTCTCACTATACGCCTCCACTGTCGTCTTGCGGCCTGGTATCCTCCGCTCTGGTTGATACACGTCCGTCAACCTCGGCGTCCAGCGCATCGGATGAGCATTGACAAATCGCTGCAGGATGCACGTGATGAACGACTGCAGCAGCTTCTGCTGCATTGCCTCCTCGGTAGGGTCCTCGCTCTCGGCCTCTGGGTCGGGGGCGTTCTTGGAGCTGTCGCCATCTTTGTTCGGGTCGAGCACGTTGATGCTGGATTTCCTGCTCGGCAAGGGGGGCCGCTTCCGTCCGCTCAGCGAGCGGACCAAGTTGATGACGGCAGCCGTCATCTCGGGCAGTGGCTGGTATGCCTCAAATACTTTTACAAGCGAGGGCCCGAGGAAGCGCGAAGGGTATTTGGTCTTGATACGGCCGTGCAGGATTGAGAGCATCCCACACAGAGTGATGAACTTGCCCGGGATCTTGGAGGTCGAGGCGATCTCCTGGATGTCCTCTGCGCGCTCGGCCTCGCGCGACCAGGATTCCGTGAGGCTGTCGAGCGACTCCATGACCTTGATGACGACCTCGCGGGGGTTGCCGAGCCGGGCGACCGTCTCGAGACATGCAGAGGAGCCTTCGAGGTCGACAAGCATCTGGACGAGGTCCCAGCCGATCTCTGAGGTGAGGTCTGCATCCTGGAGGACCTCGTTGAGCGCGGGGAGGACCTCGGGCCGGGTGACGTGGTACTGGAGAATGGTGAGGTAGGTGAAGCGATCCTCCTTGGCGCCTTCCTTGATGGCAGTGATGGACTCGTCGAGGCTCGCCATGGCGACGGGTGGACGTGACTGATCGTGGGGGGAGTAGCGAGTGAAGTCCTCACGCTGAGTGAGCGCTGTGCCGTTGTTGGCTTCGAGGCCGAGGAGTCGTTGCTGTTGGTAGCGGGGTAGCTTTCACACGTCTGTGGTGTAAGAGTAGGCTGGTGCCGCGCGGCGTGGAGACTTGTAGGACTGGTGGGGGATATGCTGGAAGCGAGGGGATCTGCGCCCGTTGTCGCGGTCTGGAACTCGAAATGGATCAGGCCGGCCCAGGTGGTCGAGGTTGATGGATGTAGGGCCGATGGGCTGGGCTGCTTCGGTTGTTGGGAGCCCTTGCCGTGAAGCAGGATGACGTGTGACGCAGCTCCTCTCCACCCGAGCTCGGGCGGGGCACTCTCATGCAGCCTGCCTTCGTGATAGTACAAGGTGGGCATGCAGCACCACAGGTGGCTGGGCAAGTCCTGCAGGGTTCGGCTGTGAAGCGGAGCGGGTGTCACTGTGGAAGGCGTGATAGTTCCAAGTCGCCCGTCTGTCTGCAAGCATCGCCAAAGCCCCGGTAGTGCAGTTGTGCTGCAGTTCCGTCTATCATGCTGCATGCACGCGCGACTTCCCCACAACCATTCAACTTCGAGCGCAGATTTGACTCATTAATAGAACCCCCGGTTCTTTTGTTTATTATCGCAATTGTTCTATGCTGGTGCTGGGTATCTCGCTCTATCTTGATAATGAAACCCCGTCTATGGTCTGGCCCTTTCCGTAACAACTGTGCCGGCATCAAGCCAGCTCGGTTGTGTAAGGACAATTCGTCCGGGCGCATGTTGTTGAAACAGTTATTACAAGATTATATACATGGGCATCATCATCCACCTACTGCACAGTCGACGCAGGCTGCTGGCGCGCAGACTCGGCTTCGGACGACTCCTTGCCACCCACCACTCCCGCCTCCTCACCCGCACGGGCAGCGACGATGTCTTGCTCGGTGACCTTGACCTCGTGGCTGTGCTCGAGCTCGCTGAGGATGATCCACGTCGGGACCACGCACAACAGGGTGATGCCAAAGTTGATGCCGATGCTGACAAAGTGGTTCGCGTTGCCCTCGGACTGCATGGCCCAGGCGACGGTCTGGCCCAGGGCCTCGACGCCGCGCAGGATACCCGTGTGGTGGCTGAGGGACGAGAGGTCGGTCGCGTACTGGCCCACGAGCCAGTAGAGGAACTGCTGGAACGCCTGCCCGCCAAAGGTCCAGAAGAAGACGAGCGCGTACGACTTGCCAAAGCCGCCCTGGAACCAGTCAAAGACGGGCTTCTCGGGGGCGTCGTAGAACTGCTTCTGGAGGATGGTCGCCCAGATCCAGGTGCCCACGAGGATGGTGATGATGCTCAGGAAGGCGATGCGGGCGCGCGTCTTGATGAAGATGCGCTGGTTGTCGAGCAGCGTGGCGATGATGAAGGAGCTGAAGATGCCCGCAAAGTTGGTAAAGAAGGACGAGAAGGCGCGCGAGCGGACGGTGAAGTAGCTGGTCAGGAAGGTGCTCAGGAAGCCGTTGTAGAAATAGCTGATGAAGAAGGCCGGGAGCAGCAGCAGGACGCGGCGCGAGGCAAACAGGCGGCCGACGGCCATGAACTCGGCAGCCCAGGTGTCCTCGGTGCGGGTGACGACCCTGGTGCCGTCCTTGCGCCAGACCCTGTCGGCCGGGCTCAGGGTCAGCGCAATGGGCAGGCCCAGGCACATGATGACGATGAAGACAATGTAGGTCGCCGAGCTGACGGAGCCGGCCGAGTCGCGGTTGGCGTTGAGGCCGAGATTGATGGCACCGCCGACAATAGGGCCTGCAGCCTTGGCCGTCTGCCAGATGGCGAGGTAGAAGGCGCGGTCCTTGGGAGACGGGTAGCCGATGATGATGGCGGCCTCGGCAGCCCAGAAGAAGCCGGCCGAGATGCCGCAGAGGGCACTGCCAAAGAGCATGAACCACGTGTTGGCGTTGATGTTGTTGGTGTAGAGCCCGGCGCCGTAGAGCGGGTAGCCGACGGCACCAATGGCGAGGCCGTACTTGAGGCCGATGCGGTTGTTGATGGCGCCGGCGGCGACGCAGAAGACGGCAAACAGGCCGTATACGAGGGCGTTGGCAGCCGAGACGGCATACGGCTCGGCAGCACCGCCGGCTCCGAGCCCGCCCAGGGCATCCCACATGCCGGGCGCCGTAAAGGACACGCCGCAGGCAACCACGATCTGGAAGGGCACCGACCGGAACCACGGAGCACGGCCGTGGCTCACAGAAGCAGCGTCGGCCGCATTGTCAAAGGCCGTGGTCGACATCGTTGGGGATTGTGTGTCGGAGGCGGCCTAGAGGGAAACTTGAATCAAGGTGGGCCAGAGCCGACGACAGTGATTGTGAACTGAGGGAGCGGACACACACAGCAACGCTGAGGACTCGACAGCGTTGAGACCAAGGGATTATATCGCCATCCCGTGGCCGGCGCGGACCGCGCCATGGTCGGCGAGCTGGAAATCTCTGCCTCGGTGGAGCGAGCACGCCATTCCTCTGGATATATCGAGCGCTCGGCTGCGACCGCAGCGCGCCAAGTGGGCAACAAGTCCCTGAATTAAGGCCGGTTTCTGTTACGTACTGCGTGGATCGTGCGCAGTGTGGGAGAAAGGAGGCGATCTCCAGCCTGTTCTGGGTCGCCTCCAGATTTCGGCGACTCGTGTTCGCGGGCAGAGCGGAGGCACCACGAACCCAGCTCCATCACATACATCGCATATGGGTTAGCTACAGCCAAACCTGCCACAGCTCCTGCAAGGCATCTGTCGTGCAACTTGCTCAATGAAGAATTGAAGCAGGACGTTGAAAATTCTTCCAATGCGTGCCGACCAGGGGCTGGTACCGGCGGCATAGGCGGCGCCCTTCCCGTCACCCATGCAGGAAAAAAGTACCGCGCCACCCGTTCGGACACGCCACAGCACGGGTCAGCATTTAAGCCCTGCTGCAAATGTCGTGATCGGCGCCTTTCCAAGGGGGGACGATTGACAAGATGAACGTCAAAGCCTTTAGCGCGAAAGCCCGCCCGCTAGCGCCGGATGACGTCCCACTGCATTCTCTGCCGGCAGCAGAAACACGCGACACAAATCTCGCGTTGCATGCAGCCGACCCGGCCCCGAGCCACCAGGGCCTGGAACAATATCCACGGGGCAATGTGCTCGTGGCCCCCCACGATGGCTGCTAGTCTAGCCGGTATGGGGAGTTCCACGCGGCGACCCTTTCCAGGCAGCTTCGCCATGGCCAGAAATGAATGCATTTGTGGCTCTGCTTGTGTGATTTGGCGGTTGTCGCTAGCTGGCGGTCTCGAACTGGTTGGGCAGGCCCACATGAAGGGGGCGTTCCTTCCAGCCCGTTGCCCTACGTTGCTTGTACAAGTCCTGATTTATGCCGGGCGTAGCCGCGTAGCGAGTCTGTTTCCCCATGGCACGGCAGCAAAGGTAGCTTGAGCCAGACAAGCGGGACCTCGTCGCACAACGAGTCTCAATCTTCATTGTGACGCGGGAAGGACGGACGGTGCTGGTATGGCCGCCTCAATTCATCACGGTCGACTTTCCACAACTGTTTCTGGGCATGCCCAAGTTGCTTGTCAACTCAAATCCTGCCAATCACCGGGTTTCTTTCAAGTTCCCTAGAATCCCACAAAGTCTGAGAGTCCTCGAACCGCCATATTGTTCGCTTCATGCTGACGTTTGTACAGGTCCCGCGGTCACTGACGGCCAAAGGATGGCAACTTGGAGCTGAAGACTATGAGTGGCGCAGACTATCTGCCCCCCTACATTCAAAATTTCAGTCTGAGTCAAACGCTCCTAGAGTTCTTGGTCTCATAGTTGCTTGACACGTAGGACTGCCTGGCACGATGACCTGGGACGCGAGAACTTGAAATAATGCTTGGGACAGTCTTCCAGGGCTTGAGATGCCTGCCCCACTTCCATCAGCTTTGCACCTGCCACTGGTGCAAAACCACTGCGAGTCAAAGACCCAAGATCTTCGCATTGTCCATGATCTAGAACCGCTCGGGGCTAAACTTCGAGAGCGGTCGCACCATTTTATAGGAACGAACCCCTTGCTCTGTGCCAGACAGCTCAGCTCACTCCCTCTCGCCAAGACATCTTCGGGACAAAGCAACAAGGCTCGAATTCCCCACAGGCAATTCTTCCACCACTAGGAGTCTGCGCCGAGGGAGGACTGTGGGGATATTTCGCATCGTGAAAGTGCGGAGAAGCTGTGTTGAAGTGTTTCGCGTCTTCTTGCCAGTGAGGTGTTTTCGTTCTGAATCTCGAAACCTCTCAGACCTCTCGGACTTCTTCTGTGACACATGTGTCTGGGGAGTAATCGCACTTGAATTGTAGGACGCCGCTCTGTTACCCCCAACTCCCACCCAACCCCGCAGCACAACTTAGAAACAACAACAACTTACACCAACCTACGCTATTGACGACACGCGAGCCTCAATTACCATACTCAGACACATTCATCTGAAACAAAAACAATTCAAGTCGACCGACAAAGACGTCCCTAGAAAAGAATCAGCCATGGCCCTCGACGACCACACTGCCGCCCTGCGGGCCTCCCTCGAAACGGCAAACCTAGTCCCCGGGTCCGCTGCGTCCATCATCCCGCCCAACTTCACACCCAGCGTCCATCTCAATCTGTCCTTTGGAGACAAGCCCGTCTCACTAGGAAACTTCTTCAAGGCTGGCGAGTGCAAACCCACACCCACCATATCCTTCGGCACAACCCCACTCTCTACCCAGGACAGCAGCAGCAGCAGCAATGCCGGGGACAAGACGTACCTGTTCGCAATGATCGACCCGGACGCGCCGACGCCCGCGGACCCCAAGTTTGCGTTCTGGCGGCACTTTGTCGTGCCTGGGCTGAGGCCGGGTGAGGACGTAGTGAAGCACGGCAATGTGGTCACCGAGTATTTGGCGCCGGGGCCGAAGGAAGAGTATGTCCCTTTGTCGTTGCTCTCTCCTTGTATTTACCTTTCCCAGGGCTCTCTTTTTTCTTCTTTCCTTTCTTTGATGCGCACACAGCTTTCACGAGAAACGGGGGCCAGCGGTACCATTTTCCTACACTTACCAGAATCATTAAATCTGCGCGGATACGGGACTTGTTTCTTCTTTACTGACTATTTCCCCCCACGCGAACTGGGGAAACAACAGCTCTGGACCGCACCGCTACCTGTTCCTGCTCTTCGAGGAGCCTGCGGGGCTCAAGCTGACAAAGGAGGACGTCGGCGGGGAGGAGTTTGTCCAGAGGCGCTCGTTCCCGGCTGCCGACTTTGTCGCGCGGCACGGCCTCAAGCTGGCTGGCGTGAACTGGATGACTTGTGCTTGGGACGGGTATGCTCAATGATTCAATCAGAAATAGAAGGGAGGGGGGGAGGTGGAGGGCACGCATGGCATCGGGATGAGAAGCCCTCCTCCTGGTGGTGGGTGGTGGGTAGTGGGTACGCAGAGAGGGAAGACAGGACGATGATGGGTGCTTCAAGTGTAGTGTACCGGCTTGTGGGCCAGCCTCGAGTCCGTCCAGCACGAGAATGCGGGGCATGGCTGGCCATCATAGCCACCGGGAATCATAGCTGCCATGTTTGGTATAGAGACGCCCTCACCTTGGGCGGTGGTGACCCTGCCGAGCATGTCAAGGGCCAGCCCTCACGTCACGGCTCATCGAGCACGCCTGTGTTGATTCATCCTTGGATGCACACACCCTGGGTTGGATATTGACTAGAGCTAGGCCCAATGCCCAGACTGATCAGTAGCAGGAGCCCGACCATTGTGGACAGGAAGGGTGCAGTGGATCGGAGCTGGTCCCTAGCCCTGGTGATCTACAGCTGATCTCCAGGCCCAGAGGGTGTAAGTGGCTTGTGCCTGTGCGTCAGGGACCAAATAAGAGAATCAACTCTAATTTTACCCTTATCTGTTGGCCAGGCGGAAAAAAGTTGGCCAAAGTTCGTGGTTATTCCTAGTTGGGTAAAACGGCTACAATGCTACGGCCTTGCCACACGCATCGCCACAATAGGGCGGCCTCCAGATGTGGTGACCCGAGAGTTTCACCCCTGAGATCTTTGTTCTTTGCTGGAATGAAATCATATACAGCACAGTGATGATGGCATTGCTTGTCAATCAGTGTGCATGTGCGCGGAAAGGGAGAGGACTCACTAGATACGTGCGCTTAGGTCGATCCTGCGGACAAGTCATCTGCGCCACGAGGGGGGCCACTCTGGACGGAAGCCCTAGGCTGACAGATTCATGGATTGCTTGGGGGCCGGCAACGCCGTCGACGAGCTCAGCAGGCCGGGGCGCCAATTACGTCAGCGCGCCAAGACCCTTTCGTATGTGAGGCTTGCAAGTGCCTGCGACGACGCGCGGGCTCCCGATTTCCATGTTGACAAGTCCTAGATCTTCTTTCTCTTGTCGCCTGCAATTCTCAAAGCGAGCACGCCGTGTCCGGATATGGGCTTCGATATCGTGTCGTCTCTCAACAAGGCTGCTGGAGCCGCCGACTCGTTCGTCAAGAAGAGGTGGTAGGTCACTGCACAGGCAGCCGCCTTGTACCCCACCACCAGTGACAAATTGCAGACAGAGGTAGAGAAGACATACTGACCACAGCCGCGTCACCAAGGGAGGAAAAGTCACGCCGAGATGCCGAAAAGGCAGCAGAAGCCGCGGCGGCCGAGGAGCGGCGGCGCTGGGCCGAGCGCAACGCCTTCTTTGCGACCATTACAGCCAAGCTGACGGGCGTCACCACGAGCGAGATGCCGCCGCTCGTCGTTGACCCGACCACGACCCACCGGGCCGTGCTCTTCGTGACGACGCCTATTGCCTTTGGCCCGCTCGAGGTCTCGCGCAGCTCGTACAAGCTGCTCGCGCGGCACGTCGGCATGAGCATGACGAGCGTCAGCCACTGGGCGCTCTGCGTGATTGACCGCGGGTTCGGCAAGTGCTGGGCGTACGACCTCATGAGTGATCAGATGGCGCTCAACATGATTGGCAAGAACTACTTCCGCGTGTACGAGGTCACGCCAGAGTTTATCGCCACGTGGGGTTCTTGCCACTATGTGGGCGAGACGATCAAGCAGCACGAGGAGATTCAAGAGCTAGGTAAGCACTTTTCTTGTGAATGGCTGGAATGACTGGCGTATGTGGTTGCTCGTGCTAACATGCATGGCTAGGGTACAAGCACATGTCATCGAATCCGAGGTACCACTTGCTGGAGAACAACTGCCAGCACCTGGTCGAGGCGCTTGTCGCGGAGTTGTGCAATGGTGCACACGTCGAGCAGGCGAAGCTGAGTGAGGAGCTCAAGGATGTTTCACCCAAGATCGCCATGGATATGATGGTCGCCCGGCTGCGGTCGCGCGTCGATGTCAAGAACGAGCACGAAGACAGCGAGGACGTCAAGGAGGACGTCGCAGTGCTCAAATCGCTCCTGAAGCTGTATGACAACCACCACCGGAAGAAGAGCAATGCCGCGATAGACGGCAGCAGCGACGAGCATCAGCCGCTAGCCATCATGCCGGCAACAGCGTCACCCCCAACCGAGCAGGGGTCGTCACCGGGACTTCTGGCTCCTCCACCGGAAAGATCCCCTCCGTTGCCGTTAAGACCTTCGTCCAGAGGATTGTCTCCTGGACCGAGACGTATGTCGCGGGAACCCTCGCCATCTTTGCCACCGCGACCATCGTCAAGCCTGGCCAACACGCCCGTGACACCGCCCTATTTCCCACCACCGCCGACTGGTGCTGGTTAATGGCCTCGATTAACGATTGGCGATTGCCTGGCCCGAAACAAAGATCCGATTAGATACCCACCGATCCCGCCACTAATTGTAGAGTAGCGACGAGATTGCATAATGTAATTCGTTGGAGCGAACTGCCGGTGTTTGCGCTGCGTGCTGCCCGCTGCTTCTCGACGAAGCACTGGACTGGTCAGATTGACCTGGTCGTGCCTGGCCGAAGTATTAAGGTAGTCATCGTCGATGTGTTTGTCCTTATATGAGTGTCTGAGCGAGTGACAGCCGCGGGACCAAGAACGGGCCGGACGGATGACGACGGGAATGTGAGCGCCGGGACATTATGTCCGGGGCACGAGACATGGCCCCTGCCTGCGGCGAATGAAAGGTGGAGGCGGAGTGGTGCGTTCGGATGCCCCAGCCGTTCCTGGATGGGTCGTGATTGCTGGCTGGCTAGCGCAGGTGGCCGCAGAGGAGCCAGGTCCAAGATTCGATGGTGCAGATGTGCTGGAGCACGCTACCTGTGACGCGCAGAAATGCCAAGTCACGGCCCGGGGGAGGCCTCCTCTGGCCAAGGCGAAAACACGGACGGATAGTTGACTTGCTGGATGTCGTTTTGAGTAGAGTGAGAGACACGGACTTGGTGGCAGTCGGACAAAATGAGCCCTGGACAGCCTACCCACCCTCTCCACACGGGAGCTCTGCAGGGGATGGGCGCTGGCAGGCGCCATGTGCCGCAGCCAGCCAGGCACGAACGAGGCCCAGTGATGTCATTACCAGGCCACACCCATGCCTGTCGCACCTTCTGGGCGCACGACTCTTGCACAGGCCTGGAGGCACCACTCCGGTGCTGCAATCAGGCGGGCTTGGGCGTGACTCGATACCTGCATTGGAACAACATGCCCTCCAGCGAACCTGTCCATCATATGCTCCTCTCCTTGTGTGTATCCGCCTCTACTGTCTCACCATCCTAACACGACACCTTCCGGCCCTCCAACGCCAGTAATACTTGTGGTGCACTTGAGTCGCGCTCATCCATCTCTCCAGCCACACCACCTTCCCCAACACCGCTCCCTCGACACGAAAACGCACAAATTGAAACAAGTCCAACATGCTCGCAGCTTGACCTGTCCACCACAAGCTCCATTCACACGTAGCGTTTCAGCCCACCGACATGGCGCCGATCGAGCTCGACAAGCCGTCCATGGCGCCCATTCGGCAGTCATCTCCAGACTCTGAAATCCTACAGATCGACCAAGTAGGATCTCCAGATGAGCCAAAGAATGTCGTGCGTGACAGCGACGGTCATGTTGCCTTCCCGGCATGGGTTCCTCCTCAAATTGAGTCACCCGAGTCCTCAAGCGCCAATTTCAACCGCCAGACCACATCCGCCGTACACCTCAACGATGCGAACCCCGCCAAGCGAGATGGGCTTCGACCGCAGGGCCGCAACAAGACGCAGTCAAACCCACTCCCCATGACGGCGGCTGCGACCAAGACGGATCAGAATGCTGAGAACACTGTCCGTCCATCGATCGACAAGAAGTTCGTAACAGACCTGCCTCAGCGCAGCACTGTAGACTCAGACGCGCCACCGCGGTTCAACCGCGCAGCGACCAATATCTCACTGCTGAATCACGCGATATGGACCCCAGCACCCGGGGCAGACAGCGATTCATCCTCGGATTCCGAGTCTGAGCCAGAGACCGACCATACAGGAAAAGCCCACAAGAAGGGTAAAGAAGCAGGACGTGTTAGCTCGTCTCAAAACAAGAGGCAGTCCACGGATGATCGCTATGGTCGATTTCAGGTAGGAAACGACCGATACAAGACGAAGGGCAAGGTTTCGAAGAAGGACGGTAGACTCAACATCACAGTAAATGACACAAGCAACACGGGATACCTGGCAAAGGCTCTGGGGAGTGCTGTCAAGACTGTCGTCACTGGCAGCAAGGAGCCGAAGGACGACAGTGAGCGACCAAAGGGCCGACGACTCTCGTCTGCAACGACTGCAACTTCTGTCGCGGCGAGCCGTCCGAAACTCAACATTGTGATAATGGTCATTGGATCTCGGGGTGACGCGCAGCCTTTCCTCAGGATCGGAAAGGATCTCAAAGAACATGGGCATCGAGTACGAATCGCCACGCATCCAGCATTTCGCGACTTTGTTGAGAAGGACTCTGGCCTAGAGTTCTTCTCTGTTGGGGGCGATCCGTCAGAACTCATGGCATTCATGGTGAAGAACCCTGGCATGATTCCGAAGCTGGAAAGCGTCAAAGCCGGCGACATCGGAAAACGGCGGGCCGCAATGGCGGAGATGTTTGATGGTTTCTGGCGGGCTTGCATCAATGCCACAGATGACGAGAAGAACAACGCGAACCGCAAGATGATGGGCACCAAGGAGCCTTTTGTCGCGGATGCAATCATTGCCAATCCACCGAGCTTTGCCCACATACACTGCGCGGAAGCGCTGGGCATCCCGCTACATTTGATGTTCACGTTCCCGTACACCCCGACGCAGGCTTTCCCTCATCCTTTGGCCGCGATCAAAAAGTCCAACGTAGATCCTGGCTATACCAACTTCATTTCGTATCCACTGGTTGAGATGATGGTCTGGCAGGGCTTGGGCGATCTCGTCAACGATTTCCGCGTGAAAACGCTCAAGTTGGATCCCGTATCGACACTCTGGGCGCCGGGCGCAACATATCGCCTTCACGTCCCGTTCACATATCTATGGAGCCCAGGGCTTGTTCCCAAACCCGCAGATTGGGGTCCCGAGGTCGATGTGTCAGGTTTCGTCTTCCTCGATCTGGCATCTACATTTGAACCACCTGACGATTTGGTAGAGTTTCTCGACGCCGGGGAAGAACCAATCTATATTGGATTTGGCTCAATCGTCGTCGATGATGCGGATCGTTTCACGGAGATGATATTCGAGGCTGTGAAGCTCGCGGGCGTCCGCGCTCTCGTATCTAAAGGGTGGGGCGGGCTGGGACAGGACAACGTGCCAGAGAACGTATTTATGCTCGACAACTGTCCCCACGACTGGTTGTTCCCACGAGTACGGGCCTGCGTGATCCACGGCGGTGCTGGCACAACCGCCATAGCGTTGAAGTGTGGCAAACCTACGATGGTGGTGCCGTTCTTTGGTGACCAGCACTTCTGGGGCTCCATGATTGGCGAAGCTCGGGCTGGACCAGATCCCGTCCCATACAAGAAGCTCAATGCAGAGGCGTTAGCTGAAGGAATCAAGTACTGTCTCACAGATGAGGCACGCGAAGCGGTTGGCAAGATTGCCAAGTCTATCGAAGAAGAGGGTGATGGCGCGAAGAATGCTGTCCACTCCTTCCACCGACACCTCGAACTGTCTGGAGAAGGGTCTATGCGCTGTTCTCTCCTACCGGAACAAGTGGCAGTTTGGTCGGTCGGGCACACGAGCCTGCGACTAAGCGCTATCGCAGCTGAGATCGCGGTAAGGGAAGGCTTCATCTCTTGGAAGCGCTTGCGGCTCTTACGCCACAAAGAGTGGAACGACTTTGAAGGCCCGGGCGAGCCTGTAACAGGTGTGGCTGGCACGGTTGTCGGTGCCGTCGGTGACGTGTTTGGTGGAATCGGTAGCGTGCCATTTCGACTCGCAAAGCTGGGCCAGAAACGAGCTGAGCGGAGGAAAAAGAAGGAGGAGAAACGCAGACGACGCCACGAGCGGATCGAGAAGGCAAGGTCGAAACAGGCACAGCCGAATGGGAGCGAAACGAAGGGGTTCCCCTTTCCGCCCAATGATGGAGAGAAGGCCAAGGGATCAACGGGCGACGAGCAGAATGGCGTCGCATCGAACGAACCAAAGCCACAAGATGAAGCGCAGAACACTCCCGGTCCGCTTACAGCGGCCACGACGCCAGGCACGGCAGGCATCGACAACCCTGCCGAGGAGTACTTTCAAGAAGTAGCTGGCGGCTTCGAGGACACCGGCAAAGCACTGGCGCGAGCACCTGCGGATTTGGCTCTGGCACTGGCACAAGGTTTCCACAACGCGCCCCGACTTTACGGCGATGACACGGTCAGGCCGCCAGTACGCGTAACTGGCTTCAAGTCTGGGATGAGGGCAGCGCGCAATGAATTTGTCTATGGCATATATGATGGAGTCACCGGCGTCGTCCGACTACCTGTCCGCGGTGCCAAGAAGGATGGCTTCAAGGGGGCGGTCGCCGGAGTAGGCATGGGTCTGACAGGCTTCGTCCTCAAGAACCTGTCTGCCATCATAGGCCCATTTGGCTACACAGCCAAAGGCATCGTCAAGCAGGCTGGCCGACGCAACCTACCGACTCGGTTCGTTCGTCGCTCAAGAATCGTTCAAGGGCAGAAAGAATGGAGCAGCCTTGGTGAAGATGTAGGCAAGGACCTGACGGAGCGCGTAACCCGTGGCTGGAAAGTGATGCGACAGCTAGCTACCTTGCTCATGGAGGCGAACAACAGATCCAGTTTGAAATCACGCTTCGGAGGCCGCGAGAAGACCCCCGAGGGGGATCACGAAGACAAAGAGCTGGGTACCCTGGGGCGTGGGCCGGCTTTCGCGAGCGTGGACACAGCCGAGCAGGCGATTGAAGCCATCAAAGGAGGGGAGAACATCCAGGAAGTTATGGGGCAACGGTCCTGGCTGCCTGAGCTGCCGAGAGCGAGCACCAGTCGACGCAGTGAGCAGGCTCATCTCGAGGATGACGAGGACGGCAGCGATGGCGAAGACAGCCGGGACCCTGACCATGCTAATGACAATCCTGGTTCGGCGCAAGCGACAGATCATTCTCAGGCACCTACACTCCATGCGGAGGCGCCATCGCCCTCCTACAACACGAGAAAACTCAACACTGAGCCAGGCAAGACGCCGGAAAGCGAGCGCAAGACGAAGGCCGGCGAAGATGACTCAAAGAAGGAGCAGCACGTAACCTTCAAGCAGGCAGGAGACCCTGCGGAGAACAAGACTGCCACATTGCAGGATGGCGTGCAGCAGAACCAAACAAATGGCGTGGCTGCGCAATGAGGGAGGATGGTCTTTATTGTGCGCTGGCGCCCAGCAACAGGAGGACACTAATTTAACTGGGGGAAGTTGATCACGCATGGATACCCCGGATGTTTGCAGAATTTAAAATCTCACGAAATACCCATAAGATCTGAGCGATGTTTCTTGTATCTTAGCGCTTGACATTTGAGAAATGTAATTAATTTATCCTATGAAGTCGAGCGTGCACTTCTTATGGCAAATGCGGGTGGGACTGCTCGCATCTCGATTGCCATGTGCAGTCACGATCTTTAATCTGTACCAAGCCTCACTGCGCTTGGCGTGCTCTCGAATGAGGATAGCAAATCGTGGAGATGGCGGACTCACAGGGAGGGATCTGGAGGCCGCATGGTACTGCGTGCCAGGGGTTCTCTGCTTCTCATGCCAGGGCCGAGGTTCCTTGCTCTTCCTGGAGCAAAGAGGGGCGGGAGGCGGCATAAAGATCAGCGCAACTCCTAATTACCTAGGTAGATTGTGTTTCCCCGGCTTGGACAGGTACCTTGGCATTGGTGATTCCTGGCGGGCAGAGATAGGAGCCTTGCAGATGAAGAGGGTTCGCCTACAGCGGTGAATAGTAGTCGATACCACCAAGTCCAGTTCAATCCGTGACTTACTCCCGTCCAACCCTGGCGAGCAGGGATCAAACCAAGAGGACAATTGGGGTTGCACAGCATTGACGCGTTGTTGCGTCCTCGACAAGCTCTACCTTAGGGGCCCTTTCACAAACGCATGATCTTCGAATCTTGGGCTTGCTTGTGAACATCTCCAAGTTCCGACTTGCACGCCCGACGAGTTCGGCATTCTGCCCACGCTCTCCAAGGCATGTGATGTGCTGTATGGGTGGTATCATGGCATCAACCCCCTCCCCCGTCCCGTCCCCCTGCTCTGCCCACCCGCAATGACGTCCCTGGCTGGCACCTGTCCGGCTGGAAGGTTGTATCCTCGGCGGGTCCTGCAGCGGAGTGCCTGCGGTGTTGGTCCTTGGCTTATGCATCGACGTGACGGGCGAGCTTGATTTATATCAGATACGCTGCCCTGGGCCAGACATGATCTGTGAAAGAGTCGTCTGATGGACTAGAGGATCGACGGAGATAAATCCCCGCTCGCCTCTGATCTCTCCCAACCCCGACCTGCCAGTCCCTGCCTGATTTTCAGGTATCGGAAGCATCGTGACTTACACGGGACAAGACGAAATCCGAGTCAAGAGCCTCGCGCGCCCCAGAGCAACAACAATGCGCCTCCCATTCTCCTCCTCGGCCCTCTGGGCCACAAGGCTCCTCGTGCTCGTCACCACCGCCGGCTCCCTCGCCCGCGCGGCGGAGTACTGCAACAACTGCACCAACGAGTCCCCCGAGCCGATCCTCGCCGCGCCCGCGCCGTGGATCCTGACCGGCCGGGCCTACGCGATCCCCATCGTCCCGTTGTCCCTCGACCTGCCGGACAAGACGTTCCACCCGCTCGAGCGGACCGTGGGCAACTACACGGCCGGCACGTTCAGGGGCATCCTGGGCACGATCCTGCTGGTGCGGTACGACGACAGCCCCGTGGGCCCCTACGACGAGTTCATCGTCATCCCGGGCACGTTCAGCTATGACAAGGAGGGCGTGGAGCAGCTCCGCCTGAGGATCGGGAGGATCTATGTCAGTCAGAAGTACACGACGTGGAATGGACGGAGCAGTGAGTTTTTGCCCCCGCTTCTTCGGTAGACACCGAGTTGAGTCCCAGACGGCTTCTTCTCTTTTTCTCCCCCGTTTGCCGGGAACGAACAAGCAATTGTCCCGATCATTAGCCGCTGGGTGATGTGCAGGAGAGAACCAACGGGTAGTGGTCGCTATGAATTGAGCGAAAGAAGCAATGAACTGACTCTCTCTCTCCCCCCATACACAGACTGGAACATCCCCAAGCATCTAGCCCGCTTCGACTGGACCTCGCACCCCGGCGGCGGCGAGTCGGTCAAGATCTACCCCTACGACACCTCGGGCTCGCTCTCCTCGGCCATCGCGCAGGAGACCGGCCCCAGCGCCAAGCCCTTCTTCAGCATGACCTTTGCGCCCACCATCCCCGTCCAGATCCCCTTCACGACCGACGTCTTTGGCTGGCTCGGCATGGAGGCCACCACGCTGGGCCACCCGCCCATCCCCGAGGGGAACGGGGTATACGACGAGCTCCCCGGCACGGACTTCTGGGCGCACACCGTGTTCGGGCTTAAAGGCTCCAAGGCGAGCCTGGGCCTCATGGATCTTAGGCAGGCCGAGACGGACGAGGTGGTATCTGGCAGAAATGCGGTCGGCGACGAGGTCTTTCCGAATTTCTGGCCGGGGATGCCGAGGTGGAATGTGGCGCTCAAGTTGACGGATGCTATGATCTCGTTTAGTGACCCGGAGACTTGGGTTGTGTGAGAGAGAGGGAGAGAGGTGGAGGTGCAACAGGACGAACAGCCGGGCCAGCAGGGCTCTTCAGTGTGCGGGCTGGAAGGAGGAGGGAGGAAACAGGATAGCGCACTCAGACGATATCACACTCTCGCGCTCTCTACCACGCCCTCTTTCTCTTTGTGAGGTGTTTTGACGGTCCGGGGGAAACGCAAGATGTCAAAACGCTGATCACTGCTTCTTCGTTTCACTGGTGCCGGTGTGACAACCCATTTGCACCACATAAAGATCCCATGTCTTGGAGAACAAGGCCAACGTCTTCTGATTAGCGTTGTGTAACGCCAAGTCCGGGACTGGAAGCAAACGCGTTGTCCATTCAATGCTACATGTACATAAAATGCAAAAGTAATAGTGACTCGCTCGCCGCTTCCGCTTCCGTGAAAGACGCGCTCAATGCGTTGGCGCTCGACTTTGTTGCCAAGATCGCCAAAAGTCGTTCTCATTCGGGTGTTTTTGTTTTGTGTGTTCGCAGAAGGCCCACTGCATTTCCAGCAAGGCATCATGCAGAAGACCATTGCGTCGCCTGCCGTTCAGATGCAGACCGCAACTGCCATCAGATCAAAGATTGTAGGCTGATTCATCTCCCTCCACATTGATATGTGCAGCCGGGTGGCCATTCATATACGGGTTCGAAGCGGACAGTAGTACGCCTAGGCGCAAGCTCCGTGGGAGTCTGATCCGCTGATTTGTGGGATCAGCCAAATTGTGCGAGTCCGGGCTCGCACCCTCGCGTTTCCAATGAGGTGGTGTTTCGTCCCAGACAATCCTCGCGGGCAGATCCATCATCGTGTTCCACATACAGATGTGCATGGCAGCTTTGACGTCTTCGAAAGTTTCCATGGTGCGGTCGCCCTGGTTCCGAACAGCGTTTAGGTATATCTGCCAGAACTGGTCCTCGTAGTTGGCGTGCCCATCGGAGCTGAGCACAGCTAGGATACCGATCCAGAGGTCCACACCGGTACCGTGTAGACCCTCGAGGGGGTCGTCCACCGCATCGAACATGCGTTTCATGCGTGACAAAACGGTCACTGGACCTGATGCCATGGGCGCCTTGCCACCGCCAAGGAAAGCAATTGATTGAATGAAACAGAGGCAGACGAGTCCTTGTGCCGGCCTCAATTTATTCTTGTCATCACCCTCGATGTACCATCGGATGAGATGGGAGATCATCATCGAGTAGATGGTCTGCACATCGAGTGCATCCCACTCATGCCGTTCTGGAGCCTTGGCCCACGCTTTTCGGTCGTGCTCAAGACATTCCATAATCTTGACGAGATGTATCAAGCTCTCATCGAACCCGAGTGTTGTGAAGAGGTTTGTCATCGGTGCTGGCTTTTCATAGGATGGCGAAGATACCGGGTATCCGTGATACATCTGCCCGATCAAATCTCGAGGCAGTAGATATGACTTATGCCAACAGATCCCAAGTTGAGGCACGGTGTGTCTGGCAGAGTTTGAAGTTAGCCTGTGACCGCAGAATCCACGAAAGCCATCACATACCTGACAATTAGATGCTGCAGCATCTTTGAGCTCGCCAGCCCATGAACGCCGCCCCTGAGTCGTATCATTTCCTTCAAGCCGTTCATATGAGCTACCCTTTGTCGCTGGTCTGCATGAAGCTCCGCAGTCTGTGGCACCTCGGGCAAAAACAGATTTTCTTCTATGCACATGAGATTAAAGACAGCAGCAAGATTCTCGTCGGACACTGCTTGGCCAGGGTCGTTCAGTCCCTGCTGCACCTTCTTGATGGCCTGCATCTTGTGGTACTGCACAAGACCGCGAAACTTGGTCTGCTGTGGTTGCAAGATGCTGAGTTGGAGGGCAATCAAGCCCAGCATGGCGTGCATGAAGGCTGACTGTTGAAGTGAAGGCACGATCCAGTGAGCCTGGATTGTAGCCGAGTGGGAAAGGGCAGGGCCAGCCATGGGCACGATCTGGGGTGAGACAGCTTTTATGACTACGTAAAAAACACCAATCAGGATGAGCACATGGGTTAGAAAGCCTGGGATTGGGGCGGTGGGCTTACAGAAGTCCAGCATGTAGCTTGTCGGTCCATCCAGCCTGACTGAGGAGATACGGAAAGGGTCGACCTCGCCAGAGAGTCCCGTTTGCGCAGACAGCACTGCAAGACTCTTGTTGCACACTGCACATTCTAGCTGGCCATCTGAAGAGCCCTCATCGCCAAGTTCATGGTTACAACGAGGACATATCTCTAGAGATGATTGCCTACGCGATTTTGGCGACTGTTGCTGCTGACGATGTTTCTTGGGCTGTGGCTTCCCTACGGATCCCTGGCGGGCTTTGCCAGTTGCTGATGGTCTTCGCCGGTTGGCAGGTTCGTCCCCTGCGACAAGCACTTTTTGATCCTCTGCTGCATGGTCCTCCTCGTCCTGGGTGTCGGCTGTGAGGGCTGCATCCTCTGCTTGGGATGCCTTGCTGCGGGTGGTCCATGGGCGTGCAGCCCGGGCATTGCGCATGACAAAGGCCCGGGCGGAGCGGGACGCCTTGTGGCCTGCCGCGGAGCTGTCACTGGTGGTGTTGACAAAGACAAAGGCGCCGGCACTGCCGGGCCCGGCGGGCTTTGAGCCTCCGGGGGCCATGCCGCTGGGACGTGACACCACGGCCCGGTCCGTGGCTGCTACCGGGTCAGGCTAATGTCTCATGACGCGGAAGGGGAACGGCGACTCGCTGCTCGGCCCCTGGATGGCCGGGTGGCCTGGTCCGCGTGGCGAGCGGAGAGTGGACGAGCTGAGGCAGGCCGGCAGCCAGCGACGCTGAGCTGAAAGCCGCAGGCGTTAGCCAGGCAAGGCGATCATGCGAAGAGGCGGGATAGGGTCCGGACAAATCGCCTTGGCCCGCAGATGTGTGTGCCCAGTGCAGTGCAGGCTGGGGGTCGTGGTCGTCTGGGTCGCGGGCCAGCGGAGGGCGGAACGAGGACCGTCCTGTCGTCTGGGTTCAGCTGATGGGCCAGGGGCCACTTGTTGTCGACGGATCGGACCGATGTTCTGGGCCTGGTGGAGACACACTAGAAGGGTCGTAAAGGGACGGATGGGATGGGCTGGGCAGCTGAGCTCGAGGGAGCCACGACGATGCAAGCAAAGATGCTGGATCTGGCACAAACGAACAAAGGCACTACGCACTGGCGTTGTGGAGTGGACGGATTCGAGACAGCAAGAGCGGGGCTCGCGCCTTCCCCGCCTCGGCACCAGGACCCCTTTGTCCATTCTGGGCTTAGCGCCACCCGTCTGACTGCAGCGCTATCTTTCTCCTCGTTGGGCCTAGGCCCGAATTGGCCAACCACACACAAAAGTGGCCAGGCGTCCATCTTGGTGGGAGAACCGCTCTCGAAGGCCATCTCTGTCGCTACAAGACGAGATCGGACGTTGAACGACCTTTCAAGTGAGGGTTCTCCAGCGCGATGCAGTCAAAAGCCTTAGCTGCCGCCGCCTTGCTAGCAGCGTACGACGACAGACCATGCTGCAATGGCGGCAGAGTGGCCAGTGCCGTAGCAATGTTCAAGATTTGACCTCCCTCAGCGGCATGGGGTTCAAATGCCCGGGCTACCTTCATCACACCCAAGACGTTGGTAGTAAACGTGTTCCACCAACTATCCAGATCACACTCGGGACTGAGTACCGGGGCGCTGGCAGGCATGTACGCAGCCGAGCAAACGAGGATGTCAATAGCGCGAAAAGACTCGGCGACCGTGGTAAACGCGATGGTGAGTTGCTTTCCGTCCGTGATGTCCGTTGGCAAGGCGAGACCATTTGTGCCTGGATACTCTTGCTCGATAGACTCTTTGGCTCTCGTGAGGATATTCTCCTTTCGAGCTAGAATGGCCATCTTGGTGCACCCGGCGGCCGCAAAGGCTCGTGCGATGCTGAAGCCAATGCCGCTGGCACTGCCGGTGATGACGACGACCTTGTCCTCGGCTGATAACGCGGGCCGGGAGGGAGAAATTGCAGGGTATGACTCGCTGTGCCATGTCTTGGTCAAGGATGATTGGTATGGCAATCTTACATGCTGCTCAATGTCGGCAAGGCCCTAGCCAATCCCCCCTTCAACGAAACTGGCCTACAAAGAACAGACCTGTCTCATGCAAGCGACAGGACACCTTCTGATGCACCAGAAAATCCCTATATGTCGCTTCTCAGCACCCACAACGCCGATGAGGAATTGCAGCTTTTGTAAAGTCTTGAAGCTGAATCTTTCGAGCAACACAATTTTCAAAGACATCTGTCTATCCTAACATTGCCAGATCCGCCTTACTCCCTTTCCTGATTCGGACGCCTCACGCCCAATGGTCCGGATTCGGAGCTGAATGGCGACCTTGCTATCTATATTTTCCAGTCATATCTGCACATGGTGACCAGCCAAAGATGTGTCCCGCCGTTCATCCATCCCAGTCATCAGGACTTGTCTCGCAAGGCGAGCCGTCCGAGGCCCCTTTTCACCTCCTTGAAACTTGCGCAAATGATTTTGCAGGGCCAGCACATGAACAAGAGTCTAATATGGGGCTTGATTTGCACGGAGCAGAATTGGCTGCGCGCTGAGGTACATGATACGCCTTTTGGCCTTCTCAGGATTATGTCAATGCTTGCTGAGAACCGAGCATTGTCACCAGCCCATGTTCGACAGGTGGGAGGCGTTGGAAGCGATGCGGAAGATCATTATCTTCATGCTGCTTTGAGTAACGGAGGGGCATCAGCATTACACAAATTTCGACACACACCTCATCATCTCCTTTATCGTAAGTGGGCATATCCCCAGACCCTCCTTGAACCGTGGGAATCTAACTGATTCGGGCTCCGCCAAGAATATTTGTGATGCTATTCGGCGCTGATGTTGTGGGAGACCTGGGCGTTTTTCGAATCACGACACCGGTATGCCCTCTCGTAATGACCAGCTTCACGTTCGCGCGCCGTAGTCACACATACGAAGATGTGTTCCTGCGTGGCCCGAAGCTTACTTGCATGCATTTCAGCGCGGCAACGATAATATGCATAATCAACACCATCTTCCACGCCTAAATTGCACACCCTCCACCAGGTTTGCCCCAGTATCCTAGCCTTGCTGCCCCTGCCTCCAAGGTACCATGGAACGCCGACAACAATGCGGAGTGGTCGATCTGCTAGAAAGAAGAATTGCACCGAGACGCGATGCACGAGATGCTGAGAACTGCGACCTCGTCGGCCTCAAGGAGGCCGCGGCTGGACATGTCAACAGTCGTCAGGATGACGGCGACAGCAAGAGTAGCAGATGGTGTTCACGGGCGGACTCGTTTGGCTTGCTTGTCACACTGGTGGCCAACTTGACCTACTCTGTAGCTTGCCTAAAGTCTAGTATCACTCGAAGCGGTGGCTTTGGGAGATGCACAATGCAAGACTGGGAGATTAGCAGTTTCCCTAGGATGGTGCTCAAGTAGGGGCTGATATGGACAGAGTGAGTTCAAAGCGACCTGCCCATTCGAACATAACTTCGTCTTAGCCGCGCACGAATCGCTGCTTCGCGGACAGCATTATTAAGGCATGCGATGTGATTTATCCGGACTTGGCTTATTGCTAACTTCATGACGGTCGCCCCTGCACTGCCCTTCGACCTGCTATACCGACGCTGAGGATATCCCAGTGCTGCCGCTCATGCACAAGCACAACGCAGAGCTGTTCAGACCCGGCTAAGTTGCGGAGCAGGATTGTGGCTAACATCAGAGCGCCAGGCATCAAGTTCTTACGGCTGTCCATCTCCATTACGATAAAACGAGCTGGCTTGTTTCGGGACTTTTTGCCTCTCAAAGGGTCGAACGGCAAAGTAGGTTGAGAGCCACCTTGCTAACCGGACAACTGGGGTGTCTAGGCACCCAGATACGATCCTAGCTCTTTCCCCTGATCTGCCAGATCTGTCAATTTATAACCATGCTTTAGGTAAATTGTTGCCTAACCATACCCTGGCCAATGTTAAATGCGGAGACCATGGCTGGTAGAAGACCCATCGGCGGATACTCCCGCCGATTCCTTGCTCGTTGACCCTTTCTACTAAATAGAGCAGTTTTTCCTGTTTAGTTCTGACAGACGACACCCAGCTATAGACATTTGAGGCAATTTTGACACGACGGCACCGAGCTCAGCAGCTGTGCCAGACCCACGGGCCACGATCCTTCCATTTCATTGAAGGCAACATTCAACCGCACCAGACCATCGCTGCGGTGTAAGTTGTCGAATTGCTCAGGTTTGAGGACCGACATTGCGAGTTTTGTTTGAGACTTTCACCACACTATTGTAGGGCTGGTCTTGATACTGGAGGAAGAGAAGATGAAATGTATGCTTGAAACTGTTGGTGGTCGTAAGCTGTTCACAATAGATGGCGCCAACCAGGTCGCACAAGGACCAGGCTCTGCTGTGAGACTCCGCATTTTTGAGAAACAAAACCAGCACGCGTGCTGTCCTCGTATATGCTGCGAACAAGGATAGGCTTAGGGATCCTTGCCCAGTCATGCACTCTTCATGGCATGGGAACAAGGTTTTAGTCTTCTAAAACCATTACTACCCGTGGACGTATTGGACGCACTTGTCGCTCGTGAACATAAATATCACGATAGTTCTTCGTCTTTTTGGCCATTCCTGTCCATCAGCAAGCTACACACTCCATTCACTTCTCACGAGATCTACCCATTGAACTATTCCAACCACAGCTGACCTCTCAACAAAACGTACCTACTTGCAACATGCGTTCCTCCCAGCTCATCGCCTTGTCCGGCTTCATGGTCGCGACTGCTGCCGCCGAATCCCAAGCAAACATTGGCTTCGCCATGGTCTCCGACAGCTGCGGCGACGGTTTCTACATCGGTTGCTCCGTGAATGTTGGCGAGTGCTGCACCCTGCCCGACGGCTACAAGGGTCTCGCCGCCGAGTTCCGCTTCAGCCAGGACACGAGCGTCGTCGGCAAGGCGTACACTGGCCCCGACTGTGTCGAGGCGGATCTGGTCGTGAAGCAGGACAACAACAGCACCTACTTCTGCATCGCCAAGCCCTCCGCGCCGCTCTCGAGCGCTCACTACGAGCTCAGCAGCACCGCCGGTCGCAAGGCTAAGCGCGGCGGTGCCAGGGCCAAGGCCTGTCGCTCGCCTGACCACCTGATCTTCCCGGGCGGCGCTCGTGCCAATATCGACGACCTTGCTCCGAGAGAGTACAAGGAAATGGTAAGTTTTATGCATTTGTGATAAAGACCCTCTGTGTTCAAGACAATGCTAATGAATATTTGCTACAGTGAGTTGAGTCCTGGAGTCTACACCAACAATTTTAATGCCGATGACCCTCGTCATTGTAGCCTCGAAGCTCGCCGTCAGGCTCGCTTGCACATATATCTCCCCTCCCTTCAACTACCTTGAAGTCATTAAAGGCACAATAGCTAACATTGTGATCGCCTTGGCGAAAAATATAGACTGGACATGGTCGTGGCTCGCAGTGATGCTGCCGATGTGGAGGCTCAGCTCGCTGCCTTCCGCAAGTAAGCTCGCCGGGCAGCTCGCCAATCCCGAAGTGAGACTTCTGGAAATATCAAGTGGCGTGGAGGAAATCACCGAGTCAATGCGTGGTTCAAAGAGGAGGTCATCTAAATGGTCCAGTGAATGCGCCGTCCTTTAGGCATCGCAGCTCGAACTATGTTTGCACGTACTACCCCAGAAAAATCAGGAACTTGCTGGCGAAATCTTTTCAGACTGACATTATTCTTCGATGATGCTCTGCAGTCGGCCGATTGTTTGATCTGGAGGGCAGGTGCTATGGTCTAGCTTTGTAGAGTGATGTTGTTCCCTATTGCCGGCACCAGATTTCGCGCCGGAAAGTGGCCAGTATGGGGTCGACCCCAATGCTGCCTCGCCAGGGCAAATGCATTTTAGACTGGTAAATGATTCTCGGGATGTATTTCAGCCACCTTGATCGTTCGATTTGGCCTTCGTCAGGCGAGGTATTGCTAGGCTCGAGGTCCAAGTTCCGGCTATTCCATACATCAAGTCTCGATCCTGCTGCACAGGTAGCTTTGGGATGTGGCCTCGAGCGCTGCGAGGAACTCAGTATTGCTCTCCAGTTCTCTCATACCGCAAATCCATGCTTTCAAGGTTGACTTTCTGTGGAGGCAAAGTAAGAAGCACGCCTCTTGCTCCCAAAGATCGAGCCGTGACGACTGTGGGCTGAGTACGTAAGCGGGCACTGGGCATTCGCCCAAGCAACCCCGCATGTGAGGCGAGAGGATGTTTGCCCAACGTCCACGTCCCAGACTCGGGCGCTCAGGCGTCAAAGAGCACCCTCCGCTCCCTTTCACATGACGCATTCACCAAGACAGCTACGTGGATTCTGCACCACGATGTCTGGTTCTGATAGCACCGTCCAACCTCTTTGCGGCTATTGTTCTGCTTTGTTCCCATTGGATGTGTACGCCAAGCCAGGCAGCGTCAGCCACCATGCCACGGTGCGCGACCTTCTCAACTGTGTAGCACAAACCTCATGTGCTATTTGCGCGGAGATTCCGCAGCAGTGGCCGCTCGACAACGTGCGCAAGACTTTCCCCGACGATGGCGAAGACGTGATCATCGACCAGACCGAGATCGCACTTAGCGTTGATGATGGCCATCGCCTCGTAGCTGCTCGTGGCAGGCTAGGCGTGTTAAAACCGCCAGACCAGATTGGCTGGATCAATCTCACCCTTTTACTGCGGTCAGCTCGACACAGCTACGCGCATACCATGAAGTTTGTCATCGTGACTTGCAGCTTGGAAGGTATGGTTATTAGCTCCAGAAGTACAGTCGTAAGCCGCTGATCACCCTTGATATTCAGGCACATGGTCCGAAGCTCCCGCAATATGGTTGGCACCTTCCGCAGGTGAAGTCAGTCATGCCGACAAGGCGAAGATTATCAAATCCTGGTTGGCAGAATGCGAACATGAGCACGAGCTTTGTGGCGATGTGCCCGCGAACGTTCAAGTTGCACTGCCTAAACGACTGGTCAGAATCGGGAACGATTCATTGCGCCTAGTTCTCACGAAAGCTGAGGCCGAAGTTGTTAATCACATAGAATATGCGGCGCTCAGTCACTGCTGGGGATCTTATCCGCCTCTGAAGACAACCAAGGCAAACCTGGATCGCCTAAGCCAAGATTTTGCTATCCGCGGTACACAGAGTAACGATTTAATACCCCCTCGCACATTTAGAGAGGCAGTCGAGCTCTGCCGTGCTCTCAATATACAATACATATGGATAGACAGTCTTTGTATTGTCCAGGATGACTTGGAAGAGTGGCAGGCCGAGGCCACCCTTATGGGAAGCGTATATGCAAACGCCCAGCTGACGATAGCAGCGTCCAGTGCTGCCGACAGCACGGAGGGATGCTTTCCTAGTATTCTTCCAGATCGTGGAAGCGCCTTTCATAGGAGGTCTCGACTCATTACACAGTTCAGAGCCATTTTGTCACCTGGAAAAGTCAACAACGAGGAGATGCCCCTCAGTAACGCAGGAGCACCTCGAACGACGGGCAACCTTCATGCCGTCCGAGTCTACCCATCGAGGCTAGGGTTTCATTCAACCATCTCAAACCTGAGGGAGCGGGGTTGGGCGCTTCAAGAGCACGTCTTGTCTCGCCGCGTCGTTCATTGTACATATCCCGAGCTGTACTGGCAATGCCGAAGCGCTTATCAGACTGAAGGCGGGGTAACAATTCCACCAGAAAACTCGAACCGTGAGTTCTTGCCGATTGCCAATCAAATCGAAGTCGCAGGCGACCATGACTTGAGGCTGCGCGTAGCCCACAATGTTTGGTGTCGCTGGATGCAAGATTACTCGGACCGCCAATTTACGATCCCATCAGACCGGCTTGCAGCTCTCGCAGGTATGGTGGATTGGATGACCCAGGCGACCGGCTACACCCATCTTTTGGCCTGTTGGGAGGAAACCATCTGCGAAGACCTGGCTTGGTTGGGACGTCGTTGGTGTGCTCCTACTCAGCGGGATTTTCTGTTACCTAACCTGCCATCCTGGTCGTGGCTATCGCGAGGTAATGAGATAGAGATGGGCTACCAAGGGGTTGTCGAGGGAGACATGGCTGTCGACAAGCATACGCTGCTCGTAAGCAAGCAGATTCTGTGGGAAGGGTTGCCATTGGTCTCCAGGCTCCAACATGCAGAGTTACAGCTGCATGGACCGCTCAAGCAGCTGCGACTTACAACCGACCCCGAGGCCGACTACATCCATAGCTCGCCACTAAGGATAAATGAGGGTGAACACAGCGGGGGTCCGGACAAAGCCTGGCCTGGGTATGATAACGGTGTTCTCGACACGCAGCCAGGCGACACGGAACAGAAATATCTGAATGGATGCTATCACTGCTTTCTTCTTTTCTCACTCACGGAATCTGCGGGCATTCGGGATTTCTTTCTGGTCCTGGAGCCAGCCTGTTGCGACAGCCCAAACCTATTTTGCTCGGCCACTTCTGAGCAGACCATGGTAGACTATCACAATCGATGCTTTCGGAGGGTTGGGCTCGCGTGGACTGATCGACATATTCTTCCGTCCACGTCATATTTTGACGATGCGGATAAAACAACTATTCGACTAGTCTAAAGCCTTTGAATTTGTCAGGAGGCGAGTCTTTGGGAGGTCGATTTCCTTCTAAAGCAGCCCTGTCAGAAATGGTAAATACTAAAGCAATTGAGAAGAGACCTTCAGACATGATTGAATGTTCTGCTCGATTGGACGGTCCTGGACCTCAGACCATAGGTTTCACATCTCTATACTTAGTCACTGAGTAAGGGGACGGAGCGCAACGTTACTCCATGCTCGCCTAGATGTGGTCGGCTATGTGCTTATCCTGAGTCAAGACCTCCGTCAATATATTCCTGGCCCCCAAGGACGTACTCACGACCGCCTGGAGATAGTGAGGACCCCGCACACGTGACGGACGGGAGGCTGGCCCACCTTCAGCTGCCGTCGATGGATTCAAGGTTGCCTTGCCTTGGGCTGTGACTGTCTTAGGATGAGCAGAATTTTCCAACCACATGCACCCGAGACACTTGACCGAATGAAGCACTTGCGATCGGCACGCCATGGGTCCCGATTCTGGTACTATTCAGCCGCTTTGCACGCATTGCTCCAAGATATTCCCACTTGAGACGCACACGCACTTCACGAAAATCGAACACTATGCCACTGCCGGCGAACTCATCAGAGAGGCAGCGAGCACCTCATGTGCCCTTTGTGCCGCCATCCAGCAATACTGGCCGCTCGACGAAGTGCGGCAGCGGTTCCAGCAGGACCCCGAAGGTGTGATCCTTGGGCAGACTGAGCTGCAGTTCAGTGTCGACGGCGGATCTCGCTTCCATGATGATGCCTGCGAGACTCGGAGCGGAGAAGCCCCAGATCAGATTGACTGGATACTGCTAAGCGGTGAACTGTCCTCGGATCGTCATCAAGTATTTCACAGCATGGTGCTGGTCATCGCGACACGCGATCCGAGAAGTGCGTTACCTGGCAACGAGGAATCGCCCGCTTGCTAACCTTTACTCCTGTAGGCTCTGACACAAAGACCCCGGCGATATGGCTCGAGCCTTCAGACACATCTGACCGAGCAGAGAAATTTAGAATCATAAAGTCTTGGCTGACGGGTTGTGACAAAAATCACAAACTTTGCAGAGCCCGGTTGCCTCATCTCCCTGTCTCACTACCAAAAAGACTAATCAAAATCAACGACACTGCGCTGTGCTTAGTCGACACCGAAGCCGAGGCCAGAACCCAGGACTGCTCCAAATATGCGGCACTTAGTCACTGTTGGGGCCACTTTCCCCCATTGAGGACTACCAGAGCAAATTTCGAGCAACTTGCCCTTGGCTTTGGAAGCGTTGGCGAGCAAGATACGACCCGGGAGGTTCCGCGTACCTTCCGTGAGGCGATTGATCTATGTCGTGCTTTAGAAATCCGGTATATCTGGATAGACAGCCTGTGCATCATTCAGGACGACCGAGAGGAGTGGCGAGTCGAAGCCACACGTATGAAAGACGTATATGCCAGTGCCTGGCTCACAATCGCAGCATCTAGCGCATCGGACAGCTCCGAAGGATGCTTTACTGCTCATAATGTGGCAGAGTTCAAGGACACCGACACGTATTTGCAACAGGTGACCCAATTTTGGGCAGCCAAGTCGGGCTCAACAGTCGCCGGAGCCAGCACCTGCCATCCTGTTCCGAATCCTGATACTCCGACGCAAGAGCATTTTGCTATCCGAGTCTACCCGCGTAAGCTCGGTCTCCGCACGTCTTTGTCGAAGTTAGGCGCACGCGGGTGGACGCTGCAAGAACACGTGCTATCTCGTCGGATCGTGCATTGCACCTATCCCGAGCTGCACTGGCAATGCCAGAGTATCTACACAGCCGAGGCCGGTATAAGCATCTTACCGTCCTCGCCGGACCTCGAGTGTATCAAGACAGCCGCCCAGGTCGCAACCACAGTGGAAGATCAACCGCAGCAAGATCAATCGCGGCTGCACGGTACCTACCAGGCCTGGTGCCGCTGGATGGAGGAATACTCGAGCCGCCACTTCACCGTCCCTTCTGACCGACTAGCAGCCCTTGCAGGGATGGTGCAGTGGGTTGCAGAGACTACAGGCTATAAGCATATCCTGGGAAGCTGGGAGGAGACGATATGCGAAGATCTCATCTGGTTCGGTGATCCTCCACATGGTCACAGCGAGAGGGAGGCTGTCCTGCGTGACATGCCATCCTGGTCTTGGCTATCCCGAAGCAGAAACGTCGTAGTAGGGTACCAATCCTGGATTTCCTTGTCGACATTGCAGCAGGTCCAGAGACACGCCCGTCTCATCGACACAAACATCATCTGGGGAGGCCTACCTCTTGTCTCCAGCTTACTTTGCGCAGAACTGCAACTACGAGGTCCTCTGAAGCGGATGCGGCTCACGACGGTGCCGGAGGCCCGGGTCTTCAACCCTCCATATCTCAACGTCAATGAGGACATACGGAGGCGGACCGGGGCCGAACCTATTCCCTGGGAATGCGCGGGTGGTCTTGATTATCAGGCGCGCGACGATGAGGTTGATTATCTCGACGGTAATTATGACTGTTTCCATCTGTTAACCGCCAAAATGGCCCACAGGACTGTGGAGTTCTTCCTCGTCCTAGAGCCTGTTCTCCGCACTCGGAACAGCCCGGGTTCTGAGGCCCACGTCTCTGAACAGCCTACGACAGATATGCCCATCCGCACTTTCGCCAGGATTGGGCTTGCGCGCTTCATGACCTCGGCTGCGGCTCCTTCACACTTTGCCGACGCAGAAGACACTATCATCAGACTGATCTGAAGTCTCTGGACCGCAGCAAGCGAGTTTCCTGGGAGTCTGGTCCTCAGGGGGTTTGCCGAGCTACCGTTGGATGCAGTGAAGAAACCTCCTGTGCCCGGGGGTGATGGTCATACCCTTTCCGGCCACATCGTTGTCTACCTCACTCAGGCCGTGGGTTCCGTGTCGCTGTACCTAGAGTTACCAGGAGTCTCACCATCCACTCCCAACCCGCCCTCCTGCGACCGAGCTCTGTCCCTCCTCCGGTCCACCATTCTGCGCCATGGCTTGTACACTAGCACCGAGCCCAACCCGACCACCAAGAACAGGCCGCAGATTGATCCACCAATGACGTCAAAATGATCGCTGATGGCTGACAGCCCGTCCCAGAACGGCGACTCGCCCTCTTCGGGCTGAACAATGTTCTGCGCGAGCGAGAGGACCTGGATGCAGCCGATGAACGCGGCGACGACAATGGTGATGGTGGTGAGGACGATCGAGTAGTACAAGATGGCGACGCGGTCGCGGGCAAAGGCCTTGGAGGTGTACAGGGACATCATGAGGGCGCCGTCCGTGGTGTCGAGCATGCACATGCCGGCTGGGCAATTGTTAGTGGAAACAGATACCATGGAGAAATGATCCGATGTCACGGAACAAAAGACTCACCAGTGAAGAGCAAGGGAAAGATCAAGATGACCCAGAGACTAGTGCCTTGCGCACCCTGGACACTAGCGATCCCCAGGATGGCAATTTCGGAACTGGTGTCGAAGCCCAGCCCAAAGAGCACCCCCAGGGGGTACATCTTCCACGGCCTGTCCACGATGCGGAAGAGCTTCCGGAACACGTTGGCCAGGAACCCCGCGCCCTCGAGCTGCAGGTCATTCACAGCGGCGTCCTGCCCATCGGCAGCGACCGCACCATGCTCGCTAGCCTGGCCATAGTGGTGCGGGTCATCCTCGCGCAGCGTGGCCCGCAGCCTCTGCACGAGCCGATACAGCACCCAGCTGTTGCCGAGACACAGCAGGATCAGGAACGCCGCACTGACGCTGGTGCCGATGATGCCACCGATGTAGGCAAAGTTGTCGAAGCGGTCACGGAGGGCACCCGAGGTGGCGGCGACGACGATGCACGTGATGATGACGATGGTCGAGTGGCCGAGGCTGAAGAAGGTGCCGACGGTGACGGGCCGCTGGCCCGAGGCGATGAGGCGGCGGGTCATGAGGTCGATGGCGCTGATGTGGTCGGCGTCGAGGGCGTGGCGGAGGCCCAGCGTGTACGAGAGCACCGCGGGGCTGATCATGGCCGGGTAGAAGTGCAGCACGGGCGCGACGGCGGCCCAGACGAGCAGGTTGACGGTCACGAGGGCCGCAATGATGCGGACCACGGGGAACGGCAGGCCCTTGAGCCGGTCGGGCACGGGGAGGCGGAAGCGGCGGCGTGACATGGTGCCGGTGCCTTGCTGAGGTCGTGGGCAGTTACCGTCGTAGGCAGGGAGGAGAGGCTGCGAGGCGGCAGCGTCTTCGCTCGCTGGTGCAGTTGGCATGTCTGGCAGAAGGAGAAGGACGTGAGAAGAAAACAGTGGGACAACGACGTCGAGAATGCCCTAGGGTAGTAGCATAGATCCGACGGATTACAGTATTTTAGCTTTGTGAGGCCTGCGATAAGGTACCCGAGAAGATGGCGGCTGTTTAGCTGTAATTACCCCTCACCCGGTTTTGGAGAAGCTGCCCCGCACTGCAAACGGCCCCCACGATGTGATATCTCCTATCAAACTGGCGGGCGTCCTTGTGTGGAGTGTTTTAAGTCATTCGGTCAACAAGACTGGTGGGCAAGATCTAAGGGTCCTCTTGGCACCTCTTTTTCTGACGACGACACAACAACGGTGCCTATAGCTTCACATTACCATTGAGAAGAAGGCTTGCGGTAAAAACGACAAGCCGCAGCGTACGTCATGTATAAATCCACGGGAACCTTATGGCTGGCTTGATCTTGCACAAGCGATCCTGGCCAAGGCATTGCTTCCGTGTCGCATAGACTGGCACCATAACCATATTCCAAGATGCTCGGCGTCGTACATATGCCTGACTAATAATCAATACAGCGGAAGCATCCCCGACGAGACCTGAGTGGCAAGGTGGTGTCTCATCGGTCTTCGTAGCTGACCACGCCTTTGAGTTCCACCCGTCCAAGTCTCGGTCCAGCGCGCACAAGGCTCGTACACTAAGAGGACTGCAGTGTATCCATATCCTCCACAATAAAGTCCGAGAACAAGCCTGCTGCGACCCATCTGAACGGGTTTGAGAAGCTGGATGAGAACTCGAAGCGGAAGACGGAGCTCGGTGATTCAGGCCCTAATGGCGATTTCCCTCAACAATTTGCACGTAATAAATGGCTTTCGTCGTTCAAATAAGTTTGATTTATCCCGAAGTCTCGAAAAGCCTAGTCGCTTCGCGAAAGAAAAACCTTTTGGGACGTCACTTTCCTTGGGAAATTGTTCGATAATTATTGGTTTCTTCAAGCTAGAAACAACCACTAGCTGGGAGGGTCCCACTGTCAAGCCCAAGACGCCGACGCCTCTGCTGCACCCGAATCACTGTTGCCAGCGAGTTGGTCATACTTTTTTAGCGCATCGAAACCAGTCACGGAACACATGTGTGTTTGGCAGCGGTTCCTGGCTTCATATGCAAGATGCAAGCTTCAAAATTCAAGCACAAGGAGAGAGGTCGGGCACACAGGCGCATGATCCAAGACGCAAAGGAGGTGGGGGCGGAAATCGAACACATTGGCCAACACAACAAGCTATGATGAGGGTAGTCGAGAGAATAAGCTCTGGTCAGAGCCTGCCCAGGTGGTCCGGGGGGCTGTCACCTCATTTGGGCTGAGTATGTGTCTATCCCACACCATCCCACCATTCTCCACAAACTGCGGGGCGCTACACCTCTCCTCTCCTCTTTCCCCAGCTTCCTCCTCCTGGATTTATAAGCCTCTCGGATGACCCGGTGTTGACCTTCAGTATATCTGAACTCCATCGCAACGCTTCACCAACTGACCATAGCGTACGCACACGCAGACTTAACACACTCACGCACGAAGCCGCATACTCTAGGTTACCTTCACTAAGATGGCTGCCACCGCACCACCCATCAAGCTCTACACAAGCCACCAGTGCCCTTGTATGTCGTCTTCGTATCCCCCCAGGCACCTGGCCGGCTGCCTGCCCGCATGAACTATTGTTGACTGACTGCTGCCCAGGGGCCCAACGTGCCGAGATCATCTTGGCCGAGCTCAACATCCCGCATGAGCAAGAGCTCATTGACCTCGCCGTTCCGCGCACTGAGGAGTACCTCAAGATCAACCCGCGCGGGCTGGTCCCGTCCCTGGCCTACGGCGATGAGATCATCACCGAGTCGGCCATCGTCGCGCAGTTCATTGCCGACCTGAACCCGTCGCACCTTCTCCCGGCATCGGCGGACCCCCAGGCGGCCCTCAAGCGCGCGCGCATCGCCTTCTTCGTCGACACCTTCGTGTCCAAGCTCGGCCCGCACTTTGGCAAGCTCCAGTTTGCCCCGCCAGGTGCTGATCTGGACGCTACCGCGCAGGCCTATGTCGACAACGTGGTCAAGGAGATTGATCCCCTTCTCGCAGACGCGGCGCCGTTCTTTGGTGGCAGTGACAAGATCACGCTCGCAGAGGTATGTATTGATCCGATATCTGGCTGCATCTTTATTTTGTCGATGTTAAAATATGCTGAGGATTCTTCTGACCATTGTCAGGTGCAAACTGGTTCCTTCGTCATTCGCCTCCTGAGGCTTCCGAAGCACGACATCATCAAGGATCTCTCGGCAGAGCTCCAGACCAAGGCGCCCAACTTCTATCGCTGGGCAACGGCTGTCGCCGAGGTTCCATCGGTCAAGAGCACTTTTCCTGAGGATGACGTTGTCGCGGGCATCAAGCGCAAGCGGGCTCAGTTTGCCGCGCAGGCGAAGGCTTGAACGAGCATGTCTTTGACACCAAGCTGGGCACAGACAAATACATGGCGTAACGTGGGCCAAGAAAAGCCCCCAGCCTCGCGTCCAGTGATGAATAGGAATATGTTTTAGCCACATCCGTGCATGTCCATATTACATCTCTGCGTGTACTATCAGTGGTGGTTAAAGTGGCTGAAAACTCCGCCGGTCGGGAGAGCCCGAATTTCGTGACCAAGGATATCCATGAGTTCCTCGTGGAAACGATCGGGGTTTCTTGACCCGGACTGGATTCGTGCGACACCTCGTTCATCTTGGCCCATCAGCTGTGTGGCTGCTGTCATATGCACAACCGCTGCGTCACGTCCGCCGTGCCACACCTGTACAAGGACTCTCAATTAGTCTAGTGTGGGATAGCGTCTGTATTCGCGACGCGACAGTGAAACTGGAGACCAGCATGATCATGACGGGACTAGGATTAGAGGTGGCCTTACCTCATCAGCCGCCAGGAACAGGATGGCCAATATTACTGCCTCTCTGTCCTCTCTCTTGGAACTATCTGGACTCTCATCGCTTTCCCCTGCCAGGCCTCGGCGGAGTGTCTCGATGCACGATGCCTTGCGTTCCAAAGCCGCGCAGTCCAGCAGAGGCCGGTTCTTGTGAGGGATATAGCCGAGCCCAGGCATTTCCAGTCCTGCAGATAGTGTTTGCAGCCGCCGATTAGCAAGCACAACCTGCCGATGTGCGGCAAGCAAGACGCCTTCGAGCGCATCCCTCTGCGTGAGGGCCAACTTTGCCCAGTCTGTAAAAATTGCCACACGGCAGCGAATCTCCTTACCGGCCTCGCCTCGATACGTAGCTGGCACTAGTCCGGCTGAGGGGATGTCTGGCTGCACCTGTGACTTGGATGCACAGCCGGTGCAGACACAGTGATGAGCCTGATGCGGTATCGTGACATGGAAGACTGGTCTCTGACGTCAGCAGTGGCTACCTCGTCCGCTCCCCCATCGCATAGTGGCATCTAGCTCACAGTGTTCTAGGAGCTTCTTCTCGTGCTCTGAGATTGGTCGGACCAGCTGTCCGGTAGGCGGCGTGCATATCTGCGGTCGTTGCTGCTTCTCTAGCTGATACTGCTCGATCCGCGCCTGTCGCTGGCGCGCGTGCGTCACTCGGGCCGAGTGCTTACGAGCTGTCCTCCTGTGCGTTATGTCTTCCTGGTTTGGGAAGGTGTTGATGAAGCACAACTGAGTTTGAGCAACCATGTCTGTAAACTCGCAAGAGAACGTTGGCCGTCGTACTCGATGTAAAAGGTAGAGCGACTGGGTGAGAGAAGGATTGAGTTGCTTGCTTTCAGCGTGTGCCGTCACATTCAAAGCGGGGTTGGACATTGTCAGCGGCGAATTTAGTCACTCCTGGAGGACCGCCAAGCAGACTAGAAACTTCCACATCGATCCAACTACGCTGGCTGATGCAATGAGCTAATCCTATGCCCAAGCTCCATTTCCAGTGCTATACATGGTTTTTGCGTGCGCACTCAAGGTCGATTTTGTCCCTCCCCAAGCCTTCCATTAGTCCTGATGTGGTACTCAGCCCATTGAGCCTGTGAAGGGGCCCAGCTATTGCATCTTTATTCCGCGTATAGCTTTACTTAAATCCCGTGTTCTTATTATTCGCATAGAGAAGTAATGCCCGCTATGGATGATAAAGAAGCAGAATGATGATGGTTGGATATTGGCAGGGGCTCGAGAGCAGCGTTCCAAAGGCGATCGAGGCGCTGCCTCCCTCAAATATCTTCACTTCCACGGTTTATCAGTTTTTCGTGAACACAGAGGGATTTGGGGAATGGCCACAGTCTTTTTTGGCTTTTAAATGAATTCTGTGCTGCTTTGAAACGATTTGGGCGTTAGATCTGCGTAGTTAAGCGAAAGGATATTGTGATTGTCCTTTGTTATCAGCAGCAACAACGACAACATCCACATAATCTATGCCTATTGGATACTTGACTTGGTCGCCAAGGCTGACATGGCGGTATGTTGTCCTGGTCCGGAAGGAGATGACAAGATCCAGCTTTTGTGAAAACTCGCGTCTCGCACTACCAACATACGACAAGTGGATTGTGTCATTGGCAAATTGACAAGCCGCATCATGAGCAGATTCCTGGCTTGCTTGCTTGCTGGAAAGACCGGAGAGCCATGCCGGCTCGCAGCCCAACCAACAGTGCCGGGGGTGAATCACGCACCCGCAACGTGAGCGCATGGTCCATGCCAGCCTGACGTACCTGAGTGGATACTGTATGCTCGACGGGCTTTGTTGCGTGAAGACCTGTGGGCGTGACGACCAACTTCACTCGAGTAGGGTGGACGGGCACCGTGCGGCAGATCTCGTGTACGGTGTGGTTGGTATTAAACCCAGGCTCCCGTGCTGTTGCTTGCTGGCACACACACCACACTTGTCATCTTTCGTCCTCTTTTTGCAGCCTTCCTCTGTCGACCAACGCCCTGTGCGCCGGAGCCATCATGTCTTCATCCTCAGAGGCTTCGGTCGCACACAGCATCAATCTTCTCGAGGGCGTGCCAGAGCTGCCATACGTGAAAGGCTTCAAGGTCCAGATCCAACAGCACCATGCGCCAGACCCGTACGGCGCTGTTATCTACGAAGACCATTTCGTCATGGGAAAGAAATGCCTGCCAGAAACCCCCCTGGCTGAGGCTGTCCTTAGGATTCCGCCACGCGAAGCGCCCACCGGAGCTTCACCCACCGACTCTCGGCCCGGTACTGCCGAGTTGGAGATCCTCGAGGTGATTGCTGGAGGCGACGGCAACGAGGCTCAGGTCGTCCGCTGCAAGGTCTACAGACGGGCCATCGGGTCCTCACGGCAGCGGCAGGCAGCCTTTGAGGCCGTGGCCAAAATCTATGACCCTCTGTACTATCATCTGTACCGGCTTGACCCGCACCTCGACTGTTGCACAATGCACAAGGCCGACACCCACTACACCAGCGAGGTGGCAGCCTACGAGGCCTTCCAGAATGCCAGATTTCCAACCGGGGGCACATTTACGCCACAATATTACGGCTCTTGGACCTTCACACTCGCTCATCCTCGCCCGAAAGGTTTCTCTGCCAAAGCTGGCGAAGACCAAGCAGCACCACTCCATCGCCATGTCCGCCTGATCTTGATCGAGTACCTCGACGGTTGCTCTTTGCAAGACCTCATGTACGACGAGAATTATGAATACGTTGAAACTGTCCGAGACACCTATCACGAGAGTTACCGTCTCTTCGTCTGGGCAAAGATACTAGAAGCCATTGTCTTCGTCGAGGACGCCGGGCTGGTACGTAACGATGACGCTCCGCGCAACGTCATGCTCGTGCCCCGGCCGAAGAAGTTCGTGCCACTGTCGGAGCAGCAGCAGCCGCGGGTGGTTTTTATAGATTACAATCTCTCAACTGTTGTGAGCAAGCTCGCCGAACCGTACAGATACCCATACACAGACACTTGTCATGACTTGCCGGACAATCCCTTACAGAAGTGGTGGACAGGCGGTGCTTGTGACTACAGGGGCTGGGTTCCAGAATGGTATGAGACTGATGAGGAGCGGCGTGGCGAATGGCTGCTCCAGCACTTCGGCAGGGAGAAATTAGCCAACTATGCACCCTTATACGACAATGGGGCCCTCCCACCGAAGGTATTCGAGACGAAGTAACCTTTTGTCCTAGTCTGTACAAACAGGCATCACGCTGGAAATGCCGGATGAGACAATTGTTACAGCACCAGATCTTTCCCAGCCAAGTCGATGTCACAATGTACCTTCGTGTGATATTTAGACTCCAGAGACAGACTTGACCAAGCGCCACGCGGCAAACCAGTCCAGTACCGTGAACAACGCATCCAGTACCGTAATCCTGTCGAGCCCCGTCCCCATAATCCAGCGGTCGCTCGTCCATCCCGTGTAGAAATTCATGTATGCCTGCGAGAAGTTTGCGAGCCCCAGCACCGCCAGCGCCGTGACATCAAGCGGAACATCGCCCCGTGCAGTGCCCGTGGACAGGGCTCCCAGGAGCCCACCACCGCCCTTTTTACCGCCGTTGCTGTTCCGTGCAATGATGACATGTAGCCTAATGATCGCCAGCAAGGCGGAAGAAGTGTTGATCGCGCCGAGATATGCCATGACGTCGTGATGCCATGCGTCACCAGAGGGATGCTTTTGGACAGCCGGGTCCGTGCTGGTCCGGCGTTGGGATAGCTTGCGAATCATGAAAGGCTGTTTAAAAGTGAAGTGATAAAAAGCGCTAGTGTGCCATAACTGATTATGGACGTGTGAGATATTTCCCTGGGGGAGTATTCGCGAAGAGATCCTGGTCGACTCACAGCATTACCGGCGTATAGAGCTTTGAGGAAGCCTGTGTTGGTAGTAAAGTCCGTCATGGTGCTTGGCTGGAGGGGCCACTTTCACTAGAACGACAAGGTACGAAGAATTATGGAAAGAGCCCTATCAAATGCTCTATCTGTGCGTGAGGTTGAATTCAGCTTGGAGAGGTAGAAGTCTTATTCCATTTCTCACAAGGAAGCGGGGAGACTGTGAGGGGCGTAGAAAATATACTCTCGGTCTCCCACTTGACAACCTCGGCTGAGCGTCAGCTTGCCCAGCTTTAGAAGCAGACCAAGACCACGTGTGATCACAAACGACGCCACATGAATCGAGCTCACTGGCCTGCTCGCCCTCCGTCACCTTCCGCAAGGGTGGTCAGCGCGGAATGCTTCCGCGCTCGTGTGTGGACTCCACGCCCGACAAGGTTCAGCACAACTATATACTGCGGGGTTGTCAGCTACATGAACAAGCAGACTGGACCTGAGGCAAGCCATTGGAAACGAGCGGTGTATCAAGGACTCTTGTCGCCTGAGACGTCCTGTGGGTGATCTTGACGAGACTGGAATCCATTAATTCTGGGCTTCACAATGGGCACATTACCAGAAGTTCCTGTCAATCTAATCTGGCTGTCTAATTCAAGCCCAGTCTGAAGCGGAACTGAGCTGTGACTGTTCGTTGACTATGTCGCATCCGCATCAATCTGTGGTCAAGAACACGACTCTCAGTCACGCATCATGCTGTAATCAATCTGCTCGGCAGGGTATGCGTTCCACCTTGTTCCCTGTCACAATGGCACCGATCCTTCTTTCCACCTTGTTCCGCGATGCTCGTCGTGCATGAATTTCTCGGTAAACTCCTGCACTGCGTCGTAGTCTCTAGCGTAGGCACGAGAAGCAGCTCCAGAGACGGCCCAGATGACGTCCGCATGCTTGGCAAGACGGCGCTTCTCCCGTCTGAAGTCGCGGCTTGTGATTGCCGTCTCCGGTGTACCGGTGCTCGTAGCGCCATTCGTGTTGTCAGTCTCGTCTGCCGAGAGGCCAAGTCCATCTTCATCAGCGTCGTCCCCCTCCTCCCTCGGGACATCCTCGACCGCGACAAAAGCCTCATACTCGCCAGGCCAGTACACGGTCACAGAGCACTCGTCCAGTATGTGGCTGATGGCGAGGTCGTAGAGCCTGCCCATCGTCATGCCCGTGCTCGTCTCCTCTGTGCCGCCATGCGAGACCTTGCCAGTTGTGTACAACGTCGAGGAAGCGTAGACATCTCCGCCTTGAGACCTTGTGCGACTCCATACGCCAACACCACGTCCTCCAATGCCTTCTTCTCGACCGAGGTGGCTATGTTGCTGCTGTCGCTCTCGCAGCCTCTGAACGATCAGCATGTTTCGCCACGACGCGCTAGGCCTCATGAACACGTCGAGCCTCTGACAAAACGGCTGCGCAGCAAATCCGCTCATGTCTGGCACCGCATCACTCTGTCCAACAGCCAGCAAGCCAGGGAAGAACCTCGCCAAGAGCGGGTTGCGCCGGCAGTCTGTCCCATGACCGGGGTTGAACTCGCCGTCATCGGACAGGAAGAACAGCACCCGCTGCAGCTTGGGCGACTCGCGGATGAACTTGGCCCAGTAGCGGTTCACGCGCTGAGCGGCAGTCAGCAGCGTAGCCATGTCGACGTGTTCGAGGATGAGTTCGAAGAGTTCTGGGGTCTGGAGGACGCGCTGGCCGGCAATGCACAGCGGCTGTGCTGGCAGCGCTACTGTTGTCACTACTGGCGTGGCGGGGTCCGGGTCGTGCTGGCTGCTCTTGCCATGGTGAGCATTGCCGTGGTGGTGTGCTGCCGCTGCTTGGATTGGTGGTTGCCCGGCCGCTGTTAGCCAGGCGGCGCGTGCTTGATCTAAAGCCGTTCCCATTCTGGGGGCACTTGGGCGTTTACTCTCGTAGGCCGACAGGTTTGTGACGATTTGCGTCACGGTCAGCTCTGGATTTGACTTTGGAGGTTGCGACAGAAAGACGATGGCCGCCTTGTCAGCCTCTGAAGGTTGACTGGCTAGCACAAAACATGGCCGGCTCGAGCTGAAAACCAGGGTCGTCAGCCGTGTCTCGCACTACTCCACCTATATGCAGCCAACCCACGGGGACGTGTCACCAAAGTCTTGGTCCGCCACTTTTTAGCAGCTTGGTCGAGCCTGATCTGCCAGCTGGCTTACGCGTGTGGATCTTTAGGTCTGCTATCAACTTCAGAGGCTCACTACTTCTGTCAGCACGTAAACAGGGCAGATCTGATCGTACTAAGGCACACCCCCTGTTACTCGTCTGAATAACCGCCCGTTCCTTGACTATCCTCGGAATGTCGAGAAGACTCCGGTACGTATAATGTGGAGGATCTCTAGGGATTTCAACCAGTAGCGTTGATTTCTACGGGAAGTACATTGAGCCTCACTACAAACAAACTACGGTTGAAACTGGTGATCTTCAAAGATGCAAGCAATTGTATTTAGAGGAAGGCGTTCAGGTGTCTTTACTTAGTTACCTCGATAAGCGCCGGGGTAATGTGGGACAATGGTGTTTTCAATCCCTACAGTTTATTCTTCAACCGAAAGTACAGGCACCCCCGACAGAAACTATCAATAGTGGGGAAATGTGTAGAGAAGCATAATAATCAGCAAGCAATGGCGTTCAATGTCTGTGCGTTCAGGTTCCCACACGGTCCACTCCCTCGCGCTCACACCTAGACGCCAACGCAGATGTAGTAATCGAGCCAGACGCTGCACGAAGTGGTGAGCCCGTTCCACTTGATAATGTCTGCCTTGACCGCGCCTGACTTGGAGGCGATCTTGTCGCAGTTGTCATTCTCCACGACTAAAAGCATTGTCGGTCAATACGCGTTCTTGTTAAGAATCGGAGAGAACCATTGAGCATAGGCCACATACCTTTGTAGAACTTCTTGCAGTTGTTCACCATGCCAGTCATCGTGGGCGTCGGCGTAGGGATACCGTTACCTGTGGTGGTCGACGATGTTTTGAGCGTCGAGCTAGGCATCACATATCCCTTCTTGTGAACACAGACATAGACATTCGCCCACAAGCCCGTGCAGTCGGCCTTGACGTCCCTGTTCCAGGCGTACAAGAGGGCGACGGTGAGGCTGTTTCGGGCCAGCACGGCACTGCATGCGTCGCCATCCTTGACAAAATCAAACTTGTCACAGTCGGCAATCATGCCACCCATGGTCGGCGTTGGCGTGCTGATACCGTTGCCAGTAGTGGTAGACGAGGTGCGGGTGGTCGAAGGGGAGGCCGAGTTACTTGTGGCTCCGCCAATGAGACCAACACAGACGTTGACATTTGCCCACATGCCTGTGCATTGCGGGCCAACACTCTTGTTCCATTCGTAGAAGGAAGCCAGCGAGATGCCGTACTTGCTCAGGATGTCACCACAACCTGTGCCAGGCTCAACGAAGTGAAACTTTGCACAGTTTGGAGCCATGCCGTCTTGCGTGGGGGTGGGCGTGGCGACGCCATTGCCAGAGGTCGAGCTGGCAGATGGGCCGCCAGATGTTGGAGATGCTGTCGAGCCGATAACTCCCACGCAAACCCAAACTTGCGCCCACATCTTGTTACATTGTGGCCCAACGCCTTGGTTCCATGAGTAGAACGTGGCTAGAGTCAGGCTGTATTTGGCGAGAATCTCATCACAGCCCTGGCCGTCCTCGACGAAGTGGAACTTGTTGCATGATGCGATGAGACCGCCGCTCTGGGTGGGAGTTGGAGTGGTGATGCCGTTGCCTGTGGTCGAGGATGCCTTCGTTGACGAGCTCGTTGAGGTGGGTGGTGGGGGAATACCCCAGTTTTCCTCGATACAGTAGCTGGTGTCTACGACAAGCTTGCAGCCAGAGGCGAGAGAAGGGTTCTGTATGAATCTAGTAAGACACGTGCTCGCCAAGGCCTCAACTGGATCATGCTCTTACCCATCGGTAAATCTGCTCAAGCGCCAGACCATTGTCGTTTGCGATGCTCTGGCAAGTGTCGGATTTGGTGGCGACAAGCCAGTTCGTGCAGTCCTTGATAGTGTCGTCGGGTGCCTTGGTAGGCGGATCAACTGTGTACTGTGCCGTAGTGAGGCCCAGCATAAGTGCCACAGCGAGAATCTTGGCGAGCGCCATTGTAGAGAAGTGTCTTTGTCAAGAAGATGAAACGAGCTCTGCGGGGATAATCCTCAGGGGCAATATTCCTCATCCCACGGGCGATTCCAATATTGTTTAAATGCCCTCATAATCATAGGCTATGCCGATGTGCCGTGCTTTTCATCGGCTCCGAACTGCTGATGTTACATCGTTATCAGACATGATCACAATCCTCTGGTCCATAGACTAACACTGCATCGATCACGATCTCTTTCCCGGGCACAATGGTCATTCTGCTTCCACTGGAGGACGCAGCCGCCCCTAGAGATATGCCAGCCACAAGGATCAGGTTACATGCTCAGAATCCTTCTGCCTAATTGTGCACAACCATAGACCTTGTCGCCCTCGACTAGGGACTGAACTCACAATCTCGATTCAGACAGCAATCCGTCTTTGTACACAAACATTGGCTGCAAGTATGGCTTAGACGCATATCTTGAGTGGTTATAGTTCAAATGGTCAGCAATCCTGCGGCATGTGTCACCAACCAAACGCTACGGTAGCAGAAGCAGGTACGCACGCGACACATGAGGTGACATGAGGAAAGGCACGCGGGGGTGCTGACAGGGGAGTATGCAGGTCACCTTATCCGAGCACTCCTACCCGATCTAGCAGCTTACGCTGACAAGTCTTGTCTCTGGCAAGCTTTTAAGTCGTCTTGGAGAGTCAAAGATAGTCTGCGCGCGGCGACGTTTGGCAAGCTTCTATACTGCAGCCGGGAGAGTCAAGAATCGACAAGATGAGGCAAGTGTTGAGCGCGCTGGCCTGGGCCGTCGTGCTGCTGGCCGTGGCCGTGGCCGCGAAACACATTGACCATGCCACGCCAGACACTTTGCCCTTGATCAGCCCAGACGAGTTCTCTTGGGACCATCCTCTTGTGCAGCGTATGCTGTGGGAAGGCCGTAACGAGACGACCAAGAGCAAGCACGACAAGCACGACAAGCACGACGCACCCCGAAGAATCATCAAGCGCACCAACATCGAGGGCCAGCAGGTTGGAGGCAAGCACTGTCTCGGATGCGCAGGGGGCATGGTCCCCGCAATGCCAACCATCGACGAATTGACCATCGACTACCTCGAGAACCAGATGTTGAAGACTGAGTCTGACCTGCGCGACCGCTGCGTCTTTTACACTGGAGTAACCAATTCCGAGGCTGCCATCAATTCGTGGACTCTCGAGCCAGGCGCTGACCGACCTGGACTGTCTAAAACGGCGACTGCATTCACTTGTAGCAAGGGGATGTACTCTATCTGGGTGAGCCTCCTGTCTGCAAACCATTTTCAGGATGCCAAATGATTCTAACCAAGCGGATCTGTGCAGCAACTCTGGCCCGGTGGGACTGCAAACGTGCAGCCCAACCCACCGCCTGACAATGAGCACACGCCCAATTTCTGGGAGGTCTTTCTCAAGGACAGCTGGCTCCAGAAAGTGGCACCAAAGCCCATTTGCTTCAAGTACTTTGAGAACATGTCCTCAGCCATGGCCAGGCGCTGTAAGGGCAAGGTCTACGTCATGTCTTTGAAACCTCTGGACCTTCCTGGGTACGGCCAGGGCACGGAGGCCAACAACAACGCCCACAGCATCTGGAACAATTACGAGTGGCCTACGCTCAAAAACAATGGAGGCGTCACGCAGCTTATCGGTCTCACGGCCAAGGGTCCCAACGGCGAGGTGGGGGACATGTGGGAACTGAACATGTCAGACCTCTCGAAGAAGGGGCCATACACAGGGGCGGTTCCACGGGGGCTTGGAAAGCGTGACACATGCACCAACAACAGGGCTTACCAGCCTCCAGGCCAGGATTGGTTCGGTACAGGTCGTTTTTAAGGTTGTGCAGTCCAGCAAGGGGCCAGTCTTACCAGGGTCAGGATTGCGATGCACTGTTGGTCGCGTGCCGCACGCACTATTGGCCTTCTGTCAGGCATTCGTCCCATGTTTCTGCCCGCTCGAGAGGTTCTGGCTTTCCTGGTACTTTCTTTCTTCCTGATCTCTTACTTTCCCCACTGATTCTTTTCTCTTGGTCTCTATTTCGTAAAAACAATTTCATCACTGTGTTTGGCGTCGTTGGCCTTCGTAGACAAGGGTGCAAGCCAGGTCTGTTGGTATGTATACAAAGTGACAAGGGCCCCTGTGAAGGATGCTGACAGGCATATGCACCTATCCGAAAGTTTACGCCCGAGATTGGTATATAACAAACAATCCTTCCTGCTCGTTGCTGTTGTGGCAATATTGCCCCATCTGCACTTTCGGCTCTCTCTACACCCTAAGATGGCCTCCTCCGTCTCAGGCAGCCGCTGCTTCTGGGCCAGCAGCAACGAGCTTCAGGCTGGCTCCATCTCAATCGAGGATTATCTGCGTGACCACACCAGACATGTCTTTCAAGGCGTACGCCATGAGCAGTGCCAGGGCATCTCGAGCGACTTCGTTGCTCGCAACTCGGAGCATGATGTCTTCCAGGCAGCAACAATGGCATGCATGCTTCGCCCGGGCGACGCCCCTAATCCTGGTAATTGGCGCCCCCAGTCGATGCTGGGAGCACGTCCACTGACAAACTCCTATTGATGGGATTGACAGCCGCCGAAGAGCCACTCATTTCCATGCTACTCGCTTGCGAGACCTCGACTTGGGAGCACCTTCAGCAGCTCGATGACACCGCGGACGCCCCCACGGGTGTACTGTCTGACTCATCACTCGCTCAAATCCTCCTTGCTCGCACGTTGATGGTAGGAAACCGCCCTCTGGCCAAGGACACGATCCGCAATGTTCCCGCGGCGCCGGACCACGACCTCGTCTTCAGCCCAGAAGATGGCGGTCATACGCATACGTCCACCGTTGCAGGGCGGGAGTTCTGCACCCACCGCATGTTCAGTGGACAGCAAGACAATGCGTGCGACATCTGGGTCGACATGCTTGCGACAGGCTGGGCGACCCCGCGCGATTACATGTTCCTCAGTGCCGCATCCGGACCCGACGAGGCTGCTGCCCGCACGCTGTTTGAGGAACTGACGCGTCGCGGGCTGCAGCCTGACTGGGGCAAGGTTCAGATCGCCATGGCCTTCAGCGGGCCGGGCATCGTCAACGTCTTCCTGGACAAGTACATTGAGTCCAACGGCGTTATTCCTCAGCATGCCGTGCGCAGCCTCTGGACCATCGCAGCGCAGAAGGACGACGTCCAGCTTCTCGAGATCCTCAGCCGGCGCGGGATCGGTAGCGTAAGTGGTACAGCGGCTGCCCCGGATAAGAGCAGCCCAGGTGCTCCAATCGCTCAGAGAGCACCAAACGAGCCAGGCCCACCGCAGGCGCTCTTGCATGAGGCGGCGGAATGCGGGAGCCCCGCGGTCGTGGAGTGGCTGATTGATCATGGAGTTGAGAACGCTCGCAGCGCACAGGGGCAAACAGCTTACGAGTCTGCCAAAGGGATGCACGGGTACTATCTCGAGAGACTTCATTTCAATCCTAATCACCCAGCTACGGTCAAGGGGATAGAGAAAGTGCTCGAGATACTCGAGGCACGAGGGTATGGTCCGTCAAGTGAGACATTGTGATTGGATTTCGAAGCAGCAGGTAGATACAACAGTCTAGTTCGTACTTGTGCAAACTAAAGCACGTGTTTAAAGGGCCTGAAAATAGCAGAATTCGTTACGGACACTGTGTCAAGCTGAGGCGCCTGTAGCCGCAGCGATAGAGGGCGTCGTGTAGGTTGGCTTGTAGCCCGGGATCGACACACAATAATCATACCCAAGATAGAGTCCTCGGCCTAGCATTAGAGAAGAGGCAATGCTCGTCAGAACCTGTTTGAGACGTGACACCCAGGAAGAGCACTTACAGTCGGATTGGACGGCAGGATTCCATGCCACAAACCGCGCGTGGCTAATGCCGAACTTGGTCTCGATGATTTGACACGGGTTGCTTGTCCCTAGTACGGTTCAGTAGAAAGTCCCTGTGGAGCAATCGAGTGGGATGGGCTACTCACACTCTGTGTTATTGGCAGCGACAAGCTGGTTGCAATTCGATACGATCCCTGAAGCGGGTGAACATTAGCATCCCTGTAGTATGAGTGGAGTAGCTACTAGTAGCTCACCTGGCTGCCTGTAATGCCACACCTTGACGCAATATGCGAGACCTGAGGAGCACGGGTGTCAGTCAGTTGTTTTTCAGAAGCCCCGTCTGTGTGGATTTCTGACTCACCAGGTTTGAAGTCGGCACACTTGTCCCCCAGGCTCGGGTTCCAGAGTGCAAATTGCTCAAACTCGACACCGTTGAGCGCAGCCATGTCGTAACAGCTATACCCGGCCTCAGCGAGGACATATTTCGAACAGTACTCTGTGGGGTCGTCTGCCACCTCGTAGCCGAGGACTGCGCAGTACTGATATTGGCTGCTGAGAGTGCAATTTGTCTTGAGGGAAGGATTCCACGTCTTGAAGTTGTCAGTGGACACACCGTAGGCTTTGGCCACGTCCTCGCAGGACGAAGTGTACTTGTCATTTCTCCAGTCGATGAGAACTGGCCCCTGCACATAAAACTCGCAATCCTTACGACTCCCAGGCGCGTAATCAGCGTACTTGATCGTCTGATTCCAGCCCACGTTGGTAGGCATGGGTAGGTTCGTGATGGGGGTCATGCCGATGTTGTCCGTAGGCCGGCTAAGAGATTCATGGTCAGCGGGCTTTGAAGTCATGAAAATCCCGAGGCTTGACTCACGCTGTTGTGCTTTGCGACGGCTGATGCGGGTTCGGGTTCACCCAAGTTCCACCTGGGTTCGAGGTGCAGATCACCGAACCAACAAGGCTTTTGAGATTGTTGCAGTCAACGCCGAGCTCCGGGTTCCACGAGATGACTTGAGTAGCCGACTTGCCGAGGCCCTTCGCCACGCTTACACAAGTATCGCCCTCTTTCACAATATACGGTTTGCAGACTGCACTACTGGGGATACACAAATTACCAGACGTCGGAAACTGGTAGCACCCGGCCGCCAGGTTGTTTGCGGTGAGGAGTCTCGAAGTGCTGATTCCGCGTGCCATGGCTACCTGCTGGCATGTCTGACCGGATACAGGGACAGTTGTGCCTTGACATGTGGGAGGAGAGGTCGTCGTAGAGGCACTAAATAATGGCTCGTGTTAGTCTCTCTGTGTCTCTACCACGGAAATGAAGTCAGACTGACGGTATCTCCCATGCTGTCGACGCAGGAGTCGCAGTAGTCCAGCCACTAGCTTTGCAAGCCGAGGTGATGATTGAGAATGCGCTGCGTATCACTGGTTCTGTGGCAACCAGGGGCATGCCCAATTGCGTCTGTAGAATCGAGAGGAGGCAGGTGTGGCAGCCGACTGAGGGATCTGGTGTCGCAGTTGGGTTTTGAGCAATAGGGTTAATGCCAGCAGCTTTGCCGAGCACCACATTGCAGAAGGCTCCGCTCCTAATAAATGGGGTTAACATGATTTCCCGTGGGATTGCTGCTGGGAAACTGCACGAACTTGTCTTTCAAGCAGGCGGAACTGTACGCCTCAACAAACTCTTCAGCCAGAGCGGCAACAAGGCGCTGAGTGCCTCTCTCCGTCGGAATCCGAACGTTCGCACAGGCACCGACAACTCGTCTTTGCCATGTTGTGAGGGCGGTCGTGCAAGTGGCAACACAGAGACTTTGAAGGTCTCCAGCCTCAAAATACGCCTTGATGCCCGGCATGCCCACCTCAGCTACGTGGATAAGCTGGTCTGTACAGGCAACAGTCTGAGTCAGAACAGACAAGCATGTCGACGGGATGCCGGAGGTGGCATTGAATTGAAGCAGCTGGACGTCGGCATTGACAGCAGGCAGAAGAGCGGCCGATGCCACAAGCAGCGTGCGAATCGAATACATCGTGGCAAGTTTACGCAGAAAGTTTGACACTCGCATGCGCGCTGTCTTCGCAGATTTCGCCGTGGAGCATGCCATTATTATCTCACGGGAATGAGCCAGCTTCATGACTGATCTCCAAGTAACGCTTAAGTGAATATCCTAACCAGGCGTCTTTCTGAAGTACCGGTACATGATCCCACGATCGGTGGGTGCATCCTACAGGGCTGTGCCGTCCGAACACGGCAAGTCGTGCGGGGAGAAGGATCACAAGCATCCTCCTTGGCCAGATAAGGCCACATAGGATAGCAGGGCCCGCATGTCTGTGCAAGGGTCAATAGGACTCTTTACGTAGTATGCGATGCTGCACCATGTCACAATCCAGGCACCCGTCAGCCACCATGTCGCGTGATCTCTGGTCATCAAGGGAGGCATATGGATAGGACTAGATTGTGGCCGCTTGCGTGGGATTCTGTAGGAGTAACGTTGACTATTCCACACCTGGTGATTTTGTGGGATGCAGCGGAAATGAACGCTCCCACACCTCAATCTCGCGATTCCTTTGAGCATTATCCAGCCACGTCCTTGAAACTCGAGATTAATGAGGCGTTGACGTCTGGTGGCAGCGTGATCGGCAATGATCTTAAGTAGGGCATCCCATCTGTTGCGGAAAGCGTGTGCAGAGTCTTTACCCATTACCGGACATCGAGATGGCGCGGCTCCATGCATTTGCGCTGGCATTGGTCGCTTGCACCGGCCTGTGCCAGGCACAAAATAGCACCCTCCCTGATTCGTCAATTGCTCTGGCTGCGTCCTCGGCTGTGTCCGCTTCTGCCTCTGCTTCTGCCTCTACCTCCCCTCCAGATTCACCATGGAACCCTCTAGGGTTTCCAGCGCTCATGGCTGCAGATGAAGATGAGAACGGCGAGATTCGTTGCACGAAGGATAAGCCATGCTCTAATGGCGATTGCTGCAACGGCGCCACTGGCCGTGTGAGTGTTGCCCCACGCATTTACCCGAGTGTTGAAGCGCTCCCGTCAAAGCTGACAACATCCTCAGTGCTCACGAAGGCCGGAATTCTGCGACAAGAGTGTCTGCACTTCCAACTGCGATGCCAAGCCTGAGTGTGGTGTCCGCGCAGACAAGTTCGACTGCCCCCTGAACGTATGCTGCGGTTATTGGGGCTACTGTGGAACTAAGCCCGTAAGTGGTCACGGGTCTATCCCCTGATGTCCCAAATATCTCCTTAGATCGTCGTGGTGCTAATATCCCATGTTTGTTTAAGGACTTCTGCAAGAGCGGGGACCAGCCTTGTCAAAGCAATTGTTCGCCTGGAAAGATTCGCGAACCCAACACGGGTGGCGATGTCCGGGATCTTGTCATTGGGTAAGGCAATGTCACACTGGACCATGAGAGCATGTTCACTAACCTGCACAGATACTACGAGGCATGGACAGCACAGATGAACGGCTGTACGTTTCCCTACCCACTTAATGATTGACGCTAAATACTGACAATTTCCAGGCCGTGTCAAGAAGATCAACCAGATCGATGTATCGTCTCTCACACATCTCAACGTGGCCTTTGGATACATCAAGCCAAGCAGCTTCGAGGTAGTGCCTATGGATCCTGCCACGGAAGAAGACTTCCAGGCCCTCACGAATCTCAAGTTGAAAGCACCAGGCCTCAAAGTCTGGCTCTCCCTTGGTGGTTGGTCGTTCAGCGACAACGGCACGGAAACTCAAGGAGTGTTTGGTGACTTATCGAGCACACCAGCAAAACGCCAAAAGTTCATCGGCAACTTGTCCAAGTTCTTGAGGGAATGGGGCTTTGATGGTGTGGACATCGACTGGGAGTACCCCGGCGCCCCCGACAGAGGTGGCAAGGAACAGGATACAGCCAACTACGTGGAACTGCTCAAAGACATGAGAACACACTTCGATGACCAGACCGAGCGTTGGGGCATCTCGTTCGCAGCCCCTACATCTTACTGGTACCTCCGCTGGTTTGACATCGAGAACATGGCCAGATGTAAGTTGCCTTTGTCAAACTCCACCTTGTTGAGAAATGCGGCGAAGATTTCGGATGAAGGCAAAGCGGCAGCCGAAGACATAGAGAGAGTCTATCTTGCATAAGAGCTGATAATTTTGTGGGAGACAGATGTCAACTGGATCAACGTCATGTCATACGACCTCCACGGTGCCTGGGACGACAAATACAGTTATATCGGCAACTATGTCAACTCTCACACGAATTTGACTGAGATTACCGAAGCCTTGGATCTCATGTGGCGAGCCAACGTGCCCGCGAACCGCGTCAATCTCGGCATCGGGTTTTATGGGCGCACGTTCCAGCTGGAGAACTCCAACTGCAATACTCCTGGATGTCGTCAGAAAGGCGGCGCCTCGCCTGGGCCCTGCACAGACACCAGTGGCGTCCTGTCGTTTGCAGAGATCGAAACTCTGATTAACTCAACGAATATCCCTGTCAAACACGACGAAACGGCAGCTGTCTCTTATTTCACGTACAAGTGAGTGGTCCCCAATCTTAGCCGGGGGTGTTACCAGCCCTCTCTCAGGCCATGCTATCAAGTGACAAGCTTGCTGACGTTCAGAAACACAGGGGCGACCAGTGGGTAGCTTACGACAGCAGACAGACCTTGCAGCAAAAAGTCAAATATGCCAATGAGATCGGCTTGCTAGGCCTAATGATCTGGGCTATTGATCTTGACGACAGCAAAAACTCTGCTCTTGACGCTCTCCTGCAACCCGATGGCTTGGGCAAATTCCGCAAGAGGAACGGCGTCAACAGCAACCTGGGCGATTTCGTCAACCAGGGCGCCTCGTGCCAGCTCGGCCAGTGCTCTGAGAAGCCCTCCTGCCCTCAAGGGTTCGTCAAGCATGGCCACGATGTCGACTGCCCCGGAGACAATAAGGAGAGGAGAAACATCTGCTGCGAACTAGGTCAGAGCCCCGACGAGAAAACGTGCGCATGGCGCGATGGCGGCGGCTTCCTTGGGTTCCTGGGCCTCTTCTGCCGCGGAGCGTGTCGTGACGGCGAGGTCGTCATTGTCGACAACGATCGCTTCTGGGTCGAGAACAAGGACAAGCCGAACGACGGTGATGCAGCTTGCATAAGCGGAAATGCCAGGTACTGCTGCAAAACGGTAAGTCCATGCTTCTTCCCGTGCGCACGTTGTGGAATTCAGAGCATTTCAGCTGACAAAGAGTGCTTGATATCTTTTACTTAGAGTTCCAGTATAGAGCCGAAGTGTCGTGCTCGAGAAGATGTATGCATCGAGATCGTGAACGGTAAACCCAAGAGCGGCAGCCAGCCATGCGAGAGTGGTAAGTGCAGCGCCTCGCGCCGCTCTCCGGGAGCCACAGTACTAACAATGTCGCAGGTGAGAAGTTTATGTCGTACGCCGAGGGGAAATGCAACAGAAAGAAGAACATGTACATGCCTTTCTGCTGCAACGAAAAGGTGCCAGACGATACGTGCCACTGGGCGAAGCGCGCCGACGTAGTGGACGCGTTTGGGCCATGTGATAACGTAAACAAGTGCGACTCCGGCGAGACCAAGATTGGCGTTTACCAGTATGGCGATGGCTCAAACTGTGAATTTGAGGCCGCCGCCGGGGAATGGACCGTGACAATCGATAGGCCCAAGGCATACTGCTGCAATGCCAACGCCATCGATGCGGTAGGTCCTGGACGATACTTCCCACTTGCTCAGCAATGTACTAACCTTGCGCCACAGAAACTTGACCTGTTACCAGTCCCGCTTGAGTGAGTGTCTTTGAATTCAAGTGGGGATGTCGGATTCGGTTTGCAGTACTAACTAGAGTTTGAACCAGAAACCTGTTTGAAAAGCTTGGCCCCGACTCAAACGAAGAAAAGTTCAAACTCCAAGTCGAGTCAGTCGACGGAAAAGGTGGAACCGACCCTCAAGACAACGCCTTCGGCTTCGTCATCATGTCAGGTATGGATAATACTTACCATTTGATGAGCAGTCAATCATTTTCCCTCTCATTGTACTTAGCTGACGACTGACCCTCCACTGCAGGCCCGGAAAAAGATCTTACGTCTCTTGATAAGAGAGATGGCTCTCATTGGGAACTATTTGACTGCGAGAACCACGATAAACGCCAGACTGTCACAGCTGTGTGCACCGACGACGGCCCGACCAGCAACTGCGGCAAGATATTCCTAGGCACGGTCGAGGAAACTGTCATCGAGCTTCCTCAAGGATGCGGCGCCGGAAGATACGCTGTTGCAGTCAGCATGGATCTCTCGCAAAATCAGTCTCTTCCCGAGACCCACGCGAGGAGCCTAGCCGGCCGCGGCATCGTGCTCCCACGCAAGTATGACCTCACGTTCGACTATGACTTTTCTCCAATCCACCAACGAGGCACAAAGGACGTGCTTCTTCGGATCGACTATTCCAGTGAGCCCGCATATTGGGACGAGATCGTGGATCGGCCTGGAGAGGCCAAGCGCGAGTGGCATGACATCCACGCTGAAGTCGAGCGCGACCATGGCGGCTCATGGCCGGCATACATGCATCACCGCTTTCGGAAGGAGAAGCGCGAGACGCCTGAGCACATGATGGACGAGTTCCATAAGCGTTGGTTCACCAAGGATAAACGCTGGTTCTCAAGTAAAGTCGTCAAATGGCTTGAGAACATGCGCAAAGTCGACGCCAAAGTCGATATTGCAAGGCATCGGATCCAGGTTGGTACCATGTCCTCTCCCCTACAAGTTTACAAGACTGACTTTTCTTCAGGACAGGTATACCTGGGATATGTTCAAGGTGATGCGTGTTCCTTCTCTTGTGCATGTGGTGTGGATCACTAATCTTTATGGACATGTGTAGCAAGAGATCTCGTGCACGAACTACAAGGCGAGCCTCCACGCCTGGGTCGACCTTGATACCGACGTGGAGACATCGGCGACTTTGAGTCTAATTGTAAGAGAAGACCACGAAAAGGTGGTGAAATACGTCCCAACGCAAAACTAATGGTCGCTTTTGCAAGGGTAATCTCGATGATCTATCCAGTTGGGATCAGTCTCACGTCTTGTTCCGCACCAAGGGCGGTATCCAGGCAAAGGTCACCGTTGACGCCAATGCCGAATTGACCTTCACAACCGGCCCAGTAGAGGTCTTTGGTGCTCAGAACTTTGGCATCACTTTCACCGTGCCTGGCATCGTCACCATTGGTCCAAACTTCAAGATCATAGGAGTCAGTGGCTTCCCTTCATCTCCATTTCCCTCCCCTATCGCCCTCATCACCATACTGTCTCTTTCTTGCATACTATACTCTGCTGAGCATGACTGACACGGCTGCAGGAACTGTCTGGGCGGGCAACATTGCATGCGTAGGTTTACAGGCCGAGACGCATCATTTGCTAGGATATTCTCTAACAAGCCACCATGCAACAGCAAGGCGGAAGCCAAATTCGATGTCGCAAAGTGGGACTATACCCAACGGTACCCCAATGAAAAAAACACGAACGACATCCAGGAAGGTGCCATCGTTGACAGCAAAGGCGACGCGCCCAAAGCTGGCGAGGCCCACGACTTCAAGTGGGAGGCTTCCGCCAGGGGTGCCATCACGGCCAGGATGTAAGCTTTGGTCTTTGCCACCACCAACACTCTAATAATGCAGAGTGACTGACTTCAACGTCTGCAGTACGCCCAAGGTCGAGTTCGGCATCGTCTTCTTTTACGAGGCTATCCCCGACGTCACGGTTAGTATACTTTCAAGTCGATGGACTCTAACATCGAGTAAAGCTTTCTGTAGAGGTGGACCGCTGACCGAGTCAAACCGCTTGATATAGATTGAAATGGCCCTGGAGAACAGCGCGACAATGTATGCTGAAGCCGGAACGAGCCCAAGCCCATACGTCTGCTACGGCATCAATGGTCGGACCAACCTCTACGCGCAGGTCAATGCTCCGTAAGTATTTCTCCCGGCATGCTTCGCCGTACGGCCGGTTGTCTCCGACATTGTAACCTCGATGACTAACGAAGCATTACCACGACCCAGGGAGATATTCAAAGTCAATCTCAACAAGCGCTGGGACATATTTGACACCCCGGTACGTTTTCACACCACCCTCAGACGCTAGGCCCTTCTCGTAGACTCCTGGTTGACTGATTGTAACGTCTAGTATAACTTGCTGCCGCGGCAATGTCTTGTTGGCGGGCCGAACTCTCGGGCTGAGGTGCCTTTGATCCGCGAGGTCGGCTCAATTGGCCCGATCTAGGAAGCTTTTTGTCGAGCCAATGTATCCTCCCTTGTTATTCCGGTGCGCTTTAGAGATGGGGGTGGACAATGAGCAAGATTGCTTGGGATTGATTTACCCATTCGGATCGCAATGAAGAAATGACATAGTTACCTGTGACTGCTTGAAAAGTGACTGCTTTAAAAAGTGTCAGGTTCTAACGCCATAATACTTGTGCAAAGATTCCCGAATCCGTTCAGCGTCTTGCGGGATGGCTCCCTTACCCAATTGCTTTGACGTTGATAACAATAAAAGCTGTATACCTTACTTGGAGAAAGATAGGCTTTAAGTCTGCAGTTGTGGATTAGCTAGGGTTGTCAAAAGTACCCCGTGCATTGAGTTCCATTTTTTCATTTCGAAGGAAACCCGTGCTTCGGCGGCCCCACATTGTGATCCCGGTCCTGAAGCATGGGGAACAATGGGACACCTTCCAGCGCTGCTGGGCTCCCAACCCTCCATCACCATTTTCTCTCGTCTACATGTAAACTGGCTGACCTGCCTCAAAGAGAGCTAAGATTCCTTTCCCCGCACCGCTTGTCATGAATCACACAAGAAACCTTTGCTTTTTCACAATCTAAGGTTTGCTTTTCCAAGTGAGTGAGCCAGCCGACCCAAGGAATGTTTGCCTCCAACACAGTCCCACCCTCCAGCCCCCTAATAAAGCACAGTCAAAGTCCTTATCAATCCCTCCACTGGACGTCTGCTTCCTGGGGTTTGGGGCTGAAACGGTGCTCTCTGATGACTCCGTACCTCAGAGCGCTTTGCCCGATTGCAAACACGAACTCCCAAACGATTCCGCTCTCGTCGATTCGTATGATCTGAGAATCGCTAGGACATGATGGAGCAATACCACATGTATAACAGTCTCTTGGGAAACCCCGGCACCACCGCACTGGATCGCATCATCGACGAAAATGATGCGCCAGAGACGAGATACATGTGGCAGCTCATTCTGGAACGACAGGCCGTCCGAGATGTCCGGACAGAGGGCCTCTTGCGGCAAGGATATTGCTCTTTCGGCTGGTTCCGTTATGGAGACTCGGGCGTAAATCGCGAGGTGAGTCGAGACCGTGTGAACGAGCAAGACGAGCCCATGACGTTTTTGATCCACGAAATCCCATGACCTGTTCCAGCTCCCTAGGCAGGCGCAAAGTGACTCTGCGAGTCAGCGCAGCTCTAGATGGAGCGAGCGACGGTCCGGTCATCACTTCATTTGCCGCATATTGTGTCTGACATCGAGGCATCCAGGGAAACCGATGGACCAAGGTAGTCTTTGACCGCAGTCCGTGGCACTCGACCGTTAATACATTTTTCTACGAGAACAAGTATGCGCCTCTCTTCTTTGGCCTTGAATCGCCTTTACCATACCCAGTCTAACCACAAACTGTAACCGCAGGGATGGTTCCTACTACCAAAGCAACCCAGATAAGAGCGAATTCTACGATGACAGGCGTGGAGGGGTGAGATTCATGGATTCCGCGGGACACATATTCGAGAAAGGCCTCAAGCGCAGGACCACACAAGCCAGCCAAAGCAGTGTGACAGCAGAAGAAGTCGAGACAGAGAAAGAAAACGAGGAAAAGCCAGAAGAAAAGCCAGAAGAGGAGAAAGAAAAAAGGGAAGAAGCAAATATGGAGAGAAGGAGAAAGAAAAAGAAGATGAAGGGGAAGGAAAGGAGGAAGAAGAAGTCCAGATCAAGGTCGACATGGATTTGTTCTCACGCATATCCTGGTTGTTTGCATTCCGAACGAGAAGAATTCAAATCATACGAGCGCAATGTTCCAGGCCACGTGTATAACTTGCGCATTCTCTTGCCTCCTGTATCTCACGAAAGCTGATGGGTTTGCTCTGGTCCCTGAAGTACATGTTCTGGGCGGCCGCGCATCCTGGCATCAACACAAAGTATGGCAACACCCCCCTACAACACACCTAGAGCTCACCGACGGCAGTGGGTGTCTCAGTGGCTGCAGTTGCTGTTGACCTGTCGCATGTGTTGTAAGGCGCAGCATGGACAGCAACCCCACAATACACCATTGTGGCGGAGGTGGGATTGAACCCCTTCGTGAGGCTGTAGAACAGTCTATATAGCCCCGGATTGTTGGTGTCGTTGGGGAATATTCTCGAGGGCGATGTAGGGAGCGGTGTCGGGAGTGGGAATTCACTGACATCGGCGGCGGCGACATCCCCCCCACACTTCCATTTGGGACCCCCCTGGCCCCCATCGTTGAACCATCCACGCGGATAGGCTTGCCCATTATTGCCCATGCAGGTGGTGCCGGGCCTGGAACACTCATAAGACCTTTGTAAAACGGCTTCTAAGTGGACCTTACTGAAGGTCAACTCTAGACAAATTGTTAGCATCGGGAGCTGTTCAGCAGCCTTGGATGACCTAGACTCACGAGTACCACAAGTAGCCCCAGCTTCAGGGATGTTGTCGAAAGTAATTGCGGCGTGGACTGGAGTATCGAGGGACTGTTGGTTGGTGTCCGCGGGAACGGCCAGCACGGAGGCGATAAAGCGAAAGATGGCAAGGTTGCGTCGCATGTCGGGCAAAACACACTGTTCCTCAATTTGCCTTGGTGTTTCTCTATCATTCCAATGAGGAGCTGGTGCCGCATTTATATCCAAACCCGGTTATCGAGACTGACTTCGGAGAAACTCAACCGTATACAATCTCAGTCTAGACTAGGCTCTCCCTTCCGCTGCATTAAACACTGCTTAGAACGGTCTATTTCCCAGTGCAGGATGATGCACACGGGACAGGATCAATCCCCGGCGTGGCGCTGAGCTTGAAAAGGCGCCAAGTCTTGATTGCTGGATGTCCATTTCACCATTCGCACAGCTAAGCGCTGATGGGGCTGGATGTGAAAGCTGAAACTCTAAACAACGCCTTTGCCCCGGTGGCGGTGGGGAACGTCTCCATGTCGTCCCGTCCCGTTCCGGCCCGTCCCGTCACGGGCCGCCTGCAAGATCCTCGCTTCGACGTGTGGTGGTCGTTGAGGGCGACGGCGCAACAATGTACCGTTAGTTGTCCGCCAGGAGCATGCCGAAGCGCCGAAAAAGCAAAGCAGAGCATACAGTCTGCCAGTACTTCTACAAGACTGTCCAATGGGCTATACAAAGCGCTTGCAAAGGGATTCGATGTATGCACATGTGTCGCATTTGCAATGATCTCCAAGTAATATACAGCAAGATCAGAGACCGCGAACTATGTGAGGTACTTTGCTCCTGTATCCTGGAATTCAGCCAGCCATATCCCACGCCGGCGTGGTTACTCAAACAATATTTGGAGCTGCGGGATCCATTTATTTGCGGACCCGTGTCTCGGAGATGCGGAAAGGCTTTCGAGGATCGCCCGCATCGGGAGACTCAGCCGAAGCGGAATGGAAATACACATACCATGAAGGATGCTCTCTGAGTCAGTCGTGATTGCGAGCACAAACTATCTTTATTTTCAACCAGTCTTATTCCTGCAACAAGATACACGTAGCCAGAGATGGGATGTTGTTGATCATTGATCACAAGGTTTCCCAGCAAGCAAGCAAAAACGATGTCTGTAACCGTGGCTGGCTGAGAATCTGCATGTCTGTAGACTGTACCTTCCAGTGTGTCGCGGGTGGCTATCCAGATAAGGGTTTTCCATTCCGTGTCTCAGGTGACCGACCTTTCCAAAACCTGGGCTAGATAGGACAGTGGAGAAATGACTTTAAGTCCACTTATGACTGTGATGAACTGCCTTCCCCAGCCTGAAACGTCCCCCGCGCAATACGACTCGCGCCTGTGGCGAGCTGAAAGATGACCGCCTTGGGCCAGGTGCAAAATGCGTTGTCTCAAAGTAACAGTCATGCAAATTCCTCCACGTACTGTAATGCTTCTGGTTCACTGCGCGAAAATCTCATCTACGCGATCCTCTCATGCCATTCTGTCTTGATGCTCCGTCATTTGTCCCGTGCCTATGGTGGAATTGAGGTTGCCTACGGGGAATTTGCTATCTTCAGCAAGGGGGTATCCGAGACATCACTGACGCGGCAGCGAAGCCCGCCGCTAGTGCAGCTGGGGCGAGACCATCCGCGGGTAGCGAACGCATGCATATCGCGCAGGGAGGCATAGGTATGTGATGCCTTGGGTGACTTTGAGACCAGGGCCCATCACCACTCAACTGCGCATGATAGCTCTCCATTCGTCTGTGTCACAAACCTGGTTTTTGACATCTGAGGAAACCCACTTGCCATGAACAGATCGCCCGCAAGGCAACATGTCCACAGGGATGTGAAGAAAGGGTCAGATACTCAACGATGTCCACAATCGGCGCCACACATTGGCTCTGAAAACTTTTGCCTTTCTTGGTCTTTACAGAAGTGTTGGAATGTTATCAATATGCAAAATCGATCTTTGAGGGTTCTCTTGATGTGCCACGACTCAATTGGTATAATGCACGATGTGACATGCTGGTTTCTACCAGTATAAGGCCAGAGCCCAAGACATATTGGCCTCGTACAAGCTGAATGCCTAGCAATGCATTTCGTGCGGCCGAGAAGCTTCTTTACGAAAGTTCAAGACTACCCCCTCGCCTGCGACGATCCGTGAGCTGAAAACTGGCCTAGACCGGTGGACTAGCAGCCTGTCTCGGAGGCATTGTGTCAGACAGGAAGGCCCTGCAGAGCTGGCCTACGTTAGCAGTTGCTCGCGAAACATTGTTGATTTTTTCCACCTCGGTGTAGCACTCAATCCAGTACAGTCGGATGTTCAGCGACTACTGGAACAATCAGTGAGTGGTGGGCAGGTACAGCACTTAGTTCACGATCTCATATCAGGAGAACTGGAGACAATTAGGGTGGAATCCCGATGTTCCTTCGCCTATTGGGACGACTACAGCAGTACCCTGCGCACAGGCCGGTGAGGCACAATTCCATAGCCAGACTGCTCTCTTGCCAGTAGAGGAATCTTCTGTGGCCGCAACAGGTGCACAAGCTCTGTCTTGCAGAAGGCCAAGGGTTTAATGTCTGGCGAAGGTGCTTGACTCAGCTAGCCACAAGGCGGCAAGCAAAGCTCTGTGGCCGTGGCTTTCACCTGTCATTGGACTCCTCTGACGGCTCCATTCCATCGACTCGGGAAAGACTACAAGGCCGATGCAGCTTCTTCACTCAGCCAGCCACAGAGGCAGTGACGAGACATGTTCATTAGATATTGGAACGCCAAGTGTCGGGATTGATTCCCAAATGCGTCAATGTATGAGCGTTGACTTGTCCTTGTCGAGAATTGGGGTGTAGCCAGATGACAAGCGCCAAACAAAGTAAGTGCCTCGCAGGAAAACTAGTATAAGTACCGTGGAATCTGCCCACCATAGGATACGATTGGAGATCACCACGTCACTCCTATCTACTTCCTTCGCCTTCCATCACCTCATTTCAACCCTTTAACTCATACATACCTCTGTCCTCTCCCCCCTTGCCACCATGTCGACCATGTACACCGCCCAGATCGATGAGAGCGACGACGATCGCAGCCTGCTGTCCACGAACAACTACTGGGTTCAACTCGCAAAGTCAGTATCAGCTGGCGGAGGCGTTGCGGACTTCAATGTCGTCTACGCCTCTCAGGATTTAGCTCCCCACATGGAGATCTCGTGGGAGACCACCTACGGCCTCAACTGAGTCACCAAAATGCCTGCTCCGGGTGCAAAGGTCACTTATGGTGGTAACTGGCAGTCGTGTGACCTCGGAGCGTCCTACTCTCTGGGTCACACTGGAGGCTTGGGTTCCTGACAATGACAACAAGAACGCCGACAAAGACTCCTTGAACGTTTCAAGCAACGGCTTCACGAAGGAGGACCACATCATTGTCGGGATCCAGAGCGCAGCCACTAAGAAGAGGACATCTGTAAGTTCAAATAGACATTTTCCAGTGGAATGCATTGGTTCTTGCTGAAACGTCATGACAGATCTGGGTGGGCAAGAACGCACTGCTCACGGGCGGTCACGGAGAGTACAAGCCGATCGAGACCGTTTGCATCTGGTACCAGGAGGGCGACAAGACGGCCACCATGATTCACCAGCAGTCCACTGCATACCAGGAGTTCAGCTCCCCTCTAACCCTTACTACTTTTCCTACGATGCGAAGCTCGGAAAGTGGCGTACTCCTCAGCCTACTCCGTTCCCCTAAGTGGATCAAGCTCGAGCCAGAACTCAGTTGTGGCAGTGGCTCCAGTCATACTATGATGGAGGCGGCGTTGAACCATGGGTGGTGGTTGATAATGGCAGTTTTGATTTCGAGGAGGAGTTAGTGCGAGTAAGATGACATGCCGGAGTGGCGGCACGATCGCAGTCAGTACAGAAAAGGGATTCTAGACTCACTTTCAATGAAACGAAGAATTCTCAGAATTGGTGCGTGAGTAATGATTTGACTGTGTGCTTTACTCGTTATTTGCATAGATGGAGGCTGGGAAACATATATCACTCCCCGATGTCCTTGGTAGGGACCCCTTCCACTTCGGATCATTTTGTTCACTGCAACTTTCGAATAGTCTTTGCCAGCACAGTTGACTGATCCAGGATGGAACACTTTGCCCGATCTAAGAATGCGCGGAAGTGGTGTCATTGCATTCTTGCGCGAGATCCGAAAAGAGACAACGTTTCTACATCCGAGTCTTCGCGGATATCTGAAAATTACCCCATTGCTGGGTAGCACGAGTTGTTCCTAGTGTGTAGAGCGACAGAACATTGCTCAATAGTAGAACAGAATACCTAATCGGATCACGCAAGCTGCGTTGATGATCACGTGGAGCTTGATCCACCTGCGCGTCAATGGCTCTCTGGGACGCCACGACTGATTGGCAACAGCCCAGACGGGAAGTCTTGCCTGTTTGGTATTGCTGATATCTGGATCCATGCGAGACTTGTTCGGCCGGGGCAACCAAACGGCGACAGCGAGCAGACGAGCCTAATGTAGTAATGTTACCACCTCTAATCCATCTGCCAAATACTGTTCAGAACCAAGTCTGTCTCAGCCCAACGATTAGGGCTCCGGTGATGCCCGCACGCCATCCGTCCACCCGGCAGCAAAACGAATCTCGAAGGTATCAATCGCGATCCGAGCTCTCGCCGTATGCAGGGCGCCGGGCTCTACCACTTGCGCCTCCCTGCTTTCTGCATAAAGGATAAGGCTGTTTTGCGAGTAAGCCATAGCGATTGAGGTCGACGGCTGTTTCTTTTTGGGGTTTCGGCGCTTGGGACCTTTGATGGCTGGTGGGCCACTACTACTTGCATGAGTATCGCTCCTCTGCTCTTCATGAAATCTGCGCATGCGGAGCGTGTGACATACGCTGAAGGTTGTTTCAATTTGTCCGTGGAAGGCATGGCTGTGGTGGTGACTTCGAGTTTCCTGGCAAGGAGCAAGCTGGTATCTGCAGGAATGGGAGTTTGATCGCAGATGCATGGCGATGCCGCCCATCCGTCCTTTGCGCGTCGAACAAACCAAGCACCTGTAATATATAGTGTGCAGGTATTGATGTTCTGTCCTTCGAACACGGTTCACTTTGAGCACGCATGAACCGCTTGAAGCACAAGGATACGAGCAGCTTCGAGCAGATTGCACCTTCGAGCAGATTGCACCTTCGAGCAGATTGCACCTTCGAGCAGATTGCACCTTCGAGCAGATTGCACCTTCGTGCAGATTGCACCCTCGAGCAGGTTGCACCCTTGTGCAGTCTGGTAGCTTGCAGCTTCATGCAGGTCGAGTGAGGCAGCCGCACCTTCGCGCGAGCTGCAGGTACGCGCAGATTGCACCTTCGTGCAGTTTGCAGCTTCGTGCAGTTTGCAGCTTCGTGCAGTTTGCAGCTTCGTGCAGTTTGCAGCTTCGTGCAGTTTGCACCTTCGTGCAAACTCCACCCTGCACGAAGCGCCCACTAGTCCTCACTTTGGCCGGCTATGTCGCCCTTCAAGCTATTCTTATTTGTCAAGATACACTGGTCAGGCAACCACGCCCTGCGCCCCCGGGGAACTTGACCCTGGCAGTTGCCGTTCAAGCCATGGCATGGCATCCCATTGGTCGGAGAAAAAGAGCCGATTGTTGGCGTCCATGTTAAGCTCCCTTGCAACTACGCAGTCAGCAATGTTCAAACTCCATGACACGGTCACTTGCGTGCTACGCGGAAGAGCTAATCGTATTGCGGAACCAAGAGTATCATCAGCAACATGCTTGCGGAAAATCGAGGACGCGAGTCGTGTATTACACGGTAACCTCCGCGTGGCCAAGGTTGCGCTAACTCAGACTGTAGAGAGACATTGTATTGCTAGTGTGCGCGCTGTGCGGATCCATCACGCTCCTCCCCCAGCTATGGCCCCAACTTTTAGACGCAGGGCATCCGTCATTATTCAAATTCCATCCAAGTTGAAAGCGGCCGGGCCCGTCCCGGAAGCCCAGCTCGCGCAACAAACGGCCTCCCCCGATTCTCGTAAAAAGGCTGGCTACAGGAACGTCCTCTCTTGCAAGGAAAATGCCGTCTGCTCTGCCCGTTTCCCTTCAGTCTCATGCACAAGGCGACTCGATACAGCCATGTACACTCTATCCGACGATCCTCGGCGGGCCGCCTTCGAACCTTCAACTACAACCCGTAGAGGCTCTGAAGAAGGCCGCTCCTCCGAAAAGGCGATTTCCATTTCTGTGGAGGATGGACTTGAAGATCAGTACAATCATGGAAGCAGCGGTCTCCAAGGTCGATGGCCGAGGAAATCATGGCTGAGGAAAGCGTGGCTTTGCCAGACCATGCCCGTGCTCGTGCCAAGTTTCTTCCATCCCCCACCCGAGCAACACGGCGAGCAGCCTCCTCCCAAGCCCGTTTCGTCAACAGCATGGCTAGGTACATTGATACATGCCCTTTCTCCACAGCTCACTTGTTTAGCCCATCTCTGCCCGGGCATGTAAAGCTTCCGTAGCTGACAAAACCTGCAGATGGTCTCCGCGGCTACTCGGCATTCTTCGTGGTCTGGCACCACCTAGCAATCGCGTGGTACCCGTGGTGGATGCAGGGGGGTTACAACGGCCGCGGTAGCTACCTGATCCAGCTCCCCTTCCTCCGGCTCCTGATGAACGGCCGCCCATGGGTCCTAATCTTCTTCGTCATTTCGGGCTACACGTTGAGCTACAAGCCGCTGAAGCTCCTGCTGGGGCAGGGCGGCGGAGGTAGCAGCAGCAGCAGTAGCAAGACGGAAGAAGCCTGCGCGTCACTCGCCTCATCGTCGTTCCGCCGGTGGCTGCGGCTCTTCATCCCGGCCATCGTGCTGACCCTGCCGGCCCCGCTGATGGCCTATAGGGGCTGGTTCTGCACCGACGACGGCCAGTGGTACGTCGTGCCGGGCGGGGGCGGCGTGACCATCAACCCGCCGCGGCAGGACACGCTGTGGCTGCAGTATGTTGACTTTGCGAAGGGGGCGCTGGAGCTCGTGGATCCATTTGCCAGCCGCGCCGAGAAATGGGACTGGAAGTACAACATGGTCATGTGGACCATGCCGGACGAGTTCCGGGGCTCGATGCTCGTATACGGCCTCCTGTTGGCGCTGTCGCAGTGCACGCCTCGCGCGCGGCTGCTCGTCACCGCAGCCGTCATGGCCTTCGCCTCGTGGCTGGGCTACTGGCAGCAGTTCCTTTTTGTGGGCGGCATGCTGCTCGCACAGCTGCGGCTGCTGCCATGTAAGCCTGCCGCCCCGATCACGACCACGAGGCTGTCCTCACGCTTCCCCAGCCACCGTATTGGCCGGTTCATGATCCGAGCCGTGCCTCTCGTCTTCTCGGCATACGTGCTGAGCATGCCGCAGGCGGGCCACGGGGGCATGACGGCACCGGGCTTCGTCTGGCTCGCCCGGCTCGTGCCGCAGCGCTACCTCGACTCCCACAAGGAGGACTTCTTCCTGGGCCCGCCCGCCGCGGTGGCCGTGGTCTTCATCCTGGACCGCACGCCCCGGCTACAGCGCGCCCTGACGACCCCCTTCGCGCTCTACCTCGGCCGCGTCTCCTTCAGCCTGTACCTGCTGCACACCACGATCCTGCACGGGCCCGGGTACCGCGTGGGGCTCGCGCTGCTGGGCGTCACGGGTTCCGAGACGGCATTTGGTCGCTTCTGCGGTGTCGCCGCCACTACCGTGCTGTTCTGGGTCGCGTCCATCTGGGCCGCGGATCTGGGGATGCGCACTGTCGACGAGCCCTCCATCAGGTTCGCTAGCTGGGTCTACCGCAAGGCCACGGGGCGGTAGGATCGTATAGGGAGGCTGTCATGGCTACTGGCTCACCATGTTAGGAAACTATCCGATGGTGTCATTCCGCAGCTTGAAGAGCGGGAGGGGGACACCAGTTCAATGGGCGGCATGGACATCAACAAAGGCTTCAAAGTCGCCATCTTGTCGAAACGACCTTGGTTAGAGGTCAGAGGGCGGCAGCATATAATCGAGAGGACAAACGGGAACGCTACCTGATGTTACTTGAGGGGTGGCACTTGATGCAGCATGCCCATATCAAAATTCCCAAGTGACTAGATCCAAAACAGGCGATATATCGCTTGACTAACAATACATTCATGAAATACCAGAAACAGAAGTATTTCCCCTTATCACTCCACTATTGCAATGCGATTGGCGCCCGGGGGAACTTCATACTTTGGAGCGCTTTCCACACGTAGTGTCAAATATATCGGTCTCGTGTAATACGAGTGCTGCAACGACTATAATCTGCCTAGGTCCCACAATTACGGCGGCCCTCCTTCACGGCACCAATCTCCGTAAGGGGTGCGCTTCCGTGTTGAACACGAACTCGTCCAAGCTTATCAAGCTCGGGTCGCTAAAGATCAGATAGAAGTACTTGAGCGTCTCCCCGAGCCAGAACGACTCCATAGAGTCCGACTGCTGCGGCACCTCCCCGGGCTTGGACACGTCCCAGACGGCCGAGCTGGCAAACTCTGTGCTCGTGACGCGCTCGATGGCGCTGAACATGTCCCACGCCGACTCGAGCAGGTCCTCCCGGCCCGTCGCGCGGTAGAGCACAAACACGCTCTCGATGGCCTCGGGCCGGAGAATGTACCGGGCGTCCGGGATCGCGGTGAACCCCTTGGGCACGTGCTTGTCCTTGACAATCTGGTTGAGCTGTGCCTCGGTCAGGCTCTCGACGTCCTTCTCGCCGGCTTTCCGGGCCACTTCCCGCTTCCACAGCGACTCGTCCCAGGCGCAGCTGTGCTGTGATGGGCACGGGTGGGCGTTGAACGTCTCGGGCATGATGCCGTGCGGCATCGACTTGTACGCCCAGATGCAGCCCTCTACGAGCTTCGTGGCGGCATCGACATCCTGCTGGCGGTTGAACATTTTGCCCCCGACGACCATCAGCCCGCCAAAGAAGCAGACCAGGTGCTGGCCCTGAGCCTCGAGCTCGATGTCGCGACCCCCGTTCTTCGTGTGGGCCTGGCCGGCAATCAGAATGTCGTCGTTGTCGGGCAGCATCGGGCGAAACAGGTTGTGCTTCATAGCCGTGGCGGCAGCGCGCTCGTACATGGTCTGGTAGACGTCGAGCTGTCCCCCAAGCAAGGCGGACATCTTGGGCAGGTACTCGTAGACCGAGTCGGCCATGGCGCCCAGGGTGAAGGCGGTGCCGCCATTGAAGATCTGCTTCTGGGCATCGGCGACGAGAGGCCACAGCCCTGGGAGCTCTGTCGACATTTGCTGTGCAGCCATGAGGTCTGTGATAGCCTGGACCGCATCGAACCATTTGGGGTCTCCGGTGAGGATGGAAAGCCGGGTGAACTCCATGGACAGACTACCGATCTCGGCGATGAGGGTGCCCGAACCTGCAATCTGCTTGCTCCTGTCGTTGCGCATGGCCGCGTGGATGTCCCAGCGAGTGATTGGCATACGATTGGGAGTGTCGAAGGCCTTGTAGAGCATCTCGCCAATCTCGACGGCCTTGCGGAGCAGTCGATAGTCCTGGCTGACATCAAAGGCACCAAGGAAGCCGCCGAGGTACCGGATGGTTGTCTCAAAGACGTTGACCTCATTGGAGTCCGTCTTGGTAAAGTCGATGGTGATGGCGGCTGCAACGGCCTCCTCGAACTCTTCCCGCATCTCCATGATCCAGAGGGTGTCGAGTGAGTCCACCAGCGTGGCGGCCCACCCGCCAAAGGTGTTTCGGCTGGCCCCCGAGTTGGGCGTGAGCTCGTCGGCCAGCCATGCGTGCTCGCGATACGACGCCCAGCATCGTGTGAATATAGACTTGACGGCACGCCTGTGCTTCTCCCGTAGGCTACGGGCTTCTGCAGATTCCTTTAGACCGGTGGCTTGGATAGGAGGAAACGAGACTGGTCCAGATGTCGGCAAGGGGCGGATTGAGGCTGGAGGGTAGAGTGTCGGCAGGGCCTTCCAGAAGTACGAATCAGCCTCCGGGTCGCGCCAATTGGCCTTTGTGGGGATTTGGCGACCAGGCCAGGCTAAGGAGAGGTGGTCGAAGCCAAGCAGATATAGACTGAGCGTGACGCACGCCAGCAGAGCAGCCCAAGTGCATGCGTTTCGGCGCCGGGAGATCATGGTCAGATGGTGCGTGATTCGGGCGTCGTTTTCGACGTCCAGTGTGGTGGCAGAAGAAGGCGCAAGATGAGACAGCCGTGGGTGGGGAGCAGCGTCGGGTCATGATGAAGCAAAAGCAGGGGCCGGGCGGGCGGTCCCTGGAATGCCCAGGGGCGGCCACGCATGGGTTGGTCGGGATACGTTATTTGTGGTGACAACATGGCGCGCCATCTGCACGATATGCAGGGGTCGCTGGCGGCTATCTCAAGCAGCCGCCGACGAGGGGCGGCACAAAGGCGCCTACAACCAACTGCATGCACAACCAGCCAATGGCCTAACTTCCTCACGTCCGGGGTCTCCATATCTTCTCATCACGATATGGTCTTTTCTATGCTGGCGAGGTTCGGTTGCCGGCCTGCACACTTCTTAGGGGGCCCTTTCCGAATCAGGACCTTGCGCCTTGGAGCAGCTTGGGCGCTTAGGTCAACATATCCACTTGTAGTCAGCCCTTGTGAGGGTTGCAGGACAGGAAGTTCGCTGCTACTTGGGCACCTGTGACTCTCTGAGACCTGTCAGTTCAACTTGTTGTGCAATTCTCGCTTTTGCCTGCGTCTGAAGGAGGACCTGAGCACGTGTCGACTACCCTCCTTCTTCTGCCTCGCGACAAGTAGGCAAGCTCTCGCCTCTCCACTTGCACAGGTCGCATCGTTCCGAGCCTCACCACTTCTGCACGTCACAGACTCGCCATGGCAGGCGCGAGGCGACAAGGACGGCTCACCAGATCACACCATACTACTCTCTTGGCCATCTCCTTTCTGCTGCTCTTCGCATGCACAGTACAAGCCACCTGCTACTATCCCAACGGGGACATTGCGTACAACGATGCGCCCTGCAAGACCAACGGCGAGCACTCGCTGTGCTGCGGCGTGGGTTACGCCTGCATGAAGAGCGGCGTCTGCCAGCTCTCGCAGGACACGCCCTCGCAGCTGGGCTCCACGGGCTTTGTGCGCGGCAGCTGCACCGACAAGAGCTGGAACGAGCCCGCGTGTCCCATGTTCTGTCTCGACCCGGAAATCAACAACGTCGGCGGCTACAACGAGCTGGGCAAGTGCTACGACCGGCCCGAGGACATGTACTACTGTATCGACTCGGTGCACAACAAGCTTGTCTGCGGCAACACTACCGCGGGGGCCTTGTACTTTGTCGGTATGTCCTCGTCGTGTTCACCTGTGCTTTTGTTGGCAGCGTTGTCGTGGGAACGCTCTTAATCAAAGCGGTTTGTGGTGCTGATCAGCGGATCTCTATAACAGGCCCACCAGCGACTGTAGCCGAGATCAGATCGCTCTCAACAACATATAGCATAACGCCCAAGCCCAGCACCAGCAAGGCCGGCACAACAACCTTCTCCTCGGCAACGACGACAAGCAGCGGCGCCACAACACCAGCCGCGGGGACCGCAGTCGAAGCAACAACATCATCCACGCCGCCGGCAACGCCTGCTCCGTCTCCCAACACCCCTGCGATGATCGACAACACCAACGGGAACAACAACACCGCAATAATCGCCGGCGTGACGGCCGGCGTGATCGGGGGCCTGATAGTAGGCGGCACGATCGTGTGGTTCATCCTCCGCCGCCGGAAGCAGCACCAGCAACAACAATCATCCGCCGCGCAGACAGGCCAGCAGCTGCCCCCCACTGCGGCAAACTTCCCCATAACCATCAACAACATCAACAACAACGACGGGGGGAGCAGCAAGCGGCGCAGCATGAGCGACCTGCTGTTTCCCCACCATGGCGGCGGCAGGAGCGATGATGGGAGCAAGCACCAGCAGCAGCAGTGGTGGTGGTGGTGGTACCACCAACAACAGCATTGCAATCCGCAGCACCAACAGCAGTATCAACAAGGGCTCGGTCAAAATCCACACAACGCCGCGGCATGGCATCACGGCCACCCTAGCCAGGCCCCGTCTTCCCACTCCGGGCAGGGGAGTTTCTCTTCTTCCGGCTCAACCGCAGTGTTCCACGAGGTCAATGGCGGGTTGCGGTCGCCGCAGGAGCTGCCTGCTGACCAGAAGTCTTGGCTGTAAGAGGTCTTGGTGGCGACACGGACAGAGGAACAGCGTATTGATTCATTTGTTTTTCTGTGAATTAGAAGAATGTAATTCCACGGAGACTCAGACAGGCATCATGGCGCTGGCTCGTCTTCGTACAATCTCGAGTTGCTTCTTCTTGTGATTTCCAGCACAGCACTGCATCTAGAGCGCGCTCAAGCATTTGTTTATATCAATTGGAAGTGTATTATATACTTAAGAACACCCTCATCGACGGTCCTTCACACTTGTGAGCTCGATTCTCCCCCCGAGGACAAACTTAGGGCCGACCAGGTAGCGGACGCGGCCCCACAATCTGCCGCCGTCCGGCACCGATGCCCTGCGCGCCCTTGTTCTGGTTGTCACCGCCGGTGTATCCGGCCCACTGCCCGACGTCCCAGCGACCACCGACTCCGCCCCCGATGCCGTCAACACCATCGCTGGTGCGGACTGCTTTGGCAGTCTCGGCCTGCGCCTCCTCCCATTCGCGCTGGCGTTGGCGCTCCATCTCCATCTCACGCTCGAGGAGCGACTTGCCAGCCCAGCCACCAGCCTTTGTCTTGGTCTGCGACTGTGCGCGCCGGCGGTCTTCCGCGTCCTGCTCGGCAGTGAATCCTAGCTCTCGAGAGTATGTCTGCTGAGGTGCCTGCTGCACGGGAGCTGGGTTGGAGGCGAGGAAGCGGTCTGTACGCGAGGCGTGTGCAGGAGCGGCAGCGTCGTATGGAGAAGCCGCCGGGTTCGATGGCTCAGGAAGCGGGCGTGATGTCGATTGCGAAAGAGGGCTTGGCTGGTATCCGGCGGGACCTTGGTTTTGGGGCCGGCCAGGTACAGGAAGTGGTCTAGACTCGCCTGTCCGCTGCGGCTTGACTGGTGGGGTCGGCAGCTTCTCGCCGGTACGGTGAGTCTTTATGGGAGGTGTCGGCAGTGCCTCGCCGGTTCTGTGGGTCTTGATGGGTGCGGGTATCGCAGGCTTCGGCGCTGTGGTGGGTTGAGGCAGTGGCCGGGACGGCTGGGAGCTGGGTACGAGCTGTTGCGGTTGTTGGTCCTCTTGGTAATTGTCCCATTGCGTCTGCAGGTATTCGCGTTCGCCTGTCCGCCATGAGTCCTGCCGGCTTGGCGTCCTTTCCTGTAGCCTTGGCCGACTTTGCGACCGAGCACGGCTCTTGGACCGATCACGCCGACCCGACCGTCTCTGGCGGTCCTCTTCATACTCGGCTTCGCGTTGCCTCGCGCGCTCGAGTTCCTCCTCGAGCTGCTTGATTCGGTCCTTGTACCCATCCGCTGACGAGTCGAGTGATGCTTTGGTCGCGCGCCGCTCCTCTGCCAAGCGAGCTTCGGCATCCTCCTCGTCCTTGCGACGCTTCTCCTCCGTGAGCCTCCACTGCCGTTCCTCTTCTTCCCACTTGCGCTTCTCCTCATCCGCCTTGCGTTTTTCGGCCTCGCGGGCTCGTCTTGACTCCTCCTCCCAGCGCCTCTCTTCCTCTTCCCGTGCGCGTTTCTCCTCAGCCTCGATCTCAGCCCTGCGTATCCGCTCTTGCTCCTCCATCTGCCGTCTCTGCTCCGCGGCCTCGGCTTCTTGCTCTTTGCGTCTGCGTTCCTTGTCGGCCAGGCTAGGTACCGTGGGACTAGAACTAGTGATCTGCCGGCGGCCGGTGCCATATACGATCCCAAGGTTGCCTTGACTAGCGCCTCCCATGTAGCCGTATTGGGCAATGTTCCACGCTGGACTCGTTACTCCTTCCTGGTTCCTTTTGCTCCAGCTCGACACACCAGGCGAGCCTACCCTGTCACCGGTCGGGCTCTTAGTTGGGCTCCATCTCCCTGATCCCGAATCACCAGTCCGGGCGGGCGACAGGCCAACCGCCGAGCGAGTCGATCCATACGCGGACGAGTTGTTGCTAACATTGGAGAACCCGCGGTTCCTTGTCGGTGTGGTGTTGCCGGTGCTGTGGGGGCTGACAACGCCTTGAGGTTTCGCAGCGCCAATAGGAGCAGGAAAGGCTGAAGGGTTGACAGCGTTAGCAGCTCGTGAGAATGCACCCAGACACTGGAGGACCTGCGCCGGGTCTTTCTGCTCGTATAGGTCGACAGTAAGGAAAACGTCGTGGTCGTGCATATTGAGGGGTGGCGATTTGCAAGCGCGCAGAAACTGCGAGATGTTCTCCATCTGTACAAAAGGCATCGCCGACCTCTTGAACTTGACGCCGGGAGGGCCAATGGCTAGGTTGACGAGCCTAAAATGGAGATGTCATGTGTCAGTACTTCAGATCGGAGAATCTTCCAATGTCGTGGGGAACATCAAGCTTACGTGCAGAGCGCAACGCCATCTTTGAGGCCCTCAAGGAGGTCATTTGCTGGAAGGCGCTCTCCAAGAACGCTCTCGATCCAGGTCTTGGTCTCCTTGGCGGCGCCGGGGGTATATTTATCGAGGCGCATTTTGCGCAAGTCTTTGTCTAAGGAGCTGACGGACGCCATGGCGGGCGATGTGCGTGGCGGTCTCTCTCAGCCAGCACAGGGGGACAAAACGGTCAAGAAGCGGCGATGTCTGCCGCTACAAACGCTTCGTTCCAGTCGAGGGTGTTGTAAAAGGGCGACTCGCTTGGTATCGTTCAACGAGCTTGCTGACAGCAGAGGACGCGCGGCAGGGACAAGGTGATGCGCTGATGCTGCCTGAAGCTAGAGAAAGCGGGCGGATTGGGCCAGGGTTTGCGGGGTCTGCCTCTTTTACAGGCAAGCTGCCTTGGGATCGCACGGATCGGGAGTCGAACTGCAATCGGTGCGGGCGGGTGGACAAGTGCGCTGCGCTGCTGCATGAGATGCGCGCATGAACCGGGCGAAATTGTTGTTGACGACGACGGTGGTGCTAATGCGCGGAAGACACCAGACGACAAAACATGGTTGTCACAAACGAACGACCCCACCAAATGGCGCGGCGGGCGGACCGCCGGGGCTTTATGGAGGAGCAGAGTGACGTCGCACCTGCCCTGCGCTGCACAGGCACGAGGCAGGCAGGACCCTGCCACTCGTTTGTGCAATTGTTCGTGCCTAAGGTCGTAAAGATGGGGCTGGAGCAGGTGCCTGAGGTGGCTGGGCAGGGTCCCACCAGCATTCAGATGCTGCGAACGGCGTGGCGCAGCGTCGCAATTGGCACTCTGAGATTCAGATGTCGTGGTGTTATGCCTTACCTAAGCGACAGCCTCGGGAACCCGGGACCCCTGCTCAAGTGGAAGTGTAAGCTGCCCGTTTCGCACGCTAAGGAATTGTAAGTCTTGCATCACGACTCCGTAACATTGACAAACCTCAACCTTGTGCTCCGACAATCGCGAATTCACACAACTCGGCAGACACCACGACTCTGCACACCACGCACGTCCGGATACACCGACAATCTGAAGCAGGCATACCGGGACAAAGCTACGGGCACTTGCGCACACACACACACACATACAGGACAAATGGCAGTCAAGCCTCCCGGCCGCATCTTGCAGGCCTGGTACCAGTGGAAGTCTCTCCGCCTTCCCTGGCGCAAGAAGTTCCTCGTCGGTACGTGTCTCCTCCCTGCTCCAGTCCTCAACCTTACCTCCCCTACGCTTAGCCAGCCCCCCTCCCCCCTCTATCTCTTCCACTACAGCAAACGCAGCACCCGCTAACTCAACACTTCTGTCCCCGTCCCCTCTCTAGGCCTCGACCTCCGCGGTAACACATACTGGGAATTCCGGCTCCGGCACGGCGACCCGCCTCCGAGGATAACCTCGTCCCAGACGGCCGACGACTACACGGCCCAGCGGTTCCGGCGCATCGTGCACCCCCCGTCACGAAGCGTGCACCTCTCGGACGTCCAGATCCCGCCCGCCTGGCACCAGTGGCTGCGGTACAGCCGGCACGAGATTCCGACCCTCGACGAGCAGCGGGCCGACGTGGCCCGGCAGGACCGGATCAGGGTCCTCGCGGCGCAGGCGGACCAGCGGTGGGAGCAGAAGGAGCGGCTGCTGGATATGCCGCCGCCGCCGCCACCACCACCTGGTAACACTGCAGGTGCAGGTGCAGCACGGGCGGCGCCCGCGGTAGCGACGGTAGCGAGTGCGGGCAAGATCACCGCCGCCGAGGCGGATTCCTCAGCCGCGGGGAAAGCGCCGGCTCCTGCGGCAGAAACAAGCTCTGCCCCAGCAGCAAAGGACTCGGCGCCCCCGCCGGAGGATAGCAGCAGCAACAAGAAGAAGCAAGAAGAGGCCCCGAATCCGTGGAAGCAGGCCTCCAGAGGCGGGCCGAGCGAGGAGTGGCAGCCCCAGGCGTGGTCTCCGGCGCCGAGTCGGCGGCGGTAGCGAGGGGCGTGATAACGGCGGTCGTGGTTCTAGTCTGTGAGATGACGTCGGAGGGCATGTACGAAAAGAAGAAGCTGCAGCGCGAGGTGGGGGCCATTGTAAACATTAAGTGTACTATACGAGATGTACTTCTATGATAATGACGAGAGACAGGTTGAGCTCTACAGGCAGTTCAAGGTTGAGAATAGAATGTGAAGGCATAATGCAAACCCTTCGCTCCATTGATTGATCCCCATTCTATTTGACCGCGCTGCAAATGGGCAGCTGCATACCTCAGCCCCCTTGTCCTGAAGCCAGCCGTGGCAGGAGGTTCCCGCAATGCCTAATGTTACACACAGACGCCTCGCTATGAAACCCATGAAAAGAAAAAGCCCAAGCACAGCACCGAATATGAGGAGGTTTGATAATCACAATCCCCCTCGGTCCTGATCATTCAGAGAAAGCTGTCATCCCGCGCCGTCATGAACGTCGCCTCACCGAAATCTGCCCGACAGGGCTGCATTAGCCCGGATCCTCAGCGCAGTCCAGACCTTCACGATGGACCACCGCCTCCTCCCCTGGCAAGGAGAACCAAGCCAGCCAAGGCACTCGACTGACTGACTAACCTTCGTCGTCACCGCCAGACTCCATCTCGACATCACTACCAGGGTTTTCTTCCTCATAGTCGTCGTCATCTCCATCCACAGCAGCAATCTCAGCAAGCATCAAAAGCCGCTGTCCGGAGAGCTCAAGCACGGCTCTGGCCTCGGCATCCGGGTCCTCTGAAGGCGCACCAGATGGTCTGCCGCGGGTCTTTTTCCGCTTCGCCTTGTTCTCCCTCGCGTCGACGCCGCTCTGCACCGCGTCCCGGAGCCCAGGGCTGAACCGCTCGGTCCCGTCCACAATGACGATCCGCATGAGCGCCTCGAGGAGCAGCGACACCTTGGCATTGTCCTCGGCGGTGATCGTGTTGGCCGCGTTGGGCAGGAAGCACCGCTCCAGGATCGCGGGGGACGTGCCGCCCGCATCATCCCTCGCGCGGTCGACTTTCCGGGGCGCGAGGGCGGACGACGGCATGAGCAGGGACAGTATGCCCTGGAGGAGCGAGATGTGCGAGTCCTCGCGGAGCTTGCCGGCCGTGTTGTCAATCATCTCGCTGAAGATGGGGAGCGGCAGGGACCGCACGCCCCTCTCGAAGTTCTCGTAAAGGTCCGGGAGTTCGAACGGCGCAGAGGGGAGATAGCAGGCGAGGAAGGATAGCTGTGTTTTCCGCGAGACAAAAAATGGTCAGCTCTGGAGCTAGTCTCCACATGAATATATGCGGGCGCACGAGATACTTACCATTGAGAACAGCCGATGCCTGAACGGCACAGACTCGACAAAGCTCGCCTCGAGGGCCTGCAGATCCGTCTTGCCGGCGCCGAGGTCCGAGTTGGTCCTGCGCTTCTGTGGTGTCGGCGGCTCGGAGCCTTGCGACGAGAACACGGAGTCATCATCCAGCCAGCCCCCGTAGTCGCCCTTGTCCAGGTTCACCGCCGCGCGTTTCCGCTTGTTGAGCGCCTTGAGCGACATGCCCTTGTGCTCCTTAAGCCAGACCTCCTGGAACAGCGAGCTCGCGCTCTTGTCCCCGTCCGCGAACAGGGCCTTCATGATCCACTTCAGGCCTCCGCCGCCCGCACGCCCGCCCCGCTGCGCGATGAACCGCGCCAGCATGGACCGGCGGAGCATGGGGAAATCCTCGCCTCCGCGATCCGCCTCCTCATCATCATCGGCGGCAGCCAGATCCAGACGGTACCGCTCATCGAGGTCCGCCTCGATCGCCTCGAACATGAACTCGAGCCAGGGGCGGTAGTGCAGCCAGCGGTTCGGGTACAGTACGCTGCAGTTGAACGCCCAGCCGACCACGCTGAAAAAGTCCTGCGCGCGTCTCCAGATGCTGCTGGCCGTGTACTTGCCGCCTACCACGGCGCTTCCGCCGCTCTCGGTGGCGCCGAAAAAGTCATCCCCCAGGCTGCCGTCGTCTTCGTCCGATTCGGATGATCCCGCGGGAGATCGACCTCGCGAGGAAAAGGACGATGAGGTACTGCCGAATCGGAAGGCCTCGTCGAAGCGGGCGTTGACGGGGCCGATGCTGGCCAGCACGCTGTAGAGGTACTCGAGGGACTCAGCGGCGGCGTGAGTCCAGGTCGGCTCTTTCGGGCGGGATGTAAAGTCTGGGTGGATAGCGATGCCGGCGAGGAAAGCAAGCTGGTTGACTGGCGGGCAGTAGCTGCCTACTGCTTCGTCGCGGGTTTCGAGGTTGGTGAGTAGGCTGAGGGAGATGAGTGGCAGAGCCTCCTCCAGGTAGATCTGGCAATGCTGTCGTAGCTCAGAAGGCAGCGACTTGGCCTTGCGGTAGCCCGAGTCGGTGGTGGAAGCGCCATCGGGCGTGCTGAGCTCGGTGAGGGTGGCATCCTGAGGGTTCCGGGGCGAGGCGGCCGCTGTGACGAAGGATGCAGGCGATGAGCTAGCCGACGGTACCGGCAGGGCTGTCTTCTCGGGATGGTCGGCCGTGTTGTCGGGCGGTTGGCCCGCCGCTCGTCGCGTTTGCCGTGGCATGACGGCCTCGTCGAAGCGCCGACGTTAGACCTGGCGGGGTGCAGAGAGTGCGTAGGTGGATATCCAGACTTTTGAGATTGAGACGCGCCAGCGTTCTGAGCTTGACGCGACTCCATCTAAACCCCTGCCAAACAGCTCCCCCACTCCTCCCCGCGCAACGGGTCCACCCGAGACTCCACCAACGACTTTCCTCCAACTTCGTCCCGCCCACTTCTGTCAACACTGATGCGAAGCAAACAGTAGACTTAGGCAGTGGTCCCTTTGGGCTGGCATGGTGGTACTAGGTCTTGCAAATCTTATGGCCAGTGATTGTGCCCAGCTCATATACCATTGGCGAGTAAAACTAGACTAAAGCTTCAAGGCATGGCTTGCTCGACACCCGCTTACACACTCCCTCCTACACCAAGTCATGGTTTTGTCCTTACAACTTCGTGATATCTAATGTTGAGCGCCACAAAGCGATGGGCTGAGACACTCATTAGCTGACATACATCGTCAGATTGAGGGAAGGCAATAGCTATGCCTACATTACATCGCATTTTAGTTTACGCTTACACTAGATGCATGGATCTCCCTTCTTCTATTGCTGGATATGCCGCTAGCTGCTCAGATTACATTCAAACGTAACCAAACAGAGCCTCAAGAAATGAGCCCTGGAATCATTCTCTAACAATAACATACAGATCGCTACATATATGCTTCGCCACTCTCATGCATGATCTACAAACGCCTCCCCAATTATCCCCTGCCCTCATTACTTAAACCCCGGCTGACTGTTGCAAGCCTGCGGACGATCGGTTTCGTGTTTTCAAGGGTGAGGCGGCTCGGCCGGCCCCAGCCCAAACCACGGCACAACAAGCGGGTCGTACGTAGCATTACCGTACGCGCTACCGCCGTAGGTGAGGTACCCCGTGACATACGGCTCCGGGATCTCGCGGATGATCTGGGCGGCATTGCCGAAGACCCAGACGGTTTGCATGCCTAATTTCGCACACGCCTCGTTTAGTAACACGATCATCACCGAATAGCGGGGAGAGGCACGAGCAAAGAGAGAGAGAGAGAGAGAGAGAGAGACTCACCCATGGCCATGTGCGCTAGTATATGACAATGCATCATCCACGCGCCTACATTATCCTCCGTGATCCGGATCCGCCATGCGCGCCAGCCCGATGTGTAAAAAGGCGTTGGCGACCTGGGCATGTAGCGATACAGCATGGTCGTGTCCCGCCTCGCCGGCTTGTACCCGGACTCGAAATGCTTGTCGTTCTCCGCGGCGTCGTAGGTCCCGTTCCCGCTGCCTAGATCCCAGAAGTGCTCCCCGTGCGCGTGCATCGGGTGGTTGTCGTACCCGCTTGTGGGGCCCGAGTTGCTGAGCCACACAATGTCGAGCACCTCGCCGACCTCCGCGGGCCACGCGCGCGTCTTGGGATCCCACCCGTTGTTGGCGAGCGCCGCGGCGTAATCGGGCGTCTCACCCTGGTACGCCTGGATGAGGTATGGGACGGTGCGGAGCGCCTCGGCCTCCTCGTCCGAGTACGTCAGGTTGTTCTGGTACCACTCGAGCCCGCCCCGCACGCTGCCGTTGTAGAACCCATCGACAACGAGCTGATTCACGGTGATGTACACGGTGCGTGTCACCTCGGATCGCGAGGGGAAGTTGTTTGCGGCGTTGTCGTACTGCTCTAGCGTGTACTCGAGGTACCGCGTGTAGTCGGCTGGGTTGGTCGGCAAGGTGACAGGCTGTTTGTACGCGGGAAGGTTCTGCGGTAGCGCCGACTCCTTGGGCTGCCCGCCGCACCCCTGCGTTTTGTAGTGCAAGATCCCCCAGCCGAAAGGGTTCGAGGGCCGGTCGCGTGCTTCGTACTGGATCCAGTAGTTGCCACCGAGCCCGTCGGCGTCGAGCTGTTGCTCGGTCTTGGCCTTGAACAGCACACTGTAGCGCTGTCCGCTGCCGAACTGGATGTACGACACGTTGGCAGGCTTGGTGTAGTGCCCGTCTGCCTCGATGATGGTCAGCTCGCTGTGGCCCTGTATGCCGACCATCAGGAACGACAACGCGGCCTCGTTGACGAAACGCATCCGGTAGGTCTTGCCGGGCTCCACGGTAATGATGTACGGTTTGCAGCTGTCATCCTTGGCGGTCGCGAGGGAGGCGTTGCCTGTGCGGTCGTTGAGCACCACGGCCGTGGGCTCGCCAGCCCAGACGAAGGGGTTTGCCGCCAGGCCTGCTTCGACGGTGCTGTCCTCGTGCGGATAGTAGTCGGCAAAGACGAGCGGGATATCCCCGTCATACTGGTACGGTCGCTCAGGAGGAGCTTCTTCATCGTCGACAATCAGTAAGCCACGGGCGGTGACAGCCTGGAATCCGACGTGCGAGTGGTAGAAGTAGGTGCCGGCATCGCCAGACTCTGGGTGCAGCTCGTAATCAAAGTACTGGTCTGGCGCAATAGGCCACTGCGAGACGGTGGGCACACCGTCAGAGAACGGGGCCACTCGCTGGCTGAGGCCGTGCCAGTGCTGGAGCCCCGTGTCAGTGTTGCTGTCTTGGAATGCAGGGCAGAGAGTGATGGTGCCATATGATGTTCAACTCACCACTGTCAAGTTGTTGTCCGGGATGCGGTTCCACACGCGGACCCAGGTGGTCTTGCCCTCCTGCAGGCGCAGCATGGGGCCAGGCGAGGTCTGGTTGAAGGTGACCGAGTATCGCGACTCGCAGTTGATGGTGATGTTCTGAGCGGTAGCGACAAGGACGTATTCGGGCCGCCAGTCGCCTCCGTGGTACTCAGGGGCGCCAAGATGGTGCTTTGCTTGTACAGATGTCGAAGTAGAGAGCAGGCCAGCGACGAGCAGTGCTGGCCGCAGCCATGTTGTTGACCACATGCTTGGTTATTTTTGGGGGTTGTGAGTCGAGGTATGCCTGCTGTTCCCACCTGGAAGAAGCTTTCCACCACTCTCGAGACGGACACGAAGAAACGAAGGGAATTGAACAACGAAGGCGAGGAATGCAGGCAATATTAAAAGAGGAGCGGGATGCAGGACCGCGCACCTATGGCGCCCTTACGGGCCCGTGGGAATGTGAGGTGGCCATCCATCTTACGCACATGTGCATGTACATGGCTGGTCTCACCCTTTGGGCGATCCCCCCACTCGCTCACCCACAGGCTCTAGAGGAACACACTTCAGCTAGCTCGGAGCCTTGGCTGACATGACATGGATGGGAGGCCCGGAAAGGGCAGTGGGGAGCAGACAAAGGCCGTTGAGATCGGGGCCGGGGCGTGTGGCGGGACGCCGGGGGGGACAATGGGGGCTGGTGTTGTACCGGACCAGGGGTGGGCCACACGGGTGTGACGGGCGCTTTGGTGGGGCCGGGCGGGCAAAGGCAGGTACAGTACAGTACTGCGGGTGCTAGTCCAGTCCGTCCGGGCGGTTGCCGTGGTGTCGGTGTTTCGAGTAGCACATACAGCTTGACGCCACGTGCGGGCGTCGCATGGCAGGATGATCATCATCTCGAGTGGCCCAGCCAGCTCTCCCTCCCTCCCAAAGGCCCTCATACCGGTGTTGCCCTGGCTGGTGCGCTCGTTTGGACGGACGTAGTGCTCCGCCGGCAGGATGTGAGCACGCGTGGGGGTGTGCGCGGTGCGAACTATTGGCTGGGTGAGTTGGTGAGTTGGTTAGTGCCTTGCGGACCTTAGAATCCTCCGACTTGAGGACGGGTTCGTCAAAGGGAAAAGTCTAACGATGCGTGTTGGGTTGGGGACGGCCGAAGCGGCCGGACATGGCGCCAGGAGGAGCAACACCTGGACTGGAAAAAGCAGAAGCAAACAAGCCGTGCGGCGATCTGCACGGCGCAGTCATGGTGCAGGAGCGACTCAGCCTGCCATTGGCCGCCCTGCAGCCCTGCGGTTGCGGCGGATGCTGCAGGGCAGGGGGAGGCAGGGCTTCCATTGTTGATCCGCCGCCGCGACGTCATTCTCCTCTAATTATGGCAACCACCCAGGCAACCAGCCTCGCCGTCTTCTCGCTCCGTCCTCGCCCATGACAACCACCACTACTCGAGACTAGATCATCTGCTCCTCTGCGCTGGTGTGCCCTCCCGCGCACTTGTGCGTGTGTGGCAAAGTTGCTGCTCACGTGGTTGATCCGCACGTTTCACTCTCCATCTGTCGTGGTCTCGTCCGCCACGTGGGATTGACACTGCGCGCGAGCCCAGCCCAGCCTTCAGCCAGATCTGCGCATCTCTCTTTGTTGCCAGCCCCAACGAAGCCTGGGATTGCCCAGGGCTCCCACGAAACGTGCCGGCTTTGCTCATGACGAGGTTGGCGGCATCAACTCCTGCTTCTTCCCTCCCGCACCGTCACAATCACACGATTTGTGGTCTCATCGCTTCCCCGTCCCCAGCCCAGTCTCATCTCAACAAAAACAAACTTCTTCATCCGGCACCCTTGAAAAGAAAACCACAGCAACCATCACATGTCCCGAAACTCTACCATAGTACCGCCCAAATACTGATGCGCCCAATTTACAAAAGAGCCCTGCGGGGGGAAGGCTGGACACATGCAGGATCCTGCCCCCGCCTCTTGACGGCCCACCAGGTCTAGGCGGCTCAACGCTCGCCAGCAGCCCCTCCGCCCGCCGCCACAGCGACCACTTGCACCACCCTCCGCGCACAATCGCCCTGCATCCATCACTTGCGTAACTAGCGCTTACTCATCCGCCCACTGCGGCTGCGCCTTGCCAGCAAAGGCCCCCAATCCCAGCATTACTCACCCGCGGAGCAACTGCTTGCTTGCACGTCTTAGGATTGCCAAGAACGCGCGTCTTACCTGCTGCCGGGCCCGAAGAGGCATGTTTGTACCTCACGTGTACTTGAGTAGTGAGAAATAGATCGCGTCATGGATCTCAGATCTCGTTTCCGCCAATGTCTGCCCTTGGGCCGGGAGGTGGTGGCTACTGCATATGAGCACCCCCCCCCCCCCGCTCCTGATGCATGGCTGGCTGGGCCTGTTCCGGTAGTCCATGCATGTAGCCATGCCTCCTTTCCCAGGGGAGGGGTTGGTATCGGATTTGCTGCACGTCTAGTGGTCCGCTGCTATGAGTATGGGATGGCACGCAGGCTTTGGCTCGAGGTAGTGTCAGCAGCTTGGCCAAGGCAGACGGGCTTCTTCAGACAGCTGCTCCCGTAGGTTTTATGTGAGCACGAAGCAAAACCCAGCGCGTTATGGCGTCAACACAACGCACGGGGCTGGTCTGCCGAGGAGAATGGCAAAACCGGCTAAACACCCTTCAGCTGCAACTGCACAAGAACATGCCTAGCGTGCCTAGAAACCTACTCTACGTCTTGGTATGCTTACCTCTCTTCTCGGGGCCTGCTCGGCTCCGAGGAGAGCGAGCTCCGATACTGAGCGAGTAGTCCCGCGTTATCCCGGTACTTTATGGAGATCCCCAAGGGGAGTTGCGGAAACGCCGCTTCCTTGAAACACAATTGGTTGTATCCTGAAGATCACGAGTACTTCAACTGCAGTGTGGGTTTTTGGAGAGGCTCGACGAGACTTCTCGGCAGAAATCAACGTCACTACTTGAAATCCCCGAAGATCCTCCACCAAATACGTACCAGAGCCCTTCCGGCTTCCAGAAGATATACGATAGGAGGTCGGCATACATAAATAGAGACACTTATGCGATCATTAGGAGGTTGGCACCACGCGCGGAGCGATAGGTTAACATTGGGCTTTGAAAGCCACGCGAGTGGAGATGAGACTCGCCACATTATTCGTAGATCACAGAGATGCTTCGACTTGCAATTGCCGGGCGACTCGGATGCCAATCACTTGATTCTGTTCTGGGACGACAGCCATGCATATCATGGACACCTTGTTTGAGAGTCATCGCCACATGTCGGTATTAATTTCTAAAGGGTCTGACACTATTCAGACAATTCTTCGGGCCTATAAGCAAGAGGTCACCACCTCCAGTCTGGTGCGAGTACATCGTACGCGCCATACGACGCGGCATTGACCAAAGTATCCACCCTCCCTCCGCGCCTCCCCAACTCCCGTTCACCAGCTATGCGCGACTCGGCAGCACAGCATGTCTTACTCCTGCAGTACGACATCACCACTTCCCAATTCCCGGTCTTTTCTCCCTGCGCAACTGCCAACTCAGGCCGCCGAGATATCCGATCAAGTTGACGCTCAGTGGCCTCTCGGCTCCTGCTACCTTCTGGTGTTCCCCCACATTGGGTTGTGTGTGGTACATGGTGTTCAAGTCGTGATTCCATCGTGATCGAGCTCGTACAACTCATCAAGCATATTCCTCCTTTCGTGTGAGCGCAACGCAGACGATAAGGAAGCCAGACTCTGGGACTGTGAGGACTTTATTGCCGTGAACACCAAAAGCGGATGTTCGAGTTCCTCGCCATACGGGGGTGACTGGAGGTCGGCGTCCCCGTGGCTGTGTCGACTATATTGAGCGTTCAGTGGATCAGCGCCTTTGCAGCCACACCCGCGGATTGACACATTCCAGAGCGATGTAACGCCCCCTTCAGCTCTGACCCTGACAAAATCGAGAGCGTCGTTTGTCGAGCGCGACACAAGTTTGTGCATGTTTCGTGCCTTTCGACTGGACTCGCGAGAGTCCGGCGCAGACCATCCAGCCACGAGCTGCGCCGATGGGTAGAAATCGAATCAAGCTCGTTGTCCACGGCTAGCTCTTCAGGCGATCAGAGGTGGGTATCTGTACTATTAAACCAACCCTTTTTGTTAGCCTCACCACTGGTCTTCGAATGCTTTTCTCCATGCGCGCAGCCCCAGTCTCTCACTCACCCCTGTGGCGAATATGTCCTGTTCACCGGGCATATTGACATTGCCGTTTTGTGCGATGTCGTCGTCGTACACGATAAGCCCTTCGACGGGCTTATCGCCGCCGCCGCTCACGCTCATCATGGCCGTGCTGACCGCGTAGAGCTCCCACCACGTCCTGCGCCACGACTCCTCGAGCTGTGGGTCCCCCAGGCCGTGGACCGCCGCGTACGAGCCAGAGTACATGCCAATCTCGAGCGCGAGGCGCTCCGCGTCGGCGCACACCGCGCGCGCCGCGTCCCGCTGCAGGTCGCCGTCGAGGCAGATGGCCACTATGACCATCGCCTGGACGAGGTACCCGTCCCTGGCGGACGCGGGCGAGTAGAGCTGCTGCATGGCCACCTCGCCCAGGTTCCCCAGGCCCCCAAGGCTGCCGGGCCACGGCTCGAGATACCGCGACCCGGCCCAGCGGATGGCCGTCATCAGCGGGCACAGCTCCGTGTTGCCGAGCTTGTATGCGCGGGAGAGCAGCCGCTGCCTGGGCGGGCCGACGGGGTAAGCAGGGTAGAAGCTGGCGTAGAATGCGTCGATGCACTGGTCGTAATATGATGGCCCGAGGGGTTGCGCAGTCGGCAGCTGGACTTGGGAGAACTGGGTGCCGACGAGGCCCGGGCTCACCGTGTTGTAGGACAGCTGGGACATTGCTGGTGAGGTTGTCGCCGGCGGCGGCGGCGGCGTGTGGTACGCGCCGAGCATCATGTTTGCCCACTGTGGCGAGGCCGAGTTGGACATGTCGCCGCCATTCATGCCGCCGTGGATGCCAAAGACCGGCCCGATCTCCTGCTCCGGCACGCCACAGCCCACCTCTATCGTTGGCAGGGGTATCTCGCCGGCTAGCATGGTAGAGGCGCCGACCGCAGACCTGGCCGGAGTCATGGTCATGCCACGGTGCGTCCTGCTGCCATCAGAACTCGACGCTGAACACGTCGATGCCGATGACGAAGCTATTGACCTCTGCCGTATTCTCTTGGCCGACGCGCCGCCGCCGCCCGCGATGACTGGATCGGTTGTGTATTTCCTTCGAGGACCCTTGTATCCTCGGCGAGAGGCTACATAGACGCACTCCAAGTCGTTGCCAGTGCAGCGACGGCAAGGCTTTTGTCCATCGCATTTGAGGTGCTTGGCCCGCTGCATGGGGCTCAGTTAGCCATCACGGGATCTGGGAAGAATTCGGAGACACGGGGATGATTTCGCCCCGGAAAGCTGGAGAGGCAATCGGACAGCCGAGGCCGACTTACACATGCGAGACAGGCAGCAGGTGCTGTAGTTGAGCTAGACGCGGGACGGGCAGCGCCGCCGGTACTCGAGTCTGGCGAGGAAGCTGGATGTATGTGCGTGGTCATCCTGTCGTCGAAATCCCGCGTTGTGCCGGCTGGTTGGGAGGGCGATGGCATGACATGGACCTCTGGCTTGATGTCATCCGATGCCATGATGGCTTCTTTCCAATATCGGTCGTCCAGAGAAGGGTGAGCTTCCTTCACGCAGAGGTCTGGTTCAGAGGAGAGGTAGTCCGGACCGCTGTGGCAAGTCACGGTTCTGGGCGAGAATTCCGGATGGTTGTCTGTGATTTGGCGAAGGCTGGTACACGTCTAAAAAGGCCAGCAGCTACAGATGAGGTGACGATGTTGTAGTCTTATGGCTTTGCCGGCTGTTAGACAAGTCCTTGTTATGGAGCGGCCCCAGGTGTGGATGTCGGGAACAGCTAGATGTGCACAGGACACAGTAAAGCTAGGTGGGAACCAGGGAGGAAGCCTGAGGATCCAGGAATACGTCTGCTTGGACCCTGGCCAAGAAAAGACAGGGTGAAGAGGATGCCCGCGGCCGTCCGTTGGCGTAGGGCGAAGCTGGAGGAGGAAGAGCCCAGTAGATCGCAACGTTTCAGAGCAAGTACGTGCAGCCTGGAAGAATCAGGCAGCTTCGGTGAGGAGACAGTGCCGCATTCCTTGGCCCCTTGTGGATACACACCGTCCTCTATGGGACCTGCCAGGAAGAAGCAGGGGCACGCTAGTTCAGTCGCGAAAGATGTGAAGGAGGACGAGGAGCGGGGGAGGTCAAGTGCAAGTGGCCCCCAAAAATGTCAACAGGAACCTGCAAGGCAGGACCAGGTCGGGTTGGACAGGCCGATCGATCCCATGTCGAGCTAGTCGGCACCTTGAATGGGCCGGGCACGCCTGGGCAGGGGGAAGATGAAGACATGGCAGCAAGGTTCATGCATGGGCGACGGGAGCGAGAGGCTTTGGCGGAGATGTCCACAACATAGGCGGGTCGACCTATGGCCCACTGCTTCAGGGCACCAGCAGGACCACGGAAGCAGACGAAATGCTCGATGACGAGTCCCCATATTTGCAAGCGGACTTGGACCTGCTGTTTGTAGCAAGACGGGGATGGTATTTATTGCAGCAATGCCGGGTGGCCACGCTAGGAAGGCCGACTGCTGACAAAAGACGCCAGTAATTTTACGTGTTTCCTAGGTTTGACCCCGTGCTCCAGAAGGGTATCCTTGGCGGCGTGGGTAATGGTGTTGTGGCACAGGAGGCAGCGGAGAGTTTTGGGGGTACTTTAGTAACATGATGGACCCACTGCCTGCAGGGCTGCATCTCGATAGCAAGTTTGGAACGTGCCCACGTTGCTGGCGGCAAAGTGCCTGGGCGCTTCTGGGGCCTAGAGCCAGGCTTGGGCCATCTCTAGTAGTTCTCTCGACCCCGGCGTTGTGCCCCTGAGTTGGGCCCCTGGTTGCAAAGTCGACTTCGATGCCCATAGTAGCACGCCACTATATGTAGTATGGTAGTAGGAGACTGGGCTGGGCAACATACCCATGCATGAGGTCAGGGTCAAGGCCGTCGTGTCGGAACCGAATAACCCTGGCAGCCCGTTGAGATCAAATGTGTATGTACTGTGGGCCCCCTGACTTGGCCACTCCCACGACCAAGGGTAGCATGATTAGTTCACGCCGCGAAGGAAGCTACGTCAGCATCATCTGTGCCCCAGAGTCGACAAAAGACACAGCCAGCATGTCTTGCGTGGCTAAGGGCACATAGCCCACCCCCTTTTGGGTGCCAATTGTGCAGATCCTCGACAAGCCTCCGACTGCTTAGCCAACGCCTACACAAGGAGCCATGGGAGAAGGGTCCTGCCACTGCCATGAGATCAACCAACGACGCTCAAGCACGGGCTGGCACTACATTGTACCAAGAAAGGGCTCGCGGTTCTGATTAAGGGAGCCCAGGCTTCACGCTTGATCTCGAATCGTGCAGAGCAGGCCAATGCGTTCCGTGCAGCCATGATGCGTGACCTAGCTGATCAAGCGTGTAGCTTGTTTTGTGCTAGCTTGCGAGAGTAAGACTGATAACTGGTGCGTACCGTGCTTTGCTCGCGTCGACCTTTTCCCCTTTAGCCCCAATCTTGCTGGGTTCTAGATCTTGAGAGCGCCGAGCTGCTGTTAGTGTCGATGGCCCCCAATGGCTCGCCGATGCGGAATGTATTCATGAAAGACGGTTTCGTTTTGCGCCACTAGCTTGGTTAGTGCCAACTGCCACCCGTCGGCTCCATGGCCAGCGGGTCTTTATCATCGGCTACTGTCGAAGCCAGGGGGTATTCGGGGCCCAGGATGCCCCGAGCCACCAATGCAGCGGCCGCTCCAGAAGGAGCTCGGGCGAGTCACGACCCAACACTGCCGACAAACGGTTAGCTCACGGATGTTTATTCAGCATGATGTGTATTCTTAGTACAGGTCCGTTGGTGGAGAGCTTTGGCCGATTACGGTTAAACGGACCTTGTCACTACTGTGTGTGGCTTTGCCTCCGAGAGGTGTCGGGGCTGTGCCTCCAGAGATGTGGGAGCATTGGGGAGATTGTGCTGCGGAGTTGAGACGCGGAGTTGGAAGGCCCAGAGTGGCCAGCCACACAGGCCTTGATGGCTGGTTCTAAGCACATCTGAGAAATGGATGTCATCATGCTTGCAGGTTGCACCCCCCTCCCCCTTTGATCCCCTGGCTCGCCGACCTTGGCGAAAGGTTTTTGGCTAATGAGAGCGCGCCTACTGAAGATCTGAGACTCGAAATCGCCCGCAATCTTCTGCTTACTTCTGCAAGGGTCCCAGACAGGAGAATTGCACCCCGGCGCCTCGTGGTGACCAGGTTCGGTACCGCTATGAGTGATACGTCAGGGCATGCTATGCTCCGTGAAAGATTTACAGTCTCAACAAGCGCACGTGCTGCAAAGTTCGAAGCCGTCGCAAAACACTGTTTATCGTCAAGACGGTCACCCTGGTATTGTGACTCGGGATTATGGATCGCGCTGAGCGGGCGTAGCTCAATCCCTGCCATTATGCAACTGATACAGCGGGACGTACCTCAAAGACCACAACGCGACCTAAAGCCGTGCCGTATTCTTGGATCCGGGCCCCCCACGGGTAGCGGGCCTATTGCAACGTGACGCGATCGCGCTTGGCATGCATTGTGGGATAGCTAGCTTGTGGTGCATTGCCAGTTACGCGATGACGTGGTGGCGATAAATGACACGGTTTCCATTATTGTCCCAAGCTTAGTAGGCGATCTCAGAGACTGTTGAGTGGCGCGGGAGTGACTTGTCAGAGGAGATAGAATACTGTTCTGAAATCCTGGTAGTCGGTGGTCTTTCTGCTCCGTCATCCGACAGATTCTGATTGGTTGCCTCCCGAGCGTGCAGTCTTGGCCATCCATCTCATTGCCGTCCAGGGGCCGGAAATCCAATTGTTCGGCGTCGGAACCCTGCTCCCGTGGTGGAATTATTCCCGTTTGGACCCCTGCTGACTCAACAGGCATTGACATCTCCACCCGGCGCGAGCCTGCCTGGTTATGTCCCGGTCGCCAGCTGTTCGCTTAACCATCCATGATCTGGGACGATACGCAAAAGTATCCAGCGTTCCGATCCTTGCAGGAACACTCTACTTCGACTATAATGTAAGCGTAGCCAAGGATTGGTAAGATGCTTCCCTGCTTCCAAACCCGTGGAGCAGCTGTTTTCGCCCAGGTGGTCGGGCATGGGGAAGAAGCTGGTCTTCGGACCGAACCATCTATAGTCAAGATTTTGTCCTTGGAGACTTTGCCCTCTCACTTGAGGTGTATCCTGAGGATGAGGACGCATCTTCGAGTTGAGCTATATTATTGTACCGCCTACGTGCTGGGTGGAATGCAGAGCTGAACTCAGTGCTGCTCTTCCCCATTCTAGACTACCTCTCTTCCCCGCTCGCAGCCCTACGCTACCGATTGGGTTTCAACGTGGCAGTAAGGTATTTTTAGTGCCAGGCGTGGTTATTGCGGAGCTGTCCGGCAGGCGCCTCATCTTCATAAAGTTGCAACGGGAAAGACACGTCACAAAGCAGGCAGTTCTTAAGCCAGCACTTATGCGGAGACATGGTTCATCCTTTGTCGTTTCAGAAGATCTGATCCTCCAGAGCCGGCCTACATAACTCGAGCCTCCCACAAGCCATAGCGGCGCGGCTTGCCCGGGTTTCGGAAATCAGCCAATCAGTGATGTCGTGAAGATCATTGCACAATATATGACACTGGTCGACGAGACCCCTGCCTCATGTAAATCAACTGCGGAAGCTGGTAGACAGCGATAGGGTGTGCCGTAGCGAGGCGAACTGCAGGCCACAATGGTGGGTGCTAGCATGCGTGAGCGAATCCTGCTTGTGCCCGAGTCTCTGCTTTGAGTATGGCACGTCCCCTCATCAGTCATCCCAACAATGACAATGACAAAAAGGTAGGTGGCGTCATAATCTAGATCGTCACTTGGCGAGTAAAAAACCTTAGGCTCCAGTTCCCTCCGTTCAGCTTTGCACGGGGGGGCCCCGGGCTGCGTAAGCGAGTCCCCAGATTCTGATCAGGGCATTCAGCCCTGTTCCTGGATATTTTGATCGGCCGAAGGGACTTCTCGGCCGTGCTGACACGAAACCGGTTGACCGGATAATGCCTCCTGCTCGATGAAACTGTGATGTGCCTGCGCAAGGGCGTTGGTGCCGACATGCCGGCCGCGAGAAAGACCCATGACCTCAACACTCTACGAACAGGCGGCCAGCCCCATAGTGGAAGGTCAGCACCATCACTTTCTGATCTCTAGGCCCTGTTCTGGCAGTGCACTGCGCAAAATTTATGAAGGTTAGCGTTGTCTAGAATTCCCTCACTACACACTCTGAGCAACGCCTTGGGCTGACTTGTGTAGCATGGCGTGCACAAACGCAAAGGAGACCATAATATTATTAGCGCATGATGACTGCCCCGGGCGCGCCGGTGACATGTCCAGAGGCCAGAGATCTGGCAGCGCAACGTCACAGCCATGGCCGTTTTATGCCGTCGTGGTGCCCTGAAAAGGAAAGCTAAGCGACGTTGGCCCTCGTCCGGTCTATTTTCCCGCCCATTTCGGCTCCACTGCATTCTCAAAGTGTACGT